AATAATCCACTTAGGCCGTGAACCTTGGTGCACGTACCAATTGACATGGTATTAATTAGTTTATCAAATCTTTACTTTTATTTGGTGATTTAATGACTTAATATATATATATATATATATAAAGTACTGAATGGGTAAAAACGCTTGTTAGGACACCAGAAATTAACAAGACTTTGAAATCTTTAAAATTGATAACAAGACAAAGACTTCGATTAGCTAGATGAACAAAGACTCGTTAAAGAAAAAAAAACAGTAGTTTTGTTTACTAAAGACCCCGTTGTGGTATGATAATTCAGAACTCCACCACTGATCGATCATTCCACTTCATCCTTCATTCATTCGCGTGCTGCTATATATATATACCGATACAACTAACAACTGTTCCTTCCGATCCAAAATAAAATTCATGTCAAATTATTAGTATAATAAACATGATTCTGGAGCACAAGTTATAACAAACTCATGCATGCAATACTTGTACGTGAGTTGAAAATGTTTTTCCTTGGGCTACATGTATGTGTGCGATCAAATATATCTTCCACGTATGTATAATGTGTAAACATATGTCTAGTATAGTAGTACGTGTATTTTGTAAGGTAAGAAAGACCAGCATTATGAATAATCAACTGACCAGACTTTGTGGCTGACTGTTTAGCAACATCACTTTTAAGAGTCCTGGAGGGTAGCACCAGTTGGATGATCCGTCATCTAGGGTTACAGAGTGGTTGAAGCACGACATTGTCGATGTTTTTCATCCTAGAAATATTTTAATTTCTAGCATTTAAGCTTATGCCTCTTTCATTGTACCCAAAAAAAAAAAAAAAAAGCTTACCAAATTAAAAGGTATAAAAAAGAAATCAAAAATTAAGAGGGAGAAGAACAAACTATTACTAGCATATGAAGAGGGGCGTAAAACGGGAATATTATCACTGACATGACTACGAAACTCATAAGTCGTAACATCCAAATTTTCCAAATTTGGAAAACTTTTAAGATAGATCACCTAAGCTTTTTCTATATGAGACAGTCAAGCCAATTCAATCACAACAGATAGCTTAATTCTACTACTTTTGGTGTATCTATTGTATCAATGTTTGCTCAACCCAATTTTTGAGATCGATCTGTGTATATAGGATGTATCAACTGCTTCATAAATTTTACCTATCTATTTCAAGTTAATTTCTTAGTGGAATTCTAAAATTCAAATTAATAATCTATTATTAACATTTAACAATCAAGTGTTACGGAAAAAATCCGATATAAATAGGGTTTTTTTTTTTTTGGATGGACTAAATTTCTATTTTTGATGCATGGAAAAGGCACGTAAATGAATTTTGAACGGTGAAATTACGGCATAAGCGATGTTGAAAGCTGAATCAAATCAAAACACAAAGTAGACACTTACAGAGAAATTAATTAAACATATTCTCGGAATGCCGTGGGTCGTAAGTACTTAATCAAGCCACACATTGACAAATTAGCTTGCGAGATTTATTTCCCTTACCACGGAATTTTTATTATCGATAATAGTGACTGATGCTTATGTTCTCGCTAAATTTTAAGTATATTGATATATATATATAGAGAGAGAGAGAGAGAGAGAGAGAGAGAGAGAGATAGGTGACCAAAAGAGAAAGTTAAGACCATGCAAGCCCTCCATTTCTCTGGAAAAACCCAACCCCAAAAAATTGTACACTGAAAGAGGAAAAGGAAAGAGAATTAAAACGGGTGCAACGACTTTAGACTAACATAACAACGTGAGAAATTAAAATCCTAACTAATTATAAAGCAGCGAAGCACTTTTCTATAAAAGATTTTCCGTCTAAATGCATTACAATTTTTTTTTTCTTGAGAAGAATCTAGATTAATACAACGATTATTCAAGAACAATCTTTATCAATTAAGAACTATGGCAACAGTATTAATCATATGGCAGTGAGTCTTCCACACCACAGGCTTATGGAGTAAAATTTAGTTTAATAGTTTTGATCAAAGCTAATTACGAAAGTAAAGTTAGCTACGCAAAAACCAATTTATCGTACTAAATAAGTAAAATATGATAGCTCTACGATACGCTTTCAAATAGAACGTATTCTTTTCTGTAGCTGTATCGATATTAACTTTTTTGATACATTGACAGAGACCAATTTATCATACTATCATATTTTAATCATAACTGATTTCTATATATCTAGAACCCTCTTTTGAATGTTGGTACCATAATTGATTTCGCAATAACTAAATATGTAACTTATCGTCCCTCCACAATTAGTTAATGCCACGCACTAGATCGAACACATTTGATACCTTATGTGTATCCAAGTCCCGTGACTGTAACGTATAAATCGACTAATTTTTTTTTGGTTCAATCAAGGAGACAACGCCTTAAGGATCAAAATTACATATATGTTCCATAAGTGAGAAATAACGACTAAATCGTGTTTCAGCCACAGACATACACCAATCAATGAAATATAGAGCTGTTGATATTCTCAAGAGCCGCTTATTGCCAAAGAACCCATATAATCTACCGCAAATTTGCCTCATGAAACTATGCTACTCTTTCCGATCCTTATTTTAAGGTATTTGATTTGTCATAAATTTCATTTACTACGTTCTTCTAATTAAAAATATAAAATTTTAAAAATATTTTATAATAATTGAGAAATTATAAAGAATGCAAAATTTCTGACAAATCGAGATGACTTCTAATAAGAACCAGATGGAGTACTAATTTAAACAAGTAATTTAAACTAGCAGGTTGATTGGCCCAACGGCCAGACTTCTCTTCACCTTCAAGTATACGACAATTTCGACTTGAATAATACATTTAACTTATGCTTGCATATGCCACGGTATAAATTAATCGCCGGGTGCAGGGGGAGAAAACAAAAAAAAACAAATGAAAAAGACTGAAGAATATACTGGGAAAAAAAAATAAATTTTGTTTTTCTCTGAAGGTAACAACGATATGGATGTTAAATAAAAATAATGCAACACTTTCATTGATTCGTTTTGATCATCATTTATTTATTTCATTAGTTTGCTGGATGTTAATTAACTAACGATGGGGGTCGTATTCCTCATTTCTTCCAGCTGGAATTAACGTCGTACTCCTCGTTACTATCTTGACTACGCATATATTTTTTTAATAAACGCACACCACAGTTTCTTTATGGACAGTTTTTTTCTAATTAAAATGCTTAGAATAATGCATCATTCTTGTTGTCCTTTTAGTAATGTACATCTATTATTATTAAAAAGTGATAACTTACTGATGAGGGTTGTGTTTATCCACTCTTGTGGGAAGGGAATTAAACAATTACGGACTGTTTAAAAGGGGGAATGATAGCTAGCTAGTCTTCTTGCTGTTTTTGCTTTCTCCCCATACAAACTCAGAGCTTCTGTTCGACCATTTTTGGTAGCCAGATTTTTCATTCGGGTTTTTTTTTTTTCCCCTCTGTCTTCTCATGTTTTTCTTTCACATATCTGATAAGTTAGCATTTGAACATAAAATTAAAACTTTATGAAATGTCTCTTTGAGGTTAGGTGAGGTGTGTAAAAAATTATGAAATGTCTCAATCATATATATGAATAAATTTGTAGTTTTCTCGATATGTTTAATGTATGACTACTTTTTCGACCAAAAAAAAAAAAAAAGTCTCTAACGGGATTTAAAGGATAATAATGATAACTCGTCCCCCAAAAAAAAATGATACAGTAACTCAAAAGTTACCAGGGCTTCCTGGCCTAATTTTCTTGTAAAAGGACCAGAAATGATGTACCTTTGAGAATGGGGACAAGGAATGATCTATCAAAGTTGAATTCATTGATCTAGAACAGTAGCAAAGCAAATTGCAAGTCGAAATTATTGACAATTTAAGCGGGGGAAAATGATTTCAAGTTTTCAATGTCAACCCACAAAATCAAAGTCAGAGACAAGAAACAATCGACTCTCAATGGTCTCAAACATTATTATTCTACTCTAAAACAAGAAATTATATCTACTGTATAAACAATAAGTAATACATGTATTTTTTATTTGGGACGAAGAGAATATTATTCAACGATTATAACATTTAAACTTCAAAACTAAACAGTTGAGGACGAAGAGCATATATTAAACCTCAAATAAAAGAAGTTGGCAAGCGCTAAACACAATATACATATGTCAAACTCTTGAATTAAAAGCGCTGACCTTCTCAATGTATATCAGCTGCAATTGTCATTATCCTCGCTTTTGAATTTTGTTAGTTCTGCAAAACGGACCACGTCTCTACTCTCTCGCGCAGGTTGTTGATTTTTGTACATTACCATTAATTGATTAAAATCAAACAAAATGACCATAAGGCAGAATATCTTCAACACCGGATTCCTGGCCAATGGAAATGGAGTGTCCAACAAACTTGTGGCGTGTTTGGATGGAGTTGTTTTTCGGTTTGGTTTGGGGTCATCTGTTAGTTTCCAAAATTAAATTAATTACTTTTCCGTCACAAGGAAAAGAGAAATAATGTTTGTGAAACTAAAATAATTTAAAAATTGGACGATTTCAAAAAGGTATTATGGTAAAAAAAAAAAAAAAAAAATTAACAAGACCTCAAGTACTAGCTACTTTCTGGACTCCTTTAGCTAGAAGCCTAGAAGTTCCAGAATTCCAAATCAGCAAATAAGAAATTCCAACAACTACAAGTCAAAACAGACGACCTCACAAAATCAAATTCTAAATAATCAAATTTTCATACAAGAAACTAGTAAATTAAAATAATCGTTTTTTTTTTCCCTTCTGATTCCTTCACTGCGCATCACAAGATCAGCTCAACTCCCATCACTTGAGGACAATATGCCGCACGTTGTCATTTTGTTGATACTATAAATATGTGATCCTCTTGATTCCTAAGTTTTGTCACAACAAACACATTAGAAGAAAAAAGATATATATTAAGGTGATCAATTCTAGGCCAAAATCCCCCAGAAAAGAAGCACCTTGAAAGAAAAAATTCATGGAGGGAAAAGCAAAAAACCATCATCCATTGTTGAGTAGACCTAGTAGAAAAGAAGGCTACAATCATGGTTTTAGCCCATCTCAGATCCAAGCTTTAGCTGCTGCATGTGAAGCTTTCTTCCCTTCATTATCCCCTGTTTCCACCACCCAAAACCAGGATGATTGTGTTTATGATGATAATGCCCTTCAGCGTTTCTACAACACTTCTGGTTCTCAGTATCCATTTCCTGATGAGGTCCAAATTTCTTCCATACTATCAACATATATTGAATTCCGGTTTTTTTAACATTCTTCCGGGTTGGTTTCAAATTGATTTTCTTCTAATATTTTGTTGTTCTTAGGTTGCTGAAATAATGGTGAAGTGGGGTTCACCTGATGCAATCCCTCTTCTGAAATTCGTTCTCAAGCTCTTGTCAACCAGGCTTGGGACGTTCTTGGCATGTGGATTAATCTGTCTGGATTGGAATTGGCCTTTCGTTCACAAGTTTTCTGAATTGTCAGTCAACAAGAGAGAATCCATTCTTCAGGAATGGACTAAAGAAACGTTTCTGTTTCCATTGAGGATTGTCTTCTTGATGGTTAAGATGATGTGTTGCTTCGTCTTCTTCTCTTGGGTAAGACGACTCTTATCCTTACTACACTCTTTCAAGAACTGTTTTAACTTTGAAGATTGCTCTTTTTTCCTATCTTTTTTTAAGTTGGGATTGTAAGATAAACTTCAATTCAAAGGAACAATTTTGGGTTGATGGAGACTAGATAGCAAGCTCTAAACTTACCATAAATGAACAATTGACTTCAATAATTGATGTCAATCAAGAACTCAACTTTTCATAATAAATTTTGAGGTGGTAATTTGTTTGGGGCGGAATTTGTGATTACTTGACGTATTGTCTCCGTTCCATTGATAACTCTGGTCCATTCCCACTTGAATGTTGGTGAAATACATTTCTGAATTTCATGCGAATGATTCATTCTGTGCTTACCAACTCTATCTGTCTGGCATGAATTAACTCTGCAAATTTTTTTGCCCACCCCAAAAGTTTACCCAAAAAAAAGGGGCACAAAATAAAGGCAAACTAGAAAGTGACTTCCTGTTGAGCTAACGTTGGAGTTTTGTCATTGTTGAGGTCATAAAGCTATCATCTACATCACTCATTTGATGGGCAAGAGGTCCTACTTTGTTATATGTCTTAATCATTCACGCTGTTTTGCCTTTTCCGTACCACAGATTATTAGTGAAAAGGTTTGTTCATTATCAGTGACTTTTAAGCTGTAATGACATGTCTTAATCTTGTTTGCAGATTGATGAGAATTTCAAGAATCCCTTTTGGGATGCAATTGGATACGAGGTGGATGATTCTAAACAAGATTTGGCAGAACCCCGGAAAGATAGACCACTTGAGAAAGGCGTAATTGAGACCAGGAAAGAAAATGATTCAACCCTCAAGAATTCCCTCATCCAGAAAGGCCTATATGTCAAAGATGATCCCAATGACAACGTGATCAAGGTCAGATGTGATGTTGTGATAGTGGGTTCTGGTTGTGGTGGCGGAGTTGCGGCGGCTATCCTCGCCGCCTCCGGTCAAAAAGTGGTGGTCCTTGAGAAAGGCCATTATTTTGTCCCGGAAGATTATTCTGGCCTAGAAGGACCTGCCTTCAATGAAATGTACCAACTAGGAGGGAAACTAACAACCCTTGATGGAAAAGTCTTCATCTTGGCTGGATCAACTGTTGGTGGAGGAACTGCTGTGAATTGGTCAGCTTCAATTAAGACTCCTGATCACGTTCTTAAAGAATGGTCCACCAAGCAGAAGATTCCACTCTATGGAAGTTCTGCTTATCTTACAGCCATGGATGCTGTGTTTAAGAGGCTTGGAGTAACCTCGAATTGCACTCGCGAAAGTTTCCAGAACGAAGTAATGAAGAAAGGGTGTGAAAATCTCGGCCTGGAAGCATTACCAGTTGCCCGAAATTCTTCAGAAGAGCATTATTGTGGTTCCTGTAGTTATGGTTGTAAAACAGGAGACAAGAAAGGGACAGACTCAACTTGGCTAGTTGATGCAGTTAACAATGGTGCAGTGATCTTAACAGGTTGTAAGGCTGAGAAATTTATACTTGAAAATCAGGATGGAGCTATGAGGAATAGATGCAGGGGAGTGATTGCGGCTGTTGAAAGCAAAAACAGCACAAACAGGATGCTGGAAATCGAGGCAAAGGTCACGATTTCGGCCTGTGGCGCTATATTGACGCCGCCATTGTTATTGAATAGTGGACTAAAGAACAAAAACATCGGTCGTAATCTCCATCTCCATCCTGTTCTCATGGCCTGGGGATATTTTCCAGAATCTGGGTCAGAACTTAAGGGAAAATGTTTCGAGGGAGGAATCATCACTCGCGTGCACAAAGTGAACGTTGGCGATTCCAATGCCGATTGTATCATTGAATGCGCAGCAATGGGCCCATCATCCTATGCATCTTTGGTGCCATGGACATCCGGAAGGGACATGAAAGAGAGAATGCGAAAATATTCCCGAACAGCATCTATATTCGCGCTGGTTAGAGATCAAGGTTCTGGAGAAGTGATGGAGGAGGGTCGGATCAAGTATCGTTTGGATGGAGTTGACAAGGAAAACATCAAAGTTGGGCTAAGACAGGCTTTAAGGATTCTAGTGGCTGCGGGAGCAGTTGAGGTAGGGACTTTCAGAAGTGATGGACAGAAACTATGCTGTAAAGGGATTAAGGATATGGAATTGGAGGAGTTTCTGGACAATGTTACGGCACTTCCCGGGCCGAAATCCAAGTCGGAAGAATGGGGAATGTATTGTTCTGCTCATCAAATGAGCAGCTGTAGGATGGGAGCTAATGAAGAGGATGGTGCAGTTGATGAGAAAGGTGAATGCTGGGAAGCAGAAGGCTTGTTTGTATGTGATGGAAGTGTTATTCCAACCGCCATTGGTGTTAATCCTATGATTACCATCCAATCTACTGCTTATTGCCTTTCTAAGAGAATTGCTGAATTGCTAAGAGAAGGGAAGTACCATCTAGATGATTATTATTGAAAATCTCCCTCGAGAAATTGAATGCCTTCGCATTCAGTAATTCCCATCACAAAATATGTAGTAGAATGAATAATACATCTCTCTCTTGTATCATAAAAACGAGATGTAATACCATCAATTACTGGTAGAAGAGAACTAAATTTGTGCAAGGTACACTAAGGGTGCAGAATTAACCCTAAATTGAGTACAGCAGCTTATTATAAGCGCTCTTTGGACATTAAAGTTCAAGAGACTACTCTGTATAATTTTACTAGTTCAAAAATCCTTCTATTGCCGGTGTGCAATGATTTTGACAAGAATTGAACTCCACCATTCATGGTGTGCCAACAAAACAAAAATAAAAGAAGAGTAAGCAGAGTTCATTCACGAGCAATGCATCAAAAGAAAAGCCATAAATTAACTGCTGATGGATTTGACAGCTTTGGCAGCGGCATCGTCCAAATCTTCAGCTGTAATTAACGTCATCCCACTTTCCTGTAATCACAAAAAAAAATAAAATGATGTAACAAGAGATAATTTTAAAGGTTCTACGAGAAAATTTCTGGAGTCGTTAATTTACAGGCAGATTAAATTGTACCTTGAGAATCCTCTTCCCTTGTTCAACATTAGTGCCTTCAAGACGAACAACTACTGGTACTTTCAATTGCACCTTCAAAGACGAGTTGACCTCATTAGTTTTACTAGTTACATACACAAATTCAATAACTACGAAAGGAAAACCAAGGAATGAGTCAAGCAAAACGCATGGGGAAAACAACAACTTCAGTGTATGACATCAACAGATGAAAGAAAGAAAAATTTTAGCATCCTTATCTGCCAATTAAAATGAAGACAACAAACCTGCTTGGCTGCATTTACAATTCCACTTGCAATCACATCACATTTCATGATGCCCCCAAAGATGTTCACCAAGATAGCTTTAACCTTTTCATCTGCAGTTAAGATTTTAAAAGCCTCCACAACCTAAAACACAAAACACCAAGAGTAATTATCATCTCTAGTATCTTATATTTGCTAAAATTTGGACAGATTCAAATAATCAAACATGCAGCCCCTATACATGGCACCTTGATGGATTCATTTAATCATTGATTCAAATTTTATGCAGCAGAAACCTACATCCATTTTTCATCAAATGGCAAGCATAAGAACTTGCACTGGTGCACTAGAAATGAATGCCTAAAATCTGGCTTACCTGGCCTTCAGAAGCATTTCCTCCAACATCAAGGAAATTTGCAGGAGTTCCTCCATGTAGTTTGATAATATCCATAGTAGCCATGGCCAGCCCAGCCCCATTGACCATGCAGCCAATTTCTCCATCCAAGCCAATATAATTCAAGTCTGCTTTTGCAGCAGCAACCTACCAAATGATATCAATTATACAAGGCATCCCACGCAGGACTACTGCTTCAGACAATACAGAGCAAAGATAGACATGTTAAAGCACAAAACTTACCTCTCTAGGATCTTCTTGTGTTGGATCACGAAGAGCAAATATTTCTTTCTGTCGGAAAGCAGCATTATCATCAAAGTTGAGCTTTGCGTCAGCAGCAACCAACTTGTTATCAGAAGTCTCAGCAAGAGGATTAATCTACATAAAGTTACATAGTCAATGTCAGGTTCACAAAGGCAATCAAAAGAAAAGGGCGGTAACAGAGCCTCATCATCTGGTACCAGGAACATTGCAACTCATTAAAAGAAAATATTAGCATCACGTTTCAAACTACAAAGACAAAGGTAGAGAAATCTTCTTACTTCTAACATTGTGCAATCACATTCACAGAATAGTTTGTACAGCTTCTTCACTTGTTCAATTGAATCATTCCTGTCTGCCACCTTTGGAGCCAAACCATCTACAACTTTGGCAGCATCTTCGTCAGTAATTCCCTTAAAAACATCAATAGGTACCTGAAACAAAACAATTTATTAAGGCTAAAAGAAAGAAACATGGGAAGAGATAGCTGTTAGACGATAGCAATGCTGAAAGCAAATGAGAAAAAACTAGCCTTAATTATCATGTCAGGAAACTGTTCAGCAAGGTCTTCGATGCTAGTTCCTCCCTTTCTGCAAGCAATAATGAGCTGCAAAACAAGAAGGCCAATAGGTAATTCAGCTCAAGACTATGATTAAGAAAACTTTGATCACTTAAAAAGTTCTGAAAACACGATCTGGATCATTTAAAACATAATAAAATACCAAAAACTTAGAAACTTACAGGACCAGCTGATGCACGATCAAGAATAATGGAGAAATACATCTCATTCACAAGTGAGAACTTTTCACACAGGTAAACCTGCAAACAAAATGCAACGTGCAATGAAAAAGTTGCACAAAACACAAGATCTTTCAACAATAAGATGCATGATATGTACATAACAGATATGGAAACACGAAACTAAAAATAAGTTGCTCCGCATGAAAAGATCACACAATAAAAGATTGGACCTTATCATTAATAGATATATTGAGATCAAGTTACAATTCATGGAGTTCTTACACAAACAAGGGTACCAAAAAGGTGAAAAGTTATGCTATAAACCACCAATGTCTTAAGCACGGAATATAGTTTTGGTCACAAACCTTACTGACTATCCTTCCCTGAGCACCAGTCTGCTTCGTAACAAGTATTTGCCCAAGCATCTTAGCTGAAAGTAACCACCACGACAGTAAGTCCAATTAACAAGTATAGAGTTGAAATGCAATCCATGAAGATTAAACAAAGATGCTTCTCTAGGGAGCTACAAATATGAATTTCCATTAAAATGATATCTAGTAAACTTTAAAACTAAACTTTGAAAGATCAAGAAAAGAGCACGCAGATGGTTGTATTGCAATTTACATCACTCGGTGATACTTTATTAGCGACATGTATAATGATAAACTTGATTCTGGACAAACAATTAGGTGGTAAGAGTTAGATTTGTTTCCATACAAGCGATATCTTCGACCTGGTCTTTCTTCACGATGTGAACTCCACCTTTGAGACCGTTCTTAAAGGTCCCCAACCCACGTCCACCAGCAAGGACTTGAGACTTAACCACAATCTGTATCAACAGCAAGCAAGATCAATAATAAATCCAGATAACTCAACGGCATAGCTGCAATTCAACAAAAAGGGGGGGAGGGGGGGCGGGGAAATGGGCAAGAAAATGATAAGGTATATCATTTGGCAAACGAAAAAGAAATACGATTACCTCGTCTTGGTTAGGAAAAACAGACTCAAGTGTCTTTTTGATTTCTCCAATGGAGCCAACCGCTGCACCTTTAGGAACATTAATTCCGTATTTTCCCATCAATTCAGCACCCTAACATTATTCAAATTGATTTCAATATTGTATGTAATTTTGCAAGAAAGAAAAATAAAACAATTGAGCCGCGCTATGAAATTCAGCGAGTAACGAAGAAAATAAGCGTAATGATGAATTTTTGGACCTGATATTCATGGATGTTGAGGCGGCGGAGCTGTTGCTGCTGCCACTTCCCGGCGACGGAAAGGGAGCGACCGGCAAGCTTCCCGAGCAATCCTCTGACCATTGTCGAGATCCTTTCTTGTAATACAATTGTAGATGAAAATAGAGTGTTGATCCGATACCGAAACCCTAACCCTTAGACAGTTTACAGGATTTGAGAACGAATTAAGAGTGAAAGCGCCGGGAGCTGAGGGCTGACTGACTTTTTAGTCTGTAGGGACGACGACCGGAATTCTCAAAACGGGAAAAAAAGGGAAAATGTCAAAAAAAAACAACACAAAGTTTAGAGAAATTTCAACTTTGGGCTTCGTTCTGAAAACAGGCCAGCCTTCTAAATTATATTCGGCTCAACTAAGCTATTTTAGCCCAGTTGTGAGTCTCGTATATGGACCGAACCTTGTGCAATAGCCCAAACTAGTAACAAAAAATAAGGAAAAAATCCAACAAATTTTATAATTTTAATGTTTTAATTGAATTTGTGGAATTGCTCTGTTTTGTTGCTGCGAGAGACTTCAGTTTGAGATGCTTGCTTGATAACTTCTCGTAAAATTTCTGAGATTTTTGTCTGAAAATGTTGATTCTGTTGTTGTTTGTGGCACTTCTGTGAAAGTTAAAAAAAAATTATTACAAAAAAAAAATCAATTTGTTATACATAAAAAAAAATAATATTTTCATCGTTTTAAAATATTAATCTCTTCTCTAAAACTATTTAAACTTATATACACAATTTTGTTATTTTAAGATAGTGGACATATTTTTGTAGAGATTTCTTGGCCTTTATCCAAAGCACATGTTTATACTGCTTACAAAGTTTGCACTGACCAATAAATGTTTTGCATGTGCTCCCCTCGTGTCCATTTCTTAGTAAATTAACTTTATTATTACGGAACAAAAACTTTAAAAAGGCCAAACAAATGGTATTATTAGTGCAATAAAAATAGTAGTAGTAATTTATATTCTCCGTCCATTTTGGTCTAGGCGTTTTGAAAACTTTGGCCATTGTCCTTTAAAAAGGAGAGTAACATATTCTGTGTGTCTTAGGCTCCTAGCTAATTACTGAAAATAAATAAATGAATAGATGTGGAATCAGGTTACGTAGGGAAGTTCATTACTCAATTATGGTAAACCGATGAGGGGGCATATTAGTATTTTTTTTTCCATTTTCCTTGGGTGCCAAATTTAGCTAGTAAAGTCACTTTTTATATTCCTTGTGAATGTGTAACTTCAGGATAATTTAGAAGAATGAAAAGAATTATAGGTCATTATTATAATCATCTACTTACAGATGACTTCAAATCAATGTCAAAAGGGAAAAAAAAAAAACAAAAACAAATAACTTTAAATCGCGTGACTTTGAGAGATTCATGTACGTAATCTAGCATATTCAAGTCATGTCAACTGATTAAAGTTGATAAGTCGGATGTAAACAAATTATATAATCTAACATATTATAGGATGTGTAGTAATAGTTTAAGATTTTTTTTCTTAATCTAATACAGGTACCCTTTCCAAAAAAAAAAAAAAATCACCTACTATTCTTACTTCTTAGTATGATGCTAATTTCATTTGTGAAGCACAGAATAAGGATCATATTCCATTTTGCTTTAAATTAATACTCATTGCTATGCAAGATCAGTTACTATTCATTTAGTTATTTAGTAAAACTTTAATTTATCTTTTTTAGATGTAAATGAAAAATAAATACAAGGGCTAATTGTTGGCCTTTTTCTTGCTTGATATCCAACAAGAAAAAACTATGGATTGATCACTTCCTGAAATTCAGGAGCATGCTGTTATCCCGTTTTTCACTTTTTTGTCGATTAAAAGTGCTACATATATTCACTTATTGTAAAATTGATGTGATTTGCTAACATTTATAAGTTTTTTATTTAACTTATGTAAAAGTTATATAGACTCCCATATATCGGAAGGAAATTAATTAGGGGACAGATTAATGGCATTCTTATTTCATCATTAATCAATTAATGAAACATTTCTAATACAGAAACTCTGATCCGTAATTGCAAAGCTAAAATAAAATAAAATACTAAAAGAATAAATAAGGTAAGATTGACATTTGTTTCTGTAGATTGGTTCACGGGTCACATTCATCGCTCGTAAGTCACAACTTTAATGCTTGATGATGACCACAGCAAAATAATTTAATTATTGGTTATTTCGGGAGAATTTACTCGTTTATTATTTTGGTGGGTGTCAGGGAGAGAGAGAAAAAAATGCTTTTTCTCAAATAAGAAATCCTAAAATGAATTAATTAGGTTATCTGTTGTAAAAATATCATTTATGTCATCACTTTTTTTTTAATTATGGATCACATGAATGATGAAACTCGTATTATTAAGTTCTTACAAGAGTTTTGTTCTTTTATTCATTTTGATAATTTTATGTCGAATAAATGAATGAACTCTTTTTTATTGAATACCAAGGACTTTTGAAATAAATATTTTTAAAAAAATGTAATTTGAAATAATTCGAGGTTATCAAAATATCAATTACAGAATAAAAAAACTTCGTTGTTCATCAGTGATATTTTTCACATGGTTTGCTATTAAATACTCTTTCCATTCTGAAATGTATTTCTAACAATTTCATTAATAACAACGAAACACTGAATAATGTACTTAAAATATAAAATTGTCCTTATTTATTATCCATAATACAATTTATCAACGACCAATGTATTTTCACTTTAAATAATATTTAATTTTTAATGCAAGGGTAAAATTAAAAAAAATAAGATAAAAGTTACCTCAATTTTGTGAAATATTACCTATTTTAAAAAATTTTGTAAACCCTAAAATGATATATATATTTAAAGATGGAGAGGTTATAACTTATAAGTCATGCTCTTTGGGAACAAAATTGAATGCCGTGTTACCTAATGTCTAGCAACGGGCTTAAAAGTATGTAAGTTTTTATTTTTTTAATATTAAAAAAATGGAACTTCTTGTTAGTTACCCTCTTTTTCCCCTTTTTAATTGTATTTGTGACGAAATTTAGACGTCCACTTCACAATTATAAATTCTTATCCTACCAACTCTCGTGACCCCCTTAGCCATTTGTACATTTACATTGTATCTTTTGCCTGTGAATTTGAAATTGGTCTTGAAGTTTTTTAACTCCAATGTAATTATGATCAAGACATTTACATTGTGTATTGTCATTAGTAGATTACTAATGTCAAAATATTTCCTAGTTTTCTTACAATACAAGTAAATTTTACTCGATAAAACATGTACAGCATAAATAGTACAATACAGAGCAAATACATTACAATATATATATGTGTGTGTGTGTGTGAGAGAGAGAGAGAGAGAAAAAGATTAATGGTTGTACCCCTATAATATTTTGATGTATCGTGTGGGTATAATAAAGTATACATGTTCACTCAGAAGTATATACGATGGTAAAACTAGTAGAAAAATTAGTGATTATGTTACCACATTTAACGTTATCGTCAAAATATATAAATATGGACCAATGAGACATGCATAATATCAATCTTGATAAATAAATGATGATAAAAGGCGATAAAGGTGCTAGACACGTGTTTTTGCTCAAAATCTAAGTATTTAATTCAATCAGTCCAGATGTTTAGTATTTACAATAATTCGAGAATAACAAAGAAAGTACAGTAAAATATGTGAAGAAAATAGTAAAATAAAGATGTACACACAACCAGTAACCTATTTTTATATCAGTTGTTCTAATTATATTATGGTGGTAATATTATACGTAAAACACAAGAAAACCAAAACATGCATCTATGGTCGTAGTGCTATAAAACTAAGTGATACACAAAGAAAAATACTTTATGTATAATTCTACAAAAGATGTTAGACGTTCTACAGAAGTATGTTAAAGCACAATCAATTATTCGTACAAGATACACAACATGGTAAAGCCAACACGGAAACGATGGGTGTGTCTTGAAGGCCCATATAAGTCCACACGTGGTTCCACCTCAAAACCAATTGGCAACGAGGGGAATATCACATGGGGTATATATGTTGAGTTCAAGAGTCTCCATCTATTCATGTGGGACAAGGGCATGAGGCCATTTTCTTTCCTTCATTCATTTAACACGCCCTTCTCAAGCCCAATGGACTTGTTACGGGTAATTCTATGCATTTTTTTAAAAAAATTTTTCAGTCTTGCGATCGGTTTTTTTTTTCTGAATAAACCATCACCTGTCGGGCCAGTCAAAGTTCAAAGTCAAACTCCGGATTTTTTCTGTGGGTTGGTCAAAGTTTCAAGACCCGATCTAGGTCAGTCCACCTCGCCCCACAAGTCCCACAGGTTCGCGAATTAAAACCCGCTCAGATACCATCTTGAAGGCCCACATAAGTCCACATGTGGTTCCACCTCAAAACCAATTGGCAACGAGGGAAGTACCACATGAGGTAATATGTTGAGTTCAAGAGTCTCCATCCATCCATGTGGGACAAGAGAACATGAGCCAATTTTCTTTCTTCCATTCATTTAACAGTGTGTTTCCATGTTTAACGCTCTTGTCATATTATTACCAAAAGAACAATAAAGTGTGCATATTACCGATCACGAGAAAAAAATGATTAAAAAGCATCAACGATGCAAAACTCACGGATATGCTCAAACGGCATGTATTTAATTATGTCCAATATTCAGAATAATTCGAGAACATAGTGATCGCATGGTATAATATAAGAGAAAAATTGTAAAATACGATGCAAAACACTAAGCGCTTGTTTCTCCAACACTTATTTTGCATTTTTGTCTCATTTCACCTCTTAAAATATCTCTAAAACACAAATCTCATTGCTATCCAAACAACTTTTTAATTTACTTTTTAAAAAATATTCCAAAAATTATTTTTACACAATTTTCATCTACCACTACTGGACCACCTCTACCACCACCTGCCGCCGCCGCCGAACCACCACCGGCTGACGGCCGACCGGCCAGATTCCGGCGAGTTGGCCAGAATTTAGCCAGAATCTGGTCAGCCGGCGGCAGCGGCGGTGGTGGAGTCCGGTGATGGTCTAAAAATATTATTAGTTTATTTAAAATATTACCCAAACAACTTTTTAAATTTTATTTCAAACCACATTTTAAATCACATCTTAAACCCAAATCACATAATCACATTTTAATACACTCCGGATGTCAATTAAGGGTAACTGAAGTGGCGCGTATTATGGTGGCCGCATTGTGATTGAAAATACATTATACGGGACGAAATTGATAGAAGATGTGTAGCACAACTTGGAGCCCTAGGGAAAAAATATTTGTGCCAACTTAAGAAAAAGTAGATTCATAACACACACCATTTCCACACAAGGAAAAAGCAAAAGAAGGCAAGTTATTTCAGTTTGCGGATTGTGTGTGGCTTGTTTTGGTTTGCTAGCCAACTAGAGTAAAAAATGTCGTTCATACTCAAAACTTTGCCTTTGTCGTTAATTATACTTAATAGATTTTCGGTTAGTCAACTTTACCTTAATATTTGAAATATTTACCAATTTCGTCCAATCGGCCCATTTTCCGTCTAATTAACGGATCTCCATTAGTTTTTTAATAAAATAATAATTTTAATTACAAAAACACTCTATTAATTTTCAAAAATTTTAAAAATAACCCTTAAAATATATAAAAATAACTAAACAGTCCCTTTTCACTTATTTTATTTTATTTTTCTCTATCTTGTTCCATTTCTCTTTACTACTTTAAATGACCATAAAAGTCTATATAATATGATTTTTAAAAAGATATTTATTTATTTTCAATATTCTACTGTAAAAATTAATCTTTGTATAGTTGTAACCCATGATTGTATATATATAAGTATGTTAATTTTTTTTAATAATATAGTTTAACAATAAAGACACTATTGCTAATATAAAGATTAAAAACATTTAAATGAAACTAATATTCAACATAAAAATAAAATATTAGCTCAAATAAAAAAATATTAATATATTTTAGTGTATTAAAATTTCACTCAAGAGACTATAACTTGCATTAATATGATTCATAAAAAAATAAAAAAATAAAAAATAATTAAGACACTATTTTTTTGATTTATTTTATTCTTTCTAACATAAAGATTAAAACCAATTAAATGAAACTAATATTTCACATAAAATAAAATATTGGCTCAAATAAAAAAAATTAATATATTTTAGTGTATTACAATTTCACTTAAGAGACTATAACTTGCATTAATATAATTCATAAAAAAAACAACTAAAATATAAAATAATTAAGACACTATTTTTCTGATTTATTTTATTCTTCCTAAAATAAAGATTAAAAACATTTAAATGAAACTAATTTTCCACTTAAAAATAAAATATTAGCTTAAATAAAAATATCAATATATTTTAGTGTATTACAATTTAACTCAAGAGACTATAACTTGTATTAATACAATTTATAAAAAAAAATAACTAAAATATAAAATAATCAAAACCTTAAAAAAAATCCTCAAAACATAAGTTTTCCTTCTTGAATCTAAAACCTATTTTCTATCACAACAACTTATTACTATATTGTTAGCTCCATTCATTTATTTTAAACTAAAATCATATAGAATAAGTTAGTAAGACTTCCTCTATAGTAAGATATATTAATATATCAAATAATTATTACAAAATATTAAATCCTTGCATTGATATATATAAACATTTTTTTATAAATTATATTATGTCATGTAGTCTCTCTAGTTAAATTATAATACACTAAACTATACTAATATATTATTTTTCATTTGAGCTAATATTTTATGTTTATGTAAAATATTAGTTTCATTTAAATATTTTTAATCATTATGTTAGGAAGAATAAAATAAATCAGAAAAATAGTGTCTTTATTGCTAAATTATATGATTAAAAAGATTAACATGCTCATATAAATACAATCATATGTTACAACTATACAAAGATTAATTTTTACGATAGAGTTTGAAAATAAATAAATATTTTTTTAAAACTCATATAATATACTTTTATGGTCATTAAAAGTAGTTAAGAGAAATGAAAAAAATAGAGAAAAATGAAATAAAAAAGTGAAAAGGGACTATTTTATTATTTTTATATATTTTAGAGATTATTTTTAAAATTTTTAAAAATTACTGGGGTGTTTTTGTATTTAAATTTATTATTTTATTAAAAAACTAACGGAGATCCATTAATTTGGACGGAAAATGGGCCGATTGGACGAAATTGGCCAAAATTTCAAATATTAAAGTAAAAGTTGGCTAACCGAAAATCTATTAAGTATAATTGGCGACGAGGACAAAGCTATAAGTAGGAATGACATATTTTTCCGCCAGCTAGATTATTAGGCAGTATAGTACTACAGCGGAAGAAGACACAAGGTCAAATAAATACTGTAGTACGTAATAATAAAATTAATTAAAGCCACATTAAAAAAGAAATAGAAAATAATCCTAAAATACAATCACATCTCTCTTTGCCCCCCATCGTAAATCTTCGAAACTTCAGGGGCTTTATTATATGCCCTGCTCTATATATAGGCCGACTCTCCCTGCTCGGCTGCCCCTTTACAAACTGCCTCTTCTTTAGAAACTTTCTCCTCTCTCTCATAACACACTCTCTCTCTCTCTCTCTCTCTCTTCTCTCTTTTTAATTTCGTCTTTTCCTTTTCCCCCAATTCTCTGTTCTCTCTTGCTGGGTTTGGTTTTAGCAGATTTTATGAAAAATTAAGGCCTTTTACTTAAAACTCACTGATCTGGATTTTTAATTTTTTTTTCTATTTTATTTTTGGTTTTTTTTTTAATCTCTGAAATATTGTCCTTCTCCTTGGTTGAATGAATTCGTGATTTCTGTAACCGTTTGTATTTTCCAGCGATTTCTTATCCGATTCCGGGGTTTTTAAACCTTTTTTCCTTCTTTTGGTTGTTTTTTAATTTCCTAAACGGTCCCTGAGTTTTTTGGACTCATCCGTACTGGCCCTACGTTTTCGAAGTATTTTAAAGGGAAAAAAGTAAGTGGGGGGCAATTTCGGGAATTCAAATAAAAATTAAAAAAAGCATTTTGAGATGCATGTGGCGTTGACGTGGCATGCGCAAATCGAGCCATGAGTGCAACCATGATGAACCACTCACGCCGTCAGTCATTGCCGTCAACAGGCAACAACAATAGTAGTAGTAACAAACGGAAAGAGAGAGACGGGTACATTGACGGTTTCAAACCGTCAGCTCTAACGACCAAAAACTTAGCCCGGCCCAGCATCCATCATCGGGCCCCCGCGCCGGCTAAATCCCCCAAGCCGGCTTCCCCAGCCGCCGCCGCCGCCTCCTCTTCTGGTGCTAGTAATAAGCTCCTGGCTGGGTATTTGGCGCACGAGTTCCTGACAAAGGGGACATTATTCGGGGAGACGTGGGACCCAGCCAGAGCCGAAGCCGGTGTACCTCTTTCTTCCTCCTCCGCCTCGTCGTCGACGTCGGGCAGGGGAAGACCGGCGCATCCGATGGCGGAGAAGAGGAAAGCCGAGCCGAGTGGGAAAGCTGAGGAAGAGGACGAGAGGAAGCGAATCGAAAAGCAACGGAGGTATGTGGAAGTAGCGGATTTGCTGAGGACGGATGGGGTCCACATCCCGGGGATCGTCAATCCGACCCAGCTTGCCCGTTTTTTACAGCTCTGATTGACGGAATTTGGTCGGAGGAGAAAGGGAGGCTGCTTATATCGATGGGATCGACACGTGGGGAGATCTGATTGGATTGGGGAGGGAAAAAAAAAAAAAACATTGTAGGGAAAAAACGAAGATTCTGAATTGGTGGCGGTCCAGTGGTCCTCCCCCTCTGCAACAAAAAGAGAAAAAAGAAATAGAATGAAATTTGGGATCTCGGTCTCTTCTGGGCTCCCTCACAATTTTAGTTCTGAAAATTTGTTTCTCTGTAATCAAAAATCTAGAAGAGGTGGGTTATAGTTGTTGTTAGTTAGTTTCTCCGGTGGAATCCGACATTTGTAAGGTCCATTGTATATTTAGAAGCGATGTATGTGTGTGGATTAATATGTTGTTGTAGCATGCATGCAGTGATTGCATTTGCAGCCACACCCCATGAATTTTACATTACTTTCTTTGTTCATCAAATGGCGCCTTCCTTTTCTTTTCTCAATGTTTGATTTATCCGTTTCTTATGTTACGTATATTAAGTTCAAACCGTGTTAGGATTCGCAGGGGTTATAGTGAAGAGAACATTAACGCAAAAAATGGTTTTCATTTCCTTACCAATACAATTCTGTGGTGTTGATTTGCGTATCTCGTTAACATGGTTAGTGATTAAGAGAAACGATACGATTCTTTCTCGGGACAAATTTTCCAGCTCTGAACCCCAAACAGACTTAAAACAGATATATCTTCTTTAATTCATGGCTTTTTTTTTTTAACGTTTCAGGATCTTCATTTGTTTGACGAATTACACACTTGCAAACTATCAATACGTACTTGTGTTGCGATATTTCGTACCGCTTTCTTCTCGTTATTTCACAGCAACAGCCGAAATTTGTCTGCTTTGTTTACATATCTTGTCGAATGCTGAACAGTAAGTTCATTGAGAATACGATGATGATGAGCTTCCTGTTTGGGCTATTCATTCAAAAAAGAAACTTGAGAAGTTAGTTGAAAACATATATATTTATAGAGTGGACCCTATCTGCTTCTACAAAATTATGAAAAAGTGTCGTGATTAGAGAAGAAAGACTTGTCTTTAATTCAAGAAATTTTAATCCCAAATGAGCTGACATTGTAGTTGGATGGCTGGCTCCCCAACTACGACTTTGATTTTTAAATATGGGATAATCATCATGATTTCAATAATGCGTTACTAGGTTTTTTTTTTCTGTTTCTCCCCCTTTCGTCCACAAATGTTTTACAAAATGTAGTTTGGTAGTCGAAAGATGAAACGGTAATCTGTTTAATTAAGGGCCTAGTCATAGAAATTGGATCGAGTTCTATGATCCGAATGGTCAAAAAAAAAAATGTAAAAATTTAAATATGTATTACGGAGACACGATTATTTATCATAATATAACAACAACTGCTTAATATTAAGGATCTTATCACCATTTGAAGTGATTCACGACTCATGGCAAAATAATATCTCAACGGTCAACCCCATAATTTTGTTTTAAGAAGATTTACATATATACTTGGAAAGTTAATAACATATTAACTGTTGATTCATCTAATACAATGAGATATTATTTCCCTATATAATTCACACTTCATTAATAGTCGCAGTTCTAGTGAAGAACAAGAAAACTCTAATTATTTTATTTGAGTATGTAGTATGTATACACGTTCTTGAACTAATTTCGATTTAAGGAATTAGGATTGGGGCCATTTTGATAATTCAAAAAAAGCACCATCATGAAATGGAATCAAAGTTCTCTAATCACTGTGTGAGGTAGCCAATAAATATACATATATATATATATATATATATATATATATAAGCGCCATCCGTCTTTGTTAAGCGAAGCATACAATTAGAATTAGGTAAGCAGCAACATTGTCGTGGATTAATTTGGACACCTTTTTAGGTCAAAAATAAATAACCAAGGCAAAAGGCCAACAAAAACGCCTTCAGCATTTTCCATTAATTAATATTTATTGTTAAAAGCCAAATTATAAACTCCGTCTTTGCGAAACAATGTTTTATTCGTTTTGAATCAAACGCGTAAAATGCATCACTCGACTACAAGATTTTGTTTTAATTATTAGTTAGGAGTATTATTTTAATGTTCTTTCCGTCCAAACGATGGTATACTATTATTTGCAAGTACACTAATGTAAGATTATAGTATTCTACAGGTACAAGTTAATTAGTAGTATATCAGGTTTCATGTTACAAAAAACAGGATTTTAAATTATAATTTTAGTCCACAAATAAATGACATTGCATCGTAAACAGGACCAGAAAGAAAAGGCTTTTGTTTGTGTGTGTGTGTGTGCGTGTGAGTAAACGAGTAACGCCATTTTTTTGCTTCATTCATTTCAAGTGGACGTTCTTGTACAAAATTTCAAAAATCTACTGTGACATTATTATTCTCCGTTCTATTTTAATCCAACAAACAAGACTTTCATTAGTTCGCCGTATATTACGTTACAATTATCAAACTTTTTTTTATGTGTGTGTGGAGGTAAAAGGGATAATATGAGCTACATGTTACCCTTTTTTTTTTCATTTTGTTTTGGGTCGTGAACTATACATGCATATTTTTCATATGGATTATTAATTTCAAAAAGAATCTCAAAGTAAATTTGACGTCAGAAAGAATATTTGACGTACAGACGACTGTACAGTAATTTTTAATGAGGCTAATACTGGCCCAATTTAGAGCGGACCATTGACGTAAGGCCGGTTGAGGCGTCCATTCCTCGATTGTGGCCTTTCCAGCAATGGCATTGGGTCACCACTAATTTGAAAAATGGAATTAAAAATTATTCTCGAAGTAATTAAATTAGTATATCCTAAATTCTTAGTGCTAATTGGCATTTCGGGAAAGATCACGAGGAATGATGGTTCAAGCCTTGAAGGTTTTTCGTTGGCCTTTAATTTAAGATGCATTTCAGAAAGTGACCTTTTCTTATATAAGTATATAGAAGGGTTGTAAGTTGATGATCATAAAAGTAAGTTTAATCCGCCTTGCAATGTCAAAGTACTCTCTCTACGGGAGATATTTTAAGCAAAACTTATGTTGTTTCTTATAAAAAAACACAAATGAATATTGAATTTTGACTAACGCAACATATATTTTTATGAATGGCTAACTTGTACTTTTGACATGTAACATTGGATACAACTGTTGTTTCATTAGACTTAAATATCACAATACTATTACTTTTGTATTGAATGAATCATAAATGATGCAAATAGTTTCAAAGAAACCATACAATACACAATCTCGTACTAACTAAATATCATATCGAAACTCAAACTATAATCTTTATCAAATTCAATAGATAATAGTTCAAAAGTCGCTTATCGCCATTTTGTCTTCGTTACTAACCTTTCAAAATATACATAAGAGTTTCGATTCCTAAAATTTGTGAAAAATGTAGGCTAATCCACAGGAGGGAGCAAATTATAGCAATTTTACCAAATTCAGTGTCAGTCAGGTTAGTCAACATTTATATATTTCGATGCAACAAGATGTTATTTGTAACAAGTAATTTTGTTGGTTGATTAATTGGTCACATTTCATTCATATAATGCTCGGATTGTTATTAGTTTGGATACAATAAAAGACAAATCTTGTATGTATTTTTATGAATAAGAATCGTTTTCCTTATATCGGAGAAAAACTTCCCGATTCATAGGAAGGAAGCTTAATGGGAATGAATCAACATTAGTTCGATGGATATAAAACATCAACACCTACAATTTGGATCAGTTTCACCTCAACAAATAAGTGTGATCAATTCCGATTGATGTGTTGGTGTATCGTGGGATTTACTTATTACCATCGTCGCTAGGCAACAAAATTACAAAAGAGAAGAAGAAGAAGAAGAAGAAGTATGTGTCAGGGTCAACTATTACACAGTGAATTTTTGTTTTCCCAACAATTAACGCAGTCTATTAAATGTAATCATCAAAACGACATGATGTGGCAGAAACAGAACCTTAGAACGCCACAGGATACCCCCAATGGGTCCCACCTATATCTATTTGACAACTCAATTTTTTTTAATTAATGAATATTTCCCTATTTTAACGTGTCAATTATTTTAGCACTTAAAAACAAATTGGAAAATCTTCCCATTTACGACTTCAGCAATTCCAAAGTTTTTCCACATTCTCTTCTCTCTCTGTTTTTCTTTTCCTTTTTTCTCTTTCTTTTCTTTTCTTTTCATTTCTTTTTGAGCTAATTAAAGCTCTTTCAGTTTGGATATAACAAAATCAACATATATTTCAGGACCCAGTTTTCGTAAAGCGGTGAAAACCAGGGGGGAAAAGCGTGAGAATTTTGAATTGAAAAAGTAAAGGGAAAAGGAAAAGTGCTTAGGGTTGTTGTTGTTGTTGTTCGAGCTTTAGAAAAATTTTTGGAGTTTATTCTTTGGTTGATCGGTTGAAATTTTTGCTTTTGAATCGAATATTTGTTAAATTAAGAATCAAAAGATTATCATCAAGGGGTGTATAAAGGGGGGGATGAGGACTGGCGGTGGTGACGTGTTGTGGATATTGTTGAACCTCTGCAGTTGTCTTCTTTCTTTCAGTGTTGGAGGACGGTGAGAATTCTTCTTCCTTTTCTGTTGTTGCTTCTGAATTGTTGAATTTATTTCGTGCTTGTGAATGAATTGGGTTTTTTTACTTTTGTTGGGAATCAGTGTCTGTGAAGTGATTGAAATTTGGGGGGGGGGGGGCTTTGTATTGTGAATTTTGGTGATCACGATGACATACATTCGGCCATTGTTGTTGGAATCCTGAAATTTGTTTTACTGTGTTTGTTTCATGCATGTACGGTATTGAAAGATTGTATTTTTGTAATGATCGAGGATGCATTCTTCTATTCTAGGCTTTGCATGTCTGCCCAGTGATCAATTAATTTACTTTACTCTTTTGTTCTAAATGTAGTTCGAGAAGTAGTGGGCCATGCATAAAAGTTTTCCATTCATTTGGTTCAGATTAAGCAACTCATTATTCCGAATTGATTCCAATGTTGCTGTCCCCTGGGATGGATTAATAATTATGAGGGAGTGAATAGTTTTCTCTCTGTTTACTGTTAGCAGCTGCTATTATTGGTTCATGACCCCATTAAGAAAGTGGATATTAATTTGGTACTCATTTTGTTTCTTGCTGAAGGGTTAATAGAGCAGTGAAACAGTATGAGGAGCAATGAAAAACCAATTGTAGGGCGGAAGAGGGGGAAATTTAGAGTTAGGTTTCCAAAGGTCATGAAGTGCCTGTGCTCGGGAGAACAATTGAGGGTAGATGAAATGGCTCCTTCCTCGGATTCACTTGCGACTAAGGATTATTCGGCGAGTGTATATTCTTCTCAAACAGGAGAAGCTAGCAGAAAGCCGGACACAGGCAATATTGAAGAAGCCGAATCTTCTCTGCGGGAGAGTGGCTCCCTGAATTATGAGGTTTTGTTAAATCTTACTGAATTCAATGTTCAAATGAGAACCGGACGCGTTGTCCTGTAACTAAGTTATTGTTGTTCCGCAGGAAGCAAGAGCATTGCTGGGACGATATGAATATCAGAAAGGAAATATAGAAGCTGCCCTCCATGTTTTTGAAGGAATAGATATCGCTGCAGTGGTGCCAAAGATGAAAATTTCTCTTGCCAGAAGAAGAGCACCTTCTAGGAAACAGTCACAAAGTTATGGTTCTCTACCTATGTCTGTACATGCAGCTAGTTTGCTTCTGGAAGCAATCTTTCTGAAGTCGAAGTCTCTTGAGGCTCTTGGTAGATACAAAGGTAGTCTATGCATACTCCGCTGTGAAGCTTGCTTCGCTTTATGTTATTAATTTCTTACACTTGATTTGGTTTCCTTGATCTATCTTTGTGTTTACCGTGATCAATTTCCTTGTAGGGAATGTTTATGTCCTCAAATTATTCCATAGTGTTTGTTTTATATACTTGATGATGCTTGTAAGGTCTCTTTAAGATTAAGACCCTTTTCAGCTCTTTTTATAATGCATTTTAATTCCAGAAGATGTGCTGCAGTTTGTAACGGGTTTTTTCTGTCTGTCATTGGTGATTAACTTTGTTTTATTCATGGATTTCCTGTTAAAAACCAGTAGTTAATACTACCTTTGAAAGTTTCTGAAAGTGGGCTACTAGCTTGGGTTTTTGGCTCAGGCACTGAGTGACATTTTTGCTACTTGCTGCGGTTTTCAACAACTGTTTTTTCTGTCTGTCATTGGTGATTAACTTTATTGTACTCTGAGATTTCTTATGAAAATACTAGTAGTTAATATCACCTTTGAAATCTTCTGAAAGTAGCTACTGGCTTATGTTTTTGGCTCAGACCTGAGTAACATTTTTGCCCAGTTGGCCTCTGAGGTTTGTATTTTACATCCTACTTAACTGATTTTCATTGTGCTTGCTGGCGCGTGTAGACTGCAATGAGTGCTCTTGCATTTATTGTTATAATAAGCACAAGAGGATCTGCATGCTTAACACGAAAAACTGTAATAGCTTGGCTGATGTGGTTTCAAACTATTTTGCAGAAGCTGCTCAATCATGCTCAATAATTCTGGACGTAATTGAATCTTCATCACCAGGTGGCTTACCTGAAAACTTTGCTGGTGACTGTAAATTGCAGGAGACACTGAGCAAAGCTGTTGAGTTACTTCCAGAACTGTGGAAGCTTGCCGATTCCCCCAGTGAAACAATTTTGTCATATCGGAGGTCCCTCCTTCACCCATGGAATCTTGATGCACAAACACTAGCCGGGATTCAAAAAGAGTTTGCGATATATCTTCTTTACAGTGGAGGTGAAGCAAATCCTCCAAATTTGCGAATCCAAATGGACAGTTCGTTTGTTCCTAAAAACAATATTGAAGAAGCTATTCTTCTTTTGATGATTTTGTTAAGAGAGGCTACTCTTAAACGAATTGAATGGGATCCATCGGTTCTGGATCACCTTTCATATGCATTGTGTATATCAGGGGGTTTCATACCTTTAGCTAATCAAATGGAAGAGTTGCTTCCAGGGACTATGGAAAGGAAAGATCGGTTTGAGAAACTGGCCCTTTGTTACTATGGAGAAGGTGATGACTTGGCTGCTTTGAATTTATTAAGGAAGTTGTTGAGTCGAGCTGTGGATCCAGCATATGTCCCAGCTTTACTGTTAGCTTCAAAAATTTGTGGCGAGAACTCTTCATATGCCGTAGATGGGATTAACTTTGCTCAACAAGCCATTGAAAACTTGCATGGAAAATGTGACCAGTTGACTGGTGTTGCAAAATTTCTATTAGGTGTTTCTCTTGCAACATGTTCTAGATCAGCTACAGCAGATTCTGAGAGGGCACAGAGACAAACTGAGGCACTGCAGTCTTTAGAGGCAGCCGGTAAAATCACCGGAATGAATGACCCAATGATTGTTTACCATCTTTGCTTGGAGCATGCTGAGCAAAGGAAGTTGGATGCATCACTTTATTATGCTAAGTGCTTGCTGAAGTTGGATAGCGGTTCCAACATTAGGGGTTGGTTATTATTAGCTCGCATACTATCAGCTCAGAAGCGATTTGAGGATGCCGAAACTATTATTAGTGCAGCTCTAGATCAAACTGGAAAATGGGATCAAGGAGAACTGTTGAGAACTAAAGCTAAACTCCAAATTGCGCAGGGTCATTTAAAGGATGCTATCGAGACTTTCACTAAGCTTTTAGCTGTTCTTCAGGTTCAACTTAAAAGTTTTGGCTCAGGGAAAAAGCTGAAGGTGTGTTTGATACTTCCTTGCTGATTTAAACTTGTGAGATCCTATTTGTTGCTGTGTTTCCAAAACTAAAATAGAGTTCCTTTGCTTGGTTAACTTTGTTCCAAATTATTATTGTTTGGCAAAAATGAGACTGTGAAGTTCATCTCTCTCTCTTTCTCTCTACAAGAAGTTTGCTTCGTATCGTTGTTGATTATGTTGTTTTGTTCATATGTGATAGAATGGTCGGAAACCAAATAGAAGTTTGGAGCTTGAAACCTGGCACGATTTGGCAGTCCTCTATATTACATTGAATCAATGGAGGGATGCAGAAATCTGTCTGTCAAAATCTGAAGCCATTAGTTGTTACTCTGCCATGAGATTGCACACTGCTGGTATGTTAAGTGAAGTTTTAAGTTTTTTGTTATCAGTTATTGTGTGTGTTGTGAATGAGGGATTTGATTAAGAAATGACTGTTGAGACCATTTGCAGAAAATGATATTTTATTGAGATCATTGCATGCATAAATGAACCAATGCACATTGTGTGCCTGGGTAGTTAATTTGCAAATTTTTTTCCCGGACATGAATTGATGATATTCCTGTTGACTTGAAGATTGATATGAACTGGGTTTAGCATTTTCATGCAGTAGATAACATCATTGTTAACCTTCACATTCAGGGAGTCGCTATCACCCATAACTTTGAAGTAGGAATTAATGTCTTGAGATTTCCTATTGTGCTGTCATTTTAAAGCCTGTCATGCTCTCATGTTCGTGCATTTCCAGTCTCATGTGCGGCTGCTGTACATACAACCGTATATTTGGATCTTTATATTCCCCGATTCATGCAGGTTTGCTTCATGAAGCTAAGGGTCTCCACAAAGAAGCCCTTCGAGATTTTGAACATGCTCTGTCTGTTGACCCCACTCACGTCCCGAGTCTTGTCTCCATGGCGGTTGTGCTTAGACAGATAGGAACTAGATCGGCTGCCACCGTTAGAAGCTTTCTAACAGAAGCAATTCGGCTCGACAGAATGAATGCTTCTGCCTGGTATAATCTTGGCCTGGTTTGCAAAGATGAAGGTCCTGGATCTGCCAGGGAAGCTGGTGATTGTTTTCAGGCCGCTGCTTCTCTTGAGGAAACAGAACCAGTTGAGCCCTTTAGATAACTGCATATAGGGTAGGATGAAATTTTGAGTTCATTTTAAATGACCTGTATTTACTGCGTATAGTACATACTTTTGAAGAACAATGATGTTCATAGTTTCAGGAAAATACAACGGATTTCCTGTTTTGGAAGAGGAAATTTTTTTTTCTTGGCTGTAAATTTTCCTTGTACACCGTAACTCATTCCGTCTGAGGTATACTAACCCCTCGTATCTTCCTTTTTTAGCAAAGTGAATTTTGTCATCACTGGATGTCAGATTAACATTTCACGAAGAAGACTGAAATGCGAACAAGGAATAGAAGAAAAGTGGATCACGAGAAAATCCTGGCCTGATAATAATGCTGTGAAATTTAGTGCACGGATCATGTGATTACTCTCACAGTCTCACTAAATGCTGGTTTTAGCTATATTTCATTTACGAATAATGGCAGGTTTACTTTCACAAACTCAAAGTATCGAAACACACTAATCCATTTGGGAGCGGTAATAAGCCTTGCAATAACACACAAAACCTTATGATTAGTTTCACAATTCTGAAAAATGAACACAAATATTCAGACAGCCGGAATATTTTCTCCATTGTGAGGGAGTTAGAGAGGGAGAGAAGCACGCCGACACATAACACGGGAAAGAAAAAGGTTTCTTGGATAATAATAATAATAAATGGTACTATTCGATACTGTCGTGTGAAAATGTGTGAAATTGTTAACGTTACAAAAAAGATTTTGTTTCGTTTGACTGTCTTTTTGTCTTGTCCCCTCCATAATTAACAATGTTCTTCACTAACCCCAAGTCCAGTCATTATTACTATTTATAGATACAGTACAACCTGATTGCAATTGTTCTTTCTCATTTCATTATTGATAATTATATATCTCCTTTTGGAGTTTAGTTTCCCCCCCACTCAGCCCACTGTTCACATATACCGCTCTCCGTGACACTTTTCTTGACCAAAATTCTTCCCCTTTTTTTTTTTTGTGGGTTGTGTTTTGTTACTGTTTTTCTGAGAGAAGGAAATGGAAGGTGGCGGTGGTGGTAGCTCTGGCAAGAGAGAAGAAGAGGCTGGACCTTCATCAGCAAGTGGGGTTGCTGGCAGAGAAAGAAAGAAGCTTAGCGACCTCATGAATTGTGAAGATGAAGATGATGATGTACGCTTTGCTGTTGGTTCTGACAGTGATGATGATGATGATGCTGCCCAGCAGCTCCATAGTGATCATGATGACGAGACTAGTTCTAGTTTTGTTCCAGGCCCTCTCCTTTCTCTCAAGGACCAGATTGAAAAAGACCAGGTTTTTCTTCCTTAACTTTTTTTGCCTTTTTTGCGTGTTTTCGTTTGCTGCTACTAGTCTGAAATATGGGTATAATTTGTCCGAATTTTGTGTTGCTTTATTGGTCGATTTCCATTTTAGGCAGAAATGGGTGTTTTCCATATGCTAATGAAGACATTCTTTAATGGATTCCCTTGGTCATCATTGTTTTCCAGTTTTTCTCTTGAGGCGGATGGCCTTAAACCCTGATGTGGATTTAGGGTTTATGCGTTTTCTTCATTTGGGGTACTTATAGAAGATGTTTTACTTCATTTGGGGTACTTGTGTTTCATTGTAGTGACTTGCGAAGGAACTTAGTAGGGAGAGGGATTGAAAATTAAGAACGAGAAATATGTGAAATAATAATTACATTCATCATTTTGTATATTTCTGATGTAATTCCTGCGGTCAAAATCTCTTGTTTATCATTGTAACTGACTTTCCTTTGATGCAATTGTGCTTTTGGATTCAGGAGGATGAGAGCCTAAGGAGGTGGAAAGAAAAACTGCTCGGATGTGTGGAAAGTGATTTAAATGGTTGGTTAATGAGGACTTTCAACTCCCTACATAGCATAAAGTTTTCAAACCATTTCATGATTTTGTTGATGATTTTGTGATGTCAGGACAAATGGAGCCTGAAGTGAAATTTCATTCAATTGGAATTATATCATCGGACTTCAGGGAGATTAATACTCCATTGCCTGTTGCTGAAGACCCGAACAAACCTGTCCTTTTTACTCTTAAGGAAGGTTCTGAGTTTCGCCTGAAACTAAAGTTCTCTGTTCTTCACAACATTGTATCTGGTTTGGCCTACACAAACACTGTTTGGAAGGGTGGAGTCCAAGGTTGGCAACTCGACCGTATTTACCATTTCTAGTATCTTTCTTAGGAATCTCACTATGAATTAATATCCAGGCTTCGCCCAATTTGTGCAGAACTTTTAACTAAATCATGAATACTTTTATATCCTTGTCTGAAATGACATTAACTGGTGAGGAACCAACATGGCAACAACTTTGGTTTTCAGTTCATTCTAAGTTGCAAGTATGGCATAAATCCAAAAGTGCATTAATTTGAAGACATAGTCGCTAATGCATATTGCTTAAATGCTCAGTTCATCATAAACATGGCCATGTTGACTCTTTAGCTGATTATTCTAATGACCTCGTTGAAAAATACCTTTGTTTCATCCTCTGTGAAGTCCAGTTTCTATGATGAGATAAAAGGTTTCCTCGACAATGCCTTCTGAATTTATATGATGGTTCCCTGTCCATTCTTGTTCTAGTGTTGTGTTTAGATTCATCTGGATAAGCAGAAACTATTCTAATTAAAAGAAACTGTACTAAAGAACTGTTCCCATTTAGTACTTCTAATTTGTTCATAATTCAGAAGTCATTGGAAAAGTGACCATTCTTGTTCTAGTGTTGTGTTTAGAGTCATCTGGATAAGCAAAAACTATTCTATTTAAAAGAAACTGTCCTAAAGAACTGTTCCCATTTAGTACTTCTAATTTGTTCATAATTCAGAAGTTATTGGAAAAGTGAAAACCTATGTTGTTAATAGTGCTGTATGCTGCTGGAGTTGTATTATGCCCAGAGGCATTTGTTGATCAAACTTGACCTGCATTCGCCAGTCTATTTTTATTAATATCTAAAGCATCGGAGTCGTGATACATTTTCGTGTTACATTTCAGTGGATCGTAGCAAAGGAATGCTAGGTACATTTGCTCCTCAACGAGAACCATACACACACTTGTTGGAGGAGGAAACCACTCCATCTGGTGCACTTGCAAGAGGAAAATATTCTGCAAAGCTCAGGGTGGGTACAGTAAGATTTGATGAATTCTAAACCGATACTGCTATTTCTACTTGGTCGGAACGAGCTATTTTCGTCATAGATACTGTTGAAAGATGACTTGTATGCTGTTAGATAACGTTTGATTCTTGAGTATTTTCCGCACGTGTGGGCCTCCCTAGCAATTGGTTATACATTTATGTTCTTTCATCTTCCAGTTTTAACATAACTGATGGATTGTTGTTTTGACCTTGCTGCATTTCTCTTTCTTTGGTTCAGTTTGAAGATGATGATAAAAGATGTCATATGGAGCTCAGCTACTCCTTTGAGATAAAGAAAAGTGTGTAGCAACTCCTCTCTGAATCTGTGTGACTTCTAGATATTCTTTCGTTCGTGCTCGTTTTGATCTCGTTAGCTCTTGTTTGAAAGAAACATTGCCTTGTAACCTCCACCAAAGTGAGTGTTGTTTAGTTGGGCTCTATCATTATTGTAATTCTGGGAAGTGGATTGTTCGTTTTCTTAAATGCAAAAATAGAAACTTCAGTTTGTTCGTTTTCTCAACAGTTGAATCCCATCCAATAATTCATATCATAATATCACACCGAATACAAGTCTGAGTAAAGCAGGCAATGTGTGTGCTGTAATTGGCAAGTTAATGCATGGCTCATTTGTGAAAATACAAAGAGAACATTATATCAAGTCATCCCATTTTAGCAACAAGATATTTATTGGTCTGTAATCTGTGGTCGGTTTTTAGCAAGGAAATCTCAGTGTCGAACCTAAATAGGGCACCACAGAAACACAAACGAAGTAAGGAAAAGACTTAAAAAGTGCAATCTAGGAAAGCTTGCAAACCGAGTCTGAAATCACAAAAGGAGGTGTGAAATAAAGAATTTTAATTTTAAGAACAAGTTATACATCATTCTGGCAAACTACATTAGCTTCCCTTAATGTCAAAAAGCTCTTCTACATCTCCCCTATCTGCTTTCAACCCGACATTTACATAATTTTGTATAATACCTTACTACGCAACCTCAACCGAGCCTTCATGAGGATGGATAGATATATAAGCTTCTCCTCAAAGTTCCCTTCTGAAGCCTGGAACCATGATACACATGCAAACTAACATTATGTCTAATCCAGTAGATCATACAGTGCCTCTTCCTTCTTAAAGAATTGAATGGGAAGAAAATACAAAACTAGCATATTCAAGAGAAGACAGCTCTTTGTGATGTCTCATGTGTGAGTCTGCTTGGCGTGCCTCTCCGTCTATGAATGAATAATCAGAGATGATATACAGGTGGAAGGTTGTCATTCGATCAACTCTGGTATGTGCCAGGACTTCATGTCAGCAGAACAGGACCAGTGTGTTCAAACGCTGCAGAAAATGCCAAAAAAATATGAGTCATCAAACTTCAGTGTCGAATCCAATGCCCCAGTCAAACCAGTTAGACAAGTTGGTGGAGGTCTGGAGGAACACAAGTTCTGTCTTTATGTAAATGCATCTGTTTGTCTGTGCCAATGAATGTCCAAGTTTAACTTATTTTCCTGACAAACATGTTCCTTCCATCCTGGTAACTCCAATTCAGCATCCATAACATTAAAGTGAATAACCTACTTACAGTATTATACATAATGCGATAGCAGATCAGTAGTTGCATTTTTCAACCTGCAGCTCTGTCCAAGATGAACATCTCCAAATACATACCTGAATCATGTAACGACAGCTAAGCAGAATTTCATATTTTGATAATATCAGGACCTGATGCTTTTAGCACAATATAACCTGTATTCACAGTGCTCAGACCATGCACACCGAGCTTTTCCATAATCCCAGTAGCAGTCTTCATCCCTCAGAGGTCCTCGTTTATCTGGGCCATGGAGGATTAGGAAGAGAGTAACCAAAAAAAAAAAAAAAAGAAGCAAAAAGGGAACAAGGAATTCAGAAGAAATTCACCTTTTGTTACAAAATTATATTTCTTATCTGGGTGAATATCATGCCACATCTCCAGCCAAAGCTCTCGCATCAAAACTGAAGATCTCACAATGTTCCTATGATTTGCTGCAATAATGATGAGCATATTACAACCTAATGGACTGAAAGACTATGCTAAAGTAGGAGAAATGACCACGCCAATAGAGGTAAATAGCACTCTCATCATTCACGAATTAAGGAAAGCATTATGTGCCAAACAAGCAAAGGTGTAAAATGTTCAAAAATGAATCTGGAGCTTCTCTACGAAGCAAACCGTTGCCGAAGGTAAAAATGAATCTAGGACGATACTTAAATTTAATCAATTTCCATGGCCTAAGAGAACAAGCAATAATAAGGTGAAAGTAAGATAGTTCATATACTTTTATCAAGCTCCCAAACAGCTGTTCTCTTCCCAGGAAGACTTTCGGCATCTTCATAATAAGTGATGTACTTCACTCGAGGTGACCTTGTCATGTTGGGAATAATATCGGTTTCGTGAATGTGTTCAACATTGAGTTCAACTTGTACATCTGATCCATCATGCTCTGACTACAACAGAAGGATAAAAGAACTGTGAGAAACAAGGCCAAAGGTAAACAACAACAGTATCAGTCATCATAAATCCAATAGAATCCCACAGAAGTAACCAACTTTGTCAAAACAGATAACAGGAGTTGTATCTACATCCACAGTTTAGAAGGAAATTTATCAAGGGCTTTCAAGTGTAAAAGATGTGACTGATGGAGAGGCACACTACGTATTTAAATTCCATTCCTGTGGGGGGAAAATAATATCCATTACAGGGGGCTCTTCCAACTTTTTTTTGTTAGGACCAAGGGTGAGAAGACCAAGACAACATCTTTCTCCTATGACATCCACTTTCATTTTATTTTTCCATTTTTCTTTTTTCATACCGTGGATAGCTGATTAAAATTTTTTCATGCATTATATAATGTTTCGTCATCCATTGCAAATGGAGCTGGAAGAGTCATCATTGACAATTCTTTCAGCTTTGTGCTAATAATGGATTATATCAAAATGGCTCATCTAAATTCCGGCACATCTTAATTTGGTGAAGTTTCCGGAAATCAATACATCAATGCACCAATCCATCTTGGGTCATACTACTTAAACAGCCTCTCTGTATTGATATACACGAGTAAGGCTGCGTACATCTTGACCCCCCAGACCCCAACAGAGTTGGGAATATACTGGGTTGTTGTTGTCGTTGTTGTTGTTGTATTATATAATGTTTCAGGAACTCAATTCATTTCTTAATTATTTGGAACTCTTTAATTGACAAGAAATTTTGGGACCTTCACCTCAATGGTTAGATTATACGTAATGCAGAAAACTAACAACAAGCCAGCTAGATTGATTTAACCAGACCTTTTCGATGCTCTAATGACGACGCTCATTGGGAAAACAGGATATTTCCTTGTAAGGAAGGGAGTTCATATAGACAACATAACAGTTCAAATGCAAATCTCAGGACACTAAAAGAATATATGTCATCATATCATAATCCAACCCCGGATGTTTGACAAAGCAAACAAAGCAGGGTCTCTAATTACGAATATAGATTAAGACGGGCTTTTGACTATAAAGTTGAGCATTTATAAGATACCTGAGGAGCCCTTGTTATATTCACTTTCGGGCCCAACCAATTCTTGCACCAAGAAAGGGAATTATATGGCACCTGCAGAGAAATCTCTCCCCATTAATATGAAGTTTCAGAGATTGACACAACTTAATAGTGTCTATACAACATAAAATTGATTCACGTATCTTATCTCGATCATACCGTCTCATCTCCACTGGATGCACCAGGATTTCCTTCAACAATATTCCCTGACCTGTCCAAAGCAAATTTATAGAAATAAGAATGACAGGCCAAAAAGCACTGCAAGATATTTTACAGCACAATGCATCACCTATAAAGTTGCAGAAAGCAAAGAACTGAGAATTCATTTCATTTTGTTCCAAAATACACAGTATATTATTCTAAAATATCTGTCATTAAATAGCAAAGTTCCAAGTGAAATGTAGGTTTACTTCTTAGAATTTGCACAGGGGCAAACATTTTTGTCATTCTGACAATCTGTTTCCTTTTTCTCACGTATAAGCTCAACAACTGTGTGATATGCCTAAAACTATGTATAATACGTAGAAATCATTATTATTCATAATGGCTCCGAGAAGAAAGTTACTAGTATCGTCAAGCAAAAAATTGTTCTATTTTTCTCTGTTATGAGACATTACCATAGAAATGATCTATAATACCTGGTATATAAAGATCCTTCAAGCTCGTATATGACATCAGTTATAATCCAATTATCAGGATAAGGTTTGCCACTTGGTGCAAAATAGTAACCAACCTGGTTTTTCACATACAAGAATGCATTATGTTGCATTTTCCAAGCAACTCTTCATAAAAAGCAGTAATATCAAGTTATCAACGATCACAACTTCATTAATGCAGGCAGTTACAGTAAGATTTTCAAAATGTGTTCAGAGATTAGTGCCATGAGTTGATAAAATGCAATTAAGCTATCGCAAAAGATAAAACCAGGTCTACTTAGTTAATAATTTAGTGAAACTGGATAAAGAATAAACTAAAAACAATATTTACCTCTGTTTTCATATCTATTCCATAGATACAAAATATATTCTTCAAAGGTGGTCTTTCCCAAGGTGTCAGGGGATTTAGAACTGGATCATCATGATATGACCTGAAATATGTTGACATCAGAAAACAAGAAAGACTAGAAATAAATACTCCTGATGCATTGAAGCCTTTTCTGGAAGACAAGGAAACACATGTTGGTCCTTGCAGATACTAGGTAACTAAAAAATTTGTAGATCTTCTCACCATTTTTTTTACTCACTTTTGTAATTGGTATAACAGCCTTAGGCTGTCAGGGTCGTACTCTTCTATTGCTTTAAAAAAGGTGCCTTCTGCGATTTCACGAGCCGAAAAGGACAACTGGGTAGGGAATCCACATTCCATACCAGATGAGTTGGTCTCTGCCATTTCCACAAAAGATGGATAGGCATCATTTCCTACAAACACAAACAAAAGACCTATTACTTTGCTTCTATTCTACACAGACAAGGCATAGCCACTGAATTCATGAAGTACCTCGAACCACAGGAATCTCAATGTTTACAATATTTGTGGGCCAGCCAGAGAAGTTTGAGTGAAATTCATCTTCATCACAATGGTAAGAAAGATGGCCTTTTCGGCGCCCAGTGGAGAAATGCTTCCAGTACGTGCTATCTGTTCTACAATATTTTGAAAATGGCATCATCCACAGTGAAGAGCCAAATGAATTGAACATCAATCGAGCTGTTCCCTGATAACTTGCCAAACCATATTATAAGTATGTGTTACAGGCAAACATCAGTTATCAGAAGGAATTGAAGCCATAAATAACATAGGAATGACTACTTTTTTTTTCTTTTGTAGAAGTTGTATGAAAAAATAAATGAAGAGTTGTTGAAATTTTTTAACATGCAGCAAGAAAAGAGTAGTAGCTTCCAACTAAAAATGATCAGACTCATTAAGTAGGAATACCATAACATTAATCCAGAAACCTAAACATGTCTGTATAGGTAGCCTACTTTTACCACTCTACAAAAAATTAATGGAGAATTTCTTTATTCCGAGAAAAGGGAATAGAGAAGGGAGAAATCGCTAAGACCTTTCAACCATAAAAACTAAGAGGGGACAAGTTTGCTGCAGTAAATATAACTATTTTTCTAATCAAACCCTCAAAAAGCTTCTTTTGTATTTAGGAGGATTAAGAAATGAAAATGCTTAAAGAGTCAAGAAAACAGCTGGAGAAATGATTATTTCATATTTGTATAAAAACATTAGTTCAATTTATCATTTCTGTTGGTTTCATCTGTTCTCTCTGACTGAGGGGAGGGATCGGATTTAACTGAAGCGAATGGTAAATTATAGCAATATCCTGTGAAATCAGAAGGTTGATACCTCAGAGACAGGAAGACCAAAGGTAAATCCCGACAAAGAAGCTTTAATTGTCTCAGTTGCACCTAGAAGGGGAGCTCCTATAAACCAAAAGAAGCAGTTTCAGATACATGAAATGTCAAAATGACTCTACATCTGCAAAGGTGCTCCTGACTTTAGAGCAGTGAAAACATACCAACAGCAAAATAGGCGTGAATGTGATCATCTAACCATTGAACATACTTCTTGGGAGCAATCTCCAGTTTGAGCCATTCCAAGAAGTATCTGAACACATTGTTCCCAAGTGAATGAGCAAAAACCAAAGAAGGTCCCCCTCGAAGTTTCAAAGCAGTTTCAAAAGTTAGCCTGCAACATTGCAAATTCGTTGGTATTCCAGAAGAAAATAATTATCAAGAAAATAAAAGCAATAAAAGATAAGGAGGATACAAACTTTAGCTTGTGGAAGTAAAGATCCCTCTCTTCCAGCTTTGATGGGGGTAACCTCCAGTCATATGGAACTGCAATAATGGCATTAGCCTCAATACCAAACTCAATGCACCATTTTAGCCATTCTTTCCACACTGACGAGAGAGGACCTGATCAATCACAATCCAAAATCCAAACGACAGGTAAAGAACAACTAAAAAGAGATTTTTGGTCATATGAACTTGGAAAAAGTGCATGGTTAAGAAAAGAGAATAGAATCCACTCGATTACTAACCCGTAATGTAACCAGGATCAAGCTCTGTAATGGCAGAAAGACCACTATCTGGTCGGGACTTGCATTCAGCATGATCAGTTTGGTTATAAGGATCGAGTAACATGCACTTAAGCCAACAATTAACAGCCGAAAGAACCTGCACCATATCCAGCCCTCCTCAATCAGACATTCATGCAGTCAATAATCTCTCATCAATCAGGCAACCAAGAAACGCATAATTCCAGTATTGAATGTATGAGTCTTCTTCTTTATTATAACATCATTTCTTATCTTGAAACAACAAAATTCTAATTTAGCTTTCTAAAAGTGAAGAGAAAAAAAAAACAGAAAAGCTGTTCATAACTCGTAACATAAAACACACACACACACACACACACACAATATAGACATAATCGTCAACATGAGACGAGCAGTTTCTGCGTAATATACAAAGTAATAAGCAGTGAAGGAAATAGAAGCATAAAAATACTCGGAAGATGTAGTAGTAACGGAGTGGGACGTACTTTGGTAGTGTCGAGCCAGACCAAATCGAGAGGGTTGAAATCGAGGGGAGAGTAAGGGCAGTCCAGAATTGACCAGGCTCTGAGCTGAGTGGAAGCGAAGCCAGGGATGATAATACCAGAGAGCTTGGAATAGTCACCGGCGAATTCGCCGACGTGTCCATAGGCGTTGGTGGTCAGAAACAAGAGAAAAATGGCCGGAAAAATCGAGAGGCCGACTCCGAGATGTCCTCCTCTCATTAGCCTACGTCGAAATCCGTTCGCATTTGAGTGCGTCGGAGAACACCTGAGCTGAGCAGAGACTCTTTGGTGAGAGCAGTTTTTGGGTGTTTTTGTCGGGATGTGTGAAATGGCGGACTCTTTCTTTTTGGTGTTTTCGTCTCGTATTTCACTATTCAGTTAGATGGAAGTTGGGAATGTGTTTTTGAGTCAAAATTCAAAAAGGGCCAAAATCCCCCACGAACCAATGGAGGCCTTTTGTTTTTTCTGGGAACCTTAATTTTATTTCCCTAAACTACCCTTCTCTCGTTAATCCTGTAGTTTTGTTTCCCTTGCCTTTTCGAATCAGTCAACGTGGCGGCACGTGGTTGGTCTTCGTGACGCTGTGTGCTTGACTTTGACCTTTTTTTGTTTTGTGTTTCCTCCTGCCGCCTCTTTGACGTGATATCCACCCCCACGAATTATACAATACTCCAGAAAATAGTGAACCGACGATAATTGGTTCACTAATAAATTATGTTGAGAACGACGAGCCATGACCAAAAGTAGCATTCCATAAATTTAGCTACAAATGAGGGAAAATCTATTTAGTATCTCTTCTCGACTTTTGTAGGCTGGGGTGTAGTATCACTAGAACTCAAAAGATGATTGATAAGTGTTCACAACATTTAGATGATTGATAAGTAGTATTTACAACATTAAACCAAAAAAAAAGTATATGACGAAGCTATCGCGATTGAATTAATTCTTTTTTAACACATAGTGAAGCTTCAAAATCCTAATTACACGTGTCAGGAAATGAGTACTCGATCTATCTAATAAAAGACTACTTTTTTTTTTGTTTTTTTGATAAACAAGACACTATTATATATTATGAAAACCTATCATATGCTATTACATTTGGCTAGATTATAAGCTATATTATGCATCTCATTTACGCTTTCTCGAGGGACTTTTAACTATTTTGTATGTAGTAAAACCTCTAAAAAGACTGATAATTTGAATAACCAGTTCCTGTACTTCCATTGGTGAGGAACTAGGAGACAATTGGTTGGTCAAGTCCGTATGAATCCTGATGTGTTGGAGATTCAGGTTGTATGCTTCTTGAAGTGCCAACATCATAGTTGTCGCTTCTGCTTGTAATGACTACTTTGTAATGACTAGGTAGATTTTGCCAAAATTTGCAATCCATAGACTTGTCCTAGAGAATCTGTAAGGTAACATGTGAAGGCAGTATCAATCCCCGGAGTTGTTCCTCAGCACACCTTCTCCTATGCTGTGGCATCGCATCATCTTCTCGATAGAGTACATATCCATGTCCGTACCAAGGTTCTTTGACACGAAGCATGTTTTCATAAGGATCAACAATCAACTTCTCAAGGGAAACTGCATTTTTCAGGAAATACTTGGCAAGCTCCAAATCAATTGTACGGCCGGCATACCCCTGTATCTCCACCACTTTAAGATGTTGGACGTTGTAATCTACAGCACTCTCCCATTGCCATCCGCTCACAATCATGTAGGGGTTGGGATCTTTCAGATTTATGACAAACTTCTCCAGGTTTGGTGCTGCCTTAAAGAAGAAACCAAGTTCAGGCAAGCGGAACTTGAGGCGATAAGGCATTAGGGACAAGTGCTTCAATGCAGGCAGCTGAGGAAGGCTTTCTCCAAACTCATCTGTTTTACCCCTCCTACAGGGAAACCAATATAAGGTGAAAACCTCCAGGTTCGTGAGGCAGCATGAAACCCGCTGAAACACATCCTTAACCGTAGTACTGTCAGGAATACCAAAAAAATGAAGATCAACGAGCTGTGTCACATTCTCAAGCACTATGGCGTCTGGTCTATCAATCTAGAGCATGACCAGATTAGCATATTGGATATGATCAGGGATTCTAGGGGACAGTAAAAGATTTCTAAGTGTCGCAATGCAATCGACGGACCGTGAATTTCCAAAGTAGTCAATTCTTTAGACTGGTGCACAACCAAAGTTTCAAGAAATCTGCAACGGTAGGTGAAGTGTTGGAGATGGATCCCAGAGATTTTGACACTCTTCAAAATCATTACTTTAAGAGGATTCCAGCTTCTGTGATCAACAAAAGAATAAGGAAATTCATAACACCCTAAGAATCCTCCAAAACCATGCGGAGTCAGGTTCAGTTCCAGCTTCTGCCAAAAGAAAGGGCAGATATTTATATATTCAACTTTGCCAAAAGAAAAAACAAACAACAGGATCAGAAAGGGCATCATGGACAGTCCTTTCAAATTCCAAAAGAGAGGGAAGAAAAGTTGGGAGAATTTATGATAAGTTGCCAGGTAAGCAGTCATCTCAAACTCAGTAAGGAGAGCAACAAGAAACAAATCTAACTTCAATGTTTTTAACTATAAAACATAAGATAAGAGACTTTATGATAACAACAATTTGAATGGAAGAAAATTTTTTGTGGAAGAGACAAAAGAGGACTTGAAGCATGTCACGCAAGTCAGGCATTAGTAAAATAATTAGTACTTGAGCTCAGCTAACGAAGGAGTTTCGTACTGAACTCTTCAATATTGATGGCTCTTCAAAGCATACACTTAGACAGGCGGATTATTTGAGCAACCAGGAAGGATGAATCAGAAGGTTAGAAGCTGAATTACGGGGGGCCATAAATTGCCCGGAACAGTATGCTTACGACATTAAAGATAGAATTATTGAAACTTAATGATTGATTCTCAGAGCAACAAAAACAAGTAATCCAACAAATTCAATAGAGGGTCCAAACTTGGTAAGGAGAACAATGGAAAACCAAATACTATAAATCAACTGAATTTCACAGCATTCAAACTTGCATCTTCATTCAGCGAAATTTTGGCAATAGCATTTCCCACTCAGAAAAAAAAAAAAAAAAGCCAGGGCATCCAACAAAGCCAAAACAGACATACTAATCTGAAACTACAAGCACCCATTACGACTAAAGCAACAAACCAAAACAATCGTACCTCCCGCGATCTGAAATCGCCCATTTCATTAAAATTCGATTCCCGGCGATGGCCGGCAACCGATTTGTTTACCGTTACCGTTAGTACGGTCGAGCAGCAGTGGGCGTAGCTCAAACTGTGATTGGGATTCGATTAGAACAAATGCGATTAAAAAAGGTTTGTGAACTAGGTTTTGGGTCGGGTACGGTGCTTAGTGGTATAAACCCGGATTTCCCTTTTGAGATAGATTACTCAAATCAGAATAATTTCTTTTCTTTCTGCGAACATGTTTTGTTTTCACTTTTTGAAAGATACATAAAATTGTTAAAACTTGCAACAAATTCCTAGGCTCTTAACTGTGATGCGATAAAGAGTTTTGTGAACTTTGGATTTAGAAAAGGGATATTTAATTTTAGTCTCATTATTGTTTCTTCGGACGGTAAATGATACTCTCTCCGGTCTTAGACATTTTGATTTGTCATAACTTTAACCTGATTCATATTTTTAAGTAACGAAGAAATCTTAAAAATATATTTAAGATTTTTTCGTCGATTAAAAATGTGTACTAGATTAAACTAATGAGAAAATCAAAATGCCTTATATTAAGGACCGGAGAGAGTACTTTGTTTCAAAGTTTTTAGTGCATTCTACACAATGTTTTTACTTTTAAGGAACTCGTTGTTTCTTAATTCTGAGGAACTCTTTAATTAGTAAGAAATTTTTAGAAAAGGGATATATTGCCTTGTGGTGAGTAAGGGAATTCATATAGACAATGTAATCGTTCAAATGCAAATCTTAGCAGGACACGAAAAGATGCAAGACACTCCATCACAATCCAATCTCGGATATTTTTGACAAAGCAAACAGAGATCAGGGTTGCTTATATGGCACCTGCGCGTAGAAATCTGTCTCCATTGATATGAAGTTTCAGAGATGAACTCAACTTAGTAGTGTCTATCTATGCAAACATAAAGTTCATCACCACTGGATGCACCTGGATTTCCTTCAACAATATCCCCTGACCGGAACAAAGCAATAAGAATTACAGGCCGAAAGCATTTCAAAATATTTTACATCGCAATCCATGGTGATTGGTTGAATTAATAATAATCTCAAATGGTTTTAATAAACGAACTAATTATCCAATTTGATACAACTTTTGATTATAAAAGAATCTTCCTTAGAAAAACATTAAAATCTAGCAATATTATTGCGTCCACGCCTTAATTAGTACAGAGCTAGAGAATCTGTAAGGTAACATGTGAAGGTATTAATCCCGGGAGTTGCTCCTCAGCACACCTTCTCCCATCACTTGTTATCGCATCTTCTAATCCACGTATATCTGGCCCATCCAACCAAGGTTCTCCTACACGAAGCATGTATTGATAACGCGGATCTACAATTAACTTCTCGAGGGAAACTGCATTTTTTAGGAAGTACTTGGCAAGCTCCAATTCAATTGTGCATCCGCGATACCCTTGAATCTCGACCACTTTAAGATGCCGGACGTTATTGTTTGCAACAACATTCTCCCAGTACTGCCTTCTGCTCTCAATCACTTCTGCGGCCGCCGGGTATTCCAACCTTATTACAAATTTCTCCAGGTCTGGTGCTGCCTTAAAGAAGAAAGCAAGATCAGGAAAGCGCTTCTTCTCATTGTTTTTGCGGGCTGGAAGAGAGAGTGATATGGACAAATGCTTCAACGCAGACAGCTGAGGAAGGCTTCTTTCAAACTCTTCAACCCTTAAAGGAACCAAATCTAAGGAAAGGGACTCCAGTTTCGAAAAGCAGCAGGAGAACCGGTCCTGAATAACTTCCCTGAGATTGTAAGGACAACCAAAAAACTGAAGATCAACAAGTTTCGGAACATTTTTAACCACTACTGCATCTGATTTCTCAATCTTAAGCGACACCAGATTAGTTGCATTGCTTATGATCAGGGATTTCAGGGGACAGTAGAGAATTTCCAAGTGTTGCAATGCAATCGACGGGCCGTGAACTTCCAAACTAGTCAATCCCTCAGAGTCGTGCACAACCAAAGTTTCAAGAAACCTGCAGCGCCATGTAAAGTACTGGAGATGGATACCAGCGATATTGACACTCCTCAAAATCATGACTTTAAGAGAATTCCAGCTTCTGTGGTTAATTTGATAATAAGGGAAATCATAATAGCCGAGGAATCCACCACTGCCATGCCGAGACAGGTTCAATTCCAGCCTTTGCACATTCCGATCAAAGGCATATTCAATCCACTCGTCCAAATACTCCTCAAAAGAATTATCCATATCCATATAAATGCGGAACCTACTCAACTCCAACGCCTGGTGGGACTCGAGCACATTGTTTACCCAGTTAATAAACTTGGACCTTTCCCTTTTGAGTCCCACACTGTAAACCTCGCCCCTTGCCGCCATCGCGCGTAACGCGGGTAATGCATCAAAATCAAGCTCAGTCCAGGCATTCTTCCATCTTTTCGACAAAACGCTGGTTCTGCCAGCTTCTTTGAATGTGAGAAACGATAAAATACGAGTCAAGATATTTACTGGAAGTAGACTAATCCGGTCTTCAGGTATTCCACGCTTAAATCTACGCTTCGGAACTCTGAAATCACCCATATAAAATCTGTTTGGAATTCCGCTGTTTCTGTTAGCACTCACTCTCCTATGCCTAATATTAGGACGAAAGATGATTTATATTATTGAAATCGGACCTCAATTGCGATGTGATGTCTCTATTTATAAGCAACAAAGTATTAAATAATCCTAATCCAAGTCTTTTTATAACTCCTCAACCGACTTAGTATAAGTTCCATCATTCCTTTTAATATTTGGTTTTGTTTTTCTTTTTTTTTTTTTTAAGAGTGATAGGTACAAGGAAAAAATAACAAGGAAAAATGACAAGGAATAATATGTCAAAATCTTAACTATACCCTAATTTTAAATATATAAAGCCTATTTGGAAAGTTTTAATAATGATAGGTGAGATCATTTCCTTATAATGTTTTCTTGTCATTTTTTCCTTGTACAAATCATTACTCTTTTTTTTCCTCCTATAATTTGTATTCCCTCTAGTTCTTAATATAATTAATTTTACAGTTGCTCTAGGTGAAACCTAGTACGTATTTTAAATTAACAAAAAAAAAATTTAAAAATATATTTCCACATTCGTTGTGTTCTCTTGATTGTTAGAAAATATTTTTAAAATTTTTTAATCATTTAAAAATAGATACTAGGAAGGACAGAGGCAGTACATCGCGATATTATTAAGATTATAATTATAATAGAGAGGGAGGATAAACAGATATAAAGAGGAGTGGAGTGAGTCTGGACGGCAGTAAAGAGATGGAAAGGGGAAAAAAAAATTAAAAAATCAAACAAGTGAACCCAAAAAATTTTTTTAAAAAAAAAAAGAGGAAAAAATTAATCTGGTTGTTGCCGACTTGCCATATTCATCCTGATGATAATCAGCTGTGAGGAAAAAAAAAACGAAGAAATCAAAGCTTTATACACGGTCCATGAAGACGACAACAATGAGCAAGGATATGGTAGGGAGCTAGGACAGAACAGAACTGTTCATATGACTAGAAACTAATCACTGTTTTTGAACTCTTTATAACAACAGCAAAAAAGCTGTTTGAATCGTTTGGTGGTCTTGGAGAAAAACCCATCGTGGCAACCAATTCTTCTTCTACTTCCTCGAGTTGGAGAAGATTCAGGCCCCAGAGATCAAAGCAGCAGCCTTCAAAGAAGAACTCCTGAAAACGCCATTGATGAATCTTATTCCTCTGTTTCCAGTCATTTCGAGGATGATCAGATCCAGAGTTGGAATCCATGACTGCGCTAAGGTACTTTAGGGGGGTTTATTATTTATGCACACAATTACTATAGAAAATATCTCGATTGGATAGTGGATCTGTGACTTGAATTTTGGTTTGATGATGATTCAGGGGATTCAGAATCTTCTGTTTCATAAATGCTCCAATTAAAAGATGAATCCGCTGAAAATTTCAAGATGAGCATATGTTCTAATTATTCAGCCTTTCCATTTTTCTTAAATGTTTATATATCCTTGGCATAAAGACCAAAGTAAAGTACATACTGCCTCAAGGCTCAACTAATACAAAAATCACCGGGGGGGGGCAGGGGATGAATAAAGTCCACATAATCCAATTTGATACACGCTTAACCCCTCAAGGAGGAGGATTAGGAGGTTAAAAAACAATAACATTACAACCACACAGCTCCCCAAATACTAATAATATTGGTACATTCTATTACCATAAGGGCTTGGGCTTGGTTCCTAGCTAGAGAATCTGTAAGGTTACATGTGAAGGTATCAATCCCGAGAGTTGATCCTTAGCACACCGTCTCCCATCATCTGCTATCGCTTCTTGTCGACCACGTACATTTATCCCTTCATACCAAGGTTCCCCTTCACGAATCGTGTATTGATAACGCGGATCAACAATAAATTTCTCGAGAGAAACTGCTTTTTTGAGCAAGTACTTGGCAAGGCCGAGTTCAATACGGCCGCGATACCCATGTATCTCAACCACTTTAAGATGTTGGACGACGCCGCGATTTACAACAACACTATTCTCTGACTGCTGTTCAATGGTGCTCCCAGTCATTTTTTTGAAGGGGTAATCCAACTTTATTACAAACTTTACGAGGTTTGGAGCTGCCTCAAAGAAGAAACTAAGTTCAGGCATGCTCTCCTCGTACCATAGACCAAGTATTACAGACAATTGCTTCAGTGAAGGCAGCTGAGGAAGGCTTTCTTCAAACTCTTGAGCTCTACGAGGAGCCAAAAATAAGGAAAGAACCTTCAGTTTTGAAAAGCAGCATGAAAACCGCTTCTGAAAAACATCCTTAACACCATAAGGACAACCAAAAAATCCAAGATGGACGAGCCTCGAAACATTCTTTAGCACTGCTTTATCCGGGTCATCAATCTTAAGCGACGCGAGATTAGCAGCATTGCACACAATCAGGGATTTAAGGCTACAGTGGAGAATTTCCAAGTGTTGCAGTGCAAGAGATGGTGGACCGCGAACTTCCAAACTAGTCAGATCGTCAGAGCCGTGCACAACCAAAGTTTCAAGAGATGTACAGTTGTGCAAGAGGTATTCAAGATTGGCCCCGGAGACTTTGACGCTCTTCAAAACCAGTACTTTAAGATGATAACAGCCAAAAAACTTAGAAGAAGGAAAAGCATAATCGTCAGAGAATCCATCAGAGCCATGACGGGTCAGGTTCAATTCCAGGCTTTGGACTCTGCTATCAAAGGCATACTGAACCCACTTATCCAAATCATCCTGAAAGGAATAGTTCAGATCAATACAAATACGGAAGGAATTCAACTCCGAGGGCTTGTGATGGGAATCTAGCACCTTGTTTACCCATTTAACAAACTTGGACCTTTCAATTTCGAGTCCCTTCCTGTAATTGTTGTCGCCCATCTCGCGTAATGCGGCCAATCCATTAAAATCCAGCTCAGGAACATAAGTCCAGGCATTCTTCCAGGCTTTTGACACCACGCTTGTTCTGCCAGCTTCTTTGAGTGTGAGAAACGATACGATGCGAGTAAGAATCTCCTCTGGAAGTAGACTAATCCTGTCTTCAGGCGTTTTTTGCAGCTTATTAGATGCACACTTCCCCAATCTGAAATCCCCCATTACACGTTTCAATCTGGTCACCAAGGATGCCCGGTAACCGATCAACTTGGTTCACTATGAACGAAATCCGAGCAGAAGGATTCTAATTACTTTAAGAATAATAATTGATTTATTGATGAAATCATGTTTGAAATCGTACTCTACTTATAGGCCAAATATTAAGTTTCATAATCCTACTCCAAATCGGTTTATAACTGCTCAACTGACTTATTAATAATACTATGACTTAAATACCCAATCCAATTTACTCCTAATATTGCGACCATGAAGTTATATAGAAAGTAGAAACCAAAAAAAAAAAAGAAAAAAAGAGAAGTAGAAGGATGAGTGTTTTTTGCGGGTAAACCAACATTGATAAAGTTTTAAAATTGATGGGTATAAAGAATCAAATTTTTTGAGCAAAAATTGTATTAATTTGAAAGTGAAATCCGACTTGCCTCAAACTAATTTCAAAAGAATATCTGAAATTCTCGAAGAGTTTAGTGTTACACTCGTTGAACGAACGTCAACACCTTCAGGATAGAATTGATGCAACCAAAATTGGTCTTATAGGTAAAACAATAAAGAAGCTTGATCAAATGAACAAAACGTCCACAAAGGCCTATTTCCTTTTAATTTAATATGATGTCTCGGCTATGAACAGCCCGAAACTACAAGAAAGATTTGCTATTGATACAATTGTAAAAGAAATGTAGAGCTTAAAGGAAATTAATGGCGGAAAGACTGGGACATAAATGAAGCCGAAGATGTTGACGATTCTAATGTTAATGATGATTTTGATTCTGATGGTTAGAGGAAGGAGGAAGGAAGAAGGAGAAGGGCGAGAATGATGAGGATGAAAGTGGAGGACGCAGAAGGAGGGGCAAAACGGAGGAAAAATCTTATTAAAAAGAATTTATTTCTATCAAACTCACCAAAAATAGAGAGTATTGGATAATAGGACTGAATACCAATTTAGTGGACCAGTTGGATTTCATATTCTTGAATCACGCAATCTGTTTGTTTTCTTTTTGTCATGATTTTTTCAAAATAATATAATAATATATGTCCCATACCAGCATATCTTTTTATATTTCTAATACAGTTTTTTTACATTTTCAATATAAAAAACACCGAAAAACACACACTAAAAAAACAAAACAAACATACATTTCCTATCACACCTGACGAGGCTTGGTTTTACACCGTCGGTCTAACAGTGAAACTCCGGCTAGGGTTTCTTGTAAAATAGAGCTTCGGGGGTCTCCCGAGGGTAAACGCTTCGATTCTTAAGTCAGTAAAAGGTTCAAAGAACGTATAAATGTGTAGTATGTTAAGCTAGAGATTGTGTACCCGTATTGTGGTGTGATCAACCCTATTTATAGGCATGAAAGTACCTGGGAGATAACCGAGTTTTACTAGTTTTCGTGTTACTTAAACTGCCTTATTAGAGTCAGTTGGACTTCTACTCGGTTAATGGGCCGGTTCAATGTTGGTAATGGATATGGACTCGTCAAGTGCCCCAGTTAAGTGTTAGTTGTACAGGATAAACAATACTTGACGCAAGATAAACTTACTTGGAATAGGCTCAAGAGTAATGGACAAGTCTCGTCCAGCAATATATCGAGCAGGCCCAAGTTAAATGTGCCAGTCTCGACCCACGTTACATCGAGTAAGCTTGACGCATAACTTACGGGCTAAGATCCGACCCGCGGAGGTGACCCGCTTCATAATACCGCCCAATTTATTTAACCGCGCATCATTAGTGGGCACGTTCTCCAAACGGCGGCTTCACCATCATTACGGTGTCCTTGAAACTCTCTCAACCTGTCAAATCGTAGGCTGTAACTGTAAAAACGTGAGAGGATTAAACTTCGGCTTTAAATAACCAGAAGAGTTCTCAAAAGCTCATTAGATGCACACTTCCCCAATCTAAAATCCCCCATTTAACGTTTTCAATTCCATTGTCCAGAATGGCTGTTGTTTATATTTATAGGCAGAGAATGATGAAATTTTTATTTTTTTTTTAAGGCAAATCCGAACCTGGTTTGGAAAAGGATTGCACGATTTATTCCTGTGTTTTAAGTCTCAGTAAAGGTTTAAAATTGATGGCCACAAAGTAACAAATTTTCATAGATGAAGGATCGGATAGTACTCCAAAGATTTGGACGGCAAAAACAGCATCTGTTTGAGAAAAAAAGCCAGCAGACTGAAGTCTGTCTGGACGGCAGCAAAGAGATGGAAAGTAAAAAACAATCAAACAAGCAAACTAAAAGAAAAGAAAAAAAAAAGGAAATTATAATGGCTGTTGCCAACTTGCCAATACTCATCCTGATCATTCGCTATAGAAACGAAGAAATCAAAGCTTTACCCATATATACATTAGAAACTAATACTTTGAATCTTTAAAGCGGAAAAAAAAAACTGTTTGAATCTTTTGATGATCTTGGAGAAACCCATGATGGAAGCCAATTCTACGTCAACTTCCTCGAGACGGAGACGATTCAGGCCCAGAGATCAAAGCAGCAATCTTCAAGAAGAACTCATGATCATAGCCAATCCGGTAAATAATACTAATGAAGACTCACTACTGGAAGGAGGCATAAGCAATAAAGCAAATGAAGACACCATTGATGACTCTTATTCCTCTGTTTCCAGTCATTTCGAGGATGAACCCGAGTTGGAATCCATGACTGCTAAGGTACTTTTAAGGCTTTATTAATTATTCACAGTTGCTGTAGAAAATATCTTGATTGGATAGTGGATTTGTGACTTGAATTTCTGGTTTGATGATTCAGGGGATTCAGAATCTATGTTCAGAACTGCTCGAGTTGAAAGATGAATCCGCTGAAGATTTCAAGATGAGCATATGTTCTAATTATTCAGTCTTTCTTGGGTAGTTGTGTGTTCAGTGGATTTTGATTTTTAATTAAACTAACTAGTTTATGGAATGGAATTGATGATGTGTACCCTTTTAAGTAATGCAGAATATTTGGACAGATGCGAGGCCTGGAAAGCGAGTTGATGCAGCTGAAATCGCAGGCTTCGACACAGAAGCGGGTGATTCAAGAGCTTGCAAGGACTGTTCCTTTGACGGTTTTGTCTGAGGAGATTATGGAAACGGTATTTGAGGAATCTTGTGATGATCGCCCGGATTCAAGCAATTTGGAAGCTCACACTGATGATGTTTTAGAAATCCTGGATTTACTAATTTCAGAGAATAGATTGGATGAAGCTCTTTCTGTATTGGAGATGGAAGACAGGGCTTTGGAGAGTATGAGATTCAGGGAAAGCTTCTCTGTGGAAGAAATGAAGGCTTACGATTCTGCAATTGCACAGAAAAGGGCTTTGCTTGCAGATCACTTAACACAATTGGCTAAAAATCCCAGAGTTTCAGCGCCGGAATTGCAGCAAGCATTGATTGGACTTTGCAAGCTTGGTAATGCTCATCTTGCATTGCACCTGCTTCTTGATTACTACAGTGCACGCATTGCGAAAAGGATGCAAGATTTCAATTCCTCAATAGCATTTCAGAATGGACTGACCACTCGAGAAGTTGCAAAATACGTGTTCTCCATGATCTCTCAAGCGGCGAGATGTTTTCTAGGGTTACACGGAGAAGGTACTATATACGCTCCGGAGCTAGTTCAATGGAGCGAGGCAAAAACTGAAGTTTTCGCTGCTATACTGACAAAATATGTCGAGTCCACATCAGAGATAAGTGGAGGACTGTCTGCCGTGGTAGACGCGTTTCAGTGTGCATTGTCATACTGTTCCTTGTTAGAGGATCAAAAGCTATTCCTGAGGTCATCTTTGATGAATCACATTAGCCCTTGTATTGAACAGATTCTACACAGACAAGTCGATCATTACAAAAAAGTGATATGTATTTTCACCTCAACGGATACTTGGATTATCGGAAGATATCTTGTATCAGGTGTCTTAAGCAAAGCAACCCCGCGTCTGGATGTGCATGAGAAACCAGAATACTGCTTGCTCACTAACAGCGGAAGAAAATTTTTAACCTTGTTTCAGGTTAGTTTGAATTTTTCCTTGACAGCAATGTGATGGTTAAACTGTATGCATAAAAAAGACAAGAACAAAGGGATGTGTCAGAAATGATGATCAAGAAAATCAAATGATGTGTGATAATATAATTAGTAGGAAATTAATAAATGTGATTTTATATGCAATGTATCTCAAGATTTATACTACTTATTTGCCTAACTTTTCAGGATATTCTAGATGATTGCTCTCCCTTAGTTGCTCTTCAGCTAGAAGTTGTTCTTCTCAAAGAACTGAAGGAACTCTTTGAGGAATATATTACTATTCTTGAAGCAGCTCTAACTTCTGATGAGAGTCCGATAGAGCTAACTGGATCAAGGATTCACCCAGCTGACTCTCTGATACAAGGAGTTTCTGTTATAGCTAATTTATCCACTATAATGGAATTATTCTCCAATGTCATCAGAAGTGTGTTTGGAAACATTGACCACTTAAAGTTTGAGATTGACAGTTACTTACAGTTCAACCAAGAAACACATGCTCGATTCAAAGCACAATTTATCCAGAAATTTATACAAAAACTATTCTCTTGCGAATCAGACAAAATACATCTTACTGAGAGCTGCATCAGTCTGCAGAGTGATTCTGATGGTTGGAATCTAGGTCCTTCCATGCCTTACCAGGTAGAATGAAGCTTAAAGTCTAAATTTTTTTATATGATTTAAAGTCTCTTCCTTTTGAACTCGAAAGCAGTCAAATCAAATTGAATGTTCATTCTCATAGGCATATTTCCAATTTAACTGTAATAAAGGAGTACCATGGGACCGATAGAATCATTGCAATCAGAATGGAATATCATTTTACACCAGGAAATGACCATTCTAACAGACTTTTTCCCCTTTTCTTGGTTCAAATTGCAAACAATCAGGCATTTTATCTGGAGCTGAGAAAATTAAAGAAGTTTGCTGAAGGTAGTTACATTGAAGTTAATTGGTTAGAGGATCTACTCAGGGAGCTGATAGAGGAGATATTTGTCTGGATTTCAAACGAAGGAGGATCTTTTTCGGCCACTGAAGCACTTTTTGAGGAACAAAACTGCAGTCGCTTGATGCAGGTACGGGTTTGTAGAATGTAACTTGTTTCAGTGTTTCTACAATTTGAAAATCATTCAACAAACATCAAATTCCTATTGCTCTGATATTGCCGTCTTGTTTAATTAATAATCACGCAATCAACACCACTCTAGCCTATTTGAACTCAAAAGCACAACTTTAAAGAGATGACCTGTTTTAAGTTGCACAGTTCAGTTCCGTGATTGATGATACATTCATGATTCCACTGTATTGTTTTGCTGCACCATTGCATACTTTCTCCAGCTTTTGTTTATGTTTCACTAATGATTTGTATATTCTAATTGTTTCTCAATGGACTTGAATCTCCGCCACGCAGTTCATCCTAGATATCCAGTTCCTGGAGGAAATTGCCAGAAATGGTGGATCTATATCAGATAATATGATAAACACATCCACAAATATTTTAGCTCAAATAGAATCCAGCCTTCCTTCTGCACAGTTCAGCCTTGACAGGTAAAATGCCGGCTCGTTTTCATTTATTCCCTGATGGAAAGAAAAAAAAAAAAAAAAAAGGGATTCAATTGAATAAAAGTCTTGCAATGAAGTGATTTGGTTTTCTTCTGTTTCCAGATATGCTACGGGTCGAAGGTTGGCCAAGGATGCTGCTATACTGGCTATTCAAAAGCTGGAAGAATTTGATGAAAAAGAATCAACCACTCTTGAAATTGCAGACAATTTCAAATATGACACGAAAGAGAGCGAATCTACAAATGCTTCGGATATGTGTGAAGATGATCAAGACAACGAGACACATTCGAAACATTCTTCTGAGTCACCAAAGAAGGACTTGCCAGTCTCAGATACCCCTGCAGAAGGAGACACCTCTGATGAATGTTGTTTCGTTGATTGCTTTGAGGCCATGAAAGAAAGTTCGAGTACTGAAGTCAGCGGAGATGAAACTAACTTCGAGAAAGCAACTATCAATAGTCTGCATGAGATGCTTCTTGCTGAAAACTTTGTGGAAGAACCTCCAGAGGACCCGATCAGCAATTCTTGCGAAAATACCACTCAGGACGGCCAAAATTTAAGCAGTTTCTAATTTAAGCACAACTTAAGCTCAGAAACTTCAGGAGACATTGACGCACAACAGAAGAAACATGTGGAAAACCCAAGCAGAGCTGATCAAATCATACAACATATACAAGAGGTTGAGGATTCGAAACCCAAGTACTCAAATTTTTGTGTGATTAGTTGATTACACCACTTACTTTTATAGAAGATGGACGGATTAAAAATAAAATAAAATTAGCGGACAGCTTCTTCTATATGAACATTGGTAAGAAATCAGGTGCATATGCACAATGTTGTTATTGACGGGTTGTTTCGAAGTGGAAAATTCTGACGAACCGGTGGGTGCTTTTAGAAGTTTAGCTGGCAAGGGAACTTTACTTTTCTCTTTCAAGTGGTTAAGTTCTGCACTTGTTCCTATGAAACTCTAATGAAGTTACTGCCTCATACCGCTGTCCCGAGTTTATATGGTATTCCGAAGGAGTGCCATGAAGAGAAACTGGAGTTTGGTTCTGATATTGATTGAAAGTAACTTTTTGGTGAAATTTGATCCAAAGAATGTGCTTGCTTAAGTGCATACAAATTATTGTTTTTGTACAAGGCATAATAGCATACAGCTGGTTCTTGTGCATAATAAACATTCGATTCATTTCGATACAAACTACGAAAAACCTTTCACAGAAAAGAATCATTAAACCTCATCCAAAATAATCCCCGAATCTGAAAATTCAATCTTGAACCAAAACTGAATAAGGTCTCACAGAATACGCAAAAGATACAAAAGAGGGTGGACGAAATGATGAAACTCACCGGAAGCCCCCGCCGGCGATTTGGTGGAGAAAGAAGCGGAGCAAAGCTGTGTGATCCCCTAAACCACTAGGTCCACTACGAAACTGAAATTGGGGTTTTATTTGGCGGTTTTTAAGGGGCATATTTGACCACTAGGTCTCTCTCATTTTCTTATCAAATTTCCCAAAATTCCCATGGCTCACACCTCCCTCCTTTACCCCTAAAAAAACCCTTTTCAATCGCCCTGAAAGCCCCAGTGCCCATAACTTGCAGCCGGTTAAGGTAAAAACCGCCGACATTGAACATTATGTAAAATCTGAGACTTCCAGGTTTTGCAGCTCAGCCTGTATATTCGAAACCGGTCCCTGAAAAGCCGCCATTGCCCCGGTTGTCCTCAAAAGAGGGTACCGGTAAAATGAGCATTAACTAAAGTGAGGAAATTTCAAAGATGACACAAATGAGAGTGAATCTACAATTGTTCCGGATATGTTTGAAGATCTAGAGAGCTGAGACTAATTCGAAGAGTTCCTCTGGTCAACAAAGGACTTGAGATCTCCGTGACAGAAGGATTATCCTGCAGAAGGTGATGCCTCTGATGAATGTTGTTTCATTGATTTCTTTGAGGTCATGAAAGGAAGTTCGAGTACTGAAGGTCAGCGGAGATGAAACCAACTTGGAGAAAGCACCTATCAATAGTTTGCATGTGAAAACTTCGTGGAAGAGAGAACCCAATAACCAATTCATGTGAAAATACCACTCATGAGGGCCAAAATATAAGCAGTTTCTAATGTAAAGCACAACTTGAGCCCAAATGATTTTGGAGACGTTGAAGTACAACAGAATAATTGAATAAAAGTGGAAAACCCAAGAGACCCCCTCCCTGCTTATCAATTCAGACAAGATTAGGCGGAAAACACTACGTCTCTTATTTCGAAACTTCGCAGCTAGTTAATGTGCATTTTCGGCGTTTTCTTTATAAATGAAGAACGATACATCTTTAATCCCTCCATTTTCTACCAAAGCAAGTCGGAAATCAACTAAATCACACGAAATACAAGCCACAAGCAAAATTTGAGTACTGGATCTCAGGTCACTGAATCTCCAGTACCTGGACAGCCACCCAAGAGAACTAGAAATGACTTCCAATTTCTTCGTATGGTTACAAATACCTTTCTCAACTCGCATAAATTTAAGCACAGCCGAAGAAAAATGGGAATCATACTGCAGGTTCTACAGAAAACTTCAGAGGAGAAGTCACAACTGAGCATAATAAACCAATGTGCGAAAAGGAAGTACAAGAATCAAACAGAAACTTAAAACCATCTTAAATCTTAAAAAAAAGTAAAAAGATTATTAACTTTAGTCTCACGCGTCAAACTACAGCCAATCACAGCACCACATTAGATACAACCATTTAGTGATAAGCTTTCAAGTTTCATCTACTACATAACATATAATTCCTCAAAGATGTGTTAAAACCATTCACCGCATGTTATCACGGCGTCTCACATAACGAGTTCGGTCATTGTATCTTGGTCTATCACCAGCCCTTTGGGGAACTGGCTCCACTCTCCTTTGCCTCTCAGGTGATCTTTGAACTATCTCCCCATTCACATAAAGTTCAGCTGCCAAATCAGACACATTTCCAAATGTTAAAATCGGGAAATATTGATACCATTCACAAAATACTATTTAATTACATAGAACAACTTGCATCAAAATGAGGTCAAGTCCTTCTGTAAATTATAGCATCTAGCACAGAAATGTCCTTTACTTTGATGTCAAATGGTATTCATCCAAAGACGCACGTTGAAAACAAAAAACTCCAATTATCCCAGACTAAAACAATGACAAGAACTAAGACTTCATCTCACTATATGAAGTTGTATGATATGGATGTATATTGCCCTAGTGCTGCATAAAAAATTATCCAAGCCAAGTACATCCAAGACACGGCATGCAAAAAAAATTTCATCATAGCATATATCTTTGAGCCCAAAGTGACATTCGAACAAATACTTAAGCCCACAACAAGTAACAGGATTATATAAATACAAATACTGCATGACAAGGGGGCAAAAGCAACAGTATAAGAGCTATAGGTTTGGCCTATTAAGGCTTCTAAACAAAAGTTGATACTTATTAATGGACATCAAGAAAAGGCTCACAAACCTCCATAATCCTTGTTCTCTGCATCAACATAAGAGTCTGGTAAAACAAACAACACTCCTGGCAAACCTGTTCATGGCAAAAAACAAAAGTGATAAGCACCACAAACTAAGGCGATAAAAATGAAATCATAAACAAGAAGACAGTATGCTAATGCACCTTCAAGCTTGTTAGACGTCTCCTCATCAATTTCACAACCAAAGCCGAAATATCTACTGCATGAGACATTGTATATCTTCTTCTTGGCCTCTTCCTCACTGTTTTATAAACACCAGTAAATGACCACATGAATTAAAAACCCTAACAAAAAGACTAACTTTTTACATCACTAACAACGAAGCAGTTCAACACAAAATAGGAACCACACCGGAAGATACAAAATTGCACAATTTTATCACATCAACATTCAACAAGAACCCTTTCCTCCATCCGAAAGGAATTCATGCAGCTAAAACGGTTCAGTTGACAGTACATAAAATAGATTTTAACTTTTTAGGCCACCAAAAATGGAACAGTTCAACAACAAATTGGAACCACGCCAAAAGATACAAAGTTGCTGTTTTATCACACTAGTAAGCAACCATTATCCTCCATTCATAAAAATTACGGACATTCCTCCAAAGAAATTCTAAAAAACTCAACTTTTTACTGTACATAGATATAAACTTCAAAAAGGAAAAAAACTGAAAATAATCTATCATTCGCTATTGGTGCAGAGCAACACAGACAATAGTAATTCAAACCTATTTATAGAGAAAAATTAGAACACTAGACAAACAATTGCGGGTTATAATTACCTGCCGAGGACTTTAGCAAGTGTTTGAACATAGCAATCTATCATTTGCTCCTTGGTAGCGCCTTCACCGCCGGGCTTATCCATCACGATAAGCCAGTGCTCGTAATCGCAACCAGGGAAGAGCGGAGCCATTTCAGTGGGTGGCCGGTCACTGAAGTTTGTCCCGGAACTAAGCGGCGAGTACGAGGAACCAGAACGATTGACCCTACACCGTATCGTGTTTACACGATGTCCGGAAGGAGCAACGAACCCGAGGGCGCGTGAAACTGCAGGCAGTGAACCGGAGCGGTAGAAGGCGGGTCGGATGAATCCGGGAAGTGGCGGTGGGTTCGAAATGGTGGAATGGTAGAGGCGTTTGGAGAGGAGGAAAGAGGTTGACTTGTTGGTGGAGCGCATGGCTAATAGTGATCGGTATACGGTGGAGGACATGGCGGCCGTTGCCATTTTCCGGCGAAGGATTGATCGATGAGTTAGGGTTAAGGGGCTGAGGTTATAGTGAAATGAGAGAAGATAGATGAGGTTTTTGGCGAAGCCAGAAGGGTTTTACGGCGAATAGGGAAAAGATAATTGAAAAAAGAAAAAATCTAAATGGGGTGTAATCAGGTGTGATGCATTGTATCTTATTTGAATGGGGTATAGCCTTGATTGAGTTGGTCATATGAATCGACGGCTGTTCCTCACTGGAGAAGGAAAATACCGACATTTTTTGGGTTAATATAAAAAAACACTTTGATAGAATTCAAGTGTGCTGAGAACAATGAAAGATCAAAATCAAAATAGAAGTTCACCAAAAAAAAAAAAAAAAAAAATGGTTCTGTCCAAAATTGTTAATTGGAGAGCCAAAAGATAAAATCATTGCAAAAAAAAAATCATAAGTAACAAAAAAAAATTGTCCAAAAAATCACCAAATTATGATGATTTTTGTATTGTTTGATAGAATAACATTATTATTATGAAATTATGCCAATGTATTTCTTAGGTCCCTCAGGAAAAAAAAAAACTCCACTTTATTATATTTTTTTAGTTCGTAAAGTAAATTATTTTTTTAAAAAACAAAGAGATGGTATATATAGTCAAAATTTCGTTCAGAAAAATATCAAAATAGACATTTACGTATTGAAACCTGAAAAATGCTGAAAGCGTTGATGTATATCATTATTGCGGCCATATGTTTTGTGATTCGTATTATTTTTAGTATAAATCATAAAATTACATCTAGACTATTTTTTTTGAACGAAATGAATATTTTTTCCTTAAAAAATTTTGTAATTTGATATGATAATTGATGAACCTATTTTAATTAATACTTTACTTCTAAACTATATGCTTGTCCTGGGAGAATGTCCGAGGGCGCTTGTGTGTGAACTGTGAAGTCGGTAACTAAAATAATCGTACAAAAAAATTATATTTTATTATAATATGTACTATTTTTATTACAAAATAGTGAAAAGAAGTAAAAAAACCTAATGAATAAAAAGTTACACATTTGTACGGAGGAAGAGATGAAAATCTAATTACTCGGTGAAGAAAAGGGGGGATTAATCTACAACTTAAGTTCCATATTGTCTAAAAACACCACGTTTCAAACAAAGTTCCTCTCATTGGCACAAAATACATCTGAAGAAGAACCTTCAACTGTAAACAAAAACACTTTAAGCAACCCCCTTTATTTATGATACAAAACAAATTTACCAAAATTCAAATCGCAACACCAAGGTATGAATAACGCTTAGCAATCACATTATGATTTATCATGCCAAAAGCTCTTCTTCACCTAAGTTTTTACCGGTCATCTCAATAGTTCTGTCGTTGCTTTCAAACAATAAAAAAATAAAATAATCCAGTCCAATTTTAAGCTGGAGTTTCTCATTATTTTACGCATCGATTCTAACCAGCTCGCGCCATCTTCTCTTCGAAGCCACATATGGAGACATATTTTATCAACCAAGTCAAATAAATAAAACTTACAAAAGTAACCAAAACCAAAAACAAATTGCAAAAGAAATCTTGAACCCAAAAATTACTCCCAAACAATTTCCATGTCAAAGATTTGAATATTAAGACTGAATGACTTGAGAATTTCCTACTTACAGTATTGTGGAGGTTGTCAAAAGTCACCGCCATCCTTGTCTATTCCCATAACTCAGAGGAGTTGCAACACTAAAAAGTGATTTTGTTGAAGTAATCTGAAACCATAATAATAATGCAATAAGTAATAGGCGTTCATACTATTAATACGGAACTTTTTCTCTTAAGTAGAGCTACCAAGGAATCCATTATTGGTAGGAGTCCAACAAAAAGTCCAGAGCGGTAATAAAAAGCATAATTTAAATTCAGAATCACATATCTACTCTTTGCACGAATGATTCTAAAGTGGAAATATAACTGGAACAAAATATTACCTCAGAATGTATAGATTCTTCAGAAAAGCATAGTTGGGATTCTGATTCTGCATAAAACATATATGTCAGCCAAAAATGAATATAATTAAAAGCACAGAGTCGTAAAAAAAAAGAATATCAAGATTATGCATCATAAATAGTAGATATCCAAAAATAATACAAATCTAAAGTAAAATGGTTTTGTCAAAGATTCAAAGCACTCCTAATTCACCACTCATCCAGACTTTCTGATATCCTTGGAAGACATCATTAAGAAACTTCTTTAAATCCCCCAAACGCGAAACGACATAGATGGACTTCCATCACAATATGAAAATCTGATTAGTACTAAAATAGAAGTTGAAAGATTCAATTACCTTAGTTATAACACTTCACATCGATGCAATTGGCGGACACTGAATGATCAATAAAAAAAATAAAAAAATGAATGAATAAAAGAAAATAAAATTTAAAGAAATAAATTAATATAAAATAAAATTAAGATCACTGAAGATTGATCTAAGAAGCAAATGGACAGATCTAAGAACTTTATAACTCATTCTTTATATCTCGATCATACAAAATATCATTTAATATCAAAGTGAAAGTGTATACTATGAGTTTTGAGATCTTGAAAACTCATTGTATCCCATCAACATCTCTTTTTGCCTCACTTAGGGGTGTCAATTTGGATTAGGTTGGACTCAACCTGTTTAATTTTTACCCCAACCCGAACCCAACTCATTTATTAAATAAGTCAGATTCTTGAATCCAGACCCGACCTTTTATTTCGCGGGTTACCCAGGTTGGACCCGTTAACCAGAATATTTTTAATTTTTTTTTTTGTTAGAACCCAATTAATTTTTTTTCCTGGTAAAGTTATGAATTTTTTAATAAAAATCTATTTTTTCTCCACATTTCAAGACGCAAACCAAAGCAGCACAACTAATTTTAGACATGACCATAACAAAATCTACAAAATATTGTTAAACGACAAACGTTTTATAAAATACAATCCAAATAAAAATAATCTATCATCCAAAAGTTAAAAATCACATGTTCAAAAAAAAAACTAATAAAATATTTGCTAAAAAATGACCGATATGCCTCTATGAAACTAATAAAATTACTAAAAAACTTATTTAAACGGGTAACCCGCGTAACCCGTCTGGTCAATTTGAACCCAACCCATTATAAACATGTTGGGTCGGACCCAGCCCATTTATTATTTGGGTCGAAAACCCCAACCCAAACCCTTTAATTTCGTGTTAGATTTGTATCGGGTTCATGGTCCAAACCTAAATTGACACCCCTAGCCTCAATAGGATTGGAGTTTTTCGTACTTGTATTCTTGAAATATACATATGAAAGTTGATTGGCATAATTGATTCAAGCATTCAAAAGGAATTCTCCAATAATTTTTTCGAAATTAAGTTTTTCCAATAAAATAAATCTACAAAATGAAAATTTTAGAAACGGTTTCAAACCTTCAATCCTTTGCCGAATCTTTTACCCGTTACTGTTTATGATGCACAACAAAAGGGGTCCATATCGGATTTGAGAGGGGAGCAAAATGGAGGACATCCAACAACCCTTTTTTTTTTTTGGAAAAGGTTCTTGTATATTAATTAATGAGAACCTAATCTATTACAACGCATTTTGCCATAGGCTAGATTATGGACTTCTTCTACATCTCTTCTACTTACTTTAAATATTTTACACTAATTGAAACTCAAACTTAAATTATATAAGAGTGAGACTACTTCTTGAGCCTCCGTCAGGATTAATGGGCTATTAGGATCATGCGTTAATATTTCACAGTCAGTGAGGATCTAAACCCAATCAATGCCCAAATTAGACGCTTCTCGTAGTGCGAGAAGACAAGTGTATGCTTCTGTATGGAAGGGAGACAGGGAATTGAGAGTAATGGCTTTGATTTACATCACCATGTTATGAGATGAGCTAATCTTCCACGCTCCTGCAGTACTATGGGATTGTGGATCAAAAGATCCATCTATCAAAATCATGGATGCCCTGCTGTGTGGTGTTGTTATGCACACCCTTGCATATTGGTCTCATGGCTTGATCTTTTTTCAAAACTTTTTCTCGTGACAATGGAATTCACGATAGATGAGTTGTCATTGTGCAAGGGGGTCCAATTGTTGGTTGTGCCAAATTTTATTGTTTCTTCCAATCCATATCCACCAACAAATAATGAAGAAGAAATCAACATCCAAGGTGGTTGGCCTGGATTATATCCAATCTGTGAACCAGTCTTGAAGTGAAGGGCTAGAATGATTTATTGCATTTACGAAGATTGAAGGCGCCAAATTCTAGATTGCCCTAGAGTGGGGGCATTCCAGGAACAAATGTAAGGGAGTTTCTTCGTGTGTCAAACATCGAGGGCATTCATTTGGTACTGCAATACCTCGTTTCTGTAGTGCATGTCTTATTGGGAGTGCATTCAGGATAGCTCTCCGGAAGACCATTTTCTGCTTTGGTTACACTCGAGAGTTCCATAATTTTTTCCATAGCAGAGATGGGATTGGAGGCTGCAGTGGTTGATGTAAAACCTGTGCAAGTTGATTAGGAACATGTGTATGAGTGTACAGATTGAACGCTTCATGGTAACCATATTTGACCATGTAAATGCCATGTTTTTTCTTTGGACCATATCAGCTTGTCATCTTGCAAGCATCTTGCTAGATGAACAAAGATTCCAGTGATGTGAGAGATGAGAGAAGATGGAAAAAAAATTCCAGAGTACTGGCATTTTCCACTTGCCATTGTCCCTGATCAGATTCTTCACTCGTAATCCCGAGTGTGTAGCTAGTAAGGAGTTTGGTTGGATTGGGTTGGCGTGTGCAGGAATCCAATCATCCTCTACTCTGATATCTTTCCCTGAAATCACCTTCCATTTAATTTTGTCCTTGAGAAGTTCTGCTCCCCGGAAAACACTCCGTCCCCAGGCTGGGTTATTTGGTGGTTTAATGGAGGGAAAGGTGCCATTATTGCAATACTTGGCCCTGTAGAGACGAGAGATGAGTGTGGATGGACTTGCAAGAATCTTCCATGCATGCTTCACCAGTAAGGCTTGATTGAATTCTTTTATGGACTTTAAACCAAGACCTCCATGAAACTGAGACTTGCTGATTTTTTTTTCCAGGACTTCCAGTGAATGCCTTTACCCTGTAGATCACCTTTCCAAATGAAACATGCAATAATGGATTCCACTTCATGAATTGTTTCAGCCGGGAGCTGGAAGACACCTATTGGATATACTAGGATTGATGCTAAGGATGATTTGGCCACAGTGATCCTCCCACTAAGGGAAAGAAGTTTGGTTTTCCAGTCTGCAAATTTATTAGATAACTTGGAAGTAAATGATTGAAAGACTACCTCCTTCTTTTCAGAAAAGTCCAGCGACATTCCTAAATACCGACTTTGGAAGTCTCCTTATAGAATTTGGAGTGTAGAATAAATAAAAGTTTTCATCTCTGGTGATGTACTTGGACTGAAGAGTATTGAAGATTTCGTGAGGTTGACTTTTTGACCTGAGTAAGCAGCATATTCCTGGATTATGCCAGTCAGAGTAATGATTAATTCTTCCTTGACAAAAAATAAGCTGTCATCCGCATACATCAAGTAACTCACTCTTGGCGCTTGTTTGCATATTTTGATTCCTAAACCTAGGAAGGTCTTACTTCCAATCTAAGAATTAACGAAAGGACTTGCTGGCAGAGTATGAATAGGTAAGATGACAGTGGGCATCCTTGTCTAAGGCCTCTTTTTGGAGAGAAGGAATCTCTGATTTTCACCATTAAATTGAATGGAAAAGGAGACAGTTGAGACACAAAACATGATGAGTTTTAGTAGCGTTGCTGGAATACCAACCTTGGCCAAGACCATTTCTAAGAATTGCCAGGATACTCGATCAAATGCTTTGCTCATGTCGAGTTTGATGGCAGCCAGACTCAATGGGCATGTCTTTCTCCTGATGTGTTCCACCATTTCGTATTTTATCAAAATATTCTCAGCAGTTTTTCGTCCTTGTACAAATAAAAAAAAAAATCACACAAAACAAAAAAAAATCACATAAATCAAATTCTATTTTATCATTTATCATCGACCACTGTCGAATTCGAGAGTTGTAGAAATTTCAAAAATAAATTGATGAAAGTTGATTACCAATCCAATAAGCATGAATTTCAGCAGAGTCTGAGCTAATAAAAGCTCAAATATGAATTTGTGTAGAGATTCGGTCAGCCAATACTTCTCGTGACCAGATTCACCAAATTCAGACCATATCAACAAAACACATCATCGCCAATTACTATATCTTCCTCGTGGCCTGGATATTATGATCGTAGTCGTCGCCGTTTCCTCATCGCCGCTGCTCCGAACATGCAAAATCGCACGCGAGACTAAAAAATCTTTCTGTTTCGGAGGTTTTTTTTTTTTTTTGCCTTTCACTTTCGCAGAAGAGGTGTAGAAGGTCATGTCTTTGATCCAACTTTTAAGGATTCTTTTAAGATTTGAATTAATATGCTTCAATTCGGAGAAGATAAGATTGAATTATTGACATAGTTTGTCAATTTGATGCAGCTAAAATTAAGGGAATGGACTGTTCGTGAGAAATTGGGGCGGAGCTAAAATTTGAGAGTAGACTGATATTCGTAAATTATTTCTTCTCAGTAAAATTGTGATATTTGGGTTACTTATTATTTTCTTATCTTAAATATTATTTATTATATATATATATATATATATATTAGACGTAACTTTGAGCTTTGCATAAGGCTTTCTTTTTCCTAAAAATCTAGAGTGTCAAGTGTCAATTTTCATTTTTTACTAAAAAAGGCCTTTTGGTGGAAAAATTTTCGTTATGGAGCTGACATGTGTCCTTTTTGTTTGCTGCTTTAATTGAGTACTATGGATATATATATTTTTTTCTGTACAATGAAAGGAGTTTACTTCTAAATATTTAAATACCACAATTTGTGGTATTTGTGAGAAAGGAACATTTTCATTGAGTTAGTCGCAATAAAATTCCTGGTCACAGAACAAATAATTGATGATAGGGACAGCAAAATTTAATACAAAGTGTAAGAGTAATTAGTGAAGTTAAAATATCGTTAATCGTTCTTCGTCTTTTACTATTTCATTCACAACTGTTCCCTTTTCCCAAAAAGTTCAATATATATGATATCATCACATCTCTATCATTTTCCATTTGGAGTTCTGGTGGAAAACACAGGTTATCACTCATTGGTTTTAAAATATTTTGTGTTTATTTTTGAAAACAATTGGTCCAAACTGCAGTGTTTCACGTATTCTATGAAATTGAAACTAACCCTTTTTGAAGTAAAAAAATAAAAAAATAAAAACCGAAGCCAAAACACAAGGCTTTGTTTGTTTGTTTTTTAATTGGTTTTTTCAGAATTAAATAATAATAACTATCTCATCCTAACAAATTTTTTTACATTTTTAATATACTTTTTTTATATTTCTAATACAAAAAAATCTAAAAACACACACTAAAAAAACGAAACAAACATATCCGCTTTGTGATTATACACTTAAAATCTCAAAAACATTGCTGGTTTAATCACGTTTTGTAACTAGTTACGGTAATATTAGACAACAAGTTGCTTGTTTGATATACCCTTCTCTTATTTTTTAAAATTATTCAATTTAAAACCTTTTAATATATGAATGTTTGGCAACTTAAAAATGAATATCTTAGTGTTAAGTGATTTTAAGACTCTACATCAGCAATACATGATAAAAGTATTAAAAGTTAATTTATTACTTATTCTGTAATTATTTAATGAATTTAATATTTTTATTTTGGAATTATAAGAACCATTTTTATTAAACAGAGTAACATGCCTTTCGTATTAACAGTGAAAAAGGTGAACAACTCAAAATGACAACAAAAAACCGGTGGCGGGAAGTACAGAAATGAAGGAAAAAGAGGAGGGCGCCAAATCCAAAAATCGAAATGATGACCCGCTGCCGCCCAATCACCATCATTCTCCAAATTTCAACGGTGAGATTTTGCGGGTACCCGGGCCGTATCTAAGCCGAACCGGCAATCTGGACCGTCCATTCAGAATTTCCTGATTTCTTGCTTAACCCAAAGCCTAGACCTTTAGGCATTCGGTATCTCTATTTAGTACTCACTGATTGCTCATTCTTCAGGCATTTCACACTGAAAAGATTTGACATTTCCTCAGTAGAATACATTCGGAAGAACAGTTGAGGCGATCAGAGAGGAGCCCAGATGGCGGACAACCAGAATGTGCCGAAGTTCTTGAACCCATTGACTCTTCATCTCCAGAAATTGGGCCTTGAACTCAAATGCCCTCTTTGGTGATTTTCCTTTTCCTTTATCTGATTTTGGTTTTAATCTAAACTCTTGCTTACGAATCTGGGAAGTGTTTCTATTCTCTTGATGTTTAGTTATGGACTAATTGAGAAGAAATTTTTGTTTCCTCATTTTCCAGTTTGGACTTTCTAACAAAACCTATGCTGCTTCCCTGCAATCACATACTCTGTCAGTAAGTTTTGGTTCAAGGCGGTCTTTTTCTTCGATGTTATGTCCTTTTTTTTTTTTTTTTCTCTCTCTCATTCTTACTGTTGTTTTAAGATCTAATTAGTCCTTCCCTGATCTTCTCCAGTTCTTGTATCTCTCCTTCATTCGAACCTAAATCGGAGTGTCCCACTTGCAAGAACGTGTTTTTAATTCAAGGTACTGCATTATTGTTGCCATTTTCATGGGGTGTTTTTCCTTGTCTAATACTCCCTCTGTCCCAAAATTATTGTCCAATTTGATAATTCACTTTTAGTACAATTTGAACTAAAAATGGAAACTCAAACTGGACAATAATTATGGGACAGAGGGAGTATATTGAGCAAAAGTTGTGTTTTTTACATTCCAATTTAAATTACGAAAATGTTAAATATTTGGGACTGGAATGCATAAAAATGAAAGCTTCAAAGATTGTTCTTGAATAGGTAGGTGTTTGGAAGATTCAGACTTTCATAGTGTTTTTGTCCTGCAGATCTGAGGGCTGCACCTTACATGGAGAATTTGGTTACCATGTATCAAAGTTTGAATTCTACTTTCACTTCTGTTGTATCTCGGCATTTGTCTTCTGGTGAGTTTCGTATACTTATGATGATTTTAGAGTTAATGTATCTTCTCATTAATTGGAATGTATTTGAGCTAATTGAAAATGGTTTGATGTTATTGTCACAGCACTCATGAACAACCTGAAAGAGAAAAGCGAAGTGTCTGGTGATCAAGCGAGAACGCCTAGAAGCAGCACCAATCTGTGTTTGGGAAGAATCACTGTGGACAGTCATGCTACTTTGACTCATTTGCCCTCACATGGTGGTTGTAGTGGAACTAATGAAGGGCTTGAGACACAAGTGGAGGATATGCATCCAGGGCCACAACCAACGCCGGAAACCTCGCCTTCATTTTGTGATAATAAAGTTAGAAATTGCAATGACGTTGCTGAAGATGGCAGATGTGGGGTAAGTTAATTTCTGGAACTTCCATATTATACTGGGATGCTTTAGTAATGACTATTTTGTAAACTAAACTTGCAGCATTTTAAAGCATTTTATGTAACAAACACTCTCACTTTGTGTAAAAGGAGGTTTGAGATTGTTCATACCTTAGCTTTTGCAATTTTCCAATTACCTAAGTCTTCCTTCTAAGTGATTATGTATTTCCTGTGAAATAAATTTTGGATTAACTGATGAAGGGGCAAAGTAAGGCCAAGATGCCGGCTGATTATTTGTTAGAAACAACTGATTATGAAAGGGATGCCAAAAGACAAAAGATGTTGGATTATTCATCACCAGAAAGTGGGGTGAACGACATTGGTAGAAATGAACACAAAGTTTGCTCCTCTGATACTACAGCTACCTCAAATAATAAATTTGAAGAAGAACTTTCTGTTGCTAAGCCAATTTCCCTCAAAAGAAGTGTTTGTGCATTCTGTCAGACCTCCAAGGAGACTGATGTAAGTTTTAAAAACTTGCAATTTTGTGCAAAATTTAATGTTTCTAGATTGTCAACAGTAGAGGATTGTCATCCCACTCAAAATTTTTTGCAATCATTGCTCCTCGATGATGGTTGTAGGTTACTGGCCCTCTGTTGTGTTACGCAAATGGGAAGCAAGTTGATGGCGAAACAAACAGAAACTCCAATGTCATACCTGTTCACAGCAATTGCATTGATTGGTATGTTTGATCGTGTCTTTCTAAAATAAATCTCTTTTTGGATTGTAGAAACATCACCATCGAATTGTTTTATCACGTTAGACCATATGTCACGAATCTTGACAGTGTCTAATACTTGTGTACTGTTGACAGCTTGATCCTCGTAAATTTTGCCATTCCCGCCCCAGTGTGTTCGTGTTGTGTTCTTGTAGATGTCAATGCAATTTTGTACTCTTAATGTGAACTTTGTCAGCAGACTTTCTTTACTGGATGTCTTCATATGCTTTATTTGCCATTTTCATAACTGTGAATGTGGCTTATGTTGACTGTGTATCTTTAAAACTTTCATTTTTACCCTGAACAAATCTAAATTTTATATGGGAATGCGCTTTGTTTGAAGTTTTTGGGGATGTGAATTGCAGCAAAAGACGTTGCTTGGTTTTGAACTATGGGGTTGGATTTTTGTGTAGTCGCTAATTACTGGGTTTTAAGGTGTTATTCCTTTTGAGAATTGGATTTGGTCACTTGTTGTTTGTTAAGCTGCTTCCTAAAGTTACTCTTTTAATCGGATGGCTTATACATGATGTTGTTGCAGGACTCCTATGGTGTATTATGCAGGAGACATTATCAAGAATTTGGAGTCTGAATTGGGAAGATCTGCTAAGCTCAAGTGCAGTAGTTGTGGAAAAAAGGGTGCAGCCCTTGGATGCTTTGAAAAGTCATGTCGCAGAACATATCACGTTCCTTGTGCGTTTGATATTCAAGAATGCAGATGGGATAGTGTATGTCAACCCTGCCTTCATCTCTGCTTGTTTACTTTTTAACTTTTGTTGATTCCATGTCACTTCTCTTTACTTGCAATGTATCTCATATTCCACAATTATACAGGAGAACTTCTTAATGCTCTGCCCAAGCCATTATTCTGTGAAGTTTCCAAAAGAGAAGTCCAAGCCCAGGAAGTCTGCTGCTGAGCCTAAGCAACCTAAATCCACTGAAAGGCACTTAACCATGCTTCTCCTTTCTGATTCAACATAACATTTGTGCTGAAAGTCTTCTCCTTTTTTTCAATTTAATAGGATTTTTAGCGTGTTTGACATTGAGTATCTTCTGTTCTTCTGCTCATCTTTGACAGATAACTGCCTTTTGCAATTGCATGTAACACTTCAGTAACTTGTTCCTCATCATTCAAATATTTTTACCTGATTTGGAGAATTTTCATCTTTGTTCTTGCAGGATCCCCTCAAATTCTGGTTTTGAGGCAAACTTGCCTGGTGGACCAAAGGAATGGGTTTTTTGTGGATCGGCTCTTTCTGCTGAGGAGAAGGTTTGTTCAACTGTCTTGAAGGGGAAACATTGATATGGGATTATAAAGAATGCTACCTTCCAGCTGCTTTTGATAGGAAACCTGAGGATTGTAATTTATGCATAGTAAAAAGAATAAATAAATAAATGAAAATAATGTCCAGCTGGTTCTGGTTGCTGTTGACTTCAGCGAAGAAGAAACTTATAGCCTATTATTCGATACTTGTTTTCCTTGTCAGTGAATGCTGATCATTTCTTGGCACAACTAAATTGCATCAGCTGTTATGCTATGACATTAGTTTAAGAGCTTCCAGTACCCCCTGCTGTTGATTCATTTGTGTGTGTATTTTACCCTTACAATGTGAGGCCTCCTTATATTCTTTATGATCTCTACTGCAGTTTGTTCTTATCAAATTTGCAACAATGTGTGGTGCAACCGTGTCCAAGTTTTGGAGACCAAATGTGACACATGTGATTGCAGCAACAGACGAGAACGGTGCATGTACCAGGACCTTAAAGGTTCTCATGGGAATCTTGAATGGGAGGTGGATCCTAAATATGGGCTGTACGTCGTTCTCAGCTGGGCTTGAAGTTGATTATTTTTGCTCCTTACTCTTCCTTAAGGGGGTTCTTCTCAGGGAAATATATTAAAACATCATTCAACTGATGCTTTCTGCATGTGTTCTATGTAGGGATAAGAGCTTCTATGGAAGCAAATCTTCCTTTGGATGAAGGACCTTATGAAATCAGCATAGATAATCATGGCTGTTTGGATGGCCCTAAAACTGGAAGGTTACGGGTTTCAAATGAAGTAAGAAATCCTAATTTTAGATGCATGACTAATTTGTAGCTTTTAATCATTTTATTTGTGCTTTAGTTACAAGATCTGAATTTCTTTTTTTTGTCTGCCTTTGCAGGAGCCCAAACTTTTCGAAGGCATAAACTTCTATTTTACTGGTGACTTTGTACCAGCTTACAAGTTTGACCTGTTTGATCTCGTTAGAACTGCTGGCGGTATCATACATGAGAGCATGGAACAGTTGAAGACATTGACCAGCAATGTAGAAGCAAACGCCTCATGTTTGGTTGTTTATAATGGTGACCCGCCACATGGGTGTTTATCTGGGGAAGGAAGTTCAGTAGTTTCCGAGAGGATAGCCGAAGCACATAATTTAGCCAAACAAATTAACTGTTCTGTTGCGGGTCACAAATGGATTTTGGACTCAATAGCTGCCTGTAGACTGCTAACTGCCTGTTAGGTAGATTTTTCCTGTCATAAGTCACTAGTTTCAAGATTAGCACTTTCATTGTAGGTTGTGGTTTTTACTTCAATTTGATGACGAGCTTGAATCAGCATAGGTAAATTGATAGGTTATCTTATGCCTGGTTTGCACTCAGACATGGAGTGGCTGTAACACAGTGCATATGAATCCCTGCCAAGCTGCAAAAAGTTGTCTTGTAGTACTTTTAAGGTCTTGTATAAGCAATAGAGAAATTGTTCTGATCAGTATTAAAGGATTGGTTGATTAAAGTCAATGTAATATTACATCTATGATTACTGATTAGCACACATTTGTCCGATGAGAATCTGTTGAAGTAGTTGCCTTGTCCTGGTGTACTGTCAGTGGGAGGAACTGCATCCGTCATAGTTACAGAAATTCATTTCTTCTTGCGAGAATAAACTGTGGAATATTAAACCTAGATAAACAACTATTGCTAACAGTTACTGCAATCTCATTATGGATTCTGCATCAGGCTTCCTGGGTGACATCTCTGCTCCCTGCAACTCTATTTTCCTTTCTGTAATATCGAAGTTATAGCTGTAGAATTTTGCGATAACCAGAAAGAGAAGGAAATTGATAAAGCCCAAGAGGGCCAAAAGCGCATAGTAGTAGTCTAATCGAGATTCATTGAGGTTATTTAAGATCCATCCCTTGTGACCATCTCTCTTTGTAACCTCAGCAACTTTGGTAAGGACAAAACTGCTCATGAAGAATCCCACTCCTATGCTTGTTGTAAAGTATGCAGTCCCCAGACTTTTCATTCCTTCTGGGGCTTGATCGTAGAAGAATTCAAGCTTTGCAACTTCCATGCTGTCTGCAACGCCAATAAGAGCAAATTGAGGTAGGAGAATGAAGATGGAGAGAGGAACAATTTGGTCTTTGCCAAAGACACCATGATTCCTGGCAACTTTCAGCCTTTCCCTCTCCATAAAGCTAGCAACGATCATGGTAATTATTTGTAAGAAGAAGCCGATCCCCATTCTTTGTAACAGACTGATACCTCTTGGATTCCTTGTGTATTTTCGCATTTGAGGAACAAATAAGCGGTCATAAATGACAATACTGATCAGCATGAAAATCGTAACGAATGCTCCTAGAGATGCCGGTGGAATTTTGAAATGATCACCAATATGCCTCTCCAAAGTTGTCCCTTGTTTGACAAAAAGCGTACTTATTTGTGCAATCATTATACTTGGTATGAATGTAGTTACTAAAATGGGAATCATTTTCATCATCTGCTTGGTTTCTTCTACTTGTGTTACTGGACATAGCATCCAAGGGGACTCAGAACCAGCCTTAACTGCTGCCCTGTCAAGAAAGCTGCATGCCAATAAACAAAGCACGGTATTAGCCTCTTTATTGGGAATCTGTCAAACAAGCGGACCAACGAGAAACATTCTTACCTCAGAGAAAAGCTGTGATCAATTCTGATTTTTCCTGGTTTTGAATATTCATCTCTGCTCAGCTCATAAAGTTCTTTTGGATCCTCAGGAACTTTCACATTCCACTTCCTTGCAGTAGCCACAAGAACCTTAGCCATTTTAGTCATAGGACTCTCAGACCGAGGTTTGTGTCTATAATACCTGGTGCCTATGACGAACACTATAATGGAAATAGCAAGGCCACCGGTTGGAAGGGCATAACCAACATCCCACCCCACATTGTCTTGTATGTAGACAAGGAAAGTGTTGGAAAAAAGCACACCAACAAAGATGCTGAACATCCACCAGTTGAAGAATGATAACTTGTGATGCCTTTCTTTAGGCTCAAAATCATCAAACTGGTCTGCTCCCATGGTGGAGATATTTGGCTTGGTTCCGCCTGTTCCTATGGCTATAATGTAAAGTGCACCATAGAAAACACCAATTTGTAGTGGTGATGCATGGTTGTCACAGCTCCCATCTTTCTTTTCCCCTCCACAGGGTGGCGGCCTCAAAGATGGCAGAGACACTGCTAGTGTCAATAGACACATGCCCTGTCACAATGAGGATAATCGGTCATGCAACCGAGTGCTATAAGATAACAAACATAGTTTGAGCTTTGATTAACATACTGCAAGATAAATAATGGAGGCAATGATGAAGGTCCAATATCGACCGAGATGAGTATCTGCTATGTAAGCTCCCAGAAGGGGTGTCATCCAAACAGCTCCAACCCAATTGGTGACATTATTGGAGGATTTGACAGTGCCTTCATGAAGTTTATTGGTCAAATACAACACTAGGTTTGATGCAATCCCATAGTAGGCCATTCTTTCCATAATTTCATAACCTGAAAAGTAGTCAGAGAAAAGATCTTATAATTGAGAACTGAACTTCCACCAATTATCAAGAGAATATCACATATAACTACGCAGTTGAAAGAACATCAGTTTAAATACCAACAATGAAGGAACAAGCTCTCCATCCTCCAGTTCTTGATCTTAGCACCGGTCCGCCTTTAAGGTCAACTGTTCCATCTTGTGTGTAATCATCTCTTCCATCAGAAGGCCCTTTCTCCTCTGCTTGCATCTTTGGCTACGTTTATGGAGGATGGTGGACAAGGAAATTTCAAGCGGAAAAGGTAATCAACTAAGTAGACTTAAGAGAAATTTCACCGGGAAGTCCTGAAATAATCACTGTTTCTTAAGCATTTAAGATTGCAATATGAGGTAGTATAACAGAAACATTTTCTCCCCAGCATTTTCGGGTAATGCTTCCTTATGTACTAGCAGTTTTAGTTGGCTCTTTGCAACTTGCAAAAAAATGGACCGCAAAGACAGTGACTTGATACTTGACGTTTTGCAAATTTGAGCATCGCTGGAAAACAGATTCGAAAAAGCTATGCATCAGTTGATTTTTGTTCTTTTTGCCATTGATGATCCTAGAGGGTAATACATTCTGCCAATATAGGCAAGATAACAAGGCATAGAATGACGTTGTGGGGGGCGAAAAAAGCTAATCATTAGATCCAAAAAAAAGCTCTCTACATGTCCCAGGTTCTCATATAAACTAACTGAAAAAAACGACCAACTGATAAGTAAAACAAGTAACAGATTCCATTTATGTTGGAAGGTTTAAAAGGGTCAACATTGGAAAGATTTGCTTTTGAAACATATCCCTGACATGACATGTATTCTCAGAAAGGCAATTCGGCCGTAGGGATCCTGAAATACCATAACGGTTCATCCTTCTTCCTTCCTGAGGTTTTTTTCTGTTGTTTTCCCCCCTTCTTTTCTGCAGAATAACATGCTTTCCTAGGATAAAAGAAACGACATATGTATAGGGTTGATATTTTTACCATCGCCCAAGAAGGGCCAACGGCCAAATGCCATTGTCTAAAGCAGGTGTACTACTAGTTCAATGCTTAAGAATCAACTGGCTTAAGAGGAATATCCTTCCAGCTTTTTAGCTTATGGTTTTTTGTGAATGCTTTCGGCCCACAGAGCGCTCGACTGTATATATTAAAAACAAAATGAAGCCATCAATTTTGCTGATTAACATCGACAAAATCAAACTCATATGTTGAATACTACTGATTAGTACAAATCATGGAATCTAAATGCCAAAACTTAGTTGTTGGAATTTAAAGACAAGCTCTTTACGTTAGCCTCTCATAATCCAATCATCAACAAGAATATTACTACAAAATCTAGGATCACCTAGACATTGTGACCTCTTCCTAGAAATATTAGCTAAGCAGGGCCTTTTGGGCTTTATTAACAAGGAATGCAAGTTACGTTTGGCATATAAATTTTATGCGTGGAATGAAACTATGCATTTAGTCAGTTGATGAGAAATGAGCTCTCCAGTTTACAAAGCAATCAAATCCATTTCCACCGAAACGGTCAATCATTTGTACAAAGTCAATTAATGTTAGTAAATCATGCATTCACTTAATTTACTGAAGGTCACAATCATAAATTCACTGTCAGTAGATCCGAGTTCAAATATCATAACCTAAAAAAGCAAGGTAAAAGATAATGGGAATATTCCTAACAACGTTAACTCATGATCAGGTACCAAACAGCAAAGCAACTGCAAATTACAGTCAAAAGTCAACATAATGCAGGCAGTCGGGACTCAAGTTATCAAGCAGAGGATCTGGTAGATGCTTAAGAATTTAGAACCCTAGATACTGTCAAGAACTGTTACTGTTGTTATAAAGCCTTTCCTTGGTGCCGTCTCCACCTCCCTGATGATGCACTACTTCATTAGCATTGTGACTACCATTGCTCTTTACACTACCCCTTCTGTTCTTGTTAATGGTTCGACTTCTACCGGAATCGGCGTAAGAGCCTTCACTACCATCAGAGATACTACTTCCAACTATAGGCATACTACCTCTTGGAAATTGGCTCACTGTAGCATTAATGAATGGGTTGCTCCAAGGAAAACTGACACCATAATTTGGATTCAGGCCATAACCCAAGGCACCATAAGCTTGAGGTTGGCTAGCCCAGGGGGTTTTCAGAAGACCAGCATTGCTCACATAACCAGTGCTGTTGGCAGATTGTTCACCAAAACCTAAAGCTGAGCCATCATTGGTAGCATAAGCACCTGGACCACCATATATTGAAACACTGTTTGCAAGGGGAAAACCATAACTAAGGGATCCAAAGGGTGGATATGAAGGATAACCACCGGTAGCAGGTTGTAGCGGCAAAAACCCTCTGCTCTCCATCTGTGCATTAAATGCATTGGTGCTGGTGCTATAAGAACCAAAAGAATTGGAAGATCTACCACGAGTGCCGAGACCAGAGCTAACTTCTTTTGGAAGAGCCCTCTTAACCTCAACGTTCTTACTATTCAATTCATGAAAATTCCTGTTCAGAACTCTATCAACAGCATCTTCAGAATCAAAGGTGATGAAGCCAAAACCACGTGACCGTCCAGTAGCTCGGTCATACATAATTATAGCATCAGTAATTTCTCCGAAACTCAAGAAATACTCCATAAATTCATCTTTTGTCAAGGAGGGAGGCAATCCACCAACAAATATCTTTTTCGTCCTGATATAATCCTGCCTACCAACACTGTTGCTACCGTTAACATTATAATCTCCAGATCCTGAGCTTTGCTGTCTTTCTTTTGATAAAGCCCTTTTAACTTCAACCTACGAAATAAAACTAGAGAACTTTAGCCGAGGATTGCTTCTTAGAAGCAGGGATATCAAAAACAAGTCACACTCGCACATTTCAAGAACCTTCCCCTTGAAATATAAGCACTAGGCTCAGACAGAAGCTTCATTACAACAAGAAAAGCAACCAACATTACAAGGCTTCAAAGATGAACTAGGCGGGAGGAGTTGAACATTAAAAAAATTGAAATAAACTTAACCCCATGAGCAAAGAAAAGACCTTGCTACATCCTTATTCTCTCTTCCGTACACAAAGAAAAGACCTTTCTACACTTCCAATTTCCGCTACTGTTTACATTTCATCACCGGCGTTACAGAGAAAGCAAAAGCACCACTTAAAAAATTCAAATTGAGACGTGGTAAATCACCCACGCCAAAATCCAATAACCCAAATTGTGTCTTTAAAAAACAAAACAAAGGGCATAAAAACAAACAGAAAAAGGCCCACATTTTGAGAAAAATCGAAACGTTACCGTGCGGCCATCAATGGTGTGCTTCTGTGAGAGAACTGAATCGACAACGGTGGGGTCAGAGAATTCAACAAACCCAAAACCTCTGGGCTGACTAGTGATCTTATCTTGCACAATTACAGCGCGGGTCACTTCTCCGAACTGATTGAAGTAATCCCTAAGTGCGGCCTCCTGAGTGTCCCATGCAATTCCTCCTACAAATAGCTTCCCCTCATCTGGTACTGATGAATCCATCTCTTTTGCTCCGGCGAGCACACGGTGGAATTCCACCAGAATGATTTTTCTTCTTGCACAAATTCACAGTGTGTGTAATGTGGTGTAATGTGTGTAATGCATGTAACGGGTCCCCGGAATTAATGGTGATCAAGACAAGAAGAGGGTTAGGGTTATTTGTATTGGGGGCGCCACATTTCATTCCTACGGCTTTATTGCTATTTGGGTCTTAAACGTTTTCCATCTAGCAGGATTGGTCCTTATTACTTACTTTTAATTGTCTAAGGTTTGGAAATGATTGCATTTAGGCCCTTCTGAATTTGTTATTAGTGTATTATTTTTATTTTTTTTCTGGCAATGTACAATATACAGTATTATGGAGGAAAAAATGGTCTATTTTGTGTGTATAACTAATAAACAGATAAATAACCTTTTTAGTAAACTAAAGTGGTTGTGGTGGAATGGAAGGGACTCCTCCACTCTCAACCATAGATTGAGGATTCGAACCTCGCTATGGACATGGAGCAACTTTAAAATATTTTGGCCAGCTGTCCTATCCATCGAGGTGCCTACAATTCAGCATTTAACCTATGGCCTGTGTTGAGTGGATTTGGAACTCCACCTACTTTAAAATACTTTGGCCAGCTGTCCCATCCATTGAGGTGCCTACAATTCAGCGTTTAACCTATGGCCTGTGTTGAGTGGATTTGGAACTCCACCCTTCAAATGCAAACTACAGTAATAATTAATCAGATTCAGAAGTCCCAGAAAGTCAATTTTGTAGAACAGCAAATAACTTGAAAAGTTGGTCTCCTTTTTTTTTTTTTTTTCTAATTAATAATCTTTACCATGATTCAACCATTACTTTATCCACAGGTAACCTTCTCAATGGTGCCAGAGAAACCTCATTCTTGCTTATGTGCGCTAAACTGTATAATCTCCTATGGTTTTCCCCATCTTCATCCGAGACTGCAGAATTGGCAAGCAGGGATTCCATGTGCGAAGATATGAATATGATGCGATTTCTGAAGCGGATATTTGACCGTCTGGATTACTTCTTTTTTGCCAGCTTTCAGAATGTCTTCCTAATTGTGAAAGTAAACCCGCCATTATTTGTAAATGAAAGTAGTAATGTAAACTAAAACTTAACAGCATTTTATTGTCAGGCTGGATTTTCTTCTATTCCTTGTTCGCATTTCAGTCTTCCTCGTGAAATGTTCATCTGATATTCAGTGATGACAAAGTTCACTTTGCTAAAAAGGAAGATACAACGGGTTATTATTATACCTTTGATGAAATGAGTAACACTGTAACATTGCCGTGAAAATTTACGTCGAAAGAAAACAGTTTCCTCTTCCAAAATGAGAAAATTGTTATGTTTCCTGAAGCTATAAACATCATGGTTCTTCACAAGTATATACCTAGTAACTACAGCTCATTTACTGAACTCAAAATCTCATCCTACCATATATGAAGTTATCTAAAGGGCTCAACTGGTTCTGTTTCCTCAAGAGAAGCAGCGGCCTGAAAACATACACCGGCTTCCATAGCAGACCCGGGCCCTTCATCTTTGCAAACCAGGCCAAGATTATACCAGGCAGAAACATTCATTCTGTCGAGCTGAATTGCTTCTGTTAGAAATCTTCTAAAGGTGGCCGATCTAGTTCCTATCTTTCTATGCACAACCGCCACGGAGACTAGGCTCGGGATATGAGTGGGGTCGACAGACAGAGCACGATCAAACTCTCGACGGGATTCTTTGTGGAGACCCTTAGCTTCATGAAGCAAACCTGCATGCATACGGGAATATAAATATCCAAAGATACAGTTGTATGTACAGCAGCCATAAATGAAACTGGAAATGCCGGAACATGAGAGCACTGGCTTTAAAATGACAGCACAATAAGAAATAACAAATCTCACGACATTATCTCTCACTTCAAAATTATGGGTTGGCTCCCTCAAGGTGAAGGTTAAAAATGGAGTTATATGTAGTAGATTTCCTAAACCCGGTTCATATCAATCTTCAAGTCAGCAAGTATATCATCAATTCGTGTCAGAAAAAAAATAATCAAATTAACTACCCAGGCACGGAATGTGCATTAGTTCATTTATGTATACGCAATGATCTTAATAAAATATCATACTTTCAGCAAATGCTCTCAACAGTCATTTCTTAATCAAATCCCTCACTCGCAACACATACAATAACCATGAAAACAAAAAGCTTAAAACTTCACTTAACATACCAGCAGTGTGCAATCTCCTGGCAGAGTGACAACTAATGGCTTCAGATTTTGACAGACAGATTTCAGCATCTCTCCACTTATTCAATTTAATATAGATGACTGCCAAATCGTTCCAGGTTTCAAGCTCCAAACTTCTATTTGGTTTCCGGCCATCCTATTACATATGAACAAAACAACATAAGAAACAAGCCAACAACGATACTTGTGTGTGAGAGAGAGAGAGAGAGAGTAACCTCGCAGTCTTATTTTTGCCAAACAATAATAATTTGGAACAAAATTAACCAAGCAAAGGAACTCTATTTTAGTTTTGGAAACACCGCAACAAATAGGATCTTACAAGTTTTAATTAGCAGGGAAGTATCAGACACACCTTCAGCTTTTCCCCTGAGCCAAAACTTTTAAGTTGAACCTGAAGAACAGCTAGAAGCCGAGTGTAAGTCTCGATGGCATCCTTTAAATGACCCTGGGCAATTTGGAGTTTAGCTTTAGTTCTCAATAGTTCTCCTTGATCCCATTTTCCAGTTTGATTTAGAGCTGCATTAATAACAGTTTCGGCATCCTCAAATCGCTTCTGAGCTGATAATATGCGAGCTAATGATAACCAACCCCTAATGTTTGAACCGCTGTCCAATTTCAGCAAGCACTTAGCATAATAAAGTGATGCATCCAACTCCCTTTGCTCAGCATGCTCCAAGCAAAGGTGGTAAACAATCTTAGGGTCATTCATTTTGGTGATTTTACTGGCTGCTTCTAAAGATTGCAGTGCCTCAGTTTGTCTCTGCACCCTCTCAGAATCTGTTGTAGCCGATCTAGAACATGTCGAAAGTGAAATACCTAACAGAAATTTTGCAATTCCAGTCAACTGGTCACATTTACCCTGCAAGTTTTCAATGGCTCGTCGAGCAAATTTAATTCCATCTACTGCATATGAAGAGTTCTCGCCACAAATTTTTGAAGCTAACAGTAAAGCTGGGACGTATGCTGGATCCACAGCTCGACTCAACAACTTCCTTAATAAATTCAAAGCAATCAATTCATCACCTTCTCCATAGTAACAAAGGGCCAGATTCTCAAACTGATCTTTCCTTTCTATAGCCCCTGGAAGCAACTCTTCCATTTGATTAGCAAAAGATAAGAAACCCCCTGATATACACAATGTATATGAAAGATAGATCCAGAACTGATGGATCCCATTCGATTTGCTTTTGAGTAGCCTCTCTTAACAAAATCATCAAAAGAAGAATCGCTTCTTCAATATTGCTTTTAGGAACAAACGAACTGTCCATTTGAATTTGCAAATTTGGAGGATCTGCTTCAGCTCCACCGTAAAGAAGATATATCGCAAACTCTTTTTGGATCCCGGCTAGTGTTTGTGCATCAAGAGTCCATGGGTGAAGGAGGGACCTCTGATATGACAAAATTGTTTCACTGGGAGAATCGGTGAGCTTCCAAAGTTCTGGAAGGAACTCAACAGCTTTGCTTAGTGTCTCCTGCAATTTACAGTCACCAGCAAAGGTTTCAGGTAAGCCACCTGGTGATGAAGATTCAACTACGTCCAGAATTACTGAGCATGTTTGAGCAGCTTCTGCAAAATACTTTGAAACCACATCAGCCGAGGCATTACAGTTTTCGTGCTAAGCATGCAGATTCGTTTGTGCTCATTAGAATAATAAATGCAAGAGAGCTCATTCCAGTCTGCATAGCACGCACAATGAAAATCAATTACGTCGGATGCAAAATACAAACCTCAGGCCAAACTGGGCAAAAATGTTACTTGTCTGAGCAAAAAACATGAGCCAGTAGCTACTTTCAGCAGATTTCTAAGGTGATATTTACTACTGGTTTTTAATAGGAAATCTCAGGGTACAATAAACTTAATCACCAATGACAGGTAGAAAAAACAGTCCTTGAAAACCGCAGACAGTAGCAAAACTGTCACTCAGCGTCTGAGCCAAACACACCCAAGCTAGTATCTACTTTCAGAAGATTTCAAAGGTGGTATTAACCACTGGTTTTTAACAGGAATCTCATAATACAATAAAGTCAATCACCAATTACAGACAGGAAAAACAGTTGTTACAAACTACAGCGTTCTGGAAATAAAATGCATTATAGAAAGAGCTGAAAAGGATCTTAATATTAAAGAGACCTTCAAGCATCATCAACTATATATAAAAAATTCTAATGAATAATTCGTGAACACAAACATTCCCTACAAGATGGTAAACACAAAGATAGATATCAAGGGAACCCAAATCAAGTGTAAAAAATCAATGACAAAAAATGAAGAGTATGCAAAGAATACCTTTGTATCTACCAAGAGCCTCAAGAGACTTGGACTTCAGAAAGATTGCTTCTAGAAGCAAACTAGCTGCAGGTACAGACATAGGTAGCGAACCATAACTTTGTGACTGTTTCCTAGAAGGTGCTCTTCTTCTGGCAAGAGTAATTTTCATCTTTGGCACCACTGCAGAGATATCTATTTCTTCAAAAACATCGAGGGCAGCTTCTATGTTTCCTTTCTGATATTCATTTCGTCCTAGCAATGCTCTTGCTTTCTGCGGAACAACAATAACTTAGTTAAAGTACAACGAGACGGTTTTCGCTTGAACATTGAATTCAGTAGGATTTAACAAAAACTCAATGTTTAAGGAGCCACTCTCCCACAGAGGAGATTCAGCTTCTTCAATATTGCCTGTGCCCGGCTTTCTGCCAGCTTCTCCTATTTGAGAACAATTTGCACTCGCCGAATAATCCTTAGTTTCAAGTGAATCTGAAGAAGGAGCCATTTCATCTGCCTTCAGAATGTCTTCCTCTTTATTTGACATATTACTGGTTTGAAGATCATCCCGGACCGAAAAGAAAAAGAAGCCCCAATGACATTTGTAGCGTGCCAGAACTAACTAAATGCCGATTAACGGAGCAACATGCAAATTACTTAATGAGATATCGGTAGACCCAAAAAGGAAAAGAGATCGAATCAAAAATTATATAGAGTTCAATATTTGTGCAGGGGAGTATGTATATTACAATATAGTATACGAAAAAATGATTCTTTCTCCCAAAGCAAGCTAAGTCACATCATATATCATATTAATCCACCAAGTAATTGATTGATAAAAAACATATAATAACTCTACATCAGTGACTGAATGAGGACAGTTTACCTTGGGCTGGTTGAAAATGTAAACAAGAGTGGATCTTTATGTAAAGCTTTGAAGAGCACAACATTGGGTTTGACCTCATCCCACTTGATAGATTTGAGCTCAAGAATTTGACCAGGATCACTTGGGTGCTCAGGGTCCAAACAAATCATAACCAATTGCAAAAATTCCTTGGACAATACAATCTTAGGATATGCATCAGCAATCAACCACAACTTGAAGCAATCCTTCCAGCAAGTTTTAGCCTTGCTACAAAAACATCCCCTCCCCTTGATTTTCCCCTGTCATTTCTGTAACCAGCCAATCATATATGCATCATTGAGCACTAATTCCAAGAAATTCTTGGGCAATGTCTTGTAGACTTTGATTGAATCCTGATCAAGTTCACCATAAAAGTCAGTTGTCTCCTCATCTTCTTGCAATTTCAGACTCAAAATCTTGTGCACATTGTTACTCATCCTTTTCAATTTTTCATCATCATTTCTAACTGATTCAGGCAAAACGCCAAATGCTAATTCAAGGGCCATTACACCAGCTCCCAAAACACCAACTTTAGGCCCCCAAGAATCATCACCCCTGTGACAGTGTCGATCAGCCAATAAAATCTAAATCCTATTACAATTGATCTTGAGCAGTTTTTCCACTTCAGTCCCATTAGCCAGAGTCACAATACCAACCCTATCAGCTGTAATCTCGGGCTGCTTTTCCGTTGCTTCGCGTGCACACAAAATTTTCAATCGAGAAAGACCCATTAATATATTTCTCATCACAATAAGGATACAATCTTGAGGCCCCATCTGGGTAATTCGCCATTATCTCCCTCAGAATGTGGCCTCTAGAAAAATCTTTATAACGGAAAAATTCACTGAGGAGCAACACTATTGTTTCTTGATCCATGGGTATTAATCTTCTTCTTCTTTCACGCTACAGAGATGAACTATGAATGAAGTAATTGAAGCTGTTTAATCTACAATGGTGGATTTTAAATCCGCCACCCACCCCCCCAAAAAAGAAAGTCCCAACCGCCTCAACTGCTATGGGCACAAATATTTACAATTCAGATCCTAAACTAAAAAAAATACAAAGACACCCCTAATCAGTTTTCACAGTCTAATTTTATGCTTCCCCTTTTCCAAAAAAATTATCTAGTTTTATCGGATGTCCCCGAAGGGACAAAAAAAACACTAAAAAGTAAAAAAAAAAATAAATTTATCTAGTTTGATAAATAATCTTTTCCCAAAAAATAGTCCATTTTTAAAACGTTATACTCCCTCCATTCCAAAGTAAGTGTCATTCTACACTTTGCATATAGTTTGAGAAACTCTTGAATATGGTAATAAAATTGTTTAAATATCCTCAACTAAACCAATTAAAATAAAATATCCCTGAACCAAAGGATCCTAAACTATGGGGGTCACAACTTTTTCGTCACCGTTAATTTTTTGTTCCTAAACTATGAGCGTCACAACTTTTGGGATTTAGGAAGTTAGTCGGAAATATTTTCATTATTAGTTTAATTTATTCTTTTTAAAAAATTTCTGATCAAGGACTTGTGGGACCCACAATCTATTAAGTAATCAATAAAAAATAAAGACTTAAAAGAAAATTGAATTGGACCATTAAATTTTTGAAAATTCGTTAAAGTGACTAAAATTGTTGAAAAAAAAAAGATATTTGGGGACTGATTTTGTTGTTTGAAAATACATTGTGGGTCCCAATTCAGTAAAAATTAATTAAGAGAAAATAGTTGACCATTAGTTGACCGTTGAATTGACTAAAACTGTTGAATAAATGAAAATGTGGTGACTAATTTTGTCAGTAAAAAATTAATGGTGACCAAAAGTTGTGATCCCCATAGTTCAGAGACCAAAAATATGTTTTGTCCTAGTATTAATTCTTTTGAGGGTAGTTTTGATAATTATGGATAAAAACTACATTGAAATTAGAGAACGACACTTATTTTGAAATTTTTTCATTTTGTTAAAACGGCACTTATTTTGGAACAGAGTGAGTACTCCCTCCGACCTGAAATTATTGTCCAGTTTTGATTTTTTTTTTTTAGTACAAAAAGGCATTTCATAGTGTCTTTATAAATAGCCTATTATGACATCTATAATAATAATAATATAATAACCCACATTTTAAAAAAAAAACTATGTTTCTCCTAAAATTTCAAGTGTCACTCTTCTTTGCTTAAAGTTCTCCCACCCTAATCCCCAAGAAAAAAGAAAAAACAAAAAAGGGAAGTATTATCTTTTTCAAAAAAGAAAAAAAGGGAATCATTATCCCCTTTTATAATACACGTATCCAAGATATTTCAATTATTATAAACCTTACAGTTTCTACATCCATATTTTCATTAAAACTTATGATACCGTTTCATCCAATTAAAATAATTTTTTTTAAAAAAAAAAGAAAAGAAAACCTCCAAAAATAACCTCCTTATCAAACTCACTCTCACCATAATCTACATTTCCCTAATATTCTAATTAATATAAACATTAAAAGTTGCTCCATCCATATTTTCATTAAATTTATGATACCGTTTCATCCAAAATTCAAATGTGAATTATTTTTATCATATTATTAAATAACTTTAGATTTCCTATAATTTATTAAATAACTTATTTATTATAATATTTTCTGTCGATCTACCATCAAAATTTCTAATTACATCAACACTATTCCTGTTTTTCCTTTTCCTTTTTTACTAACCAAATTCCTTTTTCCTTTTTTTGTGATAAAAAACAAAAGACTAGTGATACTGTCAGTACAAAAATTAGCTGACAGAGCAAAAAAATAAAAAATTATTCTCCCTAAATTACCCTTACCCTTAAAGTCAAATGTTAATTCTACTTCCTTCTTCTCCAGTTTTCATCCCTTCCGCCTCCCATCATCACCGCCCACTTTTCTTCTCTCATATCTCCCTTTCGAACCTCTGGGATGATTCCACCAGTCCACCACCATCATGTTTCCACCATAACACAGTACACCTTTTCTTGTGCAATATAATTTTCATATCCAGCACATCATTGATCAGCCATGTAATTGATCAATCGCTATCTTTAATTATCTACTATCACCAATTCTCATCATCTCCACCTTTATTTCCTTTAATTTTTTTTCCTATCTTCGAAGAAATTGAATAAATTTAAGGACCATTAAGTTTCAACAACCCACGTCCGAGATGCATACTCGGCTATATTATGTGAATATTTGTTTGAAAATCATATGAATTGCCTATGTTTGCGATTGAGAGCGAATAGAGAGGGAGATTGGTGAAACTTTCCGGAAATCCAAGAAAGATTGAAGATTTTTTTTTCTCAAGAAAGAAAATTGCAAAAAAGAAAAAAGAAAAAAAAGAAAAACAATAGTTAGCTTCAGCTTCTTGCAAATTGCTCAAGGAAGACTCTCCTCTGGCCTCCGGCATCCAGCATCTGTGCGAGATTGGATTTTGAGAAGCCACTATGTAATTTAGAGGTAGAGAAGCAAAAAAATAAAATAAATAATAATAATAAAAATAACCCATCTTTGTATAACGGAATTGGTGGCCATATATTATGTTCAACAATCAAAGAACTCCTTGGAACGATAAAGGGAGGGTAGATTTACATTTGACCTATTATAAGGGTAATTTAGGGAGACAGTGACTTTTTTGCTCTGGCAGCTAATTATTGCTTTGACAATATCATTAGCAAAAAAAAATCAACTCTGTCAATATCAATATGTGTCATCATTAATTATTTTGCCAATACCTCCTTCCTTTGCCAAATTTTCTCCTTCTTAAGTGAAATTCAATTTTATTCCAAACAAAATTACTTTCTTCTACCATCGAAATGAGAAAAATCCTATTCAAATGCAGACTTTTCAGTTTCACTTACTAAATGCTAACAAAATCTCAAACAATCATTACAAACCTATGTTATTAAAATTGGACATGACTGGATGGTTGAATTGAAGTTCTCCCAGTTTCAGTTTCTTTAGAAATTAATTTTATGAAAACCAGTCAAACTCGGTCAAATCCGAAAAGAACCCCTGGTTTGAAGGGAACCGGGTCAAAATTTTTGGGGAAAAAAAAGCAGTTATTTGAGTTGAGGATGAATCGAACCGGTCAGCCCAATGATCTACTTAGGTTGCCAGTTTGCCTTTTGATATGTTTTTCAAAACATAGATAAACACTGATTTATAAATTAAGAGACGTCATCATCTCAAACTTTTTATATTTTTTTTTTATTTGCCCCATACACAAACAAAAAAAAATGTGACAAAAATATTTCTAATGGATTTATTGCCAAACATTATCAAAAAAAAAAAAAAAAAAACACATTGGGTTTGAATTACTTTCATTGAGGATTTTCGCGACATTTTACATTACGGGGTTTACTGCGTAAACATGCACTATATGTATTGATCTTCAACTACGCGTAATGTTGCCGGTTTCGTGTGATCTGTTGTGCTCAAAACTTATGAAGACAGATCAAGTGATGCAATAGTGTTAGTTAGGATTGTGAGAAAGAAGACTCCTCCTCCTCCTCCTGCTGTACTCATAAAGATCATATATATAGATTCACTTACTATCTACACTTTAAAATAAGTTGTCTTTATGAACAAAGGTGGAATAGAATAGTGATCATATGGATTTACAACTGATTATTTCTAGTATTAATCATTCTATAAGATTTCATTCCCTTTTAAGCAGTTGCATTGCTGGAGGCTAAAATCCTTTTGACTTTCGCCATATCTAAAGTTCACAAGCAATTTTTATTTAAAGTTCACAAGCAAGTAATTACATACTCCTTTTAATTAGTAGCTGGCTAGCACGATCGAGGTTGTGCACAATATTGCGCGGCTAGCAATATTTATGATACTTTGTACCCTCAAATTTTAGTTGGACGCATTCCCCTCTTCGGAAAATAAAAACTTTTAATATAATAATAAATTTTTTCTAATAAGCACAAAGACGTGATTCATATAACATTCCAGCAACATTTGGATTGTTAGACCCATGTGATCAGGTTATTGTGCGCTGCTGAATTGAACCAAATTATCGTACTTTGACAATCATCTAGAAATTTGAACACAACAACAGTATTGCAGCTTAATCAGTCACTTTTGTAAGTAATTATTATTCATAGTCGAACTAAAATATTTTGATGTTATAAAACAAAACTTGAATAATCTCAATCATAGAACTGAAACCAGACGAAAGAAAAGAAAGACAAAAGGAAAATTGATGATGCCATTGATTACGAAGTTATCATATCATCGGTTACAAATTAAATTCACAAGATGCCATTTTTCGCATGCAGAAAAACAAGCTTTCTACTCCTCAAACATCTGTCACCGCCTCAATTCCACGTGTCTAATGCAAACTCATTCACCATCACCGTTAAACTCCAAGCTTCCCACTGCTCTTTCCTTCATTCAGAAATTTCTCTACCAAAAACAATTCTCTCTCTCTCTCTCACACACACACACACACAGAGTTGGAGAAATCACCGTTGCCGTTTCGATCCAATGGCTGAGCAGTACCAGCAGCAGCAGATTCAGCAGCAACGCCCGGGTGATGCTATGAAGAGTTTCCTTCCTCAAAGGGGTCCGTCGACCGGTCAAGTTCTCGCCGTCGTCACGCTCCTCCCGGTCGGCGGCGCCCTCCTGGGCCTTGCCGGGCTGACTTTCATCGGCACGCTTATTGGGCTGGCCATAACCTCACCCCTGTTCGTGATCTTCAGCCCAATTCTGGTCCCTGCCGTGATTGCCTTGAGCTTGGCCGTGATGGGATTCTTGACTTCGGGTGCTTTTGGGATCACCGCGCTTTCGTCGCTGTCGTGGATTATGAATTACATGCGGAGGATGGGTGGGTCGTTGCCGGAGCATGTGGATCAGGCCAGGCACCGTGCCGGGGAAGCTGCGGGTCATTTGGGTCAGAAGGCTAAAGAAACAGGCCAGAGAGCCCAAGAGACCATCAGACCATGAACATCATCATGACATCTCACCTTCTTAATTAAGTGGGCTTACCCCCCTATTATCATTTTCTTGTATGATGTTTCTTTTCTGATTCCGTTCAGATCTTGTGATTAGGGTTGATTATGTTGGGTAGTTTGCTCTTTTAATTATATGATGATCTGAGATTGAAATAAAAAGAAAAGGAAATTGTGTTCTTAGTGGTTTTAATTAATGTTGTTCTTGAAAAAATGCTGCCCTTGGATACAATACTATCAAAGTTTTCCATCCAAAATGATGTTTGCAAGTAGCTTCATTTGCTTGCACCAATTTCTTTCATTTTGAGGAAAAAAGTTTTTCAGCTGAATGCCGATCGATCATCGAAGTCGGTCGATTGCGCATGTAGAGGCTAACTTAACATAAATGTTATTATTACATGGATTCAGTCCCTAACAATTTATTTTTTTTTTCAATTTTCAACGCTACTTCTTACCCATTTTTTCTTCTTTGTTTTTTAAGACATTTTTAATTTACATTTTAAAAAAAAAAATTTAAGAGAAAATAAATATTACTATCCACATGGAGCCTAACTCCCTTTAGTCGGATAGGACCAATTCGTTATTTGGACTTGTAGATGTTGTCGATATACAATTTTTTTTTTTTTAGAAGGCACTGAATTCTCAAGTGAATTTTGAAAAAAAAAAATATCGTCATCTTGCACCACGGCCTATAATCTTTTTGGTCTATTAAGTGAACTTTAAAAAAAAAAAGAAAAGAGACAACATTCATCGTTATTTTGCAGTTTATACTCCAATCTATGAACGAACTTTCCCAAATTTTGCACCAAAAAAAAAAAAAAGAGAGAGAGAAAACCAAACCAAGATGTGCCTTTAAATCCTAATACTCTTTCAGTACTCTGAAAACCACAAACAGAGATTCTCATAATTCAATTGTTAGCTTAATAAAATTTCGCAGAGAGTGATGGTTCTAACGGTTCTCATATAACAACAACACTTCTCTCATTACAATGTGGATTGACACTCAATTTCATATTGCCATATTGGTCACGTTAGCACAAAAGCCTTATAGATACACTCCTACCATTAACAATTAAAAATGATGAACGCCTTCTCAAATGAATTCCCCTTTTATGTATTTGTCTTCTCAAAATAATTTTTTTTGGTAAAAAGGAGTTTAACGCCTGATAGAAAAGAAATTACATCATTCCGTGCATCAGTGGTGGATGAGAAACTCCGATAATATCGTGCTCCGACAACAACAGTTTCAACCCAATTTCAAAAGAAAACAGAAAAAAATTACAAGTAGGACTTAAAATGAAATCCCAAATTAATTACTTTGTGACATGAACCAATTTCGGGGCAATCTAACAGTTGAACAATGTTGTGGCTCCAATATTTAATTTAATAATTAATACCAAGCATAAAGCGAAGGCCGTCGTCTCCAACGGTCACTACCTCCTTTTCCCCAATTTTTTAACACAAAAAAAAGAAACCCAGAAAAGACTGCCCTACCACCACTCTTCCTTCATCCAATTGACCGTTATGTCTTCTTCATCCTAAATTCCCCCATATCTTCTTCTTCTTCCCTCTTCAATATTCTTCCCTTTCTCAACTTTCCGAAAATAATCAACGCTCCTCGCATTTCTCCTTTACTCTGGCAGTAATGGAGAACCCTAAATTTTCTCGATCATAATATCCCCCCTTGTTTGCTTGCTTACCAGCCTGCTCTGGAGGACAGTGGTTACTCAATTAACTAGTCTAATTGGCTAAGGCGGAAGCATATTGTTATTTACAAAATCATGGGTTGTTTTCTTGGGTGCTTTGGGAAGTCTAAGGATCGGAGACGCCGTAATAAACAGAGGAATAAAGTCATCCCTCGATACCAGCAGGTAAATGCATTCAGCTTTGTACTCTGTGATTTTTGTGCGTGTTTGTTTGTTTGTTTGATTTTGGAGTCAAGAATGATACGGTTGGATTTTATTAATGGGTTTCCCTCGTTTGTGCGAGTTTGGAAAGAAAAGAAGCCCAATCTTGGATGTATATAGGGTCCATTTGTTGTTTTCCTGTTTAGGGTTTTATGGGTTTTGACCTTGAATTGATTTTCTTTTGAGTGATTGGAAACGAATTGGAGGAGCATTTATGGTTTCCTTTTGTATATCGTAGTTGTAATGTTGTAGTTGGGAACCAAATACAGTATCAGGTTTCGATCTTTTGGGTTCATTTAAGTTAATTTAAGTTGTGGTGATATTGTTGGCAGAGGCATGGAAGTCAACATCATCTTCAGATTCAGAATGTTTTGTCTGCTGAAGAGGAGGGCATTAAAGAATCTCCGGTGGTCCATTTGGTTCCTGCCTTGAGGTTAGTCATTTGGCATTAGATATCTTGGAATCATCATATTATATTACGCTGAGCGGTTATTTTGTGTTCACTCTGGTTTAAGTTGCTCTTCAGCTTTTGCTTCTGACCTGACATTGTATGCTTAACTCTAAATGTAGTGATAAGCCCGGAGAGCAGTCTACGGTTAACTCTCAAAGTAGTGACAAGCCTGAAGAACAATCGAGCTCAAATACCAAGAAGAAAGTTACTTTTGATGCAAATGTCACAACCTATGAGCATGTTTCAGTGTTTGAGAGTGTTGATTCTTTGCCAGAGCACAAAGAGGCTAGTCACCAGGGAAAGGAGGATACTGGTGTTTCATCAAGTGATTCCCGATTAACATCTGAAGATGATTCAGTTACTTCAAGTGTTGCTTCATATCCTCCCAACCATAGGTATCAGAACTGTAGGGACAGCGATGATGAAGTTGAGGAATGCGGTGATAGTGAGTTGGAAGATGATGATTATGATGAAGAAGAAGACTATAGTGATTTTGATGATGATGCCGAGGATAGAATTGTTGGTCAAGATATCTGGTCTGAGTCAATTTTAACTGAATCCATGGAGTCAAGAACTAATAATTTGAAGAAGCGTCCAAGTCTGGAGGAGCAGGTGGACAGTTCGAAGGAAATGCCATTCATGCCTAATCAAGATGTGGAAACTGTAGGTCCAAAAGTATATGCAAGGAATAGGAGCGATTATGTTCACCCTGTGCTCAACCCAGTTGAGAATCTTACCCAATGGAAGACAATGAAATCCAAAGGAACTTCACAATTGAAGCTCCAAAAGGAGAATGTTACAGCAGATTTCGAGGCACCTTTACCATTTAGTTCTGAACCAACTTTTAGGCAGTCATCATCAAGGTCAAAGCCAAAATCAGAGCAAAGGAAGAGTTCAAGCGAACAACCAGCTGTGGATGCTAGTCTTTCAACTTGGTTAGCTGGCCCTGAATCCACTCCTACCAGGACTACCAGTGTCGGCAGTCTTGAGTCTGTAACTTACGAGAAGGTTAGCAGCATTTCACAGGGTTCGAATTCAGTGAGGAGCTTCGAAGATAGACCCATTTTAGGAGCATTGACAGTTGAGGAGATTCGACAGATGTCAGCAGCTTCCTCACCTAGAAAGTCACCAAGTCGGAGCCCTGATGAGATGCCTATCATAGGGACTGTTGGGACTTACTGGAATGACTCGGTATCATCAAAGGAATCACGGTCGGCCTCGTCCTACAAAGGCATACCAAATACCACCAGCAAGTATAGAGAGGTGCGTGGTAAACTGAAATAAAACACTACTTTTCCAGCTTTGCATGGTTTAAAACTTGCAAGTCTCTAATGCAATTTATTAATGCATCTAGCAGGATAAGAGAGTTAATTGGCATTCTACTCCTTTTGAGACCAGATTAGAGAGAGCTTTGAACAGACGCACTGCTGGAGAAGTGTGATTCTTTCTCCCCAAGTCATTCATTTGATCATTTACTGTTGATTTCTTTGTGGGGTTTGGGAGGGTGGGACAATTGTTTATTCTTTTGGAAGAAAATTGGCTTCTGAAAAGTTTATATTTGGTCCGTTTGTATGATAAATATCATATAGTGTGCAATATGTTCAATTTTATGATTGAAGTTTCTGTTTCTTTTCGCTTTTCTGAGATTGACATCTATCGCGATTTACTTTTGGTTTCCATCTAACCTCTTGAACTGAAGTGTTGTCTAGTAGTACAAAATCCACTGTTACCTTTAGAATTTGAGTTCTAAGCTCGTGATTATTGTTTTTCTGGTTCCTTATGGAAGGGGAGGAGGAAAAGAAACAGAACTTTACTTTGACATTCTGGGAAAAAACAGCCTCAGAAGGACATTTGTGTTCTGTATCCAACTAACTGTTGAATGAGCAATTTCTTCTATTGATCGATCCATTGGAAAATTTAGTCCAATTAACCTGAAAACAAGGTAGACAATGAATCCTTACTGCTTTTAAGTATCCCATGTTCGTACAGCTAACACTCCATTAAATAAAAATTTCTACTAATCTCCAAAACTCAAATTACGTGCATCAGATGAAATGCTTGAAGCAAGTCCTCATTCTGTGCAGTAACCAGAAGTTTACTTTGAAATCGAATATTGGCCTAGGTGGTTTCAAAGTGAATAACTCTATTAAACGATTAGCGGCTTGATTCTTTATTACCAGTTGGATTTGTATTTCAGATTAAACCGTGTTAAAAATTCAAATGAAAGAGAAAAATTTTATCAGCATCCAAGACTTCAACGAGGAGTGCCAAGAAGAAGTTGTTGAATTGAGGAAACTCGTTCCAAAACCCCAACCAACCAAAATCCAAAGCAGGTTGGCAATTTCCAAAGTCAACTTGGAGAAAAAAAAAATGCTGATGTTATGACTCTCTTTCTTTATTGTTTTGAGAGCATTTCCTTTTAGCATTTTTTTTAGTTAGCAAAAGAAAGAAAAGGAGAAAAGAATGGTGACGATAGATTACTAAACCTTGGTATTCAAGATCACATTTTTAAGCGTTATCTTTGAAGTCTTTGGTCAAAAATTACGAGATTAAACAAAACTTAAGAACACTTGTTAAAAACTGGAAACAGTTTTGGATTTCAGACATCATCTACAAGTTTGAAACTTGCCTTAATTCACTGCTTTGCTCATCCCCCAATTCCCCATCAATCATCCCTTATAAACTTTTTTTTTATTTTTTTATTTAGTGGTTTGCACTTTACCTTTTTGCAGTAGGAAGAGTAACCATCAACATCTAATAATCGTACATAATATTATCTCAGAAATCGGGAACATGACTACATTTCAGAAATATGGCGTTCTTGTGCTTCTATTTCTTATAATCTTGTTCCTTTTTAATCTGCTGAAATTCAGTTCTGCTGCTGGAAATGAAGCAGAAGCTCTCGTGAGATGGAAAGCCAGCTTACCTTCTACTTCTGTTCTTGATTCATGGTCTCTCAAAAATGTCGTAAATCTTTGCAATTGGACTGGCATTACTTGCGGCAGGGCAGGCATAATTACTGGGATCAATCTTTCTGGGGCTGATCTCAATGGAACCCTTGATCGGTTTGATTTCAGATCATTTCCAAATGTCACGGTTTTCGACATCAACACAAACAATTTTGATGGGGTCATTCCATCTGCCATTGGTAATCTCTCCAAGCTCACTTACTTGGATTTAAGCATTAATGCATTTGTGAACATCATACCTGTGGAGATCGGATTTCTCACGGAGTTGAGGTATTTGAGCCTGATGGACAATGATCTCAATGGTCCTATTCCTTATCAAATAGGCAACCTTCAAAAATTAAGGTACTTGGACTTGGGGTCGAACTACTTAGAAACTCCAGATTGGTCAAAGTTTCCAAGCATGCCTTTCTTATCCTACCTAGGCCTTTGTTACAATGAACTCACATTGGGATTTCCAGATTTCATACCAACTTGTCACAATCTTACCTTTCTAGACTTGTCCCTTAATCATTTGACTGGCCAAATTCCTCCATCTTTGTTTACCAATCTGGTTAATCTGGGGTACCTGAATCTTACTGACAATCATTTTCAAGGAATGCTATCATCAAACTTTACCAATCTGTCAGAGCTAAAAGATCTTCGGTTAGGAGAAAATAACTTTTCTGGTCCAGTTCCAGATTTTCTTGGTAAGATTCCCGGTCTTGTCATACTTGAATTGTTCAACAATTTATTTGAAGGTAGCATCCCATCATCCCTAGGCCTGCTTAGAAACCTTGAGCTTCTTGATCTCAGGACAAATAGCCTGAATTCTACTATTCCTTCTGAGCTTGGCCTTCTTACCAATCTCTCTTTCTTAGCTTTGGATTCAAATTCACTTACTGGTTCCTTGCCTCTGTCATTCTCCAATTTGGTGAAGTTGTCCGTTCTGGAATTGTCCAATAATAGGTTTTCTGGTGAAATTTCACCTAATTTCATAGGCAACTGGACTGATTTGGTTTCATTGAAGATACAGAAGAATAGTTTCACTGGAAGAATACCAGCTGAAATTGGACTTTTGACTCAACTCAACTATCTTTATCTGTACAAAAACCAGCTCTCTGGGTTTATCCCGCCAGAAATTGGCAAACTGCAGAATTTGTTAGAGTTAGACGTTTCTGAAAACCAGCTTTCTGGTCCAATACCTAAGACAGTTGGGAACCTCACAAACCTTCAAAACTGCAAACTTTTTTCCAACAACTTAAGCGGCAGATTACCATCAGAAATTGGAAATATGATTGCACTCATTGTGTTTGATGTCCGATCTAACAAATTGAGTGGAGAGTTGCCTTGACACCCTTCAGTCTTGAAAATCTAGAATTTTTATGCCTATCTACTTATCAAATTTCTGGTATCATTCCGGCGTGTTGGGGTAACTTCTCAAAGGTCGGCCGAAGTTTCCAACAGTGTTTGTAATGGATACGTAGGAGTAGATAGACATTGTTGCGGATTCCAGAGAGGTCTTTCTTAGCTAATGTTTTCAGCTTTTCAAATTAATAACTTCTCCGTTGAATTGACCTCAGAATCATGTAGCCTAATTACACAAAGTGAATGACAAACTTTTCAGGGCTAATCATGTATTCATTTTGGAAGTTTGCTGGTGGAAAGTCTATATTTGGCCTGTTTGTATGGCAAATATGTCTGAAGATTGACATGGATCACGAGTTTGCTAACTTTTCAGTTTCATCTAATCTCTTGAACTGAAACCGATGTGGGTTACAACTGCTTCTATTCTTGCCAAAAAATCAGAATTCCATAGGGAAGAGAGACTATTCAGTATTGGTTTCGTTTGGTTTCTCGATTAATTTGACAGTCTGGAAGGAAAAAGAAGAAGAAGTTCTTTCTCCAACTAACAAATGCACAATTTCATCTATTAATCCCATTGGTAAATTAAGGTCCAACAATGAAACCAAAAACAATGTAGGTGATGGATCTTACTGCGTTAAGTAGCCATGTTCATACTAAGTAAATAACTCGAATTTACTAATTTCCGACAACACTGGCATCTCAATTTAAGTGCTTCTCAGATGATAAAGCGCTTGAAGCAAGTGTGTTACAAATTCAAACGAAACAGAGAACTTCTAAAGATGATAAGTGATTCATGAAGTTATTGAACTCATGAGTAGTCAAAACTCTCAGTATAAATTACTGTAACTTCCAACGCGGCCTCTCAGTCTCTCTGTAATTAAAAATGGTGGTCTAAGCTTCACCCACCCCGCACATGATAAAGAAAAATATTGTTGCCGTTTACCAGGTTGGTGGTGATCAAAATGTCAACTTAAAGGAATGCTTAATTTGAGGCATTTCTCGTGGACAAAGATTGAGTGTAAAATCTTGCAACCCAAGAACACTAGCAGCAAAACTACTGTACAGACATTATACAGAAAGCCATTGACTATGCCTAGTTACCTATATTTGTTTACATAGAAAGAAAAACTTCCATTCCGATTACCAATTCCCAGAGTTTGAAAATGCAATGTTTTTCAACTGTTGTGTGTTCACAACCATCCCGAATTGCCTCCATTTTTCACCTGTTCGCTTATCCCCATTAATCATCCCGTACAGACTTTTATCTTTTAGTTTTGCAATAGAAAAGAATAACCCACAAAAGTAGTAGATTATATGAATCTCAAAAGTAGGAGGATGATGCTGACAACATTTCAGAGAAATGGCGTACCTGGGCTCCTGTTTCTTGTGATATTCTTCTCTTTTCATCTGTTAAAAATCAGCTCAGCAGCTGGAAATGAAGCAGAAGCCCTTGTGAAATGGAAAACCAGCTTACCTTCCAACTCTGTTCTTGATTCATGGTCTCTAAACAATTCCAGAAATCTTTGTAACTGGACAGGCATTAAATGCAGCAGGGCGGGAACAGTTTCTGGGATCAATCTCTCTGGGGCTGATCTCAACGGAACCCTTGATCAGCTTGATTTCAGCTCATTTCCAAATCTCACGGTTTTGGACATCAACACAAACAATTTTGAAGGGGTCATTCCATCTGCCATTGGTAATCTCTCCAAACTTGCTTATTTGGATTTGACTACCAACTTGTTTGAGGATATCGTACCTGTGGAGATTGGCTTGCTAACAGAGTTAAGGTACTTGAGCTTGTTCAACAATAGTTTCAATGGTCCTATTCCTTATCAAATTGAAAACCTTCAGAAATTAAGACACTTGGAATTGGGAGGGAACTATTTTGATGGGGTCATTCCGGGGGAGATTGGCTTGCTGACAAAACTAAGGTACTTGAGCTTGGTATACAATAGTTTCAGTGGTCCTATTCCTTATCAAATTGGCAACCTTCAAAACTTAAGGTTCTTGAACTTGGCAGAGAACTATTTAGAGACTCCAGATTGGTCAAAGTTTCCAAGCATGCCTCTTTTATCATTCCTCTTCATCTCTGGCAATGAACTAACTTTGGGATTTCCAGATTTCATAACAGGTTGTCAGAAACTCAGCTTTCTCGACTTGTCTTTTAATTATTTGACTGGCCCAATTCCTCCATCTTTATTCACTAATTTGGTTAATCTGGAGTATCTTGGTCTCAGTGACAATCAGTTTCAAAGGCTGCCATCACCAAGTTTTGCCAATGTGTCAAAGCTGAACAATCTTCAGTTACATAACAATAACTTTTCTGGCCCAGTTCCAGAATTTTTGGGTAATATTTCAAGTCTTGCCTATGTTAAATCGTACAATAACTTTTTCGAAGGTAAAATACCATCATCCTTAGGAAAGCTCAGAAATCTCGAGTATCTTGATCTCAGGAAAAATTACCTGAATTCAACTATTCCTTCTGAGCTTGGCCTTCTTAGTAATCTCACATTTCTTTACCTGAAGAAAAACCAGTTATCAGGACCCATTCCACCAGAAATTGGCAACCTGCGGAGTTTATTACTTTTAGACCTTTCTGAAAACCAGCTTTCTGGTCCAATACCTAAAACATTTGGGAACCTCACAAGTCTTTTCAACTGCCTACTTATATCCAACAATTTAAGTGGCACATTACCTCAAGAAATTGGAAATTTGACCACACTGTCTTCTTTTGAAGTCGGCAATAATAAGTTGAGTGGGAAATTACCTGCGGAAATTGGAAAGATGAGGGCACTCGCTTATTTTTCTGTCAAAAGTAATAAGCTGAGCGGAAACTTACCACCAGAAATTGGAAAAATGAGGGCACTCACTTATTTTTCTGTCAAAAATAATACGTTGAGTGGAAATTTACCACCAGAAATCGGAAATATGACAGCCCTTAAATCTTTGGATGTCCGAAGTAACAATTTGAGTGGAGAGTTGCCTCGCACACTCTTCAATCTTGATCGCCTGGTGAATTTGTCCCTCTCTGATAATCAGTTTTCTGGTCTCATCTCGCTGGACTTGTGACATGATATGAATCAATCCTTACCACGAAGGTTGGCTCCGGATCCATGAATTAATTGGTTTTTTAATTCGCAATGAAAATGGACCAAAATAGTGAAGAAAATTTTATAAACGCCCGTCTGTAAGGTTTGCATCTCCATCTGTAATGAGTAAGTTTCAGCATAAGTTATGTGTGATCAACAAAATGATTTCGTGAGGTTGTTCCTTGCTTATCCAAAATTGTTTTTTTGGGTCTACAGTTGCTTTTCAGTTGATCTCTTGAACTGAAGTTGCTTGGTACAACAGCGGCTACTTTTGTCGCCAATCAGAATTCATGGTGTCATATGTCCTCGTGTCTAAATTCACTGTTCTGACTAATTCGGTTCGAGTCTAGCGAATCTTTTTTGAGTGTCAAAGAATTTGAAACTAATGTTGGTTTTGGTGATCACATTCACGCCGTTTCCAATTTCACTAATGTTGAAGAATTGGAACTCTAAGCTTGTGGTTGCTTTGGATTTTGGTAAAGGAGTCAAAAAAAGAGTGATGATAGATAGGCAATGAGGTGGCTTAATGTTACTATCCCCTAAACCTTAATCAGTAAACCAAAAATTTTAATTTTGGACGGTCATGATTAATTCCCTATAAAAATTCCTTGCAAAATTTCCCGGCACAAATCATTTTTTTTTATTTAAAAAAAAAAAAGAAGAAGGCCCCTTTGTTCTTTATCCAACTAGGAAGGAATTAAATGCATAGTTTCACCTGTTGATCAATACGGTGACCCATCCACTATTTAATTACTAATAATTCTACATCAACGCGGTTTTCAGATTTAGGGATTTTTTTTTCGCTTTTTTCTTTTTTGGGTGTAGATTTTGTATTTTAATACTCGTACTATATTTGGTCGATCAGTAATTTTCTGTCTCCCACAAAAGAAAGTGCGTCTTTTAGTCCGCTTTTCATGGACACTAACACTATTTTACTGAGGAAAAATGAAGGAAAGTTACGGACTAAAAAGAACATTTTTTGTTTTCTAAATTATGTTGCGGACTTGCGGATGACCAAAATTACGATTCAAACCAAATTTAGTGAACTAATCGGCAACTTAATCTTCTGGAAATATGAATTTAAAAAAGAAAAATGATATTCTTAGCGAATAAAAATAGTGAAAATATATAATGACTGATGTGTAATAATCATGGTCCTTAATTTTTTGCTAATTTCTTGTTGAAATTTTATTTTTCCCCCAAAATTACATTTTTACCTTAATTAATAAATAGATATGTTTATCAAGTGGATGGTATATTTGTCTTCTCAGTTATCACTATATTTTCACTGTACTTAATCACTGGATGCATCATTGCTGTTTAAAAAAATACAACAAAGAAAAGCAAGCATTTTGTTTCTTCATCTTTTGGTTTCTCATTTTGGAATTCAATTAATACTTTGATTTTCTATCTTTCGATTTTCTTTTTTTGGTACGAAAAAGAAGGCATAAGACTACATAATAGTACTAGTATTTTACGTTTGATTTCCAATCTTCGATATCTCTTGATATTACGTTTGTTTTCCGTAACCACATTTGCATATCTTAGAGTGATGAGAAACTTAAGAGTGAAAATGCACTCACTCGATGTTCTTTTGGTAATCATCTACTTCATCTGTCCCAAAATTATTATCCACTTTGAAATTTCACTTTTAGTACAATATGAACTAAAAATAAAAATCCAAACTGGACAATAATTATGGGACGGAGAGAGTACTATTTAATTAAAGATAATGATTGGTACAAGGAAAAATGACAAAAAAATGATCTCATCCATCCATTTTAAAAACTTTCCATACGGGGTTTAAGCATTTAAGGTTAGGGTCTAGTTTAGATATTTGACGCATCATTCCTGGTACATTTTCCTTGTTATTTTTTGCATGTACTCTTTAATTAATTACTAGTTCTTCATTAACGCGGTTTTCAGGTTTCATAAAGACAGCTGGAGAAAGAACCAGAACCGAAATTTGACAAGAGTTGAAAAGTCTTCTCAATTGGTTGATGACAGTACAAATCTTGCAACCCAACACCGACTTGCAGAGAAACTACAGACATCACATAGAAAGTCATTTGACTTGCCTATATAGTTTTTGTTTACTTCAAAACAAAACTTTCACCCTGAGTTTGAAAAATGCAATCGGTTTCTTTTCTTTAACTCTTGTGAGTTCACATGCTTCCCGAATTGCCTCCATTTTTTCACTGCTTTGCTTATCCCCATTAAACATACTTTTTATCTGGTAGTTTTTTGCTGTAGAAAAGTAAATAACCCACAAAAATTAGAATACTTATATGAATCTCGAAAGTAGGAGGTTGATGAGGACAACATTTCAGAGGAATGGCGTACATGGGCTCCTATTTCTTATAATCTTCTTCTCTTTTAGTAGCCTGAAAATCAGTTCAGCAGCTGGAAACGAAGCAGAAGCCCTGGTGGAATGGAAATCCAGCTTATCTTCTGCTTCTGTACTTGATTCTTGGTCTCTGAACAACGCCGGAAATCTTTGTACTTGGACAGGCATTGAATGCAGCAGGACGGGGACAATTACTGGGATCAATCTCTCTGGGGCTGATCTCCATGGAACCCTTAATCAACTTGATTTCAGCTCGTTACCAAATGTCACCGTTTTCGACATCAGCAAGAACAGTTTTCTTGGGCTCATTCCATCTGCCATTGGTAATCTCTCCAAGCTCACTTACTTGGATTTAAGCAAGAACGTTTTTGTGGGTATTATACCTGTGGAGATTGGATTGCTGACCGAATTGAGGTATTTGAGCTTGAAGATGAATTATTTTAATGGTCCTATTCCTTATCAAATTGGTAACCTTCAAAAGTTAAGGTACTTGCACTTGGGATGGAATCAATTAGACACTCCTCCAGATTGGTCAAAGTTTCCAAGCATGCCTTTGTTATCCTACCTTAGCCTTTCTTTCAATGAGCTCACTTTGGGGTTTCCACATTTCATAACAAGTTGTCTGAATCTTACCTTTCTAGATTTATCCCTTAATTCATTGAGTGGCCAAATTCCTCCCTCTTTGTTTACCAATTTGGTTAATCTTGAGTACCTGAATCTTTCTACCAATCAGTTTCAAGGAATGCTGTCACCTAACTTTAATAATCTGTCGAAGCTGAAGGATCTTCGGTTAGGTAATAATAACTTTTCCGCAGGTTTAGTTCCAGATTTTCTCAGTAAGACTCCTGGTCTTGTCAGGCTTGAATTGTACAACAATTCATTTGAAGGTGACATCCCATCATCCTTAGGCCTGCTCAGAAATCTTGAACATCTTGATCTCAGCAAGAATAGACTGAATTCCACTATTCCTGCTGACCTTGGCTTTCTTACTAATCTCACTTTCTTATTTTTGGTTTCAAACTCCCTTACTGGTTCCTTGCCTCTGTCATTCTCCAATTTGGTGAAGTTGTCTAGTCTGGGATTGTCCGATAATCGCCTTTCTGGTGAAATTTCGCCTTGCCTTTTAGGTAACTGGACTGGATTGGTTTCATTGCAGTTACAGAACAATAGTTTCACTGGAAGAATTCCAGCTGAAATTGGACTTTTGACTAAACTCAACTTTCTTTTCCTGTACAAAAACCAGTTCTCTGGACTTATCCCTCCAGAAATTGGAAAGCTGCAGAATTTGATAGAGTTAGACATTTCTGAAAACCAGCTTTCTGGTCCAATACCTAAGACAGTTGGGAACCTCACAAATCTTCAAAGATTCCAACTTTTTTCAAACAATTTAAGCGGAACATTACCTCCAGAAATTGGAAATATGACTGCAATTGTACATTTTGATGTCAGAACCAACAAGTTGAGTGGGGAGTTGCCATACAGAGTCTTCTTCAAGCTAGGTAATCTGGAGAGGTTGTCCCTCTCTACAAATCAGTTTTCTGGCACCATTCCAGAGGACTTGAGAATTGATTTTGAATCCCAATTTATAAAGGTGGACTCATGATTCCATGAAGTAGTTGGTTGGATCTACTGTTGACAACACCCGCTCAACTATCATCCCAAATCTACACCCACTCAAAGTGTTGCGGAAACCCGGAAATCATGTGCATCAGATGATGAAGTGATTCTGGGCAGAAACTAGTTGAAGTTTGTTTTCGACATCGATTTGATAACTCATTACTTAACATTGTTATCATTTGTCAGATTACCTTTCCAATTGATTCAACAGATTACTTGTCAGATGGAGGAAAAATTCAAATGATTGGCCACCGTTTACCTGGTTGCAATCAAAATGTCAACTTAGAGAAATGCTGACAATTAAATGTTGCTGTAGGTTGGCAATCAAAATATCAAATGTCAACTTAAGGGACTTAATTTAAAGGCATTTCTTGGGGACAAAGATTGATGAAGATAGACTATAAATCTCTGCAATGCAAGAACAACTTACAGAAAAACTACAGACATCACGTCGGAAGTCATTGACTTACCTTTATTTTGTTACATTAAAAAAACTTTCACTCCAATTACGAACTCCAAGAGTTTGAAAATGCAATCGATTTCAACTGTTGTGTTCATATGCATCCCGAATTGCCTCCACTTTTCACAGTTTTGCTTATTCCCACCAAGCATCATCCTTCACAGAAGACTTTTATCTCTTAGCTTGCAGTAAAGAATAATCCACACAAAATTACTAAGGATATGAATCTCGAAAGTAGGAGGATGATGATGAGAACATTTCAGATAAATGGCGTACCTAGGCTCCTATTTCTTATAATCCTGTTCTCCAGCTCAGCAGCTGGAAATGCCGCAGAAACCCTGGTGAAATGGAAAACCAGCTTACCTTCTAACTCTGTTCTTGATTCCTGGTCTCTCAACAATGCCAGAAATCTTTGCAATTGGACTGGCATTACTTGCGGCAAGGCAGGCACAATCACTGGGATCAATGTCTCCGGAGTGGATGATCTCGATGGAACCCTTGATCAGCTTGATTTCAGGGCATTTCCAAATGTCACCGTTTTCGACATCAACACAAGAAATTTTGATGGGGTCATTTCATCTGCCATTGGTAGTCTCTCCAAGCTCACGTATTTGGATTTAAGCAACAATTTCTTTGAGGATAACGTACCAGGGAGATTGGGTTGCTGACGGAGTTAAGGTACTTGAGCTTGTCCCCCAACTTTATCAATGGTTCTATTCCTTATCAAACAGGTAACCTTCAAAGATTAAGGCACTTGGACTTGAGAGAGAGAACCAATTTGAAGGGTTCATTCCGGGGGAGATTGGCTTGCTGACCAAAACTAAGGTACTTGAGCTTGGAATACAATAGTTTCAGTGGTTCTATTCCTTCGAAGGTAGAATCCCATCGTCTTTAGGCCAGCTTAGAAACTCTTGATCTCAGGTCAAATCGCCTGAATTCTACTATTCCTTCTGAGCTTGGCCTTCTCACTAGTCTCGCATATCTTGGCCTGAACCAAAACCAGTTATCAGGGCCTATCCCACCAGAAATTGGCAACCTCCAGAGTTTGAAACAATTAGACCTTTCTGAAAACCAGATTTCCGGTCCAATACCTAAAATGCTTGGGAACCTCACAAATGATAATCAGTTTTCTGGTTTCATCCCATTGGAGTTGTTGTGACATGATGTGATCAATCCCTTACCATAAAGGTTAATTGGCTCCTGATCCATTAATTATTTTGGTGGATTCTCCATAAAAACTGGATCAAAATAGTAGAGTCGAAATAAATGCGGAACTTGAAGGAGGAAATTAAGGCTCAAGTTTCATCTTTTTGTTTTCCGTTTTCCTTTGGGTCGGAATTTTGTTATGTTTTTAAGCAATATTGTTATGGGTTTTAGTAAGTATTGTTCATTTTAGTAGTACTATTAATTCTTTATGTCAAATATGTTTAATTAATGCCAAGTAAGGCTGGCTGTAATGAGTAAATTTCAGCATAAAATTTATGTGTGTGACCTGATCAACAAAATAATTTCGCAATTAAGGTTGTTCCTTGCTTATCGAAGATTGTTTTTTTCCGTCAGCAGTTCATGGAATCTTGTCTCGTTGCTTGACTGAGTTTTATGTTCCTTTCTTTACTAGTTTCACCATTTTTCCGTTGATCTCTTGAACTGAAGTTGAACAGTTTCACTTGTTGATCCAGTGGTAAATTGATTAGGTCTCTAGTGAAACCAAATACTCCTATCATGTAGAAATTAATTTTGTATTTTACTGCTACAATCATATTCTACTAATTTTCATTGACTAGTTTACTAACTATTCAGCTGTTCATTTTATTTCTTTTAAATTTCAGACCAGTAATGGAATGCCAAAACCCATGGTTTATTATCTTACCAACAAAAATTTGTGAAAATTACACACAACAATAAATTTGGACCCCGTCAACTTTTTTGTCGACTCTGCTAAGTAGACGATGAAGTCAACAAAAATACTTTCAACAAAAAGAGTCTACATTTTGTGACTTTTAGATTGACTTTGATAATTAAAAAATATTTCAAAGTGGTAATATGCAATAGAAAATTATGTCGTTAAAATTTTCGACGAACTTTTAACTCGTGCCTAGTTTTAAGTGAGGTTTTGAAATTTTTGAACAATGAAGTCGAAATTATTGTGCACGACATCAAGTTCAGTCTGCCTTGACTGTTACATTCATCAGAGAATTTTGATGCGAAATTTATTATGTGGCCATAAAAAAATTGTGAAAATTATAAGAAATAATGGGCTTTTAGACGTTGTCTACTTTTTCGTCACTTTAGCTAAGTAGGTGAAAATATCACGCGAACAGTTTCAATAATAGATAATGATTTATCACTTTTAGATTTATACTTATAAATTTGAGAGTTTTCGAAAAAATAACACATCCATTTCAGAATTATTGTCTAATTTAATTTTTTATTTTTAGTTTAAAATGAAGTAAAAGTAAAATTTAAAACTGTACAATAATTTTGCGATGGAGGGAGTTACAAACATTTTAAAACTCATACGACTAAGTTTGTTAAAAAAAAAAAAGAATTGGTCACATTAAGCTTTTAGTTAGGTCATCAAAGCCCGACGAACAAGTAGAACATGGAGTGAGTGTGGACTTTCACAGTCATAGAATGATAGAAGGTGGACAAGTTAATTTATTATTCTACATACTCCCTCCGTTCCATAATTATTGTCCAGTTTGGTTTTTCACTTTTAGTACAATTTGAACTAAAAATGAAAATTCAAACAGGACAATAATTATGGTACGGAGGGAGTATTATTTATGAAAAAAGATAGAAAAAGGATGAATTTCAACCTCCCTCGACTTTTCTAAGTGGGTGAAAAAGTCGACGAAATTAATTTTAACAATAAGTTAAACATTTTTGTGACTTCTAGTGAAAACCAATAAATCAAAGAATATTTTAATACATTAAAAAACTCAGTGAATAAGGTTTTCAAAAATATTTTTGGATCCTGTCCCGTTTTTATTTAAGTAAGCAGAAAACGATGACCAAGTGGATAATGGAATGTAATGTGTTAAGTTTGTAAGCGTAGATTTTTACATTGGTCATGAAATATCAAAACGATAATTAACTGTGCTATCTTTAAAATTTTGTAAAAATGATAGACATTACCGTCCGTCGACTTTTACATCGGCTTTCTATCTGTGTCGACTTTTAAATTGATAATCCCTTTTATCTTATTAAAGCAGAATACAGAATGTTAATGTGACAACTTCTTATTAAAATTTTTTGGTTCCAAATGCACCATATTACATAAACTATTTTGCCATGTGTCATTCTCTTTTTAAAACAAAAAATAAAAAAATAAACTTATTTCTGGATAAAAAAAACTTCTAAAACACACTTACGAATCACATTAAATTCCTACAAATTAGTGAAAATTAAAATTCAAAGCCCTTAGTCAAATTCCTTCCAAACTGTTGAGCACTCACATTTCCAAAGAAGGCATCCAAAAAATCGACATATTTAACCATTACTTCAATTCCCCTTCAAATCTCATAAATAACCCTGACCAAAATTTTGCTTCAAATTCATATCAAAAGGTTTCAAATTAAAAACTTTGCTCCCATGTCCAGGCGAACAAATAAGATAAAAGTTTTAATGAAATTTATTGTTGTTATGATCTTTATTTTTAATTTCTCACAATTTGATTCCTATATTACTTTCATTAGTTTAGAAGATCCTTTTTTTATATGATCAATTAAAAGATCCTAAAATTTAGATGATAATTTCAAATAAATATCTTTTCAACCTCATCTAACATTAAATCCACTTATAGATATAATTATTATTTCTATCATTACACATTATAATAAAAAAATATATATATCCACATACGTATTTCACTTAGATTAGAATTTTCCTTTCCATATACAAAAAAATTACTTATAATGGAAGGGACCGCCTGGGCAACTTCCCGGGCCAAACATCTAGTATAATTTATATGCCATAATTTGCTATATTACGTGGCATGCTTGGAGGTCTAATTCACCCACCCCATGATAAGTATACAGCTGAGAATTAGTCCTAATTAAATTAAAAAAAAAGGGGGGTTTACCTTCTTACTTTGATCAGTGGACTTATTATCATCAATGGAGTATTATCGGTCAGCCTCATCATCCAATATTTTAATTCCTTCAGTGACGGAATTTTCAGATTTTCAACGATTTTGGTAGAATTTGTATTCTAAGCTCGTGCTCGTTTCGTGTTCTGGTTTCATATGATAGCGGGACAAAGAAATAGATCTGAAATTTGACAAGAGTGAAGTCTTCGTAATTGGTCTACTATGTTTGGTCGACAAGTAACTGCTGTGGCCCACAAGAGAACATTTATGGACTAAAAAAATAAATCCATTAATATAAATCCATTACTTATGGAGCCGTAAATTGTTTCAAGTCCACTATTTTAGTGAGTAAAAAAAAAAAAAGCAAATTAACAGGCTTAAAAGAACATTTTGGTTTCTCATTTTGGAATTCAATACTTTTGATCTTCTACTTTTAATATCTCATCATCTTTTAAAGGGTGTTTTACAGTCAAAAGTTTATCTCATTTTCATGATTAAATTTATTGCACTAAGCTAGTACTACTATATTAATATATCCTGGAGTGTTACCACAAGTTCTATTTGAGCGCATTATAGTACTTATCAGTTTGCCCACTGGAACATCGAAATGATCTTTTTGGTTTAAAGATTCATAATTAGGACTAATCCAACTTTAAGTAGTAGCTCATAATCATACAGCTGACATTTATTTCGTTGACGAAAACAATTTTACTTCTTTATTTAGTGGGCTGATTAATTTAAGTTTATGTTTTTTTACTGCCCCGGTCAATCTTCTAATCAAACATCCAACAAAACCAAACATCCCGTAATTTGCACCCGCTCAAAGTGCTTACCCAACTTAAGTCACAGATTACCTTCCATAATTAATCAAAATGATGAAGTGCTAATGGCAATGCCGCATCTAGAAGATCATAGTGAAGCCAATTAGTAAACGTGTTTAAACGTTTGATTATTACAATCAGTTATCACTAAACACAATTGCATCTTAGCATGCGGAGAAACTTTTGTAACAGGAAGAATCCCGATCCAAATCTGAACTCAAAAGGGTGAAAACGAAAACGAGAATGAAAATGGAATTGAGCAGCGAAAAGTCAAATGAATTAAATCATACCTTTAAGTTCCAATGTTGGCCTCTTTCTCGATTTATCTATGCTCTGTGTATTAAATGGCCACCGTTTACTAGGTTGGCAATTTCCAAAGTCAACTTGGAGGAAAAATTGCTGATGTTATAAATCTCTTTGTTTATTTAATTCATTTGAGAGCGATTGAAGCAAAATTTAATGGCATTTCTCTCTATCAGAAACAAAAGAAAAGAAAAAAAAAGAATCATTGGTGATAGATCATTCTTATTAAACTTGGTATCCAGCAAGATCACATTTTTAAGCGGTTATCTTTGAAGTTCTTGGTCAAACTCACGAGATTAAACAAAAACTACAGACAAGAACACTTGTAGATAAGCTGAAAATGGTTTTGAGTTCAGACATCATCCAAAAGTCAGTTTGACTTGCCTCATTTCTGACGGCAAGAGGGCTGATTTTCTTTTAATTCCTTCCCCCAATTTTTCATGGATCAGAAATAACTGTCATCAAAGACAATGATCACCAACTCCAAGAGTTGAAAATGCACTCACTTTCAACTTTTTGTGTTCATACTTGGATGTATCATATCCGAATAGCCTTTTAAGATTCTTCACTGGTTTGCATATCCCCATCAATCATCCCGATATAGACTTTTTGTCTGGTGGGTTTTATGCCGTTGTGGGTACAAATCATAACCCTCAAAATTAGTAATACTTCTTTAGGAAATGGTGTGATTTTCTCTGGAGATGGAAACATTTCAGAGAGCTGGCTTTTTTGGGCACCTAATATTTTTAGTAGTCTTTTTCTCTTTTAATCTGCTCAATTTCAGTTCTGCTGCTGGAAATGAAGCAGAAGCCCTTGTGAGATGGAAAGCCAGCTTACCTTCAAACTCTATTCTTGATTCCTGGTCTCTCAGAAATGCCAGAAATCTTTGCAATTGGACCGGCATTACTTGCGGCAGGGCAGGCACAATCACTGGGATCAATCTCTCTGGAGCTGATCTCAATGGAACCCTTGATCAGTTTGATTTCAGTTCATTTCCGAATGTCACGGTTTTCGACATCAGCTCAAACAATTTTGAAGGGGTCATTCCATCTGCCATTGGTAATCTTTCCAAACTCACTTATTTGGATTTGAGCAGTAATGAGTTTGAGGATATTATACCTGTAGAGATTGGGTTGCTGACAGAATTGAGGTATTTGAGCTTGGTGGAGAATAATTTAAATGGTTCTGTTCCTTATCAAATTGGTAACCTTCAAAAATTAAGGTACTTGGACTTGGGATTGAATCTTTTAGTGACTCCAGATTGGTCTAAGTTTCCAAGCATGCCTTTGTTATCCTACCTTAGCCTTTCTTACAATGAACTCACTTTGGGATTTCCAGGTTTCATACCAAACTGTCACAATCTTACCTACCTAGACTTGTCCCTTAATCATTTGACTGGCCAAATTCCTCCCTCTTTGTTTACCAATTTGGTTAATCTTGAGTATCTGAATCTTACTGACAATCATTTTCAAGGGCTGTTGTCACCAAATTTTACCAATCTGTCAAAGCTGAAGGATCTTCGGTTAGGTAACAATAACTTCTCTGCAGCTTCAGTTCCAGATTTTCTTAGTGAGATTCCCGGCCTTGTCATTCTTGAATTGTACAACAATTCATTTGAAGGTGAGATCCCATCATCCTTAGGAAAGCTTAGAAATCTTAAGACTCTTGATCTCAGGTTGAATAGCCTGAATTCCACTATTCCTTCTGAGCTTGGCCTTCTTACTAATCTCACTTTCTTAGCTTTGGCTGCAAATTCACTTACTGGTTCCTTGCCTCTGTCATTCTCCAATTTGGTCAAGTTGTCTAATGTGGGATTGTCTGATAACACACTTTACGGTGAAATTTCACCTTATCTCATAGGCAACTGGACTGAATTGGTTTCATTGCAGTTACAGAATAACAGTTTCACTGGAAAAATACCAGCTGAAATTGGCTTTTTGACTAAACTCAACTATCTTTATCTGTACAAAAACAAGTTCTCAGGAACTCTCCCTCCAGAAATTGGCAACCTGCAAAATTTGTTAGAGTTGGACCTTTCTGAAAACCGGTTTTCTGGTCCAATACCCAAGACAGTTGGGAACCTCACAAATCTTCAAATCTTCCAACTTTTCTTAAACAATTTAAGTGGCACATTACCACCAGAAATTGGAAATATGACTGCACTTCAATCCTTTGCTCTCAACAATAATAAGTTGAGCGGAGAGTTGCCTTACCAACTCTCCAATCTTGCCAATATAATGACATTGAACCTCTTTACAAATCAATTTAGCGGTACCATTCCCGTGGACTTGGGAAAAAACAGCCCTTTTCTTACTTATGTCGGATTTTCAAACAACAGCTTCTCTGGTGAGCTGCCATCAGGAATATGCGGTGAATTCCAACTTGTGGAATTCACTGCAAACGACAACAAATTTTCAGGGCCATTGCCTCTGTGCTTGAAGAATTGTTCCAAATTAACTAGACTAAGGTTGGAAGGAAACAACTTTACTGGGAATATAAAAGAGATATTTGGAGTTCATCCTGATCTTGAGTTCATATCCCTCAGTGGCAATGAACTGACGGGTTCACTTTCACCTGAATGGGGTCAGTACCAAAAGCTCACAAATCTACGGATGGATGGTAACCGGATATCTGGCCCTATCCCACCTGAACTTGGCAACTTGTCAGCATTGCGTCTTCTTAACTTGGGATCAAATGAATTGACTGGTGAGATTCCTACTGAACTCGGGCATTTATCCGTGCTCTTCAATCTCAATTTGAGCAATAACCAGCTAGCAGGAGAGATACCTCAGAGCATTAGCAATTTGACAAGGCTACAATATCTCGATTTATCCTCAAACAAATTGAGTGGAAGCATCCCTGAAATGCTAGGGAATTATCCAGGTTTGTTGTCTTTAAATTTGGGCAACAACAAATTGTCAGGTGGTATACCATCTCAGCTGGGGAACTTGGTGGAGTTATCTTATCTTTTGGATCTAAGTAGCAACTCTCTATCAGGAACAATTCCTTCCGATTTAGGAAAGCTTTCTGTGTTGGAGAATCTGAATCTGTCACATAATGACCTTTCTGGTAGAATTCCATCAGCATTATCTAGCATGGTCAGTCTGCAGACAATTGACGTTTCTTACAATAAGTTGTCTGGTCCAGTTCCAATGGGTGCTTTCCAGACAGCACCAGCCACTGCTTTTCTTGGAAACTCTGGCTTATGTGGGAATGTACAAGGACTAGCCACATGTTCTTCATCTGATATCAGTCCCCCGAAGTCAAGCAAAAGCAACAGAAAGATTCTTATTGCTTCCATTGTCCCATCTGTGTGTCTCATTCTTCTAGCAACCACCGTAGCCGTGTGTTGCATCTTGCAGAAAAGGGAGAAGTCAAATGATGAAGAGACCAGAAGTTCCCAAAGATATGAGAGTGTTGAATCTCTCATATGGGAAAAAGAAGGCAAGTTCACATTCAGTGATATCGCGAAAGCTACTGAAGATTTCAGCGATTATTATTGCATTGGGAAGGGAGGATTTGGTAGCGTGTACAAAGCAGCTTTGCCCAACGGTCAGATTGTAGCAGTCAAAAGACTCAATGTTTTGGACTCTAATGACATTCCATTGACAAGTCGTCGAAGTTTTGAGAATGAGATTCGAACTTTAACAGAAGTCCGTCACAGGAACATCATCAAGCTTCATGGATTTTGCTCTAAATGGGGCACCATGTATTTGGTTTATGAATACATTGAAAAGGGAAGCTTAGGCAAACTTCTGTATGATGACCAGAAGGCAACTGAACTGGATTGGAGTAAGCGAGTGAGAATAGTACAAGGCCTGGCTCATGCGCTGGCTTACTTGCACCATGATTGCTCCCCACCTATTGTTCATAGAGATGTATCAATAAACAACATTCTGCTCGAGTCAGGATTTGAGCCACGGCTTTCTGATTTTGGCACAGCAAAGCTGCTAAGTTCAGATTCATCCAACTGGACTACTGTTGCTGGCTCTTACGGCTATATGGCACCAGGTAAGCAAGTTAAGCTAAGCATTATGCTGTTTATATCGACTGATTTTGTGAATTATATAACAATACTTGTATTGTTTTTTCAACTTGTTCCTATACTTTTTAAGCAGAGCTCGCGCTAACGATGCAAGTTACCGAGAAATGTGATGTGTACAGCTTTGGAGTGGTGGCACTGGAAGTAATGATGGGAAAGCATCCAGGAGACTTGATGATTTCCTTATCATCTGCAACAAAATTGTCAAATCCTGATACATATTTGAAGGACATTCTTGACCAAAGGCTCCCACCGCCTTTTGGGAATTCAGCTGAGGAAGTAGTGTTTCTTGTTACTTTAGCTTTGGCGTGTACTCGGACCACTCCAGAAACGCGCCCAACCATGCGTTTTGTTGCTCAAGAATTATCAGCAAGCACCCAGCCTTACCTTCCAGAACCCATAGGATCAATAACCATTAGCAAGCTTTCAAACTTTCAGAAATAAGGAATTATGACAATGTATAACTAGTTGATGAGGTTTTGTTAGTTTTGTGAGCATTGTCAGCTGATGGTTGATTGTAGCTGGAATTAATAACTTTACCTGGTCATGTATAGAAAGCGAAAATGGGTATCGTCAATGATGAATGCCACGTTTTAGCTTTGACTTATTTAATGTTTGATGCATGTTTTGAATTATCGGCAATGTTTTGAACTGAATCAGAAGAATGCTGCTGCTCTTGTTCTGCCTTCCATCAAAGAACAACTTCAGAAAAAAATAGGATCCCGAGATCCGGATCTATTGTTAATGGCCAGAACTGACAACACCAACCATATTCAAGATGATCAAAGTAACAGTTGAGACAAAGGGTTCCCCAAACTCTGCAACATCAAAAAATTCTTTGCAGGTACATTAAAGTTGGTATCCACTTCCTCCAAGAACCTCAAGTAGGCTTGAGAGACGGCGAAAAGACGAGCAGAAATGCTCCAGTGACCCAAAACTTCTCATTCCTCCGCCGATCTTCAGTGCTAACACCACTTGGACTTAGCTCAAGCACACTTGTCAACATGATGGACATGAAAAGAGCACTAAATATCAAGAGTATCAATACGTATTCAAGTCATGGGTTAATCAATTTCTAGATTGATTTTATATTCATATTTTTAGCTCAGGTTAATAGAAGAAAACATTTAAAAGAGTCACAAGACAGAAATAAATGAGCCCCAGGTGGAAACTATAAAGGACGTGCTTAAAATTTTAGCCTAACAATTTTGGAAGTTCTTGTATATTTATCCCTGCTAATTTTATTTTATTTTTTTTTTCACAATTTTGTCCCTGAACTCCTCAAATCTTGATTCCGCCTCGATCCTCCATTTTCCCAACTGACGAGTCCAAATCCACCCCTGGATATGGGTCGGCCCAATCACCCTGTCTAAGGTCCAACTGTCTATGAAGTCGGTGGTTGAATATTACTAAACCTAGTAATATTCGGATACTTTTAAGGCTTATAAACAGGAATGATTACTCTACAATTGAGGTACGCTATTTTGACACCAATTCACATACACAGACTATTTCGCCATCCTATTTTCTGATTTAAGCTTCGGAGTATCTACCCTCGGGAGGCCCCGAGGCTCTATTTTACAGGAAATCTTAACCGGAGTTCCACCACCAGGCCAGAGGCGCAATTCCAGGCATCGTCACCAACTATTTTTTGGCAAATGTGGGTGTAAAAACCATTTCCGGGTTGAAATCAAATGTTGACTTGGAGAAAAATGCCATTAACATATATATATACACACATATATATATATATATATATATATGTACTAGGTCTTTGTTTATTATTCAGGAAGTGATTCAAGCAGATTTTTAGGGCATTTCTCTTGGAAGAGAATGATGATGACAAATTATTTAACCTTGATATCCAAGGTACATTAGTTTTAACCTTTGAACTGAAGTGGTCAAGCAAACTGACGAGAACACTTTTGATGAACAGAAAATAGTTAGGACTTAGGAATTCAGACATCATCTTAAAGTCAGTTTGACCAGCCAAAATTTCTTCAGGCACGAGGGTATTCGAATTTCCCTCCCTTTTAATTTTTATATGTGAATCAGAAACAACTTGCATTACAGAGACAATGGGGCTAACAACTCCTAGAGTTTCAACTTCTTTTGTGTTCATATACTTCTAGACTTTTCTCACTGGTTAGCATATCCCCATCAATCATCCCAATATAGACTTTTATTTGGTGATTTTGTAGTATAAAGTTAAAACCCACAAAATTAGCTAATCATGTAGTAAATGGTATGAATCTAAACAAATGGCAACATTCCAGAGATCAGCTGCCTTCCTTGGTCTTCTACATTTCCTAATCTTTTTCTCTTTTCATTTGTTAAAAATTAGCTCAGCAGCTGGAAATGAAGCAGAAGCTCTTGTGAAATGGAAAACAGGCTTATCTTCTCCTTCTGTTCTTGATTCTTGGTCTCTCAACAATTCCAGAAATCTTTGCAACTGGACAGGCATTACATGCAGCAGGGCAGGAACAGTTTCTGGGATCAATCTCTCTGGGGCTGATCTCAATGGAACCCTTGATCATCTTGATTTCAGTTCATTTCCAAATGTCACCGTTTTCGACCTCAACACGAACAATTTTGATGGGGCCATTCCATCTTCCATTGGTAATCTCTCCAAGCTTGTTTACTTGGACTTGAGCAAGAATTTGTTTGAGGATATCATACCTGTGGAGATTAGCTTTCTGAGAGAGTTAAGGTACTTGAGCTTGTTCGACAATTATTTCAATGGTTCCATTCCTTATCAAATTGGAAACCTTCAAGAGCTAAGGTACCTGGACTTGGGATCGAACTTTTTAGAGACTCCAGATTGGTCAAAGTTTCCAAGCTTGCCTTTGTTAGCCCACCTCAGCATTTCTTACAATGAACTCACTTTGGGATTTCCAGAGTTCATAACAAGTTGCCAGAACCTTACCTTTCTGGACTTGTCTCTTAACCATTTGACTGGCCAAATTTCCCCATCTTTATTTACCAATTTGGTTAATCTTAAGTATCTGAACCTCACTGACAATCATTTTCAAGGGCTGCTGTCACCAAATTTTACCAATCTGTCAAACCTGAAGGATCTTCGGTTAGGAGTAAATAACTTTTCTGGTCCAGTTCCAGATACTCTTGGTAGGATTCCCAGTCTTGTCATTCTTGAATTGTACAACAATCAATTGGAAGGTAACATCCCATCATCCTTAGGGCAGCTTAGAAACCTTGAGCTTCTTGATCTCAGGATGAATAGCCTGAATTCCACTATTCCTTCTGAGATTGGCCTTCTCACTAATCTCTCTCACTTGGCTTTGGCTATGAATTCGTTTACAGATTCTTTGCCTCCGTCATTCTCCAATTTGGTCAAGTTGTCTGATCTGGGATTGTCTGATAATAGCCTTTCTGGTGAAATATCGCCTTATTTCATAGGTAACTGGAGTGCATTGGTTTCACTGCAGATACAGAATAATAGTTTCACTGGAAGAATTCCAGCTGAAATTGGACTTTTGACTAAACTCAACTTTCTTTTCCTGTACAAAAACCAGTTCTCTGGACTTATCCCTCCAGAAATTGGAAAGCTGCAGAATTTGATAGAGTTAGACCTTTCTGAAAACCAGCTTTCTGGTTCAATACCTAAAACATTTGGGAACCTCACAAATCTTCAAGTCTGTCAACTCTTTTCCAACAATTTAAGTGGAGCATTACCTCCAGAAATTGGAAAAATGATCTCACTGACTACTCTAGCTGTCTACCAAAATAAGTTGAGTGGAGAATTGCCACATCAACTCTCCAATCTTACCAATCTGCAGACATTGTCTCTCTTTACGAATCAATTTTCTGGTGTCATTCCCATGGACTTGGGGAGAAACAGCCCTTCACTAGCTAATGTCAGCTTTTCAAAAAACAGCTTCTCTGGTGAACTGCCATCAGGAATATGTAGTGGATTTGCACTTAAGGAATTCACTGTGATTGACAACAAATTTTCGGGGCAACTGCCTCTGTGCTTGAAGAATTGTTCCAGATTAGTTAGACTAAGGTTGGAAGGAAACAACTTTACTGGGAATATGACAGAGATATTTGGGGTACATCCTGATCTTGAGTTCATATCTCTTAGTGGAAATGACCTCACCGGTTCACTTTCACCTGAATGGGGTCAGTGCCAGAAGCTCACAAATCTACAGATGGATGGTAACCGGATATCTGGCCCTATCCCACCGGATCTTGGCAACCTGACAGCATTGCGTCTTCTCAACTTGGGATCAAATGAATTGACTGGTGAGATTCCTACTGAACTCGGGTATTTATCCGTGCTTTTCAATCTCAATTTGAGCAATAACCAGCTAGCAGGAGAGATTCCTCAGAGCATTAGCAGCTTGACAAAGCTACGATATCTCGATATATCCTCAAACAAACTGAGTGGAAGCATCCCTGGAGTGCTGGGGGATTACCCAGGTTTGTTATCTTTAAATTTGGGCAACAACAACTTGTCAGGTGGTATACCATCTCAGCTGGGGAAGTTGTTGGAGTTAGCTTATCTTTTGGATCTAAGTAGCAACTCACTGTCAGGAGCGATTCCTTCAGACTTGGGAAAGCTCTCCGTGTTGGAAAACCTGAATCTGTCACACAATGACCTTTCAGGCAGAATTCCATCAGAATTATCTGGTATGGTTAGTCTACAGATGATTGACATTTCTTTCAATGATTTGTCCGGTCCAGTTCCCATCGGTACCACATTCCAGACAGCACCAGCCACAGCTTTTCTTGGAAACTCAGGCTTGTGTGGGAATGGAAAAGGACTAGCTAACTGTTCTTCAACGGATTTCAGTCCCAGGAGTTCTAGGAAAAGCAGCCGAAAAATTCTTATTGCGGCCATTGTTCCATCTCTTTCTGTTCTTCTTCTGGCAACCATAGTAGCTGTGTGTTGTATCTTTCAGAAAACGAAGAGGCTAAATGATGAAAAGAGCCGCAGTTCCCAAAAATATAAGAGTATCGAGTCTCTAATATGGGAAAAAGAAGGTAAATTTTTATTCAGTGATCTTGAGAAAGCTACTGAAAGTTTCAGTGAGTACTATTGCATTGGGAAGGGAGGATTTGGAAGCGTGTATAGAGCAGCTTTGCCCAATGGTCATATTGTAGCAGTCAAAAGACTCAACTTGTCAGATTCTGCTGACATTCCATTGACAAATCGGCGGAGTTTTGAGAATGAGATTCGAACTTTAACACAAGTCCGTCACAGGAACATCATCAAGCTTCATGGATTTTGCTCTAAACGGGGATCCATGTATTTGGTCTATGAGTACATCGAAAAGGGAAGCTTAGGCAAAATTCTGTATGATGATCAGAAAGCTACTGAGTTGGATTGGAGTAAGAGGGTAAACATAGTACAAGGTCTAGCTCATGCACTTGCTTACTTGCACCATGACTGCTCTCCACCAATTGTTCATAGAGATGTATCAATAAACAACATTCTGCTTGAGTCAGGATTCGCGCCACGGCTTTCTGATTTCGGCACAGCAAAGCTTCTAAACACAGATTCATACACTTGGACTTCTGTTGCAGGATCTTATGGCTATATGGCACCAGGTAAACCAAAGCTTATATAGCATTATATTGTGTTACATTTCAGCCACCTGGACACTGGACATTACTTATATCGTATCACACATATGAATTTCTTCCTGTTCTTTTATGCAGAGCTCGCGCTAACGATGCAAGTTACCGAGAAATGTGATGTCTACAGCTTTGGAGTTGTGGCTCTGGAAGTAATGATGGGAAAGCATCCAGGAGAACTTATAACGTGGCTATCATCTGTGACAAGATTTTCGAGCTCTGATATTCTTTTGGAGGACATTTTTGATAAAAGACTGCCTCTACCATCAGGGAATTTGGCTGAGGAAATTGTGTTTGTAGTCAATTTAGCTTTAGCATGCATTCGAACAGCTCCAGAGACGCGGCCAACTATGCGTTCCATTGCTCAAGAATTATCTGCTAGCATCCAGACTTACCTTGCTGAACCAGTTGGATCAATAACAATTAGTATGCCTACAAATTATCAGAGATAGTGATATGTGGCAGTGTAACTAGCTGACCATTTTTAGTTAATGGTTGTTTTATATGTAACTGGAATTAATAACTCGCTTCTTTTCTTTATTTCTTTTTTTTTTTTTTGTGTATATGACGATGCCTGGAATTGCGCACGGGTTGAATGTCGACCCCAATGTCATCGAGCATACCACGTGTGTCATCTGTGTCATCGTGGTATCGAGCATACCCCAATGTCACCGGTTTGTCATCTGTGTATATAAACTAAAAAGTGCCTCATTTGACACGAAGAATACCACGTTTTTTACTTCTAAATTAGATTGTTTCAATGTACTCTTTTATCGTCGGCCTTTTTGCAACCGGACGATATGGTCGACGACTTTTCTTTTTCTTCTTCTTCTCCATCCTGGCCCTCACATATACTCTTTTTTCTTCATTTCAAGCTGATTAGCTTCACTGGTTTCATGCAATGTCAAATTTTACCCATGAAATCCCACAAAGTTATTCCATCCAACTAACGTGTCAAATTCTATTAGAATGGGCATACACTTAACTATGACATACTTATATCGCGAGAGACAACATCACAATGAAACAGATGTGATAGTTGTTCTTTTCACAAATTAATGACATATGAGTAAATGGCATACTAGTAACAGTTTAAAGCTAACTGTGGATATCAATAGAAATGGTGGTGGAATGTAAAGTAGTTTTTACATCAGGGCTAATAAGCAAAACATGGACTCTCTTTAGGCCGTTTAGCCGAGGTTTTGGAGGGTATCTCTTAACTGCCTTTTTGCTGTTCTCACAAAGTCAAGCCCCGTAGATGGGTCGTATTTTTGCAGACAGCTTTTACATTTCATGAGTTCACACGTGCATACAGTTCACTGCCAGATACAGCAAGATGAGACCTCAATTTGGACAAACTTGAACTGACCTAGCAAAATTGAAGATTTAAAAAAAAAAAAAATCCAGTTGAGAATGGCTGCAGGATGTCTAGCACTCAACTCCACATTGCTTCAGTATAGGGCCAGTTTGCTTAGGCAAGAAAGGATCAATTCTGACCCAAACCAGTGAGAAAATTGATGCTAAGAGTATGGACCAAAGGACCACAATGGTTGGAGTCCTGTTCTGCCTTCCCATCAAACCTTTCAGGAAAGGGTACAGATGCACAATGACCCAAAATGCAAAGAACAGCTTCCCAAAAAGAGGACCCCAAGATCCATATCCATTGTTAATGGCATCTGAAACTCCAGCCACCACACCAACCATGTTCAAGATGATCAAAGTTGTAGGTGGGATGAGAAGGGTTGTCCATTTAAACAGGTAGAGTTCTCCAAACTCAGCATCATCAGCAGCTTTTGCAGTTACGGTGAAATTGGTGTCCACTCCACCAAGTACCTTAAGTAGTCCTTGGAAGACGGCGAAAAGGTGAGCCGATACACCACCGATGACCCAAAACTGCTCATTTCTCCACCAATCCTCAATGCTAACTCCACTCCATCTCAGCTCAAGCACACTTGTCAATATGATGGACATGAAAAGAGCAATGAACCATATGCTGGCAAGATTATTCAGCTGTATACAAAAGTAATGTGTCAATAATGGGTCAGGATCCAATAAACATGTCAATGTAGGAATTTTATGTTGGTGAGATTTGAATCAGGTACTTACAGTTGGGACAATGAATTTTCCAGTGAGAAGGCACACAGCTGGAAGTGTGCAGTAGGCAATTAGAGCTATGGATGTGAATGGGTAAACAATGGTGTTAATATAAGCAAGCCTTTGTAGCCATTTCAGCTTTCCTCCATATCCATACCAAAGTGGACAATGTCTACTGAGGAAGATTTCAACAGAACCTAGAGCCCATCTCAGAACTTGGTGCAACCTATCTGACAGATTGATTGGAGCTGATCCTTTGAAAGCTGGTCTTTTTGGTGAACAATACACTGATCTCCATCCTCTGCAATGCATCTTGAAACCCGTCAAAATATCTTCCGTCACCGAACCATATATCCACCCAATCTGAAATTTTCACATAAAAAAATTGATATCATCCAAGAACTTAGTCATAAACATGCTTAAAATTGTGGAAACTGTAGTGAATGTTGAATGCTTACTTCTTTGCCCCACTCAGTTTTTTCTTCATATCCACAGCTGATGACGTGAATGGCTTCTTTGATGAGTGAAGTAGGATTAGTCCCTTCGGGGAGGCCACCTTCTTCCATGAGGGTAGAAGCAATGAAAACAGGCGATTGTCCGAACCGCTTTTCAAAGTTTTTCTGTGACATCAAGGATGATTTCTCAAGCTCATCGTATCCTTCAAGGCCTTCTTCAATCTCTTCAAGATCAAAAACAGGTCCTGACGACGATGATTTCCTAGTGTAGTTCTTTCCATTCATCATTTTCTTCTTCTTGCTGAAGCGTCCCTCAATGGAGGAGAACAGAGAAGTGAGCTTCTTTTTGGACTTTGACTTTCTTGAACCCCCACAGCAACAACAGCACCATCTTGGCCAACAGTCACAAGTCATCTTCGGCCGCTTAGCAGATACTGGCGGATCATAGCCGTACAATGCCTGCCTGTTGAACACACATCCGGTTCCGACATAAACAGGCCCTTGAATACCGTCCAAGCCTTTCATATTGATCTGTTCAGAAGTTTCTTATTTAACTTATAATAACGTTCATAAGATGAAGTATCTCATCATATATTTGATAAATCGCGTTATCATGTTAGAAAGTAAACACTTGGTTAAACTTACATCAAAGAAGACGACATTGCGATTGGCATAACGATCGTGCCTATCAATACCATCAAACCTCTGTGGGAACTGAACGTAGCAAAGCTTCTTCCCGACATGAGGATCCATTAGAAAGCACATGCTTTCGCGAATGGCCTTACTGTTGTTGAGGTAGTGATCACAATCCAAGTTCAATATGAACGGAGCGTTTGTCAGCACGGCAGAAACACGAACCAGGGCGTTCTCGGCACCGGCTTTCTTATGATGCTGATAGCCGGGTCGCTTCTCTCGGGACACATACACCAGTCTAGGCAGCTCCTTGCCTTCTACATCAAGCGCACCTTCACTCCCCAAATACACCTGAACAGTCATTGTGCCATAAAAAAATTAATTTTAGATCTCATATGGCTAATGTTTTCAATTAGTCCCTTAATGACCGTCCATTTTGGATCTTCATTTTTTGGACAATTTACACTGAAAATGAAAATCCAAGCCTGATAATCATTTTGGGTTGGAGAGAGTATAATTCTTTTTTATTTTCAATGTTTCATGATCCAAACAGTGACCTGAATCATTCCAGGATGGTCGCGGGTGTTATTTCCAGGCCAGGGAGTGCCATCTTGCATAACCCATCCTTCTTCGGGTTTCTTCTGAGCTTTAGCAACCAATGCATTGATTTTCACTTTGAATTCTTCATATTCTCTCTGCAACAGACCAACCAAAAAAAAAAAACACTGAATTTTTCTGTACTTGTTTATGTTATTGACAGATCAAAAAAAATCAGTTCTTTTTATTACCTTCATGGCTCTTCGATCCTTGACAAATGTGGGCTGCACTTTATCCTTCAAATAATCGATTTTCTCGGAGAAGTAGAACTCCGGGGCTCGAGGCTCTACGTTGTACTTCTTGCAAAACGGAACCCACCTCCGGGCGAACTCGGCGGTTTCCGACAACGAATCAAACAGGAGCATGGAAGCACCGTCATCTGATACGTAGCAGCTGACTTTATCCACGGGATAATCAGCTGCCAGAATGGACAAGACGGTGTTTGCGGTGATAATTGGGGGTTCTTTCAGAGGATCAACTGTGCTAACAAAAACATCAACTGGGCTTAATTTGTTTGGTTCCCCTTCCCTTTCGAATCTCAGGGAAAGACGATCCAGGTAAGTTTCCCTGTTGATTGGAGACCATTTTGGGAACTGATCCAGAATCCATGATAACCCGAACCAGATTTCGCAGATTACGGACATGATCCATAGAGGGAAGGCGTCGTAGGCTGGGGTTAAGATCCGGAAATGGAAGAAAAAACAGAGAATTACTAGCCTGAGGATAATCACTATCCGGTACGGGTTGATTAGGCTTGAAGAAACAGGGATTTTTCGCCAGAGTGGTTGCCTTGCTTCAGCCATTCTGGAATTTCGATTCATCAATCAATTCAACACTGTTCAAGAACTGATATTTGAATGTGAATGGAAGAATTTCAAATGATATTTCTCTTACATGAAATCGTAATCTTCGTCGCCATTTGGGTCATTTCCTTCATTGTCGAATTTGGAAACTAGGCCTCTCTTTTCTTGCCTGGTTTTCCATTTGTCCACTCTTTCTTTCCATTCCGAGCTGCTGTATGTCTCCTTCTGATCATCTTCCAATTCTTCCTTTCCAGGTGCAACTACACATCGTATCGGGTTTTTCAAAATTCATCAGGACGACGAATCGATATATGTTACAGAAACGTTAAATTTGAAAGAACTTTACCACTTCCAGCAACTGAGTGAGTTGCAACACCATTTGCGTGCAAATTCTGCTGATTATATTCACCATTTTCCTGCTAAAACACAAACAGTTAAGTGATAATTTCATTGTAATTAATGCCAATTTTTTATTTTAATTGTTTCTTTTTGAATCATGTACTGAGACATACAGAGTGAATATCATTCGTAGTGTTTGGATGAATTTTGATCTGAAATTCATCCTCAAAATCATCATCAAAATTATAATCGTCGTCGTCGTCTCCTGCAACTCTGGGGCAGCCTGAAGTTACATGGAACAACAACATTAGCACTGAGAAAATTAAAAAATTGATCAAGGAAATGAAGGAATTAGTAAGTAATACCAAGAGATTTATTAACCTTTATGGCGCTTATAGCGAGTGTGACACTGAGGACAACACTGGTTTCCATCGCTTCTCTCGTAATCATAACAAGGCCTGCAAACTGGAAAACCACAATGGTGGCAAGCCACAAACACCTCTCCATCCTTCACTAATCCAATTTCATCTCCACAAACCCGACACGTCTTTTTCGCTGAGGAGACAACGCCTGATTCTCTACTGGGAGGCCGGTTCTGTATGCATTCATCATGAACTCATATCACACATTCTGCAATTTCAATATGAATATACAAACTTAAAAAAAACAATAATGTTCTACCTCGACGTCGATGCCATGAGCAACATCAGAGCCCGTATAAAACCCGGTTGCCATAATGGCTTCAAGAACCAAAAGAAAAACAGAAAGAGGTACACAAATCTACAGAATGATGATCATAGGAGGTAATTTAAAGGATATGAATATATCGGGGGGTGTATGATCATGAAAAGAGAAATATACCAACTGATTAGTTGAAGGGTCGTAGGATGGATTGGAAGAGAAGGCAGAATTGAGATGGATAGATTGGATCTGTCGATTGGTAACAAGAGGGACAGTTCGCTTGTTCTTTGCTTGCTTGCCATTTTGCAACGCAATAAAAAAACTCTTAAAATATCAGAACTGCAACATAGTACTACCATTTTTCTGATCACTTGTAATAAAATTACAATGTACTACAACAGAGCTAGCTTCTACTCCAAGGGTTTCCGTCTTTTCAACTAACATTATAAGCCTTTCCAAATTCAAACATCTGCAGGCTTCCAATTCCCATTACCCACTTTTTAATTATTTATTTCCATACTTTAATTTGGTACCTCCAAAAAAAATTTGTGCCATTTTCTCATAGTATCTTTCCCACGGGATTAGTCAAAATTGCCAAATGTATCTATAAATTAAAAAAATAAATAAACTATTGTAAATGGTGAATACCTACCATGTTTATAAAAAAAAAAAAAAATTGCCATATATCTTTACACATAACTGCGGCTGCGTGGTGATTGAATCATCTACTGAAAATGCCATAAAGAGATTTTTAAGGTCAAATAATTGAATAAAAATTGCAACGAACAACAATGATGGTGGCACTTCAACTTGTTCTCATTCTCTCGTTTGATGTTTGTACTCTCAATATATCATTCGTACACTTCAAAGTACAAAAGTAGTATCCAAGTTCTTCACTTCTTCTGGATATTTTTGTATCTTTTGCTGATCCGAATGAAAGAATATGCTTCATGTTTCTAATATCCATCAAGCCTCGGAATGCTAGACATTACTCCAAGCTGGGTTAATTAGGAGTTATGACAATTAGCCATACATTTCGATGATTATCCAGATAATTACAGTGGGGCTACAAGCCGTAGTCAGCCATAAATAGCAAAATTGATGGCCTCCTGGAGTTAACCTCCGAAAACATTTTCTTCATGGTCACACATGCTGGAGTCAAAGACCATATACTAATCAAGGGATCTTCCTAATTGCTATAAATTGGTTAATCAGATGACATAAGTTTTGCTTGTCAGCTAAATTCAAGGGAAAAAAAAACTTGTGTTGTTGACCGAATTGGTCCAAAGGAATGAAGAAGGGTGTTCTAAGGCTCTTCACAAGCCTGGTATCTGTTTCAGTCCATGTCCCCACGGTAATTCATCATCCTGTGTAGAATAACACATAATGTATGCCTACTCAGGCATCCGTTCTAGCGCGTTTAGCTGGTGGGGCGCTAGATGTGCCCGCAGCATCTGATTCAACATCTTCATTATTTGATGAATTTTGGCCATCTTCCCCTTCTTTTCCAGCAGAAATATCTAAGTTACTTGAGCCACCTTGCGTCTTCTTGTCATTGACCTCTATGATGCCTGAATCATTCATGGCTGCAGGATTTTGGACTGGATCTGATGCCTCTTTTGCAGGATTCTCAGATGCAGAGCCCCCCTTAAGCAAGTCAATGCCAGATTTGCATTGCTTCTCAAACATCATTTGGAGATATCGCCCTTGTTCTTCTATGCGCAGCTGCAAATTCCTTTGAATCTGCAAGAAAATCATAAAAACAAATGAACAACCAATCATGATTGTGTAACGTGGCAACATTTGCAAGCAAAAGAAGTTTTTTTTTTTTTAGGAGCAAATCGGACTGTGAGCCCAAAGGTCCTAAACGTCAACTAAAATAAACAAAAAAGAAACCGCAACTGACTTTGACCACTTTTATAGTTCCTCCTAAATCATTGCAACAAAGGACGAACCACAAACAAAGTGCACGTTTTTTAGTTGATAAAATAATAAACTATCATTTCGTGCATCAAAGTGAAAAGAATAGCAAGTACCAAAGAAATCAATACAGTCACCAGCAATTGTAGTGTCATTTGCACAGCAGTTGGATCCCATCACAGTAAAAAGTTGAGACAAAATAGTTCATCTCTATGAATAGGGAAATACCTCAAGCTGTTCATGAAGACGTTTTTGAACTTCCATCTGTAATCGCAATGCTTCAGTTATCTCAATCCCCCTGATGCCAAAATAAAGAACAAAATTTGAGTGAAATCAACAAAGCACGTACCCATTCAAAAGGAAGAACTAAGTTTATATGCTCTCCAAATGCTATTATCCATTTACACTTTAACAATAATTTCCAGTAACAGATGAAACCCAATCGGCCAGAAGCAAATTGTCATTCAACCAACCATCAGGTTCAAGTTCAGAAAAGAGCTACACAAGACAATTTGATGAAATACGCAAACATGATAACTACCAGGGCAGAGCAATAAACTTCGCATTTCAAAATGATCAACTTACGTCTTCAGGTCCAGAGATGACAGATCATCAATGGAAGTCTGTTTTTTCTCCGAGGAACCTGCCATGAGAAGAAAATGCCAAGCAGTAATGTCTATTAGTAACAACAACGACGCCTTGTGATGCAATATGGTGCACATCAATAATATAACATGGAACCAAAGAAGAAAGAGAACATATGCCACGAAGTAAATAAAAGTTTGACCCCTCCGTCTAAAGTAAATCCATCCTCCATCATTGCAAACACAAAAAGCTACAGGGCTCACTTTTCATGCAAAGTCTATAATAGTTTCATTTAAATATTGGCGGGAAATTGAATAAAGTGTTTACATAGTCGACTAGGATGCTTCATATAGTACAACAATAATGAACATATAGGCCAAATTCAAGAAATTCCCAAACTGCAAAGAGCAAACAACAATAATGTGAAGAGCTAGGAAAAAGAGACACTGAGGTTCAAAATATTCATTACCTTCAGACGGCTCTGGTTTATATCTAGCCGTCCTATATTTCTGCAGCAGTAAAAACATATAATTAGAAAGATGAAGGACATTACTGGCAATAGAAAGTTATAATCTGAAGGATTGGAAAGGTACCTGTAAGTGACTTTTAACATGATAGATAGTCAATCCCTCAACTTTCATCTGTTTCAGCACACCCTTCGGCGTGGCTCCTGTGATAACAAGTAATACATTAAACATCATTATTGAATCAATCATCTAAATGCTAGAAAATTTGAGCCCGTGATTGAGAGAAAATTACTTTCACTCCCACCAAGCTTGTTGACTGCTTCAACAAAGGCTTCATGAAGCTCTGGTGTCCAACGCATTCGTTGCTTGGTTGAAGCACCACTTCCAGAGGATGGTGTAGGAATAACAGAACAAGCTTCTCCTGAGGAAGCCGGCAGTGGCAAAGATACTTGCTGCTGTGGAACTGAGAAATTAGTAGGCAGTTGATTTGCCTGTAGAGGTACCTATAAAAAACAGTATAAAACCAAATATTGAAACCAAGCTTCCTTCTCTATGAAAAAGAATAAAAACCAGCACAAGTGGATGATATGAACGGTAGGAGAGGAGAAAAATAAGCAAAAACCAGTGAAATAATCATATTCTTGGAAAACCCAACCTTTGGATCAGAATCTAAAACATTAGCCTCCGCAATCAACTCAGACCAACCAGGAGTCAAACCATCATCATCAGAAATAAGCTGGTCTGCCCACTCCTGCCAGTTGCGTTTAGTAAGATCCTCAGACGGAAGGAGGCCTTCACCAGTATTGCAGCTATTCAAAGGGTTATTTTGATTCATTGGGTATTCAAGAAAATCAAGTGAATCTGTACACCAGGAGGGATCATTGTTATCTTTAGCCAAATGACTAGATGCAGTGGATTGAAGAACTCCAGGATGGCAAGGTTGGTGCAAGAGCATTGATGTCCCACTACCAGCAGATTGAGAAATGAAAGGAGCTTGCATTGATTGCTTTTCTTGTTGCGAAACAGTAGAGTAATGGAGATCGGTAGAAAATCCCGATGATGAAGAAAACACATGACCAACAGCCCCACTGTTAGAAGAAATAGGCGAAACAGCAGCACTCGCGCATGCATTGACATGTCTCCCCATGGTTACTTGTTGGTAATCACATTGCCTGGGATATCTCTCTTCCAAAGAAGTGGGCATAACAGGAAAGGAACCAGACATAGCACCAGATGACCCAAAAGTACTCAGTGGTTGAGGACCAGATCTTGGTAAGGATATAGTGGGGCGTGCCTCCATTCCTTCTATGAGAAGATGGCTGTGTCCGGCTTAAGTGGATGAAAATATGTGTTTTTTGTCAGAACTTCTCGGAACCTATGTCACATGAAGTCCAATCAATTAACAGCACAAACTCGATAATGAACCAGCTACACTAGTTAGCAAGTTATGGGATATGATATCAAGCCGGTATCATCCACTTTGGTATATCTAAAATTCGCCAACTAAATGAAAACAAATACAGTACCACCCCCAAAACAGTGATATCATAAGGACGATGAGCAGCGAAAACTTTGTGTGCAGACAAATTTCAAAAATCTATACGACGGCTTAAGTGATGATCAGAAAATCAGCCTACCCCCATATTAAACTCAAAAATACCACAAACAAAGTCACACAAGAACACCCATCACCAGCTAAAAACACCTGGTATCCAATCCTTCTAGTCCTTTTCAATAATTCCCATTGTTCCACAACACGTCAAACACCAACAGAAAACAGGGCAATCCAAATAAGCAATAAAAGTGACCAAAATCAGGACTTTATCAAGGCAATCAAACCCATAACCAACTAAAAATATAATTAAAAAAAAAAAAGAGCCTTATCAACAAACGACCATCAAGCCTGACAAAGAACTAGCAGTTCGAAACGAATTCCCCTTTACAACCTTGTTAGAAATATCACACAAAAAAAAAAAGAGGGTTCAGAGAATCATGACTTACCTAAAATTGGAGAACAAAAATCAGGAGGGATTGAGAATCGAAAGGCTCCATGGAAAAATCAGACAAAGAGAGACTGCGCAGGACAACATGGGAAAAAACAAATTGTAATAAATACAGAAAATCAGCAGGGCATTAAAACCCCACAATCAGAACTTTAAAAGCATATCTATATATCAAAAGGACGTAATAGGATTTACAAAAGCTAGGCACCGAAGGCACGTGCGGGTTCTCGTTGGGTTTCTTCCATCATCATCGCCGCCGGTTTATTCGTAAACCCAGAAAGAATTATGGATTGAATGGTAACTGAGGTTGATGATGATGATGGATTGGCGTTCTTTTTTTTTCTTTTTTTTTTTTTGTTGTTCCTCGTTGGTTACGACTTCTTCTTCGTAAGTTCTTTATTTCACCCAAAAAAAAAATAGAAATGAAATTACAACCATGAGTCCACTCGCACCCGGAAGCGCGTGTTAAAGAGATTCAAGGAATATGGACGCACATGTGGAAGCAGGTCCCATTTTGATTATGGTATGTGATTCAGTGGATTGGATTATGCCATTATGGTAAAAGTTTGTCTAATGGGATGCACGTGTCCTTTGGATTTTTTCCCAGTGAATGTAGTAGTAGCAGTAATTGTGTAATTAAGAAGTAATTGTGTAATTTAAATTTTCATTTTGAATGTGATTATTTGAATTAGATTTTCCTTTTTTTCTTTAATAGAACTATACAAAAACTAAAAATTTAAAATGGACAATTATTTTGAGAAATGAGGATTATTAGCTTTCTACTTCTACATTAATTTACTAAAAAAAATTTAAAAAAAAAGTAATAAAAATTCATTTCATTGGGACGAAAAGGCAAGTCCTCGGTATAAAATAATAGTGGCACGTAATAACAAAAATTGTACACGTAATAAAATAATAGTGGAAAATTGATTCTGTTACTTTCTTCTTTTTCTTTATCGAAATAAAAAAAAAATTTAAACCACCACCAATTTGATTGAAGTTTTTCTGTTAATTAGGGTACCCAACCATTTTGATTATCTTCTCGGGGGAGAGAAAGGAGAAATGCAAAATTTATCAATAAAACTAATAATGATACTAGTTACTAGTAGGAGTAAAAAAATCATTAATCACATATTGTTGTTTTTTCTCTGTTTTAGAAAATAATTCACATACATTTATAAATTGTATTTAAAAATTATTATATTATTTCTACCAAATATAAAAATGAAGGGGCAAGGACGACGTTGAAAATCTCATAAATCACCAAATGCTCCTTTTTATTGGATCTCCATGAAAAAAAAAAAAAGTGGCTCTTCTCTTCAAAGGCATAGTAATAAATACTAATAATTTTTCAAATATAACTAGGATATTTTTGAGATTGTAAACATTCTTCGAATTTATTATTCCCTCATAAAAGAAATAGTTTTCTATACTTCACCTAAAATTGGAGGCATTTAAACAGATACAGTGTAGATGGATTCTCAAAGCATATGCCAAAATCCAAATATTTTGGCCAATAAATAGGATATGTTGAAGCATAGTAGCATACCATAATTATATTTTCCAAATGTATTGGTTTGGATTTCCTTAACTTTTTTGACAATGAAAAACAATCACACAGGAAATTACGAGACTTAATTCACATAAACTCACGTCTTTAACATACTAAGTATTAGCGACGTTTGACTTATTTTGAACTCATATGAATCGAGATTGCAACGGTTATGTCTGGAATTAAATCGTAATTGGAATCTGAGATTTTCCATATATATTTATTCGCAAAACATATTTATTGATTTACTAATGTTGTAGGTATTTCGTCTCAAATACTACAAAGAACCATCATTGTACTATTGTTTTTGGCTTAATTATGACATAAAATCAGCCCGAATATGACAATTATTCGTTGTACTTTCTTCATTGTATCATTTGTATGTGTCCTAGTCCTTTTCAATTTTCATATGTTCGGAAGGAATTTTCTTTCTGGAAATCTGAAAATGACCCAAATATTAAAAGTCAGCGGTTTTAGGGAGGAGGCCGTACATAGCCGCCGTGTCTCGTTAGCTACTCGCATTCGCACACTATTTTGATTTCTCCTTTTTTTTTTTTATTACCTCTGTCTTTAAAAAATCGTCTACATTAAGTTTTTAAATTTGTACTAAAAATAATATAAAATTCAAATATCAATGTACACTATTTTTTGGGACAGAGGGAGTACTCTTTTTCAATCAAATTTTGTTTTGCAGTTTTAGTCCTTTCACTACTAAGTGGTTTGTCTTATATTTAGAAGTTAAGAAGAGGTGTTTTTAGTTTTAACTTTTACAAACATATATATAGACTTACGATTCATCTTTGAAAAATAGTATGATATTGCATACCTTATTACAGAAAAACTAAGAAAAATATACATTTAAGAGTGTTGTGCTCTTGCGAGAAAATAATTTTAGAGCAGTTGAGAATTTTATATTTCTTACTGAAAACTCTCTTTTTACTCTAAAATGATTGGCTTATTGTTAGTTATCGGTGAAAATTTTGTATAAGTCAATTACCTTATCATTTAACAGGCGAACACAAATTTCTTTCATGAAAAACAAGAATCAAATGTATCATCTTATTTTTCTAATGGACTTAGACAACAATTATGAATTATTTATAGTAACAATATGACTGGTAAAAATTTAGAGCGACATTATATAGTGATTGACGTATCAATCAGTCATAATTTATCCATGTAATAGTGATCGGTGAGCCATCAAACCCCCAGAAAAAAATGCCACAAATTGTGACGTCTTTCACCAAAAAAAAAAAAAAACCCCACTAAACATGTGTTTACTCTTTCTTATACGTCATGCCACAAGGTGACGTGAAACTACATATGTAAAACTTAAAAAATTTCACAATTCATCACAATTGGGAAAATCGAATTTTACACTCCAGATGTAAAATTTCTATTGTAAATTTTTATTTTTTATTTTTTATTTTTTTTTAAAAAAAACTATGCCTGAATTTCCTGATCATTAGAGCGGGAGGTAGTGAGGATGAAAGGAAACAGGGCTTCTCCTCACCCCGATGTTCATATTCTAAAGGCCCATTAGATAGACTGACCCATGAACAGAAATCCGATCCGGAGACCCATGTCAAGAATTAAGACCTGGTTTTACTTCTTCTTCTTCTCCTTCTTCTTCTTCAACGATTACAGAAAAAAAAGGTTTCATAACTCGTAAAATCTCTCTTATAACCTTTATTATGAAGTAAACTTTCTATTCATGTCAATTGATCCAAAAATTACAGTTACATTTAACCAACTATTCTCACCCATTTAGTACAACAAAGAAGATATTATCTCCGTTACAAAATTATTGTCTAGTTTAGAATTTCATTTTCGCTGCAAAATAAATTAAAAGTGAAAACTCAAATTTGAAAATAACTTTGAGACGGAGTGAGTAATTTTATTTTATTTTTTTGGAATGGATTAGTAGTACGTTGATAATTAGTATGTGCAAGTGATGCAGGTGAAAAAGCAAACCCAACTTTGAGAAACACAATGATATAAAAAACAAAAAGGTCAAGAAAAAGATGTATCCATAATTTCGTATGGACTATGGTATAATGGATGACACTATTTATCGTTCTCATTTATGGCTCACCCAATCCAAAACCTGGCCTACCTTTTCTCCTTCATTCTCCCAAATGTGAAGAACCTTTTTTCTCTTTTATACTTTTCTCTCTTTTTACCTTTAGCCTTTGTTCCTCCTTATCTCGTATGCTCGAGGGAAATCAGTAGTGTGACTGAGAGAAGAGAACCTTTACCCTTTTCCCTTAGGGAGGGACTAAATGTAACTCACTGAATCCTTAGAAGAATCCACTTTATGACTATTTTGTTATTTTTTATTATTGTGAATAAAAGATTCATCATTTTATCATTTTAACATTTCATTATTGTTGCTGATAGGCGCGGTGCTGCGGGCCGTTCGCGCAATGAGAGCGTGGCCTCCGCTCTTTGTTTTTATATTTTTTTTTCAAATCTGATGAATATATATAATAAAAAAAGCAAAAAAAATACATACCTTCGTTGGCAAGATTTTTTCAAAAAAATACTTAAAGAGTTGAATTTTAATCAAGGTTAGAAGATTTTAGATTTTAAAATAATAAAAAAGAGATTAATTTTTATACTTATTCAAATAAGGGTAAAATCGTAAAAATTTGAGTTTTACTAGCATTAAATGGGCTACGCTTAGCTAATCCTTCTCTTATCCATACCAAAAACCATCGAATTAAATTGGAAAATTTCCGTTCTATGTTTAAGACCTTGAAACTTAGGTTGTCCGAAAGCACTGCTCCGTGTGTAGCTGTTTGGAGCGGAAACCTCCTTACTCCTCAAACCAAAAATAGATGATTATGGATCCATCAAGTAGATTAAAACCATAACTGCACTTAAAAAAAAATTAAAAGAAAAAAAACATAACTTATTTTAACCTTGAAGCTGATGTTTTCGTCAGAGTGAAAATAGGATTTCCAGAACTGTTCGAGTCATTTCCATAGATTATCCTTAAGAAAAGCCACATGTAGGTAGTTTTATAAGGATAATAATGTTTAAACGGCTGAGAATGAAGCTACTTTCAATGTAAAACAGAACAAACGAGATAAATGCATAAATTCAGGAGTGATGTTATTATCCATCTCAAACCTTTGCAATTACAAAATCATCTCCTGATGCCCAGAATAAGATGCTGCTTGCTGCTCCATTTTTTTCAATGGAACACTTTGAAGTTGGTATTAAAAACAAAACTCCAAAGTGCACAAAAATATTACATAATGATGATGGTAATGCAAGTTGCACGATCGAAGCTCATCTGGGACTAGGAGCAAGAGGTGATCGATGCTCATCGGAACAGCCATCGTCGAAGTTCTGTGAATAGCTCTGGGCATCGTAACTGTACCGTGATGTACTGCTTCTCTGCCATCTCTGAGCTATAGGCTTCCATTCTGATTTGAACCTCCAAACTAACCGCTTTGCCACATGATAAGACCCTTGAAAACATTTGACTGGAACTCTTCTTTCAACCCTTCCAAGAATAGCTACCCCAGAGACACTACTGCAACTGATTCTTCTTTCCCACTTCAATATTTGGACCTTCTTCAGACAAAAAATGCTTGAAAACCTCATTCTTTGAGACCCTTCGATCTGAACCACAGGAAGATGTTATCGACTACACTTGCAAGAGCAATGGGAATTCACTTCATTAGCTAGTATGTTAGTTCATTAAACAGCATGCACTTTAATAGTGTCTACCATGACAAGAATGGGAGCATCAATTTATCACTTATATTGGATGTCACTTTCACATTTTTGGGTGGTGATAAACAATTTGATCGAGCATAAACTAGTCAACCAAACTTTGCTCCTTGTAGGTCCAGAGGGTCTACTGGTCCAAGCAATGGAAACGAACAGAAGCATCAACAATAGAGGTACAAATGTAACATCATTATAGGGCGATGCTGCATTTGCAGAAGGAGATTAATTTCTCAACAAATTCTCTATAACTAGTGGAAGTGACACTTCACTTTCATCAACACCAAAAACTGATGTGGTGGGAGGTCCTCATTAAAGTAAAAGACCAATAACTTCCCACTATGATAGTTATATAGTGTGAGAAAAGCACAATTATGATGTAATATATTAGATGATAAAAGGATAAAACATCCTTAAAAAGAAGAAAAAGGGCAATTTCAGTTCGTCAGTTTGGTTCTTGAGACTTTTGGTTTATCATTTATCTTTAAAATCATGACACTTTTTGGCACATTTCAACAGCCTAATAATAAAACTCAATAAAGTTCAAGTAAGAAACATGCTGTATAGCGTAAGCGTTATTCAATCCTCTAGATTAACGGATCTTTAGAAAAATTCGTATAGTTTACCATGTACTAGAATTGCCAGAGATGAGATTTTGAACAAGCTTCAAGGACGAGAAATCAAAAGAGTCATAATTTCAAAAAGGAGTGAACCAAAAGATAGCATCAAGGGATAAGAGACCCAAATATGCATTTGTATCTTTAAAGTGCCAATCATCCATTCTAAATGGGTATGTACAGCACTAATTTGCTTTGGTTGTTTGAAGATATCGGTACTAGGATTTGATATTTTCAACTTAAACAAGAAATGAAAAGAACCATAAAAGCTGATATAAAGTTTGGAAAACATCAAGCTGAATAGGCAGCTTCACTTGTCCTTTTCCAAGAGGAAATGCTGGCAGGCACACTATTGACGGACAAAAGGGCCAGAAAGCTCCATCAGACAAAAATCTTAAGTTCTACCGTGTCTTCCTGTTTACCTCTTCTTTAGCTGACTAACTTCACAATTTTTTGGTGGGTTGGGAAAAGAAAAGATCTTCTTTATAAATGTGATTGTTTGCTATTTGTAATTTCATTCCAGATAGTTATTATAGCAAGGATATGATAAGTGCTTAGCCAAATGTCAGAAGGAAAGCACAGCCAGAAAGGGTATAAGAATTCTCACAGTTTTTCAAGTGATAAAACCAACTATTTATCCTATTATGTCACTAATGGCATAAGAACTCTGAAAGAGACAATTGTGACAAGAGAAAGTTGCAAACTTTTCAAGGTACAAGAAAGTTACCAGGAACCACAAGCATGGAAAATATAGAGACACCAAATTCTCTCTGCAACTTCACCTGCAATTATTATTCAAAAGTATCAAGTGACAGTTGAGAGACATAGCTAACTTATAAGCCAATTAAAAAAAATAACATGCAGGATCCCAAAGGATAAAGACAGTGTGCCACCTTTCACTAGCAGTTATGAACAGCATATCTTGCGATATGACAATCAAGAAGTTGATAGAATTAACAAGGCTATTACAGTAATCACATAAGAAGAATTTTCACGGTTCAGGATTCAATTATTTTGTCAGTTAGACATACAACACAGTAAACATCTAGACATATTGAGAAGTGAAAGAAAAGATGGATAGGACTTACATTCTGTATGGTTCTTCCCATCCATAACACAATTGCAACATCTGCATGCCAGTCATTGGTAATTGTTTATAGACAAAAGGTTCACTCAGATACACAAGTAGGCAGAAATTACAAAATATGTGAAACCTGATTGCAGACGAGTCTCCTCTCATCCTACTCTCTAGTTCAATAAGATATGACTTCAATAATGGTGACCTGCATCATAAGCATTAAGTGAAATAGATGAACCTGTGATCTTGATGATAAACTTGACATGCAAATCCTTGTTAAATTGAGGCAACATGTAGGAAATATGCTTCCTTATCAAGAGCAACATATCCAGTCCCTTGTCAAAAAACTGAAACCAAGGCAAATTCTATGGAAGTAGCATTTAGGACTAAACATGCAAAAGGAATGAGGAGGAGAAGAAACTAGAATGATTACAATATAAACAGCTCTGTTTCAATTCATGGACGGTAATGATCATCTAAAATTCCTACATTATCTTATAAGTGAATTGTGTACCTTAAAGATATTGCCGCTGCTGGAATAATAGGTAATAATTTCAACAAACAATGAACTTTGTTGGTCAAAACATCCTCCAAGTACTCAAGAGCACCTTTTTCCTAGGTGACAACAGAACGCACAGATCAAACATGTACACGAACTATCAAAGTCTTACAGAAAGAAGTTAAGTCAACAGTCCTAGGCTGTGCATGCTGGTTAGCATTCAAAGAAATGATATATGTATCTGATAATATTCCAGAGCAACCAATCCGCCATCAACTAATGTATGCAAACTAAAAAGCAATAACCATCGAGCATCAGTACCTGGCATTTTGTATATTAAAGATGATTCAAGTAGATCCAAACTAAATTAGAACATTCCACAAACATTGATTCAGCAGGGACCAACGTGTACCAATACCCGCTCTATCTGCATGCCTTCTTGCTACTGTAATTGAATGCTTACTAACTTTTGGAAAATCACATAACGGACTCTTACCTTTTTTCTGTTTCTTTCAACTCCATAGTTAAAATGCCAGATGATTAAAAATTATAAAAACATCTCCAAACATAAATTTCAGTGGTAATTTCAACTTGCATCACAAAAAACTGCAGAATGAGTAGTAATCCTAGAAAAAGTTCAATTGTAGCGATTTCAATCTTAAAGAAAAAGCAGGTAGGTAAACCTATGTTGATTCAATACAGAAAGCACAAGTGCCAAAATAAAAAATAAAAAAACCTATTACCAACAGAAAAGAAGAAGTACCTCTGTGGATGCATGTTCTTCAAAGCAAGGATTCTGTGATCTTCTAAAAAGCAGGTCTTGTACTTCACGGTATAGTTTCGAGATGGTGACAGATTTATAAGAACTTGATATTACCTTTTCAATTAAAGAACTCCATTTGCTGCCAATACTTCCAGATAACAAAAGCTCCTTGCACAGCAAAAAGAGGCCAAAAAAGGTTAGGGTTAGCTTTTCTATATGTTACTGAAGGTTATGAATCTGATGGGATCTCTAAGAAGTACGTATGGAATTTTCTTTTTATTTTTGGCAAAATGGATGAATCTGATCCAGCAATATATCAATAGCACAGATGCATGCAGAGGTATCATACTGTTCTGTATATTAAGTCATTGCAATAGAGTATAAAATCACATAGAGCAGTATCCAAGCAAAGATAGAACACCTTACAATCTTTTCATAGTAATCATCTGTTTCATCTGAGATAGCCATTCTTCTAAGCACCTCTACCCATTGATGCTTTGGTGCTGACAACAGTAATTTTGCGCCTGAAACCAGTCTAATAGTTCTGTTATCCAGCAAGTATGAGAGGGCTCTTGATTTCCACAGACTCCAAACTTCAGGTTCAACAGCTCTTTCCTCGACCCTTTGGTGAAAAATAAATCAAAATTTTTAAATTAGAACTCATACAACATGCCATGCTACTTTGTAATCTTAGGGAATGCAAAGGTTTCTACGTCAGAATGTATCTAAGGTCTCTATATGCCAACACATATCTACAACAACCTAAGCAAACCCAACAAGGATATTGAAGTAGAACTCACATGACATTTTTCATAAGCTGTGGTTTCTTGCCACACAGAGTAGTTCCAAGCTCATTTGAGTTGCTATTTCTCACAATCCTGGAGAGAACATCCAATCCTGCTTCAGCTACTGTCAGGTGTGAGAGTTCAAGTTGCCTCGTAGCAAGTTCCTGAACGGCGCACCTGGTAAATCCGCCTTTTAAGCTGATTTTGTCCATCCCAGGTTGTGCTTCTGAAGAACCACGAGTACATTGTCCAGGAAGAGTAATTCTTCCGGTAGGAAAAGTGGTTTTGGTCGCATCAAGTATAAATCTGTCAACATATACATGAAGGGCATCACCACTCAAACTTTGAAGTTCTTGAAAATCAACCTCAACAATGGCTGCAATTGTAGCTCTCAGATGTGTGTCCCTCAAAGGTAAGGTATGGATTAGATGGCTAAGAATGAGACATCTGGCTTGACTGAGACTTGTTGATGTTAGATTTTGAAGGCCCTGCAACAAGTGAAAAACAAAAGACTTCACCATTAAGAACTAAAAAATTAGGGAAAGCGTAAGAAAAATGACATGTAGCTAATGCACATAGGAGCTAAAGAAATTGACAACCTGGGGGAAAGAGGGACTCGAATTGATTTCGAGTAAAGCCAGATCAAGTTTAGCCACAGGGTCTTGGTGATCATCAGAGCTTTTCCAGCACCTCAGCACCTTAAAAACACAGCAAAACAGACACTGATAAAGCAATCCACATCTTCAACAGAAATACGTCTTCCTAATCTATGAAATTTAAACAAGTATGATATTAAATTGCCAAAGTATCTTAAGCTGGAAAACGAAGAATTCGGCAGGATAAGCTAATTTGTCCAAAACTGCAGGTAGTGAAAAGACTAATAAACACAGCAGCTAAAAGCCTTTCTCAGTGACTTTCACCTCTACACAAGATTCAATCACAAAATTAAGCAAAAATATTAAAAAAGAATACTAAATTAAAAAAAAAAAAAAGCAACTAAGCAGATGCAATTCTTATGAGCGTATAAATGTGCTACACAGAAAAAATAATAAGAGGTAAAAAAAACAATACCAATGGGGCCATCATAGAACTAAGCAGCAGATAAGCAGATCAATAGACTAACATCAAAAGATTTCTTTTCTAGGTTTTTAAAAAACCAAAAGAAAAGGCATGATTGAAATTAAGTTGTCATTGGATTTGAGAATGATAATCACATTTAATTTTCAGCGCTCCATCAAAATTGTGTGAGCGAATCGACTCTCCATTCAAGTATAACATTGTAACAGCAGCGGTTTAAGGTGACTTACATCTTCGATAAAGACAGCCCACTGAAAAGCTTGCTTGATATTGTGTGAATCCCAATGGGCAAGCCGACCCGACGATTGATACCCGGATGCGAGAATCAGCATTTCTATAAATCCTTTTATCACTTTTAACAAATCCTCCACGGAAACGTCTGAATAAGACCCACCCATCTTCAGAATCACCGCCAAACGATAAGGTCTGGATGATTTGAGCCGGAAAACGAGACACCTCCGCCAACTGAACGGGGCGGGGGGTCGGACTTGGCCGGACGTTTACCCCAAGTTTTCTACTAATATTTTCCCGCCTTAGGAAGGACGTTCTTTGTTATTGGTCCCTTAGTTCTACCACATAACTGGGCCAGGTAACTAATAAAAACCGCCAAAGCCCGAGTCAACATAAATCACATTAATGGCTCGTTTTTTGACTACTGATCGCATAATATATTACTCTTCTTATCTTTATTAAAAATTTTGATTTGTTATAGATTTAATAAGAATTATTTTTTTTAAAATCGAAAAAAAAAACAAAATAAGTATATTTAGAACAAATTAAAATACTATAAAATAAGGATTGGAGGGAGTATATAAAGTATAAAATCACATTATCAATACTTAAAAATAAATAAGTAAATTATAATTGATTTTTTTGACGTTTAAATTATTCTCTTTCTATATCAAAATAATTGTCTAGTTCGAAATTTTGGTTTTAGTTCAGTTTATACTAGTAATAAAAAACCAAATTGAACAATAAATTCCGGACGAATGGAATAATCGATTGGAATCAAAGTTTTGGGCACATTTTCATGGCCTAAACATGGCTAGGTTCATCATTTTTCCATGGCTTCTACCACCCGTCAGCTGGAATACAGGAAGATGGATTTTTCTTGGGAAGATCTCAGTAACATTTGCCTAAAGGTTCTCGTGTCTCCAAGAGAGGCGCATTTTGTCAAATCTATTAAAAAAATTATATATATATATATATATATTGTGAAAATCATTACGCTTTTAATCGTCAAAATGGATCCCTAATCGAAAATGATTGAGATGTGACCGTGTAACTAATCTTTCGCTTCCTATAAAGTGGATCAACTGAAGTCGCTATTGCTCCTTTGGCGGTGCTTCCATGTATCCCATTCAACAGATTCTTAGGTTCCCATTTCTCTAACTTTTATAAGGTATAAATAAATTGAGCCACCACGTGTTATCCAAGATAAAAGAACCGTACTCGCAAATACGAAAAGTGGCAACCATAATTCTAAATTAATCTTAACAAGAAAATTCAAACTTCATCCATACATTAGATATCGTATTCAAGAGGGAGACCAATTATGCCACATAACCAACCCCTAGTCTTTTCAGCATCTCAGGGCTCTCTAGAAGCGACCTCTTGCTAAACACACATGTATATATAATAGATTCCATAACACAAAGTAACACCACCACCGGAGGAGATTTATAAATAGACAATACAAGCAAAATGACCACCCGAAACTATATACAACTGACATGGATTCAAGCACTAATTATTCGTGCAAAAATCCAACAAAAATATTTATACATTTGAAGTGGAAACAGCAAAATGAGACAGAGAATTTACCATTACGCCGCATGTAGTCGTAGAGAAGGGTTTAGGTCCACTAGAGAAAGTACCCCTTGTTCTAACCTTCGATCAGAGCAAAACAAACAAAATCAGCCGACAATAAATAGTTGATGTATGTGAATTATTGTCCTAATTGTTGCGAAGAGAAACCATCGGATACCGCGGCTTAAGCGAGTAGTACCTCAAAAATAAAGCCCCGATTCGATGATCTCTGTCTCTCAGAAACGATGATTTTCCTTCTTCGACGACTTTCTGTAAGTTTTCTTGCGCGTTGGTCGAGGAGGTCTAAGAACGATTGACACCCCTGAGTTATGTCCAAAAATAATTACCCCTCAAAGTTTCATATAAAGACAAAACCCCCTTAACAAAACGCCTCTTTTGCACAATTTTCGGTGGAAAATATTATTCATATTATAAACAAATTAAAATGTGTAAAATATACGATACAAAACATTTGATATAATTTGGTAAATGAAGCGGGGATCTGAGAAATCCCCATTCAAAGATACTTGATACTTATATAGATACTATAAATACAAAAGATACAAAGGAATCTTGATCTGTAATTAAAGATAGATAGTAGAAATATATTTTATCTTGTGATTTAAAATTGAAAAAAAACCTCCATGTGGAGAAACAAAATAAAAACTTATTGTTATATATTAGTGAGGAATAAGAATCTAGAAAAGAAAAAAGAGGATTTAAACGGAAATATCGACAAAATTCACCCCCTTACATTAGCATAAATAAAAAATCTTAATTATTTAAAAAATAATTACCATTATAACTATTTTTTCTTAAATTTGTTCATTACTTTCTTTTCCCCTTTCACTTCTAATATCATTCAAATGATTAAATTCCTATATCCAGAAAAATCTCTTTTCCTTTTTTTCTTTTTTTTTTTTTTGTTTAAAAGCTATCTTAAATTGTGAGATTGAATTTCTTCGTCAAAAGAATAAGAAAAATTCAAACTAATTATAAGGTGAGACTAATAATTATATGTGTATCTTGTCTTTTCCGTAGTGAAGAAAGTAGTGAGAGTTCTATGGAGATATAGTTTTCTTAATTTTATCATTTTATTTCCTTGCAGAAAGGTTAGTGGGAAGTGCCACAATTTTTTCGTGGTTTTACATATCTGGATGGTTGATTTTGAGTTTGAGGCAGTCAATGGAGAATTTTTGCCTTTCAAAAAAAAAATTCGAAAAGGTATGTATTTGAGACATAATTAGGAGGTTAACAATAAAATGTTGCTAAATTAATAACTTTGAGTTATTAATAATTTTCTCATGTCCTAATTCGACACTGGTACAAAAAGTGAGCAAAATCGATAAAATAATAAGATGAGAATGTTTCAAAAATATTCTCTCTATATCTATTGGTTCCGACATCCTATTAATTAATACTTAACTTAAATCAAAATAATAATAATAATAATAATAATAATAATAATAATTTACTAAATATGAACTATTGAAACTCGTCTTTTTATTCCATTAAGATGATGAGAGCTATGCATGGACTTTAGTATCGAGAGAAGAAATTCAATACTTGTTTGAATCGGATGATGAAGATAATTGAAAATTGAAAATTATGTAATTCAGTAAAGTTTTTTTTCTTTTCAAAAAAAAAAAGTCTTTAAACTATTTAATAATTTTTTGAATTGATGGTTTCAACATTATTAATTAATAATTATAGAAGTTATATTGTATCTAAAATATTTACCCGTTAATATAAGCGGAAGCAAAATCAATTGCAGGAGAGGATTGTATGCAACGACAAGTCACAGGCCAGTTCAAACCCGCCATTCCGTCCACATCGCCATATGCTGGCCACAGCATGACGTAAATATCAACCGGGAGTCTTGAATTTGGGTTTTTCCAGAATAGGATTTATCGTAATTCTTTCTATGTTTGGAAGAGATTCGGCAGGTATATTACCCGCGTAAAATGATCATTTCAAGCAGGAATCCTCAATGGAAGGACGCAGTGTATTTGTGGCTGATTCTTTGAGCTTTATTTGTTGAACTACTCGAAGATGATAGATATGTATCTAAGAAACTAATCTTTTGTTTCCTCCATAAAGAGAATCAAGTTTTGTTTAATACATTCAAATAAAAGTATACCAACCAACCAACATCCTTCAATTTTAACTTAGTCAATTAAAATGAATTATTCGTACCAAAATCATTTTGATGACAGTAGCTTACTCCAGAAATCTCCACAGAAAATGACAAATACATCACCACAACAAACAAAACTTTCAGGAGAATACTAGGATCATATGTCACTAATGTTCAATTTATCAGTCAAATAAAAAACATACTAACAAAGATAGCCATTATAGCCCAAGGAAAGGCACGGCCAAAAGATCAGTAAAAGGAAAACTTGGAAGCAGTAATAAAATTTGCCACCCTAGTTGATAAGGTTATTTAAGGTTGATACCACTAAAGAACACTCACTGTAAAGTAATACAACTACTACTCACTAAGATTTGCAAGCACCCATTGGTATGTTTCTCAAGCTTGAAGCCAATTACCAATGCATGACCATGACCCAGAACTTTTGCTAGAACTATCAACCTAATTATAAAATGGCATGATTAACACTCGAAAGGAACCATTCTTTCTATGTTTGATCTTGTGCAAGGCATTTTCGACCATAGCAGGGATAGAAGACAAAGACAGAATGAAATCGTAAGTACTTCTAACTAGAAATCTTATAGAGAAATCCTAATTCAAATCATCACTAAATTGATAGGAAGACTACTAATAAATTGCAGACATGGAAAATACAAGCAGGAAGAAATTCATAAAATACATTTTCTCCCTTTCGATAATGGAGAGGAGGGGGTGCAGAGAGACTACTAAAGAAAACTGCTGAATACAATTCTAATTGTACATTTCAGCTTCACAACCACAACATTCAAATAGTAAATTGAGATCGTAGACCTGGCTACTATAGGCAAATTTTAAATCCATCATTACCAAATATGCCAAAACAAATCATAAACAGATATCTTTTAAAGCAAAACAAACTTAAGATGCTTCAGAACCAGGCCATTTAGATTCTTTGAAATTAAGACAGACCCTTGGTAATAAACAGGTAAGGACATGAAAAATCTAACAAACAGCAAAGTATTTAGTTTATCCAAACAAAAGATATAATTCTTAGCTCTTACATACCAAGAGTCTACTAAAATTACCACATCCACAAAATGATAGTACCAGATACCTAAAACAAAAATTCAGTAAACTAAAGTTCAGATGCGGTGCATTAAACAATCGCATTGGCAGCACTTGCAATCCTAGGCCAAAGATCAGCACACTCCTTTCCAATGGGACCAGTGATTGCAGAACCTACAGAACAAAAATTAAGATAATCAGCAAACATACATTTGATAACACGAATAAGAAGAAACTGAGTCACCACACCCAAGGAACAAAACGTCTAAATGGACTTTAAGCAATGCCAGTGTAAGGAAAGTTCAGAGTAGAAAATGAAAATGAAATTGATACCTTTCATTTCTCCCTTGGGATTAACAATCACTCCAGCATTATCTGAGGAAAAATCAACAAGGAACTCATCAGATGGAGCATACGAACAAGCATTCTGAACAACGGAATACCACAAACAATAGCATAGCACAGCTTGATAAACTCCAAATCATCAATAACACAAAAGTGAAAAAGACCCTTACAATTACTGCTACACAACACAGAAAAAAAAATGCTTCACAATACACAGAAAAAACATGCTGTTTAGACTGCCATATTAAAACCCAGTACATTTGTGCTTCATGCTATTATACAGATGAAATATAATAACATTATAAGCACAAATTCAAGCAAAGCTACATAGAATCACCATCAGGGATTCTCTTAACTACCCCACTCGTGCCAACATTTAGATACCACCGAGTCACTTAACAGATAATTAATACTACCAAACACGTTTGTCAAAAAAAAAAAAACTACCAAACAGAGAGCCACGGGGTTTCATTAAACAAGGAACAGAAGAAATACATAACCAGGGCAAATCATGATAACAAAGTAGTTCGACAATCAAATATCATCACATCATCAACAGACTAAGCGACTACATAATAAAATATGGGGCTTTAATTCGAGAAATCAGACATGAGAATTCAATTGGAGGCCTACCTTCAAAGTACATGTAGACACCGTCCTTTCGGCGCCATGGCTTGCGCTGGCGGACAATGACAGCGGGCATGACCTTCTTCCTGAGATCGGGCTTACCCTTCTTGACGGTGGCCATAACCATGTCGCCGACGCAAGCAGAAGGGAGACGGTTGAGCCTACCCTTGATTCCCTTCACTGAAATGATGTAGAGGTTCTTTGCCCCGGTGTTGTCAGCGCAATTCACCGTCGCCGCCACCGGAAGACCCAGCGACATCCTGAACTTGTTACCCGCCGATCCTCCGCGTCCTAAACATAATCATAACCAAACAAATTCATCAAAAAACTTCAAGTAAAAGACGATTCCAGTGAAATATACATGAAAGATGAGACGGAGGGTGGGAGGAAGAGGATGAGTGGTGATCGGCAATCAGTAGGGTTTACCTCGCTTCGACATTTTTGCTGTCTCCCCTGTGAGGTTTCCGAAGAAGAGAAAATGAGATGTGAGGCTGCGAGGGTTTTGATTTATATACCTCTAACTTACAGCCAGCCTCTAGGGTTTTTTGTTGTTATTGGACTGAGGCTTGTCTTTCTTCAAGCCCGTCTCTTGTTGTGCCCTTAATGGGCTATAGCCCATTTACCAGTAGCCCGTGTCTTTGTCCATACAAATTAATCCCGGAAACATGCTTTTCTTTACTTTCTTTTTCTTCTTCTTTTTTTCTTTTTAATGAAATTCTTGATATTCAATTCCATTTGTCACAGGTAAATAATGTAATCCACATTGTAGTTTGGAAATTGTACTAAAAAATATATAATTAAAAAAATTAATGCAAACTATTTTTCCTAGAATGTTATTTTCTCGCTTTAGTCACACGTGATTTTTCCTTTTGTCGCCATTCCAAAGAAATTGCTATTACTTCCTTGTTTTTCAAAATAATAAATAGTGTTATAAATCAGTTCATTTCCCTTTAGTGAATGAAGGTTATGGGATCCCCTTTGAGAGAACTTTAGGGTTCTTATGACGAAAAGAACACATACATTACGCCTAAAAAAGCACAAAATTATGTTGGATGAACAATATGTAGGAAACAGTTCATCTATACCACTAATTGTGCTGCAGTACTGTAGTTACAAGCTAGTATGATCTAGAAGCCCATAAAATAAAAGTATCACGAAACAAGAACAGAGATTTGCAGCCAAAAACTACAATGCAAATTTTGTGCACTCTCAAAACAAACATCTGCCAAAAAGCCAAACCAAAGTACATTCTTCCGCCAGATCAAATCTTAGAACACTCACAAGCCCAAATTAATATACAATGCCATCCTTAAGAATGTATTGCAGCATACATTCCTTGATGTCTCTCATCAGCTTCTCCTTTTTCGACTTGATCACTAACACCAACAAATTAATCGTGTACCACACCCAGTGATACCCAATCTTCTTTCAAACACTTCACCCTCACCATCCACAGAATACACTCTAGGACCAAAGGAATGATAAGATAACCAAATCGCGTGGTAAAATGTGAAATCTTGGGCCCAGAAGATCTCTTCGTCCCTGAGGTTTTGGTTCTGTGTCCATTTCCTTTCTCACAAAGTTAGTAAATTACACAATTTTGTTCTTACAAAGTCAAAGTCTTTGGACCAAAAGGTCAATGATTGAGATCGCATCAATGTCACAGGCAGCGCGACCTCGGGATAGGATTTGTCACACTAGATAATATATACTCAAGCTGAATTATCTAATTCCATTCGGTATAATCATTACTTGTATCATGATGTATTCTGGGCAGCAAGATTAGGTTGATTACTTTTGTGTGAGAGGGAGAGCACAAATTCCAGTTCGTGGAATCCAAGAGTAGCACATGTGAAGATGAGGTCAATGTAGGCAATGTAGCTTGTTTCCACCCTTTAATTGGAGGAGTCGATCAACAAATTCTGTTAGATTCACGTTTTGGTGTGATTTGTATGTGCAATCTATGGTATCTGCTTTGTCATCACTACGTTGAAACAGCTACTTCTTACTGTTTTTGAGATGAGTCATTCTAATAAGCTTATTTGTGATTAACTAACATGCTATTTTTCTCACAAACAGGTAGGGGGATGGGAGCTGCTGGTGTTTGTTTGAATGATGGGATTCCACAGATGATCTTTTTTCATGCTAGCCCTCATAACATTAAGGATGTGAAGTGAACATCTTCATAAATTTTCCCAGGCGTCAGCCTTTACAATAGTCAAATGTTAATCAGACCTGAAAGTTTCTTTACTCCTCCACTGCAAAGAGTTTGAAGTAATGTATCTTGTGTGTATGTTCATTTTACCTGATTCATATACTGGAATTAATCATCTTCCAAGTTCTTTTGTACCGGGAACATGCAAAGCTATTTCCAAGTATCTGACAATGTAGAATGGATTGGTTTCCGATGCAAGTGGTTAGATGAAATCGTGATTTACCACTAATGTGAGATAAAAATTGGCTGTGCTCTTTATTTAAAACATTTCAGCTCTCTGGTGTATGTAAATAAACAACTGAACCAGTATAATAGGATTTGGTTCGATGAGTGCCTTTAACATGTATGAGCAGGAGAAGGACATTAACTGCTTTGGTGTAACTCTTTTGCGGAAAGATAATAGAGAGATTCGATTACATTTAGAAATGCTTTTGAGCATGAGTCGTTTACTTTAAATTTGTGATAGCTGACTTGTAAGACATCACCTTTTCATTTCTGTGGTAATGTTTTGCAAAATTTTGATTGCTGCTTTAGAAAGCTAAACAGAAAGACTCAGTTTTTTGTTTTACTTCAAATGGTCTATCAGATCAATATATACAGTAAACCCAGGCTCATCTAATCAACTGAAATCAGTACATAGTGTAACCTAAAGTGGCAAGGGGTAAAGAATCCAAAGCTACACTGTTAAGGACAAGAAAATCTTGAGCCCAAAACTCCCTACGCATATTGAGTAACAAAGTTGCAAACTGAGATGTTCTATCACAAAACAAAAGTTATGTAGCTGTATCACACCTTCAAATTTCAATCAAACTTCCTCTTGATATTGACAGGAACCACCAGCTCTATTGTTTCATTCTCCCATTCATAGATTTCCTTGAGAATTTGATATTGGTTCTCAATCAACTGGTCAATATTCTCACCTCGAGGAACCAATTCTGCATACTCTTCATCTATGGTCAGACTGTGAACATGAACGCTAATGCTTGTGCGCTTGTCTCGGAGTCTTGAGTATAAGATTATTTCCCTAGCAATTTCTGAGACCTCATTAACATCATCCATCTGATGGATTTTCTTATATGCCTTCTCCATATAACATTTGTGGGCGTAATCTTCACCCGACCCAACTGCTAGATATCGATCATGAATCCTTTCCTCTTCAATACTCCCCTCAATGCTCCCATACGAGAAAGAGAACAAAATAGGTTCATTGATGGCTTGTCTAAAGCAAGCAAGAATGATGCATGGCTGTACTCTGGTAGGGTGAAGCCATTCATTTGTTCTTTCAAATAGTCCACTGCTTACTCAAGGGACAGAAGCCGTCCTAGAGTGTCTGTACTTTTGTTGCTCATCTCTAGTAACTTCTTCCTCTTAATATTGGCATAATGCCGATTTCCTGACACCCACCATCAGTCGAGATCCCCCAATATGTTTGACCTTGACATTAAAATCATACACTAAACCTTTTGGGTGAGTAGCCAAAGAGTCACGGGACATGACTATGCCACTCCGGAAACGGGATCCAACAATAATGGTTCCCCTTAGCAGTAAAATATGATATCATCAGCTTCATTGAACGTATCATCTATCTTCCTCTTCCCAGTGATCTTGGAAGTCTCTTAATTTGAATTCCTGCTGAACAATAATAAGGAAGCACAATTGATGTAGCTATTGAAAGGGGAAAAAAACAGTATAAAAGAAATACTCCACTGATCTATATAAAACATCATATTGGTTAGATGAATTGGGCTTTGCTAACCTTGGCAGTAGGAGTCTGGTGAGGAAATTCCAATTTCACGTCTTTTTCCTTCGGCTTATTCTGATACAGTACTCCTAACATTTTACAACCTTCCTCATCGTATTCATTGTTATGGAACCTCGTTTGCCTCTTCATCTCGGCAGCCACGTTGGGACATTCTTCCTCCAATTCCAATACTTTCTCTGCATAGCTCTGGTTTTCCATTTTGCTCTTTGTCCTGCTTCAATGTGTTTCGATCAATTTTAATGTCACAATCACCAATCAAAATTAACAAATTAATGTAACTTACTTTATAATGAAATTTGATAATTAGTATTTATTTATACTAAACTCGTCAAAAATTAATTTAGTTTTGGGGACAAGAGTTGTGACGAACGACTACTAAATCATATGAAAATAAACTAGTGTACAATAGAATATATTTATCTATTATATATGTATGTATACATTTCTAGAATAAAAGAAAAATATTTAAAAAAGAAAAGGTGACTTGTAATATAACTTTATACATTTATAATTATTTCATAAAGAAAAAAAAACACAAAGTAAAAGTCGAGTTTTCAAATGGAAAAGAAGTTAAACATATTTTTTTGTTAAGAGGATATTTAGATGACAATGTATAAGTAAATTGAGAAATATCATTCCGGTGTATACCAAAAAAAAAAAAAAACAATGGACAACAAAATTAAAAAGTAAAATGCTTTTTGTAATTTTTTGTACCACATGGCTCATTGTTGAAATATTTCTAAGCTATTGGGTCTAATTTCAGTTAGTTTGAGGGGTTTCCCATACAAAGGACTAAATCGACGGCAAAAGTCATACCTTTAGATGAAATCGATAACTAGAACAAACGTTTAGACTAAATCGACAATAAAAGTAAACTTCTGGACTAAATCGACATTTTTTTCCTCAAAAAACAATCTAAAAGTGTTACATTGAGGGCTAGGGATTTCAAATTCCTTAAACTTTTTTTAGCCAAATACTGTTAACAGCTATCATTGGATTAGTACGTTGTTTAGGGCTGGTGCAAATTCATTTATACAGTACCCAAAAACCTTTCTTGTGTAGATGAATATTAGGCCATGACGTGGTTCAATGCAGCTAGTGGGATCAAGTTGAACAAATTGAGTTTTTGTATGATGTTAGTTAAGTATAATTGTTTCTAGCTCTCTTTTCGTACAAAAGGGATAAATAATATTCCTTTCATCCCACAAAATAGTTCAGTTTAATAAAAAATCTTGTCCCAAAAAAATAATACAGTTTAAACAAAAAGTCAAAATTAAAACATATAAAATGACTTAACTGCTCTTCTTTCTCCCCCAAATTTTACCCTCCCACACATGGCATGACATCCACTCTCATTGTATCCCCTCCTCTTCTTTCTCCCCCCCATTTCCAGTCTGTGCACGTCTGCTTCCAGCAACACCAGGCCGGAGCTATCATTGCTCGAAGAATGTCCCCGCAATAGCACGCCTCTAACGTCAACTTCAGACAGTCCAAAACTCCACGTGCAGAAAAGTCATACTTTAAAGCCGGAATCGTCGACTTTAAAGGTAAAACCTTTCCGGCTTTAAATTAGCATCGGAAGTAACTTTCGACAAGTAACCGTCGATCAATTTTCCGACAGGCATCAGCACTGCCGACTTCATATTGCTGCTGTCATCCCTCCTCATCTTGGATTCGAAAGAAGACCTCTCATCTCTGTTCCAATCGTCTTTTTTTTCCTGAAAGAAGGTTCCAATTGTTGTAGGAAACCGAGGAAATAGAGATGAGGAAATCAGATTATTTGCTAATTAAATTTTTGGGGGTAAACTTGAAAGTTCATTGGATAATAATGAGTTGTACCTTGTTGGGTTGACTAAATTAAAAAAGTTGTACATTTTGAAACTGGACTATTTTTGTGGGACGGAAGGAGTATGATAACAGCATTTAAAGCCTCTCCCCGAAATTATCGTCCAATTTGATTTTTTATTTTTAATTTTTTTTTCATATTTTTATTTCTAGTTTAAATTATATACTAACATTTAAATATAAAAAATACATAATAATTTTAAGACAGGAAGAGTATATAAAAACTTACAGTCTCTAACTAAGATTTCGGTGCTATTCGGCTGGAGGCATGTATTTCTTTAGGCCCATCCCATTGTTGTATTCTGAATGGGCCATAGCTCAGTTACTCAGGGACAGACCTATTTAAGGGCTTGGAGGTGCAATAGCACCTCCGGCGGTCCGGAAATCCCCGACTAGGAAGGTATTAGTTATCTTGCTACGTATGTTTTTCTCTCCCTAAGCACTCCCAAAGAAAACAAATAGGCCCTTTGAAAAGGTAGATTTCAATTATAAGGTAGAATTGAAAAGGATGAGTGGATATAAAACGGTTAATTTGTTTATGGCGGTCAGTTGTGGAAAAGAATTTGCAAGGAGGTAGAAGATGAATTAAACTCTTAATTGAATTACTATTTAGCCCATGAAAAACACAAATTGTTTAGTGTGAGTTAAGGTTAATTGTAGAATATTAGTATGTATTTTTGCATTGGAGCCGCTCAATTTGTTTGGAAACATATGTATGGTCAAACCTTCTTATAGGCATCTTGTTAGTAAATTACATTAGCAATTTGTAGGCATTTTTTTGTTTGTTTGTTTTTTTTTTTTTTTTTTTGTAATGGCAACAAGTAGATTATTGATTAGGACAGTAGAACATGAGTTTAGAAACCACATAAGTTTTGCCATTTATTTGAAAAAAAAAAACAGAAAAAATAATTTTCTTGAATATGTATTTTTTTAATAATTAATACTAAAATCAACATTATAGGATTATTATTGCTACTGGTTTCAAGTTTATATGATGTTGGGACAATCTATATTATAGGGTGGGGTTTAGAGTAAAAATATTTCATAACAATCAATAGAACACAACGAATGTGAAAATATATTTTTAAAATTTTTCGTCAATTAAAAATACGTATTAGGTGAAACTTAAGATAAATCAAAATGTTATATATTAAGAACTGGAGGAGTAATTTTTAGTACGAAGCCTATCAAAGTAGTACTCCCTCCGTCATATAATTATTGTCCAGTTTGGGTTTTCATTTTTAGTTCAAATTGTACTAAAAGTGAAATCTTTAATTGGACAATAATTTTGGAATAGAAGTATTAGGAAACCAAAAGAAACTCGACGGGAAAAAAAAAACTCTAGATTGGCAAATGATGTGCACTCTCAAACAAACATCTCCCCAAAACAAAAGCCCAAATGAAAATCTTAGTCACAAGCACAAACTGAAGACAACCCCATCCTTTGTCACTATAAGACTCTTCATTTTGAAACTGTTTGTATGTAAAATCTATATACATGTAGCTGGTGATTTAAATGATTAAATCTTTATTTTCTCAAATCGGAACGAATCAAATATGCAGAGATAAACTTCTTTTTTTTTTGACACCAAAATCATATTCATCAGTAATTAAAACAGAAAATTCAAGGTACAAGCATTACTTTGAGAAGAATAGATTAATTACATTTGTAAAAAAAATCAATAATCCATGAACAAGGAGATTATTTTATTTTATTTTTGTTGGTTGGGGGAAATGCACTGATACAGTAATGACAAAACACAGTTTATTTAAACAGCCCAAAACGTAACCCAAGTGGCCCTGCAAAGTTGGAATCAACCCGTTTTCAGTTTCTCACTGACTCTGGAAAAGGAAAAAAAAAACAAAACAAAAAAAAAAACTAGAAAATGACGGACGAAAACGGAGAAGTGAAACAGAGGACTCCCAGCCCGGCTGAGATTGGGAACCTTTCCGCCATGAATTCACTCTTCAGTTCGCCGTTATCCCTCTCCCCCAACAGAACGGAAACCGCCGCCGGAAAAATCAGGAAGTCATCAACCTCTCCCCTTTCCATTCCAGCCGATACTAATAAACCTCCCAAGCCCAACAAACTGCGCCGCCTTTCAATGTCCCTCAACCAGAACCCCATTATCGACACCACCAAGTTCCTGGATTCCATCACCAAGCTTCTGTGGGGCCAATCCCTCCCTCCCCAGCTTGTCATCTCCACCGTCCGCTCCACTTGGACCACAGCCTGGCACGTCATCATGTCCCAGATGGCACCTTCCGACTCCTCCGGCGGTTACAACCGGCCGGCGTCGAAATTCCGCCTCCAATCACCGGCGAACTTCCCTCCCGACGCCTCCCTCCAAAGCCTGCATCTTTATGTGGGTCTTCCTTGTCCATGGGCTCACAGGGCCCTTATAGTCCGAGCGCTTAAGGGCCTTGAAGACGCCATCCCTGTCTCCATTGCTTCTCCCGGTATGGATGGTAGCTGGGAATTTAGGGATAACCCTCCGGCCAATCTTCAGGGCGGCCGGGGTAAACTTATTCCGACCTCGGATAAGGCCCAAGGTTGTAAAACCTTGAGAGAGGTTTATGGTTTAAGGCGAGGAGGTTATAATGGTCGGTCCACTGTTCCAATGCTGTGGGATGCCAAGAACAAGAATGTGATTTGCAACGAGAGCTATGATATCATTCAGTTCTTTAATTCAGGATTAAATGGAGTGGCTGGCAATCCGGGATTAGACCTTGAACCTCCTTCATTAACTAAAAAGATTGATGAGTGGAATCAGATCATTTACCCCAATGTGAACAATGGGGTTTATAGGTAAAACAAAAGATTATTTGCTTTATGTACGTCAAACCCAATAGAGAGAAAGCAAAATGGAGTTGAATTGAGTTTGGTTTTTTTTTTTGTTTAATTTGCAGGTGTGGTTTTGCGCAGAGTCAAGAAGCTTATGATACTGCTGTAAATGAGCTGTTCACTACATTGGATATGATTGATGATCATTTGGGTGGGTCGAGGTACCTTTGCGGAGATGATTTAACGCTTGCAGATATCTGTTTGTTTACCACTCTGGTTCGGTTTGATATTGTCTACAATGTTCTGTTCAAGTGCACAAAAAAGAAGCTCATCGAATATCAGAACCTTCATGCTTACTTGCGAGATATTTACCAGGTCAGATTGATGTTGCTTTTACCAACTTTGTGAAGATTGAGTAATGAGAATATGGTTTTCTTGAAAGATTACATTCTTCCATATCAAAAAAGAGTGTCATAGTTTGTGATACTGCACAGAATTTCTGCCTGTTGGAGATTGAAACAGAATACATTTAGTGAAGCATTCATTTCTTAGTGAAACGATTGAAGAATGTCTCTGCTTCCTCTTAAGATGATTATAGTTTGATTATTGATATTTGAACCTTTTTGTTCTTTGTTTGAAACAGATTCCTAAGGTTGCCGCAACTTGCAATCTTGTTGCAATCATGGATGGATACTACAAAACCCTTTTCCCTCTCAATCCAGGAGGCATTAGGCCTATCTTACCTTCACATTGTCAGGATGAAGCGCTTTCCAAGCCTCACAACCGGAGTTCGGTGTCAACAGTTGGAGAAGCTGTAAACCTTGGCATTTGATGTTCTTTAGTATATTATTGTAAATTTGATCATCTGATCATACCAACTCTGGACATAATGAAGCCAGAGTATCCAAAATTTTGAACCATAATGCATTTAACAATGAGATGTAGGCTGAACGCCTGAACTTGAAATGGTAAGACGTTCCTGGCCGAAGTTACTTAATGCAGCCGACTCGGATGCACGAAAGAGAAAAACATTAGACTTTGCAAGTGCTACTAGTGAATCATTCTAATAAAAAGAACAGTGAAAATACTTGCAAAGACCAGGGCATGAAACCATGCAAAAATCATCAGTACAGTAGCATTAGCCCCCATCAGTTGAAGTACAAATATAAGACCAAATGAATCACAAATCCAAGTCTTCATCTGCAACTTAATAGTAAAACAGAAACTACACCATTTACAAAACATATCAGGTCAATGTCATCATCTAAGACTCAATCTTTCAGGGCATGGCTGGTTCCTCCTTGAAGTAATTGCAGTCCATGCAAGCCTGCAAAGCAATAATCTCCAAAATAGCCCTAGGAAGATGCAGTAACAGCTGTCTCCCCCACCAAAAAAAAAAAAAGAAAACATTCATCTTCTTGATCTAGATCCTGCAAAGGGAGGTAAAAACATTTTTAGTCAAATCATTTGACAGAAAATACTTCATGATCAACGGGGCAATGAAATCATAGATAAATCAATCAAATCGACAATGTAATCAATTTGAGAGAGAACATCCCCACCCCATTACAACCTACCCTAACCTGGTCGTAAAAACATTAGCATAAATGGTTGCCACCAATTCCGTGAACGAACAAAAATGGAAAGAACATACACAAGGGGAAATAAACAGTTTTGTCCATTCCATAGAAGGTTAAAGTGGGGTTTCTTAACCTTACCCTTTTTCTTCCAAAAAGTACAACAATAATTAAACGTCATTAAAAGGGATAGTCCACATAATGTAGGGTGAGCCTCCAACAAGTTCAATGAAAAGTTAGGCATGGGGATAAGAGGGAGGATTCAAGTCCTCTCTTCCACATTAGGATAACTACCCAGGGCCAGGGATGTCCAGGTGGTTTTTAAGACATTATCTAGTGCTGTGAGTTACAAGAGTCTAAATAATGTGAAAACTTAAAAACTGAGATGCTGAAAATAGAATATCATTTCCTCATCTCATTTTCTTTCCATACACAGCTCTTTATAATATTTATTGAATTTTCAAACAGTTAATTTGTATGTAAAACAAGAATTGCGCCCCCAGTGAAAATATTACTTACTACTTGGACGTCGGATGTTCCTACAAAACCTGCTGCCACAGTGGCAGCGAAATGCCTTGACTGGATGCTCAACATCGTCAAAATCAATACCATAATCCTGAAACAACCATACCTCACTGATTAAAAAAGGGAGTGGATATAAAATTCTCGAATTTAGCGTTTTCAGAAGCTGCCAAACAAATGAGCTTTCAGCATTCACATTGATTCCTCAAAGAGATTCTCCAAAAAAAAACAAAAACAAAAAAGGAAAAGAAAAAGAGGAATCTTAGAGCAACATGGATGACCCAAGAACAAACCAACTGATAAAAACTTACCCAAGTAAGTTCTTCCATCGCTCGCACCTCTCTTGTAGTGAAAAAAGCAAGCTACATAAATGAATAGATACATTGAGGTTTTAGTCTTCTAATGATTATTAACTCCAGTAACACTTAAATGCAACAGTGTCATGTGAAAGCTCCTGAAATGTCTTACATGATAATAGTGGTGATCGGGAGTTTCTATTTCAACTGGTATCTCAACCATATTTGAATCAAAGCATCTGCCAAAATAGTAATGCTGTTAACCACCATAGTATTGCTACAATTTTAAGATTGGAAAAGAGCAACGAACAGAAACATCTCACAGTAGATACAAACTTTGAAACTGCCAAATCTGTTGACATGTGATACCAGTATAAAAGAACAAAAATAATAATAGCCCATGATGGCGTCAACTAGCCCTGTAAAAAAAAAGTTCCAACAAGAACAAGACTCTGGATAAGTTGGTTATGTACCAACTCTCAATTTAATTATGTTTTCTATAATTCTCAGAAACTATTGGCTACCTCAACACTTCAGCTCAAACATTCTAGGACATACTAAAATTCAAGAATAGAAACACTCCTTTAGCTCATTACCGGAACAAAAGCTAAAAGTCAAAGTGGTATCTAAGTTAAACCCAAACAACGGTACATGTCAAGATACAAAAAGCCTTTACACTGAAACACTGGACATGTAAACATCAGGACATTTCAGAATTTCCAGGGCAAGAACTTTAAATGTGTTGAGCAACAATTAATAACTATCAGGAACACATTGTTGAAGAATGGGAGAATGGAACATGCATAAAATTGCTGTTTAGAATACAGACTTACCTATGATTAATAAACCTCGCCACATTCCCATAAAAAGTTGCATCTAGACACAGGGCTTCTTCATCTTTTAGAACCCTTTCACAACCCCAGTCAGCATCAAGCAGCACGGGATATGAATGCACTTCACCCTTTGGACTTCGTGAAACACGATCAAAGAGCTCAGCATTTGTTAATATTTCACCAACGTATTCGCAAACAAATGCACCTTTTGGCAGATCTTCAAGAGTACGCAACCCCCACCCTTTTCCTTCTGTCATGAACACCTGAAATTTTTGTTTTCATGGTAAACTAAGCGCTGAGCTAATGAACAAGGAAACCGAAAGCAGGCATTTTATGGGGAATTTCTCCAATGCATGAACCCCTACGTCAACCAAAAAATAAAACATACACTAAATCAGCAATTACCTGCAGTTGATGAGTTATCCCTCTCTGAACAACTCTATTTCCACAGCTTTTACTGCAGCCACACTTCCACCAACACTCTTTAATGAACTTCCTCACCAAATGACCCTTACAAGGTTCCACCACATCATCACCATTCTTGGATCTCTCCAATGGGCATTCCTTGCATAAGTATTGGCAGTGCTTTTTAGGGTCACGATTCATAGAAATACACTCGTCAAGAAACTCCTCCTTGACAAGTCCCTCAGATGTGTAAGCAAATTTGGTACCAGTTTCAATTGCACATACACATGGCGTCGCCGATGACAAGCAATCACCAAAACAAGATGAACAACAGTTGTCATCACCAATACGAGCAAGAGAGAAGTTTATGTATGCATTTTGAAAGACAGCATTTTGTGGAATGTAGTGAAAAGATGGCAAGCATGCAATGTTTCCTCTGTCTAATGTAATTTTCACTCTCTCTTGCCCCTTACTTATGTCAAACACATCATGGAGAGACTGGATCTGATCTGGAGTAACTTCCAGCTGCCGAACCACCACCAAACTCTTACAAGTTGCTTCACTAAGTTCATTTTGACCATTATCCACATTCACTTCCCCATTAGCATCTTTTTCAGCTCCAGGAGTGTCATCAGGTGAAGGAAGTGGTAAAACTTTGGGCAAATCACCCACATTGTCTGATTGAGCATTATCTGAAACTCTTCGATAATCGAAATGCATGGGTCCACCTACTAAAGGATCCTGAGAAGGAAATTTACTGAGCAAATCAATTCTTGGCTTCACTTGTACAGTTTTCTCTGATTCATGACATGACTCTGATCCTAGCTCCACAAAGCACTCGCACATATCTTTCATGATTTTCATAACTGAGAAATTTTTATCTAGAATTTTGTATGTCCGGAGACATCTATCCTCCACCATTTTTACCAAATCATCTAGACTAGGAGTACGAAAATCAGGTCCTAATGAAGACATATTGCAGCTTACAGAAATGTTCACCTCTCCTAAGGCTGACGCAGCAACTTGCAGCTGAGAAGTGGATTCATCTGTGATGCTTGTCACATCAGAATTTGTTTTGGTTTCTCTAGAAAATGCTGAAAAGTCATCATTTGTTCTTTTCCTAGCTAGAGGTTCCAATGCTAAGGGTTCAGCACCATTTTGCCGCCCGGAAGAGTTTTTGGGCATGGTAGAATCTTCTGCATTTGATGACTCTGTCGACAGTCGAGGTAAATAGCATCAGGAAGTTAGAGGATGGGTTCAAACTTCCCAAGATTATCTCAAGCTGTAACAGTGGTAATCACTACCTACATTTCTCATGTCCAGGATAAAATCTAACATGTACATTTAAGCTCAAACAAAAATCATAAGGCACGCCACATTATCCATATCCATCAACTGTAGAATCAGGTGCTAATTGTAAATAACTACTTGACTGTGTACTGCAACTTACACTGGGCCTAATTGTAAAACAACTTTAAATCACTTCAGTTCTACGATATATTCATAAAACAAGACCAAAATAGTTAGACATGCAATCACTAAAACTATTGTGAACAAAGGGCGTCAAATATCTGCATGCAACAACGAAAAGAAAATTTGCTACTCCACTTCATGGAATGCTGGTAGAATGCTCAGGGATGAATTAGGACTGATGTATTCTTTAGCTCAGCTGTGGAAGATAAAGACACACCTGGATGGATAACAGCAAGGGGAAGACATTCCGAAATATCACCAGTGAATGGTTCTTCTTTAGGTTCACAATCATTTCTCTGCGAGGATACTGCAGGAGATGATTTCTTAAGCTCCAACCTCCCCTCCCCTGAAGCAAATCTGGGTGAAAGAGTCTCCTTTCCTTTGTTCCTGGAACACATTTGATGGGGAACTATAACCGGGTCCATTTCTTTAGGGATATCTGTTCGGCTTTTGTCAAGGCTTAAAGACTGAGAATTAGAGGTTCTCTCTTGGACAGTGAAGGAATTAGGTGAAACGGGTTGCTTTCCTTTGCTCTTATCAAGTGAATGGGAAGAGCTCTGTAGAGATTCATCCCCATTTCCCCTAATCGATGACACTGAACAAACTTCCTGAGGCTGAAATTCAGGAAGTTCAACTGGCTCGTCTTTGGGCTTTACGAGAGAAGTCCCGACTGAATTTGAAGCTTGATCTGCATATTTTAAGCGTAACCTTTTTAAAGGTCGTCCAGCCTCATCATGATGCAGATCTTCAACCTCCAAAGCTTGTTCTCGCTAGTAAAACAAACAATCAGAAAAGACACATAGACAGAGGGAGAAAAAGAGGAAAAAGCCGTATAATGTTGATCAGGCAAAAGTACAGGCATTATAAAGAAGTATCCATACCTCAGCGATATCCATCTTATTCATATTGTTGGTATTATCCATCTGCTTATTCTTTGATGCCTAATTTATTATAGCCAGCAAAGGTCAAGAAAAAAAAGAACAAAATATAAAGCTGCTGAGAAGAAACAGATTATTACTAGGGAACACGTAAGGAAGAAAAAGAAAGAAGAAAAACTGACACCTCTGCTTCCTCATTTTCAAATATAGCCTCTATCAGAACTCTATAATTTTCCTCTTCAATCGGGGCCCAATTTTTGTCATACGCCTTCAACAAACTCTTCAAAATTGGTTTCACTTTATCTTCAGTAATTCCAAGGTCCTTCATAGCACCAAAGGCTTTTGTCACTCTTGGATTTCTCGGCGCCATTATTAACACCAGTAGATTGTGATGTAGCCTCCCAAAGGTCCAATGTTCCTACATTGTCTTACGCATGTAAGCAAAAGGACAAAAAACAAATACATCACCCATATATTTCTCTACAGCAACGACAACACTCAGATACCAAATGCACAAGAGCAAAGGATGGCAAGAGACACAAACTTGGTTCTTGCTAAACCAATCAAATGGGCTGTTAGATGTTGCTCCACCATATAATGGAACAGTTTTTTATTAAAAAGATAAAAGATTAACCAAAATTCTACGGCAATGTACTCTCAAGAACCTGCCCCCCATTTGAAGGGCAACAACAGCCAACAGGTTAATGATAAAACTACTGTATATTGAAAAGGTAAATGCTGCATAACATGGAACTTGACAATCAAGTAAAATCTTAAGGTGAGGAAAGTACACAAGGGTCCCATACGAATTGACAATAAGCAGTAACCAGGTTACTTCGCTTATACCTAATATTGATCGTTTCCTCAAGTCCTGCTCATTAATTAAAGAATGCTTACTACTAACAGTGGATGATATATTCTACTACTGTAGATTAAAATTGCAGAAGTGAGATTGATCAATTCACTTGCATATTAGACTAAGAACGGATTGCATTAAGCATAAATCATTGTTCTCTATCCTTTACTTCAACCACGTCAAATTATAATTCATGAATTAGGAAGTAGCAGGGATGAATAAATCTCAGTAATTATAACGCACCACACCTGCAATCAAGCTTAGAGTCTGGACAAAGGACCATGAAAATACCCTAGTTTCTCGGATGAACTTGATAAGCAAAAACCACCTGACCCGCCTCGATATGGTCAAACATTCAAGCCCTGAAAAGATACTTAATAAATAAGCAAAAATTCGCAAAAGAAAAACAACCATTTAACCGTAATAACACCGAAAGAAAGTTACCAAACATAAATTCGTAGGCCGACTAGAAAAACCCAAAAAGGAAAAAAGAGAAAGAAAAAGAAAAAGTTTCAATTCTTATTTCGAGAAAGGAGGAAAAATATAAACATTTTCGCACTCCACACGTATCGGCACTTACACAAATGATGAAAAAAACACAATTAAACATCAAATTTAAACCAAGGAAGGGGGGAGAATTAATGCTCCCCTAAACCCAAAAAAAATTCTTGCACATTGGTGACATGCAAAACAATGTCTATAAAAAATTAACCCGCAGTAGATTATTTCTTTACCAAAACAGCAGGTTTGTTTGCAAATTAACTATCAGAAGAAACAAAAAGGGGTGCAAAACCCTAAACAAACTAAAACCAAAGTTCAACAATGTGGACGTAACAAGAGGCATCAAGGACACATATATAATCATATATTAGCCACAAAACACACTCAGATAACTGGAAATGAAGTCCATAAGAATACAAAAACAGGAAGAATATCTAATACTGACTGAAAAACGAACAGGGTACAGAGAACAGAAAATGACGATTTAACAACGAATTCACCAAAAATGCATACCAAATTACACAATATCTAGCGGTGGGGGAGGTGACCGACAGCGAGAGAGAGCGTAGTGGAGAGAGACGTTGAGGCGGAGAAAAACAGGTCTTCGCATGTACTGAGAGTGGGTGAAATCGTGGATACCCAAAAAATGGGGTATTCCACACTAATTTTGTTGCAACGGAGGGAGACGACGGTGCGTACCGAGAGTGAGGAAATGGGCGCGTGCGTAAAGAATGGGGTTTTTTTTTTTATTTCTTTTTTTAGTATCAGGAAGGAATGGGACCCATGTGCTTATAACAGGAACTAGACTACTGGAGTTTCTTTGAAATTCCATTCCATTCCCCCCTCAAATAGAAAGATATTGGGGATTTTGCATTTGCTACCTGAAACCCTAATTTGGCTGATAACCTCGTCGGCGATGCAATCGGTGGGGAATGAAGATAGCTCGGAGAGAATTGGAGGACTTGGCGGAGCCAATTCTGCTGCCTGAGTCTGATTTTGCTTCCCATTCTCTACATAAGCTTGTGTTATGGGAGGAGTGGAACTTCCATTGCTTACATGGGATGAAAAAAAGTGTTTGTGACAATATAAATCTTTCCTCGTCATTGAGAGAGTTGCATCACCGAGATATAGTCAAATTGAATCGGAGTTTCTGGAGCAACTACTTTAAGAACTGTCCCCAACTGGAGATTCTTCAAATTGGAAATTGTTTTGGTTTTCATGCTCTGAAAGTATTAGGATCACATCATAATCTGAAACGGGTTATATCTTGATAAATAAGTTCAAAGAGGAAGATCATCCGATCCGTGCTCCTCGTGAAGCTCTCACACAAACTGAGATCAAAGAAGCACCCAAGCTGGAGTATTTTAGTTACATCTGCGTCTGTGGAGATGATATTATACATACTCTGGATGATATTCAAGTGAATGTTCAAGTAAATGCACCTCATTTGTCTGAAATTTTAGTTTCGGGGTTTAATATCATCAGATCTTTCATTTGGAAATTCATTGATAAAGGATGCTACCTTTATGAAACTTGATAAGACAGCAGGATGAAGTATGATAGACTCGTGAAACTGCTCCAAAGTTTCAACCATTTCAAGGTGGTGAAGTTGTACAATTTTGCACCTCGGGACTTACTTAGTTACTACACTTGTGAGGTCGAATCTGTATCCTCCTCCCCTCTGGGACATCAAGCACTTAATTGTTAGTGCAAATCATACTCGTTGGCCCGGATATATACCAATCAAAGTGGAACTAGTTTGGATGCATGGCTCCTCAACTGGACACTCCGCAATTGCTTTTCAGTTTATGCAAGAGGGATTGTGGAGATTTGGGGGAAATCCATGTTATGTCTTTGGTGCAAAAGGATTCAAGTTGTAGACATATGTGCATTTCAAGGTTTTCTGCCTGAGCTTTTTGGAATGCCTTGGCAAACAAATGAGTTTGTTCTCTTATGTGGGAAGATCTTCACAGTCTAGTGAGTTTGTTCTGCCTGAGGTTTTTGGAATGCCTGCCTCTGTGCACTTATCCTCATAGAGAGTCAAAAATGTTTGTTGTATTTCTCTCTGTTGGTGAATTTAGAAGAAGAGAGCGATTAAGCTGTCATGGTGATTAATTGTACGACTCCGTTATAGTAAAGAGGTCTTCTAATGTCGGATTTAGTATTCGATTTTTTTGTAACTTGAGGTAAAAACAATCAGCTACGGTTCTTTTAGCATCAGTAATACAATGCCGATGATTGCCTATTTGTAAATGAGGCTATTGGTATCCAGAATTATATACGTACATGTGATTGATTTGGACAATGATTTGATGTTATGATGTGTTCATGTGAACATCAATATAGCAGAATCAAACGTCCGTCTAATTAGTGATCAACTCGAATATTCAATTTTCAATACAATTTGGTGGTTTCAAGACTGAACTATATAAATTATGATACCAAATCTTCGTACATTGACAGTCGGTCAAAACCGAACAATGGCTAACCATTTAGACGACCTCTTACCTGTTTTGAGAGGTTTTTTTTTTTTTCTTTTTTTGGGTACATTGAAATGTAACAAGTCATTGTTTCGGTTAATCATAATTCCAAATGAACTGGGCAACTAAAATAATTGAACAGTTTTGTTACTTGAACCAAATAAATTAATTCAACACTTTTACCTTTCGAACTAAACTAGCTCTCCTTGTTATTATTCCTACTACTATGAGAGGACCACATGCGTTTCGACGTTAATGTTTGGTTATTCCGCGTGATTTTGATTCCTTTTCCAAAAATCATCTAGGTTAGAAACAATGAAATAGTACTCAATTTGTTCTGTAAAAAAAAAAAAAAATAGTCCACTTATAATTTTAAAAATTATACATGTTACAAATTAGTGAATTACAATGTAAACAAGTTTCTTTTTCGAACGAAATGAATAATATAATAGTCCTAACAGTGATGTGCGATTTATTCATTGACTACATTTGAAAACATAATTATGTGCCTTACACAATCTCACACCAAATCTCTCCGATCTTTCTTTTGCGATATCAGTAATTTGTGTTATTTCGTAGACACGAATACACCTTTACATTTTGTCAAGGCAATTTGTTACATTGCGCCACTAATAACAATCAAAATACTTATTGAAAAATTCACATTATAAATTGTATTATATAAAATATAAATAGCATAACTATAAGAATTCAAAAAATCCGATTAAGATCGATATATCTGTAGTAGTGATAGAGCTAGGATCAGGGCAACGATAAGAACAAGAAGAAGCATAAGATGCTCTGATTGTGGGATGGATGAATGCATGCATTCTGCGTGTCCTGCACAGAAAAATTGTACCACACCATCTTTTGACAGTTTGACCACCCGCCCGTTCCATTTTTGCACCGGTTTTATTGACAGGCGCGTACCCCCTATTCTTTATTATTCTACATTTATTTATACTATTTTTCGTTGGCTCAACGGCACATTCCACAAGTTCCATTTTTTTTTTATTTTTTTGAAATAATGTCACATATTGCAGCAATACACCAATACATTAATTAAAGTATTATTAAACATCATTAATCAATAATCAACATCGAGTGTTTGAATCCCATATTAGACATATAGTGCAGTTTTTAATTTTTTAGATAACTATTTCGTGTATCATTCAAACGAAGTATTTATAATTCAATAATAACAGGCCGACCCAGAATACTGAGGAGAAAAAGAGTAAAATATCAAATCTAGCATACTATGTAAATTTTTGAATCGAAAGAAGTTACTAATCAAAAACTTAACGCGTAAGATTTTAGTCAAAATCCCACTTTCACCTTTATAATCAGTAGCTCCAAGAAACACACAAAAACAAAACAGATCTACTCTCTCCATTCACAAATAAATGTCGTTGGAGGAAAACCCAAATATTCCAAAATAGATGTCGTTCTCACAAATCGAGGCATATTTTGTCAATTTTTTCCAATATCACCCTTACATTAGAAATTGTTGTGATGTTTAATGTAGAATTGTATTAGAAGTGAATTTTATTGGGACTACAATTGAATTAAGAATAAATGAGGGTATTATAGTATTTTAACAAGATAATTATTGACTCCTTAAATTTTGTGAAATCTCTCCAGCGACATCTATTTGTGAATGGAGGGAGTACATCCCAATCACACACACACACTACACCTTTTCAAATTTAGGATGGCTAATTGCATATAATTTCAGTCAAATATTGTAATAATAAATTACTTTTACCGTCTGCCGACTTTGGAAACAAGTAAATAAACATACTAGTACGAAATGAAGGTCCCAAAAAAAGCAACCTAAAAAAAAACACGTTAATTTCTCCAAAAACCTTTTTTAAGGCTTTTTCTTACTACTACTACAGTCTGTACTCTGTACAATTATTTAAAGGACAAGAAACAGAAAAATTCACACAACTCTCTCCTATCTCAATCAATTTACTTATTATATTTTCATTTTGTTTCGTTTCTACTAGTCCTTCCCGAGTTCTTCAACCTTTTCATCATCAATTTGACTAACAACAAATCGAAAATTATTAGAAAACCACTAAAACCCTCTCCCCCTGCAAAAGTTTGCAAACCCCCATAGAAAATCCTACTTGAAAGTTGAAATGGTTTGACATTTTTTTTTTGTTTGATCATCTCTCACAATCTTACAAAAAAATTATGGGTAAGAGTAATCATCAAATGACAACGCCGAAGCCATTTTTTGTCATCTTCCTCCTCTTGCTATGTTTCTTCTTCGCAAATTTTGGGTTCTCCGCTGACTACACAACCTTGGTTTACAAAGGCTGTGCTGACCAGAAATTCCAAGACCCATCTGGAGCTTCCTCCCAATCCCTCCAAAACCTCTTCGACAGCCTCACTTCCCAATCCTCGTCGGCGAAATTCTACAAAACCGGCGCCGGTCAAGGTCAATCGGCCATCAATGGGCTCTTCCAATGCAGGGGCGACCTCTCCAACGACGATTGCAACAACTGCGTCGGAAAAATCCCCGGCATGGCCCGGAGGCTGTGCGGCGAGGCTATTGCCGTCAGGGTTCAGTTGACCGGGTGCTATTTAAGCTACGAGGTGGCCGGGTTCAAGCAGGCCGGAACCACCGAGTTGCTGTTCAAGATTTGTGGGTCGACTCAGGCGAGTGGGGCTGGGTTTTCGGACAGATTGGACACCGCTCTTGGGGAGATCGCCAAAGGGGTTTCCGGGAATGGGAACGGGTTTTACGCCGGTGGGTATCAATCGGTTTATGTGTTGGGTCAGTGTGAAGGCGATTTGGCAAATGACAACTGTGTGGACTGTGTGAAAACCGCCAGCCAGCGGGCTAAAAGTGAATGCGGCAATTCACTTTCGGCTCAGATATATCTCCAGCAGTGCTATATCAGTTACACTTATTACCCCAATGGTGTTCCCGGTTCAACATCATCACCCTCATCATCGTCATCATCAAGTAAGCTCATTTATCCGGTTAATTATATGATAAAATGATAATGTTCAAGTATAATCCCAAAATCAGCATAGATGATTGGTTCGATGTCCCTTTCGAAATCCTTAAATAGACTTGGTAATTTTTGTTGAAATTGAGTCGAAATTTGAAGTTTGGTTGATGAGTTTGACTGGTTGTAGGGACAGGGGTAAACACACAGAAAACTGTTGCTATCGTCTTGGGTGGCCTTGTTGGAGTTGGGCTAGTAGCTGCTTGCTTGTTGTTTACCAGATCAGCACTAAAGAAACAGGGTCGATCCAAACATGGAGGTTCGCTTCATTATCTCACCTTCTTAATTTGATTGTGTTCAAGATGATTGTTTTCGTGGTCATTTGGAAAAGTGTTAAGTCATTGCAATTTGCAATTTGATCTATATTATTGCAGGGTACTGAAGATGAGAAGCAAAAGACATACTGGCAAAGTGAAAGATTAAGGTGGTGGCTTTAGGAAAAGATGAAACAAAATGTAAAGCTAAAAAAGACAGGAAAACAAAAAAAAAGGAGGATATTCATTTGGGGAATTGTAAAGGGAAAGCATTAAGCAAATGGTGGTGGGAACAGGGAGTTTTTTTCCTTCTTCTCCAAGTTTAGGTTTTTTAGGTTTCTTACCTAGATGGATTGTTGCTCCTTGTTTAAATTATAGGCAGTTGTCATTATCTCCAATGTTTATATAGCCTACTAGCAGTACTAATACTCTCCCTCTTCTTAGTCTTGGTCAAATTATATGCTAGCAGTTCATGTAGTAATCCTTAGTCCTCAGTTAGGCATTGGTTCTGGTTTGTTGATCACGATATTCTGCTAATCTGATTGTTATTGAATCAATTATTAGTCTGGAAAAGTGGTTCCTGTTCAAGTTTCCAAAAAGAGCTGAGTGTGTTCTCCACTTTGCACAAAGAAGGATTTGATTTGGGTCTAGTTTGCAAAAAGAAAAGCAGAACAAATTATAGAATATATTACTTTGTCAAGATCTTCGTTTTTTGGCTTCTTGCTTTCCAGGGGTTTTAGAAGAACCGGCAAAATTGTGTGTGTAGTTTTCATGAATTATTCGCTTATGTGCTTTTCGTCCTTGCTGTTTTAACTATCTCAAAGACAAACACCCGAAAATGAAACTTACACACCTTTGTGAATTTGATCGTTGCAAGTCCTTGACCTTCATGATATAGTATGTATTGATTTCAAAACGTGGGAAGGGATCCGCGCAAATAAAGGTGATTCCTTTCTTTCTTTTTCGGTTAGGAGCGTTTCCAAGGTTAAAATAAAAATCTATGTGCGACAAATTGTACATACATGTGTGTCCTTTGAGATTCCGGCACCTCAGCATCTTTATTTTTATTTTCTTTCGTCTGATCATTAAAGGCTTGAAATTCTTGCATTTGCCACATTTGAACCTCCACCAGGGGGATTTCAATAGTCAAGTAAGTAATTCATTTTTTCTCTTTTATCCATAAAAACTCACAACTAGTTTTGCTTACCATCATTGAGCTCTTTTGCAAACTCTTCCGGGATGGAAATAGCAATGAACCCTTGCATGTCTAAGAAAGAAGCATAGGAAATTAAAGAGTTCAGACGGAGCAAGATTGTCAAGTTCATCGTCTACAGCTTTGTTGCTGACTAAAAATGCTAACATGCTACAGAGCTGCCGGCGCTGAATCGAATCTGTAATCCAAAAATTTGGACTTTGCGCTCTACCGATCAGGTCTTTCAATAACATACCCGGGAACTATATATACCTTCCTCATCTAAATACTCACACCATCTTCAAACAAGAATCATGTTTGTTAAACCATTTCGGTTCCATGAACAACGACCCAGGGGCTAGTTGTTCAACATATCAGTAAAATCCCTCAACATTTCATACTACATACCAATTTTTCTGATCTGGGCATGTGGTTAATTGGCAATTGCTTTTATTCTCCTACTGTAACATTTAATGGAGTTACGTATCACATATTCTATCACCAATTCATCAACAATGTTTAAAATCCCCCGCAATCATAATCTAAAATATTAATACAGAGATACAGTTAGCACAGATGCAACTATTTTCTCATATCCAAACATTGTTTTTTATCAAACTTGGTACAAAATGTTTCAAGCGACAAATTATGTACTTCAGCAAAATCACATCAACGCGAGCAAATATTGGTGAGTCTACATAGATGCAGTGCATGTTTGACCAAAGGCATAACCTCATCAACCACAACATTAGCGGCATAGTAGTCAATAGAGTACATTTGGGAGCCTACTTATGTTTTGGGTCAGAGTAGAGAATTGACTTTGCTCGTGTAACACTGTAACATGCCATTCAAGTCAAACATGATATGGAAATCGGAGATTCAAATGAAATTGAAACCTCAAAAACCTTCAAGATTCAAGAAACCAGAGGGCAATCTCTCGTCAGACGCGTCAAATTACAATCCTAAGAACACCATCTCTAGTGGAATTACAGCAGATACGATTCCATTCATTAGGCAGATAATGCAATAAAAAAACTCATCTAAGAAGTAGTTGTGTCTTTATTGGCAATAGTCAGATTCATACAGATGTACTGAGATGAAAAACACTTGACCAGATGTCTAGCAAATAGCCAAGGCAACAAAGTGAAAATGAACAACAAAAAAATGCAGTGCGCAGCTAAAAGACATTCTTTTCTTATTAATAGATTTGAGCAGAACAGAGAGATGGTTCTAATTAGAATATTCATGACAAAACATCTAAAGGGGAACAAACCAGGAATCAAGATAACTTTTAATTGCAAACTTGCCCACATACACTTGATGACAAAGTCAAATTACCTGTTTTCACTTGAACTAATCTTAGGATACCTATAAAGAATGCAGTTAATTGTGATGAGGGGTAGTCTTCTTCATGCAAGCAGCAATCTTACAATCAGAATGGTGAAATATGGGCAATGTATCTTTCTACATACACATGCAAAACGATAACATCTATCCACTACCACACAATTGAATACAAAATCCATCTCAGAGAAGTTCGTATAAGGTTTTCTATGGTATCATATCCAATTATAACAACTGAAAGATGCTAGGTTCTCAATGTGGCTCGATCCTCAATCAAATGGAGTCCTAACTCCTAATCTACCACATCTATCCACGACCACACAATTGAATACAAAATCCATCTCAGAGAAGTTCGTAGATGGTTTTCCGCGGTCATCACAGCCAATTTTAACAACTGAAAGATGCTAGAACAAGTTCTCAATGTGGCTTGATCCTCAACCTAATCGAGTCCTAACTCCTGGTCTATAGTTGAACATTCTGCAGAACAAAAAAAATATTTTCGGCCATAGCATGTTTACTTTTAGTAATGCAGGCTAAAAGCGAACTGACAAAAGATATATGAAAGAAGCGAATTTTTCTGAAGTTAGTACTAATAGTACATAACAGATCAATTATTGATAAGTACTAAAACTCCATCCACAGCACAGTAAATAAACCCTAATTCAACAAATTTCTAAAGCATTGTTCTTACAATACATTAAGCACAATAGAAAACTCAATTCAATGCAAATCCAGCTTTTTGTGTAGAAACCCTGAGAACGGAATCTTCGTCCTTTTTCTAAACCAAAATTAAGCATTGACCAACGACAGTTTTGGCAGACTAAACCTCGATAGCCCAAAATGCTTACTTTTGAGGACCAGAGATAGCAGGAGGGGCACCGAGTAAACTAGCCTGCTGCATCTCAAGATCGCTGAGCTGCTGGTCGCGGTCCATCACGATAATGAGCGGAACGACCAGGACGATGAAGGTGGTGCCGGCGATCCAGGCAGCCTTCCCTGTGCTCTTCAGAAGCTTCTTAGCAACAAAGGAAGCGTCGGAAGCTACACGCTTACCTTTGTACACAATCGGAGATTCAGAAAACGACGACGTCACTCGGGATAACACTCCGCCGCTCTTCCCGGCGGCCCCTCGCCCCGGAAGTGAGACACCACCTGCCCTAGCCGACATTGATCTACAAACGTAGGGTAATTGATGAAATCAGACAGCAAAGAAGCCGAGTCGAAGTCGGCGGAGGGCTTTGATGGATAGATTGTGTCCGAGCTGATGAGAATTGTGGGAGAATTTCAAGGGTCTTTGGGGTTTTAGGGTATCTCTTCTTCCGCTGCTTCTGGTTGTTATACCCTTGTGACTGGTTGTTAGATTTTCACCTCGTAACTAGTTGTTATTGCGAGAAGTCTACCACCTTTTTAAATATATAGTAATTCTGCTACCAACTTTTCTTTCTTTCCCCCCCTCTTCCATGGTATTGAATTTGGTTGCTTTAGACTTTAGTTAAAACTTCAAACTTCAAAGTTTCGACCATTCAACACAATCTAACCAAATTTGCTTTTAGTTTTTATGTTTTATTCTTTTGTTTTGTGAAAAGGATCTGCAAATTATTTCCATCTAGTATGAGCTAGGAACCTTACAAGAAAGGAATTCTAATACGTGAAGTAGCAATTAGAATAATGCCGAATACATTATTAGTATTGATTATATGTGGGAATATATTTTATTTTTTCTTTTGTTCTATTGTGTACTCTTAACATATATACAATATCATGTCAGCGTATGAACAAATATATCAATTTTATGATTGTAATATTATAATTATGTACGGGTGGTAAAAATGTCGAAGTGGAGTTTCATGTTTTCTAATTTGTCAATAGGAACCTCCCAATTTGATAAGTTAGTCTTCATCGGGTCACGCATCGAAGCTGCATATTAGTTTGATTTTAGTAAAGAGTGGTAACACATGCATGGGAAATTTGACAAAGAAAATTTATAATTAATTAGGTGGATGAATTTTAATTATCCCTTAACCCTTATACATGTATAAATCTCTAAAGAAAAATGTATATGAATGAACGATTATAATTCATTCCCTATAAGATTTTTCTGAACGAATCATTATCCTTTAATAAAAATAGAAGAGTCGCGAGTATATGTCCCCGTGTCTTTTGCCCCTAATTCTTTATTAATCTCGTTTAACATCATTAAAAAAAATAAAAATCAATCATTCATAGGAATAGATACCTGTTTAAGGTAATCTCTAATGGTCAAGTTATCTATTGAGATGATAATACTCATTTATTTTGCAAAAATAAGATATAATTTTCTTCTTTTTTTTTTCTCTTTTTTTAAAGCGATCAATAGTGGCTCTCCACTTACTTCCGCGCGTGATTCGAACCTGTGACCTATTGGAAACAGGGAAGACATCTTACCACTAAACTGCTCATAGATATAATTTTCTTTTTTACAAAGGATGGATCGATGAACAATGAATTTTTAAGGGACATAGAAGGAGATTGATATATATATATATATATATATATGTTTGCAATCAATTCTTTTTGTTCGCAGACGAGGTGGGAGAATTCACATAATTTAGTCTATAATACATGTCGATGTAAGAGTATATTTACTACTCCCTTCGTCCCACAAAAATTGACCACATTGAGTTTTAAGCTTTGTACTGTTTTTAGTAAAAATTTAAAAATTCAACGTGGACTATTTTCTTGGGACGGAGGGAAGACTATTTAATATACACGCACCTTTTATTTTTTTTCTTTTGTTATAATACACACAAACTTAGGAGGCGTTTGTTCTGTTATCTGAAACGGATTCAGGGAACGGATTTGAATACTGACGGATTGGATCGGAACTCGCATGGATTGATGGATTCGGAGTACTCATGAAATATATAATGCTCATGGATTCGAATGAGGTAAATCTCGAGAGGGCCAAAAGCCCAATAGGAAGGTTTCGATTGTAACCCAACAACGCAGCCCAATATAAAGCGTCCTATATCTGCATAAATGATTAAATGTATTGGACCGTACCCTTATTAAAGCCCTATAGTACATACCCTAACCCACCTCACCCGTAGCCCGTGAGACGGTCCATTTTATTCCCCTTTTCCCCTTCCCTGATTTTCGTCCACAAACGAGAAAAGCCGGTGGCGGTAGAAACTCGAAACCAAAATACGCAAAAACTCGAAAAAACCTCCAAAATTTATCGCCCTTCTCACAACTAGCCAAAGCCTCTCGAATCTTTAATCACTTCCGTCTCTGCCGTCGCCGTTCAATAGGTTCGTTTTTGTTCCCTAAGTTTTACTCTCTGTTTCATCGAACCGCCCAAGTTTTAGGATTACTTTTTTTTTTTTTTGAATTTTTTGATGATATTATTGGGGAACTGCAATTGTTATGGCTTAAAAATTATTTTAATCCTTATATGTTGTGTAGTTTCTGTAATTTATGTTTTCTTGCATTTAGCTTCAGAAAAGCTGATTTGCCCGTGTTGCCTTTGTGTGGTGGTATTTGCATTGCGTTAGTTTTTAGCTAGGGTTTTATGAGGGAAGCCCATGTGATTTTCGGTCTTATAGGTTTTCCTGTTCATTTATTTGATTATTATTGAACCCGCCCAGAGTTGGCGTTAATCTGTGAAGACTTATAGCTCGACAGAGTCTGGAGAGAGAATTGTATTTTTATGCTTTGATTATTTGTTTATATAGTGAATAAAAAAACTATTTGATTAATGTTATTGTACCGTTTTTCTTTTTTTGATTCTTTACAGGGAAAAGTGAAAACCTGAGTAAGGGATCTGTTGTAAGATAATTTAATCTCAAATGATATGTTTGTTTAAACGTCAGATTATTTTTGGTTATTCTCATTTAAATGGTAATATGTTCAATGTATTGGTTTTGTTCCCGGAGCAGAAACAAACAGCAAAAACTACGTGTTGACTATTACTAAAGGGGAAAATATGATAAAGGAACTCATTGAAGTGGAATGACTAGAAGTGATCAGATGTGTCTTGCACTTGCTTGTTTTTTTTTTTCAGTGTGTGAGGGATTAATCATGCTCTTTATGGCTTGGAAAAAGTAACTATTGGCCGAATTGAAGTTCGAGTACTTCAGATAAGCATACCTGATGTTTCTTGTGATGGTAGATGTAGATGTTTCTAAACGCAGGAATCTCATTTTATTTTTTCTACAATTTGTGATCTTTGTTTTTTCATTTTTGGTTGTAGGCACTGCTACATTTCATTGCATTTTGAACTGTTTAGTTTCTTAATCAGACGTGTAAACGTTTATTTTTCTGTATAATATCTAGAGATGAAGCGTTGTGTACATGATGCAGGGTGCTATTAGAGCCGTACACCTGTTTTGTTGCTATGGCAGATAGCGAGACTTCTGTAGCTCAAGCATCGTCTGTCGCTGCATATGTCTCAGATGGCTATCCTTCTGCTGTTTCCACTGATGCCAATGATAAGCATGTGGAGGGTTTGGTTTCATCAGGTGCAGCAACTGCTGTTACCGCTGAAGTAACTGATATGGTTACTGATGCTTCACAGCAGACATTGGATACTGCTCTGAGTAATAACGCCAGCATGCAACTTCCTGGAGCAGCAGATTCATCTCAATTAGCTATGAATGGGGATAATGCCAATGAAGCGGGGAATGGTGCATCTACTGTTGCTGAGAATGGGATTACTTTAGAAAGTGCGCATGGTTCTTCTGCTGCCCATCAGTTTGATGGTTCTGGTATGTCTCTCTTAAAATGGATGAAACCACTTTTCGACTTTTATGGTGCCAGATTGCACTAGAATATTCCACTTTCTTGTTGAGATTTACTATATTAGATGTCCGCTGCATGGTTTACTTTTATTAGATTTGGATATGGAGTATGTTAAGTATCTTGCCAAATATAGGTATCCTTTAAAGTAGTTGTTTGCCTCTGCAATCTCTCCTGCAGAAATCAATAGTGGAGATATTGATGTGCCCTTTGTATTGATTCTCCTAGTCAAGTTTAGGTAACTGGTAAAAATATTGTTGTTAATCTGATTTTCTAAGTTATCGAGGATAAAAAAATCTTGTTAGTGTTTAATGATTGCTTATGTTTTGAGTTGTAGGATGTTTGGTCTCTGCTTTGACTAATTTGGATGTAGCATATTGCATTGATTCATTGAGGATAGATAAGGTTTAAAGGTTTAACAACTTTACAGTTTATGTGGTTCAAATCAATTGTGGAGTATGCAGTTCTCTTTCCTGGTTGAATTTGTGGTGATTTGTTATGAGGGCACTGTTTTATCATTCTTCTGTCATTTTGGTTACTAGTATACTGCTATCAAACTGATTGACATTGTTATCTCATGAATCCTCTGTGTGTGTTTTTCCGCCTGCAAGGCCCTATGTTGGTTGCTTAGTGTCTCGTCTTATTGACGTGCCTCTTTTAATATATGTTTTCAGCGTTATCGACAGAGGAAGAAAGGTTATGGAGCATTGTCAGAGCTAATTCTTTAGACTTTACCGCCTGGACTGCCCTTATAGACGAAACGGAGAGAATGTCCGAGGTATCGTTGAAGTGTGTTTTCATCCTCCCTCTTATGGGGGTTTTTACCCTTTTTAACAGTGTAATTCGTTATTTAATGTGCATGTTGTTGTAGGAATGTCATGGTACAATACTTTTAGGCCGCTGATCATTTTATCTCTTAAAATGACTTATTTTGGGTATTTTTTTGTGTTCTTGACATATCATTTTTGTGGAACAATTTGCTTGTTGTCGGAGAAATTTCAAGGTATAATACTTCTTGTTTGGTGATCTTGTCCATCATAAAGTGACTTCTTTCCGGGGCTTTATCCTTATTTCTAATGCATGTAGACTGGGAACTAATCTTTTACTGAATGAGAAGTGATGAATTAGAACACTTTAAAGAACGTCAGACTAGCCTCTTTGATCACAATGCATTGTCAATCACACAAGTTCTTGTTTGGATGCAGTTTTATGACTTCACACTTTGTTACTTTTATTTTCCATTGTTCAAGTAGTACAGTATCAGTTGTTTTCTATCCCATATTGTTGGGAATGTTTACGTTTGAGGATAACTTTGACCTTCTGATCTGAACATTCATATTTACAGGGTAATATTGGGAAGATCCGAATAGTATATGATGCTTTCTTGGCTGAATTCCCTCTGTGTTATGGCTATTGGAAGAAATATGCAGATCACGAAGCACGACTTGGTTCCATGGATAAAGTTGTGGAGGTTTATGAACGAGCTGTTCAAGGTGTAACATATTCTGTTGACATGTGGTTGAATTACTGTGTTTTTGCCATAAGCACTTACGGCGATCCAGACACTATCAGAAGGTAACTGCAGTTTATAGGTTCATCTGTTGTAGTATTACCGTTGTGAATGATCAGTCCATTATTGATCATTGCTGCATGTTTTAAGTGGTATTTCATTGTGCTCTGACCTGATTTTAGTATTTTTGCAACAGCAATACTCCCATTTGTGGCGTAAGGTTTGTTGGGATGCACTTCAGATATATGGCTCTTCTGATGTGCAGTTCCCTAATTTCTAGCCTTTCTTTAGCGTTCCATTCTATTTTGTGCCCTCATCTACACTTCCTTATTTTACCCATCCTTAGAGCTCAGTCATAGTCCATCTAGTTGAAATATTTGCTGTAATAACCTTGGCACTTGGGGTGCATCACTATTCGAATTGCCGCTGAGAAGATCTCATGAAGGCCAAGATGGCCACTGTTACTGCTCCATTTGACGGACCTTGTATGATTGTTATGAGGAAGGTATTTGGAAGTGTCAAGTGTTCTTTGAGTGAATTCCTGCTTCGGCCTTCTTGTTAGTGCTATTGTAGTGCATTGTTTGGATCTGACAGTATGTTGTATCTGTATTTAGCCTATAACAATATTTTGATTCTTTGTGGTGCAGGCTATTTGAAAGAGGATTAGAATATGTTGGGACAGATTATCTCTCTTTTCCACTGTGGGACAAATATATTGAATACGAGTACACACAGCAAGACTGGCCCCGGGTTGCAATGCTGTACTCGCGCGTCTTGGAGAACCCAAATCAGCAGCTGGATCGTTATTTTGAAGGGTAACTTTTTAGTTCTGAAATCTTGTTTTTGTTTTCATGTGTGTGAAACGTGAGCATCTCTTTATTTGCGGTCCACAAGGTCTCTGGCGAATTGCATATTTTTCTCTATTATTGTGAATATTTTTTTCCTATTTATTTTCTTAATTAATGCATTTTGTCAAAAGCTTATTAGTTTCTTTTTGGCTAATTTGTTCATGTTGTTTGAGTTTCAGAATATTATTTAAAAATATTTGATTTATATGAAATCCCTGTTTTGAACGAGTGTGACGTCAATAGAAGAATCCATGTTTGAAAAAGCTTGACGGCAATATAGGAAGCCGTAATTGAACAAGCTTGATGGCAATCTAAGAACTATATACTGATCTCAGATAGTGGGATGGAGGCTCAGTTGTTGTTCTGTTTGTTGGGATGGAGGCTCAGTTGCTGTTTGTTTGTTGGTCTTCTTCATGTTTGAGTTGCTTCTTCTTCTTCTTCTTCTTCTTCTTCTTCTTCTGCCTTCTTTTCTTTTTTTTTTTTTTTTTTCGTTTTGTTGTTTGATTGAGTAAAACGGTTATTGAGTGTGTTGTTTTGAGGCATGCTTTTAGGGTGATAATGAAGGTGATTAATGTGGAAGTATAGCGGAAGTAACAGATAATTTCCTCTTTTGTATGCCCTTCTGAACCTGTTCATTTGTACTTATCTTTTTGTTCATATAAAGTGTTCCCACATATTGATCAGTAAAGCATGAATGATGTTTCGGCTGTTTTATAATATTTTCATTACAATGTCAGCTTGTTTTTTCAGTCACTAAGTATAGTGGTTTAAAAAGTCTTTTTCCCTGCACTTCCGATGTCCCCTTTTTTATGGATACACTAGTAGTCCCATTTCATTATCAGTAGCTGTGCGTGTTTTCAGAAGACCTTCAGTTTGTCTACCTTAGATTGTGTATCTATGTGGTATGCCCCTCTTCACGATCATGTGAAGTTTGTACCTTCTCTCGCTCGAAAAATTGTATAAACAAGGGATTAGGACTGACCCATCTCATTTGTTGCTTGCATAGTGAATTGTCTGATGTAATAGTCATTATCGTAACATTTTGCAATTTTTAATGCAGCACTTCTCCTTATTTCTTCTTGATTATGGCCGGTGGAGGTTACTGTGCTGATGTGTCTTTTTGTGGCCTTTTGAGTTAGGACTCTGGGAAACAGCCGATTTAGGATGTAGTACGTTTAAAGTGTATTTTTGCATTTGCAACTTGCATGTACTGGTCCTGAAGCAGTCGAAATCTGATATTTGTGTCAATATTTTTGCAGTTTCAAGGAGCTAGTTGCTAGTCGGCCCCTCTCAGAGCTGCAGACGGCTGAGGAAGCTGCTGCAGTTATTCAAAATTCTGAAGCTGGTAATGAAGTTGAGGGTGAGATTCGCCCTGATGATGTGGATCAGTCTTCCAAACCCTTAAGTTCCAGCTTACAAGATGCTGAGCAGTTGGAGAAGTATATTGCCGTTAGGGAAGAGGCGTATAAGAAAGCTAAAGAGTTTGATTCTAAGATCATTGGTTTTGAAACAGCTATTCGAAGGCCATATTTTCATGTGAAGCCCCTCCATATTGCGGAGCTTGAAAATTGGCATAGTTATCTTGATTTCATTGAAGGAGTGAATGACCTCAATAAGGTATTTCTAATTAGTTTCTATTAGATGAATTTGAGTTCTTATTAGTTTGTAGCTTTAGTTGGCCTTGTTATATATTGACTTACAGTTTAAAAAAACTCTGCGGCATGATATGCCTTATTGGCTATTGGATGAAGCATCTTTTTAAACGGGATATTGAACTTGCGCTAAAGCATGGGCCTTCCATTTGCTTTCTTTAAGGCTAAGTACTTCAAACCCTCATTTGTGAGTCGACGTGGTTCATCATGTATTATTGGTAAAGCATAATTGTTAAATTTCCAATGTTATGCATGCAGGTCTCTTCTTGTCTTCCTAACCATCTATTGATCAGGACTCGGAGTGCCCTTTCTTTCATATGAAGGGGCCTCCCTGTTTCAGAGAGGAGTATTTCTCTTGCAAATTTTTATTCTATTTTTGTTTTTGTTTATCCCATGTTTTCCTTAACTTTGGGGTGTATAATTTATTCATCAATCGGCAATTATCTTTGTGGCAGGTAGTAAAGTTGTATGAGAGATGTTTAATAGCCTGTGCTAACTATCCTGAGTACTGGATCCGATATGTCCTTTGCATGGAAGCCAGTGGAAGCATGGATCTTGCCGATAACGCTCTTGCACGGGCCACTCAAGTCTTTGTAAAGGTATTTTGAATTCTGTAGGAAGGATGTTTTGTTGTTTTTTTCCCCTTAAAAAATTATTTATTTTGTAACATTCTTTGACTTGATCTTATTGAAGAAAAGTGGAAGTTCACTGTTGTTTTCAATTAAGATAGATACTTTTGTGTAAGACATTTTTTCTCAAGGCTTTTTTGGACTTGTGGTCCTTTCTTTTTAATCCCTATTCTTTATTTATATTGGATCATTTACTAGAGATTCTTGGAGTTAGTTGCTTCTATTTCTTTCTACTACTTTTTTTCTGTCCTCAGAGCACATGCTAGGTTTTGATATAAAATGCATATATGTAGGTTTCGTTTTTGGAGCGGTCTCTGTAGATATGTGTTTCCATTATTAGATTTATTATGGTTAATTGTCCTTGATTTTGCGCAGAGGCAACCGGAGATTCACCTCTTTGCAGCTCGATTCCGAGAGCAGCATGCGGATATTGAAGGAGCTCGTGCTGCATACCAACTTGTACATACTGAAATTTCACCGGGGCTTTTGGAAGCAATTGTGAAGCATGCAAATATGGAGCATCGCTTAGTAAGTTTCAGCCCTGCAAGTATCATCTGACTGCTTTTAAAAGTACTACGTAATGATTTTGTTTGTCTGTCAACTTTACAGGGGAAAATGGAGGACGCTTGTTCATTGTATGAACAGGCCATTGCAATTGAGAAGGGGAAAGAGCATTCACAAACGCTACCAGTGTTATTTGCTCAGTACTCTCGGTTTCTGTTCTTGGTATGCAGATTTCTTTTACTACAACATTCATTCTTTTGTATAGTTGGATTTGAGGTGTTAAACTTGAAAAGGATGATAACTCCTGCTTGTGTAGAAACAAAGTTAAAATACAGTTTTCTGTGGGTGATGTTATATATTCAGTCAGTTGCATTGGAACATACCTCATGATATGGATTCCTGAAATTCGTGGAGCCTACTGATTTACTTCTGCTCAAGATATCAGTTGTTTTATATTTTATTCCACTGAATGTTTATTTTTCCCTGTTGAAGGTTTCTGGTAATGTGGAGAAAACCAGAGAGATCTTTGATCAAGCAGTTGAGAATTCTCAGTTGTCAAAGTCACTTCTTGAGGTTAGTTCTCTCTCTCTCTCTCTCTCTCTCACACACACACACACACCCCCAAAACACACACACACACAGAGCTTAGCATTGTGGGAACTACTCTGTTTCTAGATTGCTTTTTGTTCGAAGCAGAGAACTGTTATTAACTTTTTCCTTTTGTCCTTTGCCAGGCTTTGATTCACTTTGAATCTGTTCAATCCCTTCCAAAACGGATTGAGTATTTGGACTCATTGGTCAATAAGTTTATTGTTCCATCTGCTGATAACCCAAATGTTGCAAGCATTGCTGAGAGAGAGGAGTTATCTAGCATTTTCTTAGAGGTAGGTTTCAGATAATCATTGGTTTCACTTTGTGTTAATTTTTCTCATTGCATTATTTATTGATACATGCCAATTACTTCTTTCATAGTTTCTGGACCTTTTTGGAGATGCGCAATCTATTAAGAAGGCTGATGAACGGCATGCCAAGCTTTTCTTACCTCACAAGAGTGCACCAGAGTCGAAAAAACGTCATGCAGAGGATTATTTAATTTCTGACAAAAACAAGGTAGCCAAGTCTGGTCTTCCTTCATCTGCTGTGTCAGTAATGGGTGCTTACGGTAGTACACAGAACCAGTGGCCAGCAAATTATGGTGTGTCTCAAGGTTGGCCTCCGGCTGCCCAAGGCCAACCACAACAGTACCCTGCTTATGTCCAACAGGTAGGTATTATTGTCAAAATGGTTTCTCCCTTTAGAAACTGGGGTTCATGCACATCATTGTTGGATTGTTCACCTGTTTTATAACTCTTTTAGTTTGTCATTTTGGGGGTACTGATTATAGTTTTGATTTCTCTGTTTCAGCCTGCATATGGTACGTATGGTACTTATGGAACTAGCTATCCACAGCAACAAGTTCCTGCACCAGTGCCACAAACTGCTGCTTACGGTGCTTATCCTTCCACATACCCTGCACAGGTCAGCTAATGTCTAAAGTCTAGTTACATTTCATGAAAAGTTCCATGTCTTCTTTCTTTTTATGGATGAAGATCGAAGACTTTGGCGTTATTATTACTCGTATTAATTTTTCCATTTATAATTGTTGAATCTCAAGGCTCCTAGAACCTATTTTGCGAGCAACTTTGTTTATGTGTCTGTTGAAGTTTTCTTTTTATTGAAAGGCAGTTTGTTACTTGATCAGAAAAGAATTCTGATAAGTTTATAGATTGAGGCGTTGCCATTTGGGGGATTTTCAGTAGAAAACATATTTTTTTTCTTGAAGCACATTTGAGATCCTTTGTTGAATGGAACGTGTGGTTTTGAGAAATACTAATTTGGAAACCCATGTAAAGAAATTGTCTTCCTTGTTGTCTGATATACTTTTTTTATTCTAATTCTCAGCAGGCGTTTGCTCAACAAAGTTACCCGCAAGCAGCTACTGCTCCAACTTTGACTCCACCGGCTCAGCAGCCTAGTGCTGTTCCTCCTGCAGCGTATTATGGCACTAGTTATTACTGAAATCCAAAGAGTATGTTGATCAATTTTTGTTGCCAGTTTATTGCCTGCAGAAATTCAGAGTGAGGAGCTTTTTTAATGCATAGTTTCGGCAAGACTAGTTACTGAGTAGGAAAGCTTCTTTTCAGTATGCTCTAACTTCTCTCAATCAGGTCTAATTCCATGTGGACTTGGAATTGTATTTGCCTAGGATTTGTTTACGTTTTTGATTGTGTAACACACTTGGGAGCGATTACTTTTCCCTCTTTTTTGTTTAGTAGATTACCCTGTTGAGTAGGAAAGCTTTACAGTGTACTCTTTAACTCTTAAGTCTTAACTTCTCATTCGTGTCTATTCGATTTGGGCTTTATCTGTAATTGAAATTGTGGTGCTATCTTGCTTGACATTAGTAGCATTAGTTTTGTGGAGTCGAGAAACCGATGATTGGTATCGTATAACTCTATTTTCAAAAATGGATGGAAATTTTTTTTATCTAATTCACTGGATTAATATATTCTGTAAACATGAAAAATTATTGATTCTCATTAACCCGTCAAAACAAAGGTTTAATCCATTCCTGATTGCACGCTAATTTTCTCTTAGTTATGATGTATTCCCTTCGGTCCTTATTATAAGGTATTTTGATTTTTTTTAGGTTTCACGTAGTATATATTTTTAATTAACAAAAATTTTTTATTTATTTTCGTATTCGTATATGGTTTCACCTAGTATATATTTTTTATTGGCAAAATATATTTTCGTATTCGTTGTATTCTCTTGACATAATTTTAAGATCTTTTTTGTCGATTAAAAAAACGTATTAGTTGAAACTTAAGACAAATCAAAATGTTTTACGTTAAGTACCTGAGGGAGTAATTGCCAAATGTCATATAGGAAAAAATATTCCGAAATACAAACCATTGTTCAAATCGAACGCCTAAAAGAAGAAAAAGAAGAAGAAGAAGAAGAAAGAAATGAGGTTACATTAATTTTTGCAGTACGTGAATAATCAATGTTTAGGATATCTTCTAGAATATTTAGTAGTCAATGAAGGAGCTTCTTCAGAGGAATATATAGGTAAGTAAATCCATCACTTTGGAACCACCAATGGTTAGTGTTTAATAAAATACTAAAACATGTTAAATTTTACCAACCATCAATAATTAATAATATTAAATTTCCAGATCTTCTCAAATAATGATAAACTTCGTTATAAATATGCTACAAACCTCCTTACTCTTGGACATCAACAAATTCCATCCACAACAAGAATTGCTAAGGAGGGTAGAGATTCTTTTTTTAAACAAAATTGAGATGGCAAAATTTTTCATTGTATTGCTAGCTCTTATGGCCTTGGGTCTTGCTCCTGGTATGGTTTTTCTTTCGCATTACTAAAAAATTGCACTTTACCATGGATTTATATTGTTGATTTCAACTAAAATTATTTGTTTTCTTTCTCTTTTGATTTTTACAGTGGAGAAAATGGTTCCTATAGTACATGCCGACAATATTTGCCAGAAAAATATTCCGGCAGAATGTAAAGTTACCAGTCCGGCCATCTGTTTGAACGTTTGCGTACCTCAAGTCCCATCAGGAAGTCTTCAAAATTTTAAATGTGAAGTTCAAGGTTCTCAGAGCAATTGTATATGCTCTTATCATTGTTAGAGATATGAATTGAAATTCAATTCTTTAAAAAAAAAAATCTTTTTTGGTAGACTTTCATAATGATTTTATTCTAATTAAAATAATTGACATCACGATTTCTTTACATGTAGCTTATCAATTTATTCCAACTAAACATTATCATCATGAACATCACTTTCTATTATTGTCATCAATGATAAAAATAGCTAAGAGATTACGTGAAATTCCGCATCTTATATGTCTAAATCAATAATTTAAAGCCAAAAGGTATCATTGTGATTTGTGGCACACTCATTCCAAAACTTGCGATAAAGTTCATCACTCAAGAACGGGTTCCAGAATAGATGTTGAATTGTGTGATTATTGTGAAGGTGCAAAACTCACTGTTTAGGAGCAAAAAAAAAAAACAAGTGAATGTAAAATATTTTTAGGCCAATGAAATAGTAATTATCCGCCCATATAAACATTTTGAATTTTTTGTTGTTAAAATTGTACGTATAATAATTTTTATATCATTATACAATGATATACTACCTCCATTCAAAAAAAATAGTTTACATTGAGCTTTCAAATTTATACTAAAAACAGTATAAAATTTAAAATTCAATATGAATTATTTTTATAAGACGGAGGGAGTACTATTTAGCCCCTTCATTCTTTTGCAAGTCAACGGTCCTCCTGAAACTACAAACCCTAATTGTATATGTGCCGACGACCAAGATTTCAAGGAACCCTGTTAGACTCTCATGCATGTTCATGACCTCCAAATCCCTTGAAAGCTGAAAAACCAAATCCAAGGAGTATTTGGTTACTACATTACTACATATGTAAGCTCTAAATTTAAATCTTCCATAGCGATGATAATTATTATTAATTTTTCTGTTGGCTCCAAACCTCATCGACTGCAATTCACTCATTGCGGGAGATAAATAGGATGTCAAAGTAATTAGCCAAGAAAATAAAAGCAAAAATTGTAAAAGAAAGAAAAAAAAAAAACAAAAGAAAGCCGATTGTCGAGACAATAAAATTATTTTTCTGGTCAATTTGAGTTCAACATTTTTCATTTTGGGTGGTTGGATATTTCCATTTTTGGTTAAAGTGCGATCTGCGACCAAGGTAATTTTCCGTTCGGATTGTGTATGTGGGGGGAAAAAAAACTCATTAATTGTATGCATGGCTCTCAACACCAATGCTACCAATTCCATTTCCGCAGTAACTGGTAATTCATCGCTTCTTTATTTAACTTTTTACTAGATGGATTAGACGCGTGAAGGGCGTTACGTATAATACTATAATATAAATTATATAAAAGAATAAAATTTAATAATTAAAAAATATCAGTTACATATTGTCTTTTACACTATCTACCAAATATTAATGATTAAATAATTTTAATGATAGTAATATGATCATTATAAAAACAAAATGAATTAGCTAAAGCGTATTACTTTTGAATTTCAACAGAGTAAAGCACAATATCAGGATTGTGAAACAAAGATCATGTAAAGTGAGAAATAAAATAAAATCAAATGTATTATCTTAAAATAAAGAACAACCAAAATAAGAAGAAAAAATCTAAAACAAAAATTAAATTGTGGAAGAAAAATATGAAAATGAACAACGAAAGACCTCTAATAAACTTGAGATAGAGAGATAAAAAAACAACGACTTAGAAAGAAAGGAGTAGTAAAATTAACAAAATTATAATTATATATAGGTGATGCATGACTTTTAATTTTTTTTATTTATTGAACAATTTAAAATATCATTAATGAACCTTTTAAATTCAAAAAAGAGATGGAAAGAAGAAAAGACAAAATATAGAGTGGCTAGAAATTTAGGATCACCGAAACCTTTTTTTAACTGATCAAATTCACCTAATAATGAGAATTAATTTTTCTGTAGTCTTAATAATAATAATAATAATAATAATAATAAAAGAAGAAATTACTAAAAGTAATATTAAAGATTCACTATATTGTTAACAATAATTAATTATGAAGTAATCATCTAAGAGTAGTGAGGATCAAAAAGAAAACAAAGAGACATAATTAATCATGAGTAGTGGAAATGAAAATGAAATCAAAGAGACATAACCGTTTGAGAACGGAAAAAAAAAATATAAATGAACTTGATAATTATATTTAAAGAGTACTACCAAATTTAATCTTACATTCAGCAATTATAATATATGTTAATAACACATTGATAGGACTATGAAAATAATTATATTAAACGTACTTCATTTTTGAAATTGCGCTACGTGGACATTGGACAGTATGTTTGTACTCTTTGTGTTCTAAGATAATAGTTCGATTTGAATTTCACTTTTAGTTCAATTCATAGTAAAAATGAAAAGAATCGTTCCCCGGGGAAGGAGTAATATTTTGTCTTATACCTAAATTTCAAGTAGTGTAAAATATAAGTGTTTTTTTTTTTTTCCTAGCAAGATGAAATTTGTAAACTTTTTAACAACACCTCAATAATAAAGTTTGCCTAGACGAAATCCGGACGTATAATTCAATTGATTCTCGGAATGGTGGTGAACTTTTGTGTTGTTGGTCTCCGGTGGTGTAAAGCCCAAAAGGCTATGCCGGTGGAAGTACCAACTGGTGGTATTAGTGGTTACTGTAGGAGAGAGAAAGAACCAACAAAGCCTCCTCTCTCTCTTCTCTCTGTCTTTCTCTCCTCCTCTCTACCCGAACCTCTCCCACCAACAACAACCTCTCCTCTCCCAATGGTGGATGGTGGAGGTCAATTTTTTTAGTTTTAATTTTAGTTTTTTTTTTCATTGGCTAGTCTCCTCCTCGTAGGAGCTTTTGCTCTTCCATTTTTTGAAGTATTGCTTCTCTCATTTTGAGAGATTTGTAGATCTGATGAACGGGAGAAGATTCAAAATTGATGGAAGGAAAGAAGATATACATGGAGTCTGAAGAATAACAAAGGAAGATCTATTATAGATATAAGTCTTATAGGTGTCTTTTATCTGAGATTTCTATATTTAGATCCAAATCTGCAGTGTAAGTTAGGTCGTGAATAGTTGGTATTTCTTTGTAATATTGATTTTTATTGTATACTTCTATTGACTGTGATATTTTCTCTCTGTAATCAGTGTTGTTGTTACAACTTAGCTCAAATTAGTTAAGTCTAGAGTTGACTAGGTTTGACAGGAATGCTATATTATTTTTAGCTCAACCAATGGTTGTTGTAGCTCAACCTTGTGTATTACTCACTATTTTCTTAATATATTATGATTATCACTTGTGAAAAAAAAAGGTATTAGTGGTTGCTGTGGAGAAGATTCGTACAAATATTTTTCCTATCTACCTCGTCTTGAATGACATTTTTCATTATGTCAACGGCGAGCTCATCAGCCAATTTCTTGCTTCCCAATCACTAGTAGTCTATCAACAGAGTTACAGAGGACTTGACATTTTATTTCATACAATCTTAAAAAAAAATTCACTTTGTTATACAGTTTTGGCTTATAAATATTGTAAACTAATTTTTTTAGAGTAAAGAGATTAGCCTTTATATATCAATGTGTTTAGCAATTATCATACAAATTAATTGATACAAATTTAGAGCCATTCGCAACTACTGCCAGTGAGTGCAGATGATCGATGATCATATATATCTTTTTCTTCTTCTTTTTTCTTTTTCTTTTTTTGTTAACAAAGATTGATTTTTTATTCCATATGAATGAGAGAGGAGAGCTCAAAACTTTAATTAATTTTTAAGTATCTTGAGAGTTTTGATTTTTATTTTTCTGATACGAAAAGGTGCTTGTAACACATAAAACCTTGAGCCAACTGTTACAATTTTTCTTTGCACTAAAATTGTGGTTTCAATTAATGAGATGGGCACAATAGCAATTTCTTCATTCTTTTTTTTTTCTTTGCAAAGAGAAGCAATACTCTCATGGATATTAAGGTAACTAATGTTTTCTTCATTTGTAATGTTCACAATATATTTTCAAAATTGAGATTCTAATAAAATTTTCACTTTATAGTAAGCAATCCTATAGGATTCGCACTACAATTACCACTGATTAGTTTTTAACAATTAATCATATTTTGTAAATTTAACCAACCCACTAATCATAATATTATATTTTCAAGATCTTCTCATTAAATGAAAACATCACTATAAATAAGCTAAAACCTCTATATATTGGTCATCACTACCAGCAAATTAAAACAAGAAAAAGAAAAAAAAATTCTCAGTGATACAATAGCTTCTAAAATGGCAAAGTTCTTCATTGTGTTCGTAGCTCTTATTACTCTCACTCTTACACCTGGTATAGTACATTATTCCTTTTACATTAACGATTTGATGTATCAAGAAATTTTAATCATTAACTTTTTAAACTAATATTGTTTTTATTAATCTTTTTTGGTTATGACAGTGGAGAAGATGGTTCCTTTGGTCCAAGCTGACAATCTTTGCCAGAAAAGTGCTCCGGGAGAATGTGATGTTACAACTCCGACCAACTGTTTGAATGTTTGTTTACCATTAGTCCCATCAGAAAGTCTTCAGACGTTCAAATGTGAAGTTCAAGGTGACCAGAGGACTTGCGTTTGCATTTATCACTGTTAGAGAAAAAAAAATCAATATTGTATTTTTTCACGAAGAATAATCTCGAATAAATGAAGCCACACTTTTACAAAATATAATGAATCATATTTTATTGAGTATTTTGTATTTCAAACCGAGTTTTAAATTCTGTTATCCCTTTTACCCTATTAAAGCAGAAGACATGAAGCTTATGTGGCAACTATGTATGCATCTGTTTTGGCTCCAATGCACCATATTTCAGATTTCAGAAGTCTTTTTGCCACGTGTAAGTCTCTTTTAATTAGAAGCTATATAATTTTTTTTTTAAAAAAAAACACATGTTTTACTACAAATAAGGATCAGTTACATTTCAAACGAATGGATATATTAATTCAAATTCAAATGTCCAATCGTATAGTTTTGCAGGCTTAATATAAACAAAAAATAAAAATACCTAAATCCAACAATTAAGAATAATGCCTTATAAACTAATTATTTATTATTCCCTTATAACCTCAGATTTATAAGTATATTTTTTTAAACCCCAAATCATAGCATAAATGATATATATGCCAAATTAATTCCTCAAAAAATAGTAATTCAATTAGATTTTAACAAAATAGTAATTTAGAGGGGGCCAAGCATCTAGTCAATATTATATATACAACAACATATCCTATATAAGCATGCTCCATGAGAGATGGTACAGATTAATATCATGATGATTTTCAAATTAATTGTCAGATTATTATGGAGATCTACAAAATTTAGGGTCACTGTTAATAAATAAAACAACAAACAGCCCCATGCCTCCATCTACTCTTATTTTGGAATTCTCATCCATATTATCATTCAAAAAAAGAAAATCTCTTTAGTATATACACCAACACGACCTAAATTTGGGCCTTCATGCATCCCAAATAGTCCAACCACTCACAAATCATAATTACAGAAAACAATTGTGTCTATGGACAGTTAAAAAAGCAAGAAGTCAATATTCATCACTAGGAGTCAAAGGAACCCAATTTTATATTCTAGAAACTCCTCATCGCGATTCGAATGGTTTGAAAGATGGGATTAGTAAAATTTATAAATCCAAAAATATAATGAACCCAATTAATCAATTATGGTGTCCTCTACATAAACAAGTATGGTAAAAATTTGAGGCTCTTTGGAGATTGATTTAAATGCAAGCAATTCATGTTATGCAATGTATTCCCATGTAAATTTAACAGGCAGCTGCTCCTTTTTTTTAACCGTACAGTAAAATTAGAAAAACATTTCAGCTTTTTAACATCATTACAGAATCCAATGAATTTTCTCTAATTGGCAAACAACCCACAGACAGTCACAGTCTTCTCTTTCTCTCTCTCACACACACACACACTGACGCGATCTGATGAGATCAGGACCCTACATCCATTACAAATTAGCTCGATCTTTCTCCCAAATCAACGGTTCTTCTTCATTCCAACGAAACCACAACTCCCATTTCAACGGCCAGGATTTAAGAAGCTCTGTACACCGCCATATACACAAAACTTTACCCTTCCTTCTCTCTCTCTCTCTGAGCGCATGAATTCACCAGTGACAGAGAGTACTAAAATACTGTAAGTGCTGAAATTCAAGGCGCTCTATTTCTTTTCTGTATAAAGTTTATTTAAACCTACGCTAAAAGGAAGAAAGAAAAAACCTAAAAAAAAAAATAAAAATACAGATCTATACAAATTCAAAATCTTCGTCATTTGAACATTCTGATCGCTGTGTTTCTTTTTTGGTGTGTGATTTTCTGCGAATCTCATTTGACTGTGATTATCTCGCCTGAGTACTGGCGGGTAAGCAGAGACCGATAATCGTGTTGTGTTACTATTTAATCGTATTCTGGTTACTTCAATTTAGGTCTGTTAGGGGTTTTGGCGATCTACATAGGGTTTAAGAGTTTTTTTTTTTTTTTTTGGATTAATAGTAGCGCGGAAAGAGTTGGAGGAATGGCTAATTCGTTCGCTAGTCCAGTCGACGCGACTCAGGTAATTGCAAACAGAGTTTTTTTTTTTTTTCTTTCTTTTGTCTTTTTAGTTTCTCGTTTCGGAAAATCTCTGTTTTTGTATTGAAGGTTTGGTTTGTTTTGCTGTGGGTAGGTTGGGTCTTTCTTCGTTCAACAGTATTATCAGATTCTGCAGCAGCAACCTGATCATGCCTATCGCTTTTACACCGATGCCAGCTCTGTTATTAGAGTTGACGGAGATGTCACTCAATCCGCTTCCACTGTGATGGTAATTTTTTTTTCTTTCGTTCTTTTCCTAATGATTTTATCTTAATCGTGGGATTGGCCTGTGTAGTTCCTGAATTTTCTTTTGATGTCGGAGATTGATCTGGTTCGATCGCCTGAGAATATGAATTAGTTGCAAGGGCGTGTATACATTTATGGTTTTCTTAAACTGTTTTTGGAAGTTTTGAATTTCTTAAACAGAACTCGTGCAATGCCTTCTGAGGTTGTGATGTGGGATTTCACTTTATTTCTTAAACCATTACTTCTTCTAACTTTTTGAAGTGAAGCCTTTGAGTTATCCAAAGAGATCCCCGCTTTTGAATATCTAAGTCTGTGTTTCCGACATCATTGTGTGTGTCTTCCATCTCCAGTTGTTGTATCTTAGGAACGTGCATTGTCTGTTGCTTTTTTTTTCCTCCAGGATATTCATGAACTTGTATTATCCATGAATTTCGCTGCTATCGAGGTCAAGACACTTCATTCCCTTGATTCTTGGAATCGTGGTGTCATTGTGGTAGTCTCGGGTAATGTGAAGTCCAAGGAAGGTAGCAACGGCTGGAGGAAGTTCGTGCAAACATTTTTTCTAGCACCCCAGGAAAATGGTTTCTTTGTCCTAAACGACATTTTTCACTATGTCAATGAAGAAGTCAACAGCCAACCCCCTGCTCCTGAAACACCAGTAGGCCATCAGCCGACAGCACCAGTTATTGAGAATGAACTTGAATCTCAAGCGACTAGTTCTATTCCTATCCATGAGCAACCAGGTATCTCAACTGATTGATTGGATTCTCAATGAGGCAGGATTGTTGAAAATGATTCGACTTATATTCTTAATGAGTTTAGAATTAATTTGTTACCTCTTATGTAAAGGTAGTAATTCTTAGCAAAGAGTAGCATTAATCTTCTGTATTTTGTGAAGATGCTACAAGCTCACCGAATTTATTTCTTTGAACAAATTTGTTTGGTCATATTCTGTTGTTCAAAGGCATGTGCTACATTCACATATCTGACTGCGCTCCCCTTTGAATTTCTCTCCTGAAATTTTGAGAAGCAATGAGAAATATGACTATACCCGTTCCCTTATCAAGGTTGATTTCCTTTAGGATGCAATATTCATAATGTTTCAATGTCAGTTTTCTTTGTGTTTTATGGTGTCAATGGATATCATTTTTACAAATCTTAACCTTGCAGTGTCGGACTATCCCTTAGAGGCAAAGGACAGAGAGTATGTAACCGAGGTTCATGTAGAAAGTCCGGTTGAAGATTACAACTTTCAACCAAATGAGCCAGAGCTGAATCATAAAACTAAAACACTAGAGGAAGAGACTCCGGTGGAGGTCCCCCTGCCCTTTCGACAAACTGAGGATGATCCAGCACAAGTGTCTTTGCCTCCTGTTGAGGAACCTGTTGTAGAAGCTCCGAAGATCTTCTCTTATGCATCTGCAGTATGCACCTTTCTGTCACCCTTAAATTTAAATTTACCTGTAAATAACTGCACGTGCCTTAAGTTGTTTTCTTTGGTTGTTATCATGGTTCTAATTTAGAGAATTTGACCCCTACCTTTAATTTCTATGAAAATGATTAACAAGAGAAGTGAACACGAATTGTGGTCTTAAATTAATATTACGTAGAACGGTTTGTTTTCTGTAGATATTAAATCCAATGTAACATAAGGATTACAAATTCTTTTTTTATACTTTATCATTTCTGTTAGTTTTCTTCACATTTTCAAGTGTACAACTTAGGAATTAGAAGAGTTAGCGTGGTCATTCATATGTAGGTTTAGTTTTGTAATTTATTCTCTTTCCCCTTAATTCCTCTCAATGCCCTTTCATGGACGTACATGTCCATTTTATAGATGTGAAATCCAATTTATTTCCTCTCTTCGAGGATTACTAAAACTTGTTGAAAAAATCTGTAGTTGCGAGCTCCAAAGGGAAATACAGCACCGACGGCTAGCATTCAGCAATCTTTTTATAAAAAGCCATCACATCCGGTCGTGCAACAAGCAGTTCCTGCCACAAAGCCATCACAGCCAGCCTTGCAACAGTCAGCTCCTGCCACATCCGTTGGATCTGATGGCCGTGAAGATGTTGAGGAAACTTCACAGCTGGAAGAGGGTAAATCTTGTCCTACGAGACTTGTATAAGCCTATTTTAATTTTATTAAAGAGGTTTCTGATTGTTCTTTAATCACTAACTTATTGTCATGTTTCTTCTCAACCTTTTCCCCCTATCTATGTGACTATGTGTACGAGAAAGGAATTATCTTTTCTTTTTCCCCCAATGTGTTGTTTGTCAGGAATGCTGTCTTTTGTAGCTATCAGTGTTCATGAGGAAATGATTGACCATTGTAGAATCTGTTGTGCTGTCTTTATTTGCTGTGTTAATTAATCCACCCTTCCAATTCATTTTGCTGATTTCTTTACCAAAGCACAAAACTCTAAACTTTAATTTTCTCAACATTCAGGCTCAAAATACATAGAAGTATCAATCCTTGATTACATTTTCACGAAGGATTTTTTGATTTTTTAAATGGAGAAGCCATGGTTTTTCATGATGAGGATCCATCCAAGTAATTACTGACAAGATGGAGTAGGGTCATAATACTTCGTTCCTATTTCACTTGACATAATTTGGTATCTTGTGGTATACTGGTCGTTGACCTCAATTCATCTTTCCCATTCAACAATAGAATTAACATTTGTGGTTTCTGCTGTGCTGCAAGATTATGTATCTAAGAATCATTAAAGTACTTCTAGATACTAAGCCTACCTTCCTTTCAGGAAAATCAAAATCTATCTATGTGAGGAACTTGCGTCCTGGCATTTCTACCTTTGAAGTCCTGGAAGAGTTCAAGATTTTTGGGAGCATAAAGCCAGATGGGGTCTTTGTTAACAATCGCCCGGTAATTTTTCTCCTTGTTAGTTTTAGTCTTTACATTTCCTGTTTCCTTTTGACCTTATTTTCCTCAAATAAACCTCTTTTGTTCATTAATGTGCATGTTTTTAATTCCAAATTGTTTTTTGGTTGCAGGAAATTGGTGTTTGCTCTGCTTTCATTGAGTTTGATGATATTGAAAGTGCACAAAAGGCTGTTGAGGTATGTGGATTGTTGTTGAGTTCCTGATAGATTTCAGTCTTCAAACATCCAAAGAATATGTAGCCTGTTTCTTTTGGTCGTGTTAGCTGACACACCTTGTTCTAGGTCTCTACCTTACCCGAACCACTTAGAAACTTTTGCTCATTACAACTGCTCCTCCATTCTTTTTGCCTGAACTTCTATGAACTTTGTGGAGTTTCAGGTTATATATGTAAGCTTTAAAATGCGATCCCGGGGGGAGGGTGGGGGTGTTCATTCATTAATTTCCATTTCTTACAATTATTTAAACTGTTTGAGGATGGCTAAGTGTGCTGGTCCAACATATTGCTTTGACTTCCTTGTTGGGTACTGCATACTTCAGATGGGGTCTGTTTCTGTGTTCAGCCTGGTAATATTATTTCTGTGAGTTGCAAAAGAAATTCCTGTTAATGAGAATAGAACTTTGATACATATCCAAATGTAAATCATCTGCCGACCTTATATGCAGTTCTTGTCATCCTCCTATGTATTATTAACATCAATTTGAATTTCTTTTCTAGGCTTCACCAGTAAAGATTGATAATCGGAAAGCATATGTTGAATTTAGAAGAACGACCAACAACAGTACTTCTCGTGGAGGAAGTAAGTTGCTCCGACTCTCGGCTTTTGATCCCACTTGGAATTTAGAAATAAATATTTCCTGACTGTATATCTTTTGCTAGTGATAATTACTCAATTTCCTCATCATGAACATTCACGTATTGCTGTTCTGAATGTTTTTTTAGGAACCGGACGAGGTAGAGGGCGGCTGCCTGGCGGGGCAAACTATTCGCAGGGGAGGCAATCGGGCCGCTATTGACAACGAGGAGAGGAAAATGATATCTGCCTTTCTTGTGAGATGTCGCAGGCTGGAGTTGGGTAAATTTGCTCGGCTTTAATATGCATTTCCTGGCTGCACCAAATAGAGATAAAGTTCCTCGTTTTACAAAATAGGATTTGGTTCATTGACGATGTATTTTGTTCAAAAGGTCTTCATATGAATGCACTTGAAGACATATTTTTTGGTTATTGTCCACCTGTTTTTGGTTTCATTTCTCTTGAGAGTTCCTTGGGTAGTTCTTTCAAGAGAAATCAAATGCATTCCCCGCATTTGGGAGTTTAGAGATTACATATACCGTTTCCACTAGAGTTTTCAAGAAGTGATTTCTTTGTTATGCTTGAATGGCTCTCAGTCTACGGACATGTTTACATTTCCTGGTATTTCCATCAGTTTTAGTTCATCACTTTCTGACACAATCGCTTCTAGAAGGTCATCTTTAATACTACAATTTGCTTGGATCTTCAACAGTTACACCAGTAGTTTAGTGTTTGGAGAAAGAAAATTGAATGATTTGTCTTCCCCATCCAATCACCTAAGCTATCTACAGGCTATGCTATATCTCTGTGGGACCTAAAATGACTGCTTACTGATAATCGCAAACTGTGTCGAAACACAGTGCCATGAATTGCAAACTATCAATCTATGCAGCTACACCCTCTTGGAGAAATGGCACAATGGGCCGCTCCATAGGACCTTCAGATGGCGAGTAATCTTCATCTTCGTCGCCGGTTTCCCATAGAAAACAAGCATAGGCAGCTTGAACGTGGCTGTTAACACCAAAAAAAAGAGTCTAATTAGATCATTGCCTGATTGTTATTCCGATTGATCGTAATGGCATTCCAACATAAACGGGATGATTAAGAGCGTAAAAGAATGGTCAGAAATGAAGTTAAGACCTGTCTTCCCCTGCAGCATGAACTGCTCGTTCGAAGTAGTCTTTGGCTCTATGGCTATCATGATAGAGCTCCCATACCAATTTGGCATACTGACACAGAACTTCACCATCCGTTGGATCTGCCAAAATTGCTCGGCCATAATACTCCTCTGCACTTGGAAGATCCTTCTTTGTCTGCAACAAAGAAAAAGGATGTTTCAGTTGATCAATCTGTTATACAGGTCTCAGCATGAATGTCTTATAAAGCAAAAATATGGCGAAGTTACCTGATGCAAGAATTGAGCATAATTCCTCAAGCAGAGAGAGTTGTTGGGATCTTCATTCAACATGTTCTTGTAATGCTCTTCCATCATAAAGCTATTGCCGTCAGCTCCATCTCCTCCGCCAAAGGTTACCGGTGTATAACCTTGCCCCCCACCACCGTTACCGCCATTGATATGGCCTCCAATGTCAACTAAATTAAACTCAGAAATCCCAAGCCCTCTTGCAAGATGCATCTCCATCTCCACTGTTCCTGCCCTTCCAAATCCTAAATTAGGTCCAAATCCAGTTGCTGCATAATCATTAGTCCTGTTGTCTCCCTCAAAGCAAAAACTCTCCATACCAGCAGAAGCATCACAAAATGCATCGGTTTCATGATTCTCCTTCATTTCTTCATCTGGGTACTCTTCATCCTCCTCATCTTCGCTGTCCTCATCGTATTCACTGCTATTTAAGGAAGAATTATGGTATGAGAAAGAAGGGATTACTTCCAAAGTGGAGCAATGGTGTGGTCTGCGAGAGAGCTTCTTGTTGGGGATTGAAAAAGTGAAATCATCAACGTAATTAGAGGTGGCGGCTCCGGCTAGTGCCTCCAGATTCCCTTCCGATTGAGCTCTTCGGAATCCGCCTGAAACAAGACTGTTTCCAGAGGAGAACCCTTCAGAAACTGAAGGAGAGATTGGGGAGGAATTACTGTATAAAGATGCAGTAAATCCATGTCCAACGGGCTTGTTATAGCTGATTTTACTGCAGCAATTCGAAGCAGCATGTTCAGGGGTAGTGATGTTTGGCACTTCGGAACTGGAGAATCTTCTGCTGTTGTTGGGAGTTTCAGAGAAAGATGACAGCAATGAACCAAGAACTGGTGTTGAAGAACTCCTCAATAGCATCTTTTTTCCCCTTCCTTCAAAAGGAACGATTTGCTTCTAGTTTCTGTGAAGAAGAAAAACCGGAAAAAAAAAGGAGAAAATACTGATGCAAATTAGTTGAGGATTACTGGTGGGGTGGGTGGTTGGTTCATAACTTCATATCAATATGTATCATTCATATGCATATCGTGATTATTCAAGCTATCTTTTTTCAGGCAAAAGGCAAAAAAGTTTGAAATACACACAGAAACGATAAAATACTAGTGGTGCCAATTGCAAAAGATGCAAAATCTATCCCTGTCAATTCTAAATCACTGTTGAAGATGATAGATACAGGACCTTCTCAAGTACAGGAGGAAAGAAAAGAAAGAAAACAGAGTGAATTTGATGTAGTAATAGCAAAAAGTTTCGATCATATCAAATCAAAAGGGAAGATTGAGCAACAGAGAGTTAAGTGGAAAGAAGGGTTGGACAATGAAGTTACCTTTTTTGGTGTGATATGATCTAATCGGAGGGTTTGGTTTTGGTCTTCTTCTTCTTGTTCTTTTTCGAAGCGTAAGAGCAATGGCGATTGGCTGCAGAAAAAGCAAAGAGGGATTCAAGTTTCAACCTTGTCTCACCACCAGCCACCAAACGCTCATAATTGTCTGCTGAATCTGAGATATATAAATACATACTACATGCATTGTGATGGACAGACCAGACGAAAAATAATAATGAAATTATGGGGAAATATTGTGGGAATAGAAAAAGATATTTTGGAGGAATTTAGTACTCCATTAGTGCATTTATTGTATTTAGTTACCTTAGCTATGTGGTGGAGGATGCGTCAAATCTTTTTGTTTAGTTGGTTTTTGCTGAGCGCTTTTACTATTAAAAGAAACGTATCGATTTTATAATTAACTAACAGAGTGATTTCAGATACCGAATGTTTAATATGTAAAAAAAAAAGGAAAATAAAATAATAGAGGGTTTGTACTTGGCTATGAAATTTTGTAAGAAAGTGGAGCAGGGGGGAAAGGTCAAACAAATGGGAATATAGCATATGCTCCGTTGGTTGATACATCAATAATAAGCTCCACCACGTGGAAATGTGAACGAGTGGAGGACATGTTGGATTCGGGGACTCGCCATTTTGACGCTTCTTGGTCATCATGAATTTAACCAAGAAACCAAATTGGTTTTTGGACTTTAACGGCGAAATTACAGATTCATGGCCCAATTGTCTGTGACCGTGCATTCCGTTCTTCCAGATGACATGGAAAATATGATTTTGGATACATCAACTCTGAGATAATTCTAAGTGAATTAATCGAACTTGGTGGTTTAGGTTTAATGTTTCTACCCTTTTCTTTTTTTAGCTCTTACGTACTACATTTTACCTTAAGGTCCATATTTATTTTCACTATAGAAAAAGCTTGATTCCCATGTGGATCTAATTCAGACATACCGAATTGAGAGCGATAATTTTGGCCTTTGTATAGGTGCAATTCTCATTTCATGTTAACGTTGTCCCATGCATTTGTAACACAAATTCTGACGCATAAAATACGTTAGTCATTGTGGAAATTGGTCTAGCAAACCAGACCAAATGTACAAAAAGCATAGTTGATAAATATAGAAAGAGCTTTCCCAATCCATGGCGCGCGTAAGTTGCGATGTCTTCGTCTTCGCTGTTCACGCGAGGAAAGTACACTACAACTGGGAGGTGCAAAAATATCACACACGTGAAATGTTCATTTATTTATTTCCGTGTTTTTTTTTAATGAGGTAGGGGTTACACGGTCTTTATTTTGCTCAAATTCCAGCCGGACACGTATAGGCGCCACCCCAGATTTGATGTAAATTACTCCCCCGTTCCATAATTATTGTCCACTTTGTCCAAGAAATTTTATCCCAAAATTATTGTTCAATTTGACTTTTTATGGATCAAGTTACACATTTGTCCTTAGTAAAAAACATTATCCATAAAATCTTAGTGGTTAAACAATTACTTATGTAGGGGTATATCCGGTTGTTTAAGGTAAAATATAATTATGTTTGACCAAAAATAAAATCTTTCATTTTAGTAAAACTGGACAATTATTATGGGATGGAGGGAGTATAATTTTTCCAAAAAGAACAAAGATTTGATGTCACTTCTGCGCTTTTTCTTTCGGTTTCGATTTCAATTTCGATTAATACGTTGACATTTTACATGTGGGTCAAAACCTTTTCCCTCCCTCTCTCCACTTGCTAGCTATAGAACTATCCCTGCAGGACTAGAAATGTCCGGAGGAGTCGATGAACCTCCTTGCCGTCAACCGTTTTTTCTTCTTATTAATATATATGAAGATAGTGTCTAAATTCGATTTTCTTTCTGTTGTAGCTATGGCGCTAATTTGCAAACATGTTTAAGATGTTTTATTCATCCAATTAGTCCAAAATTAAAAAGAAATCGTTTCCAAAACTTTGTTTTCCTTCTTTTTTATATTATACTACTTACATATATTTCAGAAAAGCATATATTATCAAATGTCAACTCGTAGAGTTAAAGTTCTGATCTTTTCACAGGTACGACGATCGTTTATTTCCACTATCACGCCACACATTTGGCGGTTGTGATGGTGTGTATTTGCGACTTGTCGGCTTGGTGAATGGTTGCAAATTGCAACACGGAAAGGGACTAAAAAGCAAATTGAAGATTGAATTTTGGGCATAAAGAAACAAGAAAGAGAAACACAAGGGACTGAATTCTGTTTAATTAGGAAGTACGGTGATTTATCTGAAAAACATAGGAAAACATGGAAAAATTCGAAATCATAACAAGGCCGGGAGTAGCATAGTATAAGTAGTATTCCACTGTGAAACTGCCACGTTAAAAGAGAGTCCATACTGAGCTGTCACGCCTTATTGCCATGGGTGGAGTACTCTTAATTCCGTGTTTCTTCGTTAACGAATCCTTCTCCATTAGGCCTCCATTGGTTTTGATTCTTATTATTCCATTAATACCTCAACAATGAGAACCTTCACTAATTCTTCCAAATCATTCCCAACTCTGGAATTAAAGGAGTGATTTTTATTTTTTTTTGTTTTTCAATATATATTTATCGAAAGTAAAAAGATGTCGGGGTGCAAATGTTTCCATTGGAGCAGAATCGGCGATTTATTTCAGCCTGGATCGGAACCGTTCTCTCTGCCGGCGCCGCTTCCCGAATGGCCCCAAGGTTTGCTCACTCAAATATGGCCGCCTCCCTCTCGGTTCGATATAACTCCTACCGTTTCCGTTTTTTTTTTTTGTTTTTTTTTTTCTCTGGTTTTATAGTTCTGTTTTTATTTTCGGTTATGAATCTCTAGAGTACAGAGTATTGGAAAGTATTCGTGTGCCGGAATTCGGGTTTTATTGGATCAAATTTCCGTATCACGATGAAATGATCGTTTCTGCTATTTACGTGATTTACTCTACTCAAATTCAACATTTGAGAAACAGAACTGGTGCAAAGATTTAGGCCTTTTAGAGTTCTCAGAAGTATTTGTATTCTGCCATTTATTCAGTTTGATTCTCTGTCGTTTCTAGCTCGGAGTACAGTTGCGAGCTCAAACTAGTCGCGGGTTTGTCTAGATTCGATCATTGTAATCCATTATAATCTTTTGGACTTACAGACTGTATGCTTTATTAGTCTCAGAAAAAGATTTTTCCTTTCTGGAGCATTTTAGCTTAGGCTTTCGTTGTGTTATCATGTGATAGCAACTGAGTGTACGGTTACAAATGAGAAAAGAAGCTAGGAATGGGATAATTATGAGTGCCACACTCCCCTGATGTCTTAACTTTTCAGTTCTTGATTTGCTGATTTCTCAGAATCAAGATAAATAGGGCTTGGCTTATTTGGTTTCCATTTTGTTTGATTTAGGTCGAGGATTTGCGGACAGAACTATAAATTTAGGAGAATTAGAGGTTTGCCAAATCACAAAGTTTGAGTTTATTTGGGCATGCAATGTGTCTGGAGACAGGAGAAAAGGATTTAGCTTTTATAAGCCAGTTGGCATACCAGATGGATTTTTCAGCCTGGGTCACTACTGCCAGTCTAACGAAAAGCCATTTCGAGGATTTGTTCTTGCTGCCAGGGAAGTGCCTAATTCTAAGCTAGTAAATCCTTCAGTACCCAATTCGTGTCAACTGCCAGCTTTACAGGATCCTCTTGATTTTACATTAATTTGGAGTTCAGATGATGGTAGTGAAGAAGACTTTTATGATTGTGGCTACTTCTGGTCTCTTCAACCACCTGAGGGTTATAGAGCTGTGGGCTTTGTGGTTACCAGCAAGCCAGAGAAGCCTATGTCTGAGGGAATCAAATGTGTCCGGGCAGACCTTACTGATGAGTGTGAAGCTCATCGGTTGTTAGTGAAAACTGCTTCAAGATTTTCACAAATCCCCCTTGAAGTATGGAGCACAAGACCCAATAACAGGGGAATGCTTGGTAAAGGTGTCTCGACAGGCACCTTTTTCTGCAGCAGCATATGGAGCCGAGGTGAAGAACTGGAGATTTCGTGCTTAAAGAATCTAGATTGCAATCTAAATGCAATGCCAAATATTGACCAGATTCATGCTCTTATAAGGCACTATGGACCTAGATTGTACTTACATCCTGAAGAAGCTTATTTTCCGTCGTCTGTCTCGTGGTTCTTTGAGAACGGAGCACTATTGTACAAAAAGGGTGACTCATTTGGTCAACCGGTTGATGCCAGAGGTGACAATTTGCCTGCTGGTGGTGCAAATGATGGAGAATATTGGATCGATCTACCATCTGATTCTCAAAGGGAGAGTTTAAAATCTGGAAACCTGGAAAGTGCAAAGCTTTACGTGCATGTGAAGCCAGCCTTGGGTGGAACTTTCACTGACATTGCAATGTGGGTATTTTGTCCCTTCAATGGGCCAGGAACTCTGAAACTAGGGCTAGTAAGCGTTGCAATGACCAAGATCGGTGAGCATGTAGGTGACTGGGAACACTTCACCCTACGAATAAGCAACTTCACGGGTGAACTATGGAGTATTTATTTTTCGCAGCACAGTGGGGGAGTATGGGTTGATATTTGCCATTTAGAATTCTTCGAGGGAAATAAGGCTATGGTTTATTCTTCAAAACACGGTCACGCTAGCTTTCCTCATCCAGGGATTTTCATTCAAGGGTCTTCAAGACTTGGGATTGGTGTAAGAAATGATGCTGCTCGTAGTGAGTTTTATGTGGATTCAAGTAAGCAGTATGAAATCATCGCAGCTGAGTATCTTGGAGATGGAGTTATCTCCGAGCCCAGTTGGTTACAATACATGAGAGAGTGGGGTCCAACAATCGTGTATAACTCAAGAAACGAGCTGGATAGACTGATTAACCGGTTGCCATTGATGGTTCGCAATTCAGTAGAGAATGTTTTCGCCAAGCTCCCAATGGAGTTGTCTGGGGAGGAAGGACCCACTGGCCCTAAGGAGAAAAATAACTGGGTTGGGGACGAACGATGGTAGGTTTGAATACAAAATAGATCAATCTGTTTATGCTAGATAACCCTAAGAAAAGAAGCCGAAAGTTAAATGCTGGTGCAAGTTGGAGGACACATGGCCTCTGGATCGGTAAATGACTTGTATTTTAAGTAGGAAAAACAGATTTGTTAGCCTCTAACATTATTTATTAGGGATCAATTGTTGCTGTTACTTGATTTATAGAGTAGACTATAGAGGAAATGGAGAAAAAAGAATGCAATCTCTTGTTGTATGAGTAATCAGTGAGCCTCTACCATATTTTGAGTGTATTTTATTGGACCTTTTTTTTTTATTCAACAAACTACTAGAAGAGTTGTATGCGGGGAAGTAATCTTTGATATCTGCCATACATAGTTGATGTTGTTAGTTCAATTTGTCCGCCACTTTCTTTTGCTTTATGATTTGTGAAGTCTCAAAATCCATGTAGACAAGCTTCCCTTTTAGGGAAAGTCCAGCGACAAAGGGTGGAGTAGAGAACTTTTGGACGCAAACCGTGTCCCCTTCTTTCCTTTCTTTGGTTAGGCCCAACATCGTCAGGTGGGCTGTTTCCGATTCTTTACCAAATCCAACCGCTTTGTGAAAAGCCATTGTGGAACTCAATGCCGGAACATCGATCTGTATCATATTTCACCGGTTTTGAAAAAAATAGTCTATATTGAGTTTTTTTAAATTTATACTATTTTTTTATAATAAAAAGATGCTCAAGCCTTTCGATTTAAATAAAAACACTACAGAGATACACAACCCATATAACGTCATGCTCAAGCCAAGATAAAATACTCGATGGTGGATCATCGAACTATTATAATCCTCCTGGCTCTTTAGTTGCTAAAGATGCCAAATAGTTTGCTACAAAATTCGCCTCTCTGAACTCATGCTAGAGTTCTAGCTCCCTGTGAGAGCAGTTTAGAATCCCACCAATAAGATTGGTATTAATACCAAATATCTCCTCCTTACCTTTCCTCATTGCAATAAACTATTATCGGAATAGAAAGAACATCCTTTCTGTTATGAAAATAATTTGGTCTATTTGTTGTGCTTATTATTATAAGTGATCGAGAAAAGTGAAAAAGTATGACGAATTTGAGTTCAAAATATTGCAATTTTTCTTCTATTTGAGGCCTTTATCACTATGTATATATAACTTATGTCAACAGCAGTCAACCCTTGGTAGAAAAATGGTTGTACATCAGCTGGAAGTTTCTCCCTGTAAATAAATAAAATTAATAGTACTAGTACTAGTATAAAATTTGGTTTGACCATCGTTTCCTCCTCCGAATTCCAAAAACCAACGAATTTTTTTAAGAAAAATCAAAGTCAACATTGGCATTCAGGAGGATCAGCTCCTCCGCCAGCCAACAAAAGAGATACAATCATGATTTTCTCCCTTTTTTAATTTTATCTGAGAGTACAATCATTCAACTGTGTCATGAAACACAGTAAAAAAGGAGGGAAAAAAAAAAAGAAAGCAAGAAGAGGGTAATAGTCCAACGACTATTGTCTCCTCCCTCCTGCTGTCCTGCAAACACCCTGCCAAAATTAAAACTTTATTATTATGTGACTGAATCCCCTGACTCACTGTTAATTTTGCCGGGCTGCCCCCACACCACTTTCACCCCCCAGCTGGGGCGCCGTTGATTCTTGAGAGTCAACCTCAAATAAGCCACAGTAAACTTGCTCTTTTTAATGTTAAAAAATGCAGTCACTTCGGACAAAACTACGGCTTGACGAGGTGAAAGGTAAAGTGGAAAACAAACGGAAATCAAAACCATAACCATTCTTTATGCAAATGGTTTATAAAATGTTTGAATTAGATTAACTATGTATTAACAGCTTCCACAAACAATAATATTAATATCTGATCATTTTACGAGATTTATTAAACTCAAATTTATATTGCTTAGATAATAATATACTACCAAAAATGAAAAAAAACTCGGACGATAGTTTTCCAAGTTCCCGAGGGAAGTGGGAGTATAATCAAGAACGAGGGCCCCTGCTAGACTAGTCTGCTACGATACGACGACTCGGTTGGTTCTTTCTTTCCTTTTCTCTCCTTTTTTTTTCTATTTTTTTTCTTTTGGTATGGACGACTTTTATGTGTTGGGAAGTAGTATTAGGAATTAATTAAAGGGGGAGGTATTGGTCAGGCAACGGCGGAGCCTGTCTCCCTCTCCCTAGACAGCGGCGTCCGCCATCAATTATCCATCCCACCACCATCATCCACCTTTCCTCGACGTAGGGGCAGGGTAACATTTAATTCAACTATTTTTTGTATTTTGAAGATCCAATGTAGGAGTACAAATTTCATTAGCTTATAATGTTACAGCTTGGACTGTGCTTTTGTTCTCCCGTCTTACAATAATTGTAATGTTCGTTATATTATGAAAACTCTTTTTTTTCTTTACATTACTGATTAATCATACTAGTATTATCTTCTTCTTTTTTTTTGTTACTTGAAAGTTAATTAGTTTTTTTTTTAATGATGGAAGGATATACTAAACTCATTTTTAATAGGTTCACCAATTGTCATCTCTCAAACTATTTTATTTTCTTTACTTTTTTTTATTGGAAAGGAAAACTTAGATGCCACCAATTATACATTAAACTTTGGAAAATTTACATACACCTCGTTCGAGCATTAGGGAGGGCTGAAGATAGGGTCATTTTGTCATCGTAATGTCTAAATAATGAACAAAAAAAAAAAAAGCATCTGTAAATAGGTAAAAATAGCAGAAAACAAATTAATTACGCTATAGTACTTCCGAATCCCCCTCTAATAAAAAAGAAAAATTCGCCAGTGATCCTACGAATATAGAGGATTGAAGAAATTAAATATAGTACTCGCGTATTATACATAAGCGGCTGCTTGATCAACTCACGCGTACAAAGACAATAAAATGATTAACTATAATTCCTTTGTTTCAAAAAAATAAAAACTAAAAAATGAATTTCCTAACAAATCATGCACTTAGTTTTAATATTATTTGTTATTATTATACTTCACGAGATGTGTAAGACGTGCTTGTATTTTAGTTGAAACCATTGAGAAATAATTCAATGGCATTACGTGTAGTATGACTTTGTTTTAAATCTTGGTTGGTTGGTGGTACCAAAGTGTTGCTGCGTATTAATCTTATATTACTCCAGAGGTGCCCTTTCTTTCTTATGTATTATTGTGTAGTGTGTTTTTTTTTTTTTTTCTGAAATGTATTATTGTATACTGTATAGTGTACGCAACAAAGTGAGAACAACTCGTAATGATCATTTCAACTCTGCAAGGGGGTAAAATAACAAAAAAAAAAAATTATCCGAAAGTAAACAAAGGTGGGAACAAAATGATTTGTGAGGACCTTAATCAATTAATGTACCTTTACTTTATACACACTTTCTTTTCTTGTGCGGAATTTTCTCATGCATATCAAATTATTTTGTTCCATATTTTCTATGCTTGTTTCATTTTTATTTTTATTTTGTTACGAAAAGAAAATTTATACACCAAATCTATGTGAAACAAATTGTCTGGAACCTGAGGATGTGACCATTCTGACCTCGCATTACAGTAATTCAATATTAATTTTTTCAAAACAACATATGTATATTAATGCAACAAGTACCATTGTTCTTCTTATTTGTTGTTATCTTCTCGTGAACTTTGTTACTTTTTTCCTCAAAATACTATTACGCCAATTATTGCAGTTGACTACATAATTTTATGCAATATACTAGTTATAATAATCGATTTTATTGTATCATCTAATTTTTTCACTAACAAGTATATGTATAAGTAACAATAACTAATTCACTCGTTCTTTTTTAATTCAAAGCTACATTACACATTTACTAAGCTTTAAAAATGAAAAATTCAAAACTAAAATATTGTGACTTGCGTATACGTGTATGTGTGACCTTTGGGTTCTCATTGCTTTCGGGTATTGGCCTAATTAATTGGGTGAGTGGAAATGGGGGAAAAAGAAAACTAGAAAAGAGGATTTTTTTCGAGTAGCTTTATCACCTTTGAACGGATGGCGTAGGTTGGAATGGCATAACAGGTTTTTTGTTAGAGGGGAAGAAGAAGAAGGAGGAACGGAGACTTTCTGGTTGGACCCCACACGTTGTCGCTTTGTCTGTTGTTTAGACCAAAAAAACTCTACTTTGTCCCCCCTCCCTTCCTCTCCTTAAAGTCTCCACCTTAATTAAACAGAAACAACACCTTTCCTTTCAATTTCAGTCTTCGATTTTACAGTAATTGATTACCACTGCGAACGAGCTGTCCAGATTTCTTTCGATTTTGCTTTTTGCTTATTCCTCGATTCTGCAAAATTGTTAAAAGCGGAGTTGATCTTCTTGGTGTTCGTTCGCTCGGTTTATTAATGTATTGGGGCCGGCAAAATTAGCATTTGTTGTCGCACACACTTTTTATTTGGCTTCTAAAATATGGCTTTACCAATATATTACTTCGTCTCAAAAAAATAATTCATATTGAATTTCTAAATTTGTATTAAAAATAATACAAAACTCAAAACTCAATATAGACTATTTTTATAGGACATACAGAGTAGTAGTGTATCTTACTCGGAATACGTTTATGTGATCCAAATACTGAAACTGTAGTGGTTAAATTGTAAAATGCATTTGCGTTTTGAAGATAGGTGGCAAAATAAAGAAAGTAAAAATAATGCAATTACTAAAAGGCCACATTATTGTTTTATAAATACCGTTGTGGGAGTAACTTTTTTTTTTTTTGGTAAATTAAAAGAAAAGAAATAGTCTATTTTTATCATTTCACTTTTCAAATATAGTGACTACCATGTTATTTTGGTTTATCTCAAGGAAAAAAAATGCTCATTTATAGTGTGTCTATAAAGGAACAATAATGTTCTTTACGTTATAGTACTTAGTATAATAGTTAGAGAACTTAGAAGTGTTCCGCAAGGCAAAAAAAAAAAAAAAAGAAGGAGTCTATTCACGTCCATTTCAAGTGG